GGGGGGGGTTGGCACAGGCCAAAAATATTGGAAAGGTGATCTGTTTATGCCTCGGAGGGTAATATTCGCGGCGAAGCAAGTGATGTATGCAGTTGTGGCAGGGTAAATTTGTGTGTGAAATGGGTTGGGTCGAGAGGCAGAATTACTTTCACGTAGGAGATGAGCTTAAAACCTTCGTGTAGTGCCTAAAAAAAATTCTTGTGTAGAATGCGTTTATGGATTTTGCGAGACTTATATACTTCCATGCATGTACGAGAGGCTTGGGATAAGCCGTTGAGGTGGTAATTTCCCCTAAGTGTAAATCTCGATCCCTGGGCAGATTATTGCGAAGATAGCACGCCCCGCAATCGGTGTGGTGGATTATACATGCACTGGTGCTTGCTGTACAAAAAAAAAGAAAAAAAGAAACAAAGGGGGGCATGTGAAAAACAAAAAAAAGGGAAAGGCACGGCGAAACAGAGACACATTCCTCCCCTGGCAACGGGTTCACAGTTGGCAATTTCATCGTGCCCCCCTCTTCACGTCTCTTAGATCGCTTTTGCACATTGTTTCTAATTAGGGTGGACGTGTTTTCTCCGATTTTAGCTTTCTCAGGTATCAGTCTATGCTTATTTATATCCAACGCTGTCCTTCAACTCACCATATTTGGACGTTAGGATTCGTAAATGCGATCATAACTTTCTCCGACTGGAGTTGTCGATTATATCTGTATAATAACTATCGAAAAAAAAAAAGCTTCGAAAGTGGTACCAGGCAAGTTAGCCATAAGCATATATAGCTGTGCTTGCCTGCCACACAGGACTAACAAATTACGTATTTGGCCTAGGCCGGTCTCTTTCATCTCTACAGGCTTTTTTCCGGAAACCTCCCTCTGTAAGAGGTTCCACCCAGGCTCAGCGTCCTGTTCTGTTTAAGACAATAGTCCTACCTCCAATGTTCGACTACGTCTTCAGGATGACCCCAAGGTGGGGAATGTTTCACCCTGGTCTGGAGACCCACTAAACAAAATTTCGACCCACACATATTACATTCTAAAAAATCGATTGCCGCCTGTTTCTAAAGAGCTAGAGGTCTATTGGCCCTCGTAATTATAAGTATAGGTGTTTTACTGACGCGTATACCAAAATTAGAGGTCATACTACCCACTTGGGCTAATGGGATATCCTATGGGAGAAATTTTTTCCCCCGACTGTCTTAGGCCTATGCCTAGCAACGTGGGGAGAAACCTGAAATTGCTTTGAGCTAGTACCTGCAGCAGCTTAAACCTGGTGAGAAAAATTTGCCGCTCCCAATGCGAACTAGGGTGTGTACTTGAGCTCACAATACCTAGTATATCGGAGAATACCTATCTGTATTCCTACGCCGCAAGTCGGTGCACTGATAGCATCAGTTTCATGTCGGTTCCCTTTTCGTACTGGACAGATTCCTGGGGGGCCGCGTAACGTGATCGCTTATCTGAGGAGCTAGTTGTCTGATATCGGCGTCGTTCTACCGCCGGGTGCCTTGAAAGTGTAAATCAACACGACGGGATACAACAGCTCAGAGACCCAGATAGGCATGTTTTCCATCCAGAGTAGAGTAATCTGTCCGTATGTTCAAAATACATTTGCTTCAGATCTCATATGTGCTTAGCAATCTTTCCATTTTCCTCATACCTCTACCGGCGGAAATTAGAAGCGTTCGTCCTGGGGCCAATGTGGTGCAGCTCTTATTCACCGTTCTCATGCAGGAATCAAAGCATTCCTGCACCATGTTTCTTATTTAAAATTCATCTGGTGGTCATACCAGGTCTCTTGATTATGCATGCTGCATGTGGTGTTAATCTATACTTCCTTACGAGAACGTTCGCCGAAAAAAAGCTGACCAGATCTAGATCTGAAACTAGGCACTCCCACCTCCCCGCGCTCTTAGAGCACTGTTTAAAAAGTATACGAAAGGTAGAAAATCAGGCTTTTTTTCCATATATTTCTAATAACTGACTAGTGGTCTCTGATTTTTCGATCCTGAGGAGCTTGACAACCTCCTAAAGGTCAACCAACTGGGTTGGGGATTGATACGAATATGCAAGTGATGACGCACATACACCTAAAATCCCTCATGCATGGATTACATTAATGTGCGACTAAATTAGCACCCGGAGCATCTGCTGAGATTTATGCACTGGCAACCGACATCATCAGCGTGACATCTATCATAAATCTATGAGTATCGTGAGCTGCCGGGGCCTCGAACACATTTACTGTAACGCACACGCGACTGTCTGCGCGTTTATGTAAACTCACAGGTGGAGTGAGTGCCAAAAAGATAAAAAACTATGCGTCAATGTTATTTATAATATATTGAGGGAAGCTTGTATATATATGTAAGCGATGTATACACTTTTAAATAATATATATATATGTCTCGGATTACTATTGAAATTAACGTTGACGTGTATTGTTGGCAGTGAATTTTGAAATTATACATATAAATCGATAGATGTTATATAACTATTAAAATGAATATCAACACTACTTTGTTCTTATATTGCAGTACACGATTCATTATTACAGATTTGCACAATGCAGGTGTTTGGTGGATTTCTCGTCTTAATCAAACATCAACCCTTCTAGCTGTAAGAGGGCCCCGCTAAGATTCGGAGTTCTTACCACGGGTACAGGAGTTGCGGCGTAGCTCTCTTCGGTGCTAGCGGCGAGAGGCGTTTCCACTGGAGGTGGGATCAGGGCAACCTGTTGAGTGGTGTAATCCTCGAACTTCCATGTGGCCATGTCGAACTCGGTCTCCTCGGTCTCCCAATCATAGCTAGCGTCAAATTTGTTAACGAAATAATACGTCCCGGAAATTTGCTGATCCATGACAATCACCCCCTGAGCAAGGGCAAGCTCAGTTTCTTCATCGGTCACCCCGTAACTCCACTTGAAGTGTTTGGAAATGTCCAAGGTGCTCATTCCTTTAAACATGAACTCTTCTTTGTTGGAGAGCATCGCCTCAAGCTCATTGTTGAGCTCGGAGGTGAGTAGCTGATTGTTCGACACAACCAACCTTTCCTTCAACTCCTCGAAATGCTCACTTTCGCTCTTTTTCAAAAACCTGGCGATGCGGCTAGCGATTTTCCCTTCCTGGTCAGATTTGAGCATTACCACCTTTGTTCCCGACTTGTACTCTTTCAACTTGTACGGGAGGTTTAACTCTGCAAATAACTCACAGCAGCACTTGTTTAAATCCGCAGCCGAAATGAGGTTAATCCCGCGCGTACGGTTGTAGAGCGCAAACAAATCCACCAAGCTCATTATCCCACCTTCGAAGGGCAAGACGAACGAGAGGTAGTCGGAAATTTGTCGCGTCAATTCCTCGTAGTAGAGCTGAGAAGATAGGAGATCCTTGCGGGAAAACCCTGTAGTGATATTGGCCCCCAATAAGAGACTCGAGTTCTGCAACAGGTTCATCTGGTTGGAACCCATCAGGGATTTGGCCACAGTATGCGCGAACTCATCAGACAAGACCAAGAGTTCCTTAGCCTTCAACATTAACTGGTCTATATCCTCTAGCGCGCCTGAAAGCACGAATCCAGTCTTCTTGCGCTTCATTTCCCCGATCTGCTCCAAGCTGGAGATACCCATATTAAGGTTCATCGGCACCAGCGGCGGTGGTGTCGCGGACGGGTTGTTCTGAAGCTTCACCGCATTGGCGTTGACCTTTCCCAGTTCCATGAGCGTATCCCACTTTACCCTCTCTACTTCGCTTTGGAATCGTTCGTAGAACGCTTTCTCGCCACCGTTTCGGAAACTGATCTTGATATGCATGCGGGCGTCTTTGGCGAGAAGACCGTCGTCTGTTTCAGTCTGGATTTTAACGTCTCTGTAGTTGATGCTTGGGCCGGCCCTCTGTTTACCGTCCTGCTTTCCACCGGAGGACTTTGGCTGCATGGGGGCATCACAGAGCTCGCACTTGACCAAAGATGGATGATTGATAAACGTGCATTGCGGACAGGTGTTGGCCGAGGCGGTACTTTCAGTACTGAGACTAGTACCAGCTATTACCTCCTGTTGTTCCCTAACCAATCGAAGAATGTGCTTGGCGCTGGGCCTGACCCCACAGGTCTGACACGGGGGGAGAATCGCCCCTTCTTCATCCGATGGAAGCTTCAAGTCAGCGGGCCATTTGTTCAGAAAATAGCAGATAGGACACCCCCATGAGAGCTCGGGAACGGGTGGGGGCAGTGAAACAGGGTCGGTTGGGGGCCGGAAGTATACGGTGAGCTTGGGGGAAGAGCGCATGAAACCCGGGTACAACTCCAAGCTCTCTACGTCGCTGAGCTTCACAGCAACAGAGTAAGCTTTGGGGTCTGTCTTATCGATGTAGATGACTCGTTGCGTGGTGAGATACACGCGGCCCCGTTGGCGGTTGAGCACCTTGGCCTTGCCTTGGTAGAGGCCCACTTCATCGCTCACAGAGATCTCAACCTCCTCGGGAAAGAGGGCAGGCCGTCCAGAGGCATTCAATTCGACGTACTGCCATTGGGTTAGCAACATAGTAGGAGTACTGAGTAAAGTGTCGAGGGTGCGTGTTTCGCCTTCCTTGACATCAAACTTGCCTTGTGTGGAAACCGGGCCAGAGTGTGGCTGGGGGATAGGAAGTGCCGGATACGTGGCGAAGACGGATTGATCCGGAATGTGGCGTGTTGCGCAGCCTGACTCTAGGCACTAAAGGAGATTAATGCGCGTCTGCACGAGACATTATATTAACGGGGTGCTTCACCCAAGAAAGACACTAATGGAAGAAAGCCCGAACGATGAGCACCCCCAAAGCGGTTCTAAGAAAAGAGATCAAACGGCTACTTCAAACAGTTCCCCAAAAGTCAATCGAGGACCAGTCGCTTAGAGTGGCGGAAGTGTTGCGAGCGAGCCGTGTCTACCGCAGAGCTGCCAACGTGATGGTGTACATGAACATGCCCCACAGCGAGATCCAAACAATGCCATTGGTCCAGAACTGTTTTGCCGACGGTGAGCACCATTTTATGTTAATACAGAAGGAATACTAACATGTATAGGAAAGAAGGTGTTTTTGCCCCGATGCACTGCGTTGAAAGCCGGCATGGCCCCGCGGTTCGCCAAACAGAAGGCATTCATGGAGATGATCCGCATGCCAAATGTGAGCTCGGTACAAACTCTTACCCCACATGGGCCTTACAAGCTTTTAGAACCCACGGAGGGGCAAGGTTTTTTCTCCACCCTAGAGATGCCGGCCGATACTGGCACCGTGGATCTCATCATTCTTCCAGGAGTGGCATTCACCAAGAAGCTCCAGCGCATGGGACACGGTGCAGGGTTCTACGACGACTTTATTAAACGCTACCGAGAGCTGCCCCTTGTCCAGGGCCGCTTATTGCAGTTAGTGGCCGTGGGATTGAAGGAGCAGTTGGTGGAGAGTATTCCCGTTGAAGAGCACGACGAGACATTGGATGGATTGGTAATTGATGGCCAATGGTTTGAGTAATGGAAAGTGTCTAGGTTAGTGAGAAATAAATTATACCCAGTTACATGTCCCAATAGGCATCTAATCAGAAGTTCCACCTTGTACATGAGGAAAAAAAAACTATGGTATGACAATCGTACCCTGTTATGTCTTTCATTATCGTATCCACGAGGAATAGGGTCAACCTGTCACCACGGAGGAGGTGCTCCCTTCAACGATATAAGGCCTTATAAATATTCAGTGCAAATTCAGAGATTTGCCATTCTTATAGTTTTTAGCAGAGACACCGAAAACCAGGGGATTCATTTGGCGAGTGGAGCCGGGAATGACCGTTGATCTTTACTCCAGTTGGCGGAAACTTGCACCCTGCCTGGGTATGTCATTGAACTGATGCAACTATCACTCCGGTTCGTAAAGGGTTACCCTTACCAAATTCACTTTTATCCTTACCAGATTCACTCTTACCTTCGCTAGATTCGTGTTTTAACTCTCTGCTAAACTCAACAAGTTAGCATTCTAAGCGTAAAATCGTAACTTTACACGTGCTAAAACAGATGATTGATCTTAGTGTTTCCATTTCGGTTCTTAATATTTTAGTTTGGCTAGGTCACGTAGTGTTTCGGTGGCTACACGGTCGCCATTCCTACATGTGAAGCTTTTGGCTCTTTTCGCGCCTTTAGTCCGAGCTCAGCATCCCCCTCATTCAATCCCACCACTCAGACCCCAGTACCCCACTTTGCAGGATATTCCCACAAAAGCAAAACGACCTATGAAACCCTATTTCCCCATGGGATGTACACTCACCAGACATAATAGGCTTAGTCACTCCAGATCCGCCGTTAATAACCTCAGTCCTGCTTGCACTAAAATAAGTAGTCTTGCTATAGGAAAATATTGCTTTTTGAATTGCCAGCAATCACCTCACCAAGCTTTGCTATCAGGAATCTTTGTTGCTACACCAAGGAAAGACTACACCCGAGGGGAAACAGCCTAGAACATTACAGCCAAACTACACACGTTGCAAAGACCTTTGCCGTCCAAATAGCTCGCGCCTTTGCCACAGGAAGATAAGTCGCCCAAATAACAAACGGTGCACCACAACAACCCGCACTACCGCCTTATTTACCAAACAGCACAAAAAACAAAGTTAGAAGCACAACGCTACTTCACATCGCTAGATGACCGAGATACCAGATGATCCGAGCGACAGTGCGGAAAGCAAGAAGTCGCGCAACCGCGTGCCCACGTCGTGCTCCGTGTGCCGGCGGCGCAAGATGAAGTGCGATAAGCAGCGGCCGCACTGCGGCGCGTGTATCGAGACGGGCTACGCGGAGCTCTGCATCTATGAGTCGCAGCCGTGGGAGAAGAGCTTGGCACAGGAGAACCGCCGGTTGCGCGTGCAGGTGAGCGAGATGGAGGACCGCATCAAGCAGCTCGAGGAGCGCTTGAGGGCGTACGGGCCGGGCGCGGATAAGGGGTCGAATGCGGGGGGCACGCCCGACCGCACGCCCAAACCCTCAAAGAAACCCGCGGCAGACCCCTCGGACCCCGTCTTCGATCTCACCGAGAAGTTTGACGTGATGATTGCGAACGAGGAAAAGTTGATGCACTACGGCACCACGTCGTTCGTGTCGCTCATGAACGAGGAGTACATCGTCGGGGACCATTACCGCAAGATTATCCTGCGTCTCGACGTGGAAAACAACATCTGGGGCGTATCGCACCCGCCAATCTCCACGCACTCGCCGCTCGTGGAAGGCGGCGAGGACAAGCGCACCATGTTGAACGCTTATGCCAAAATCCTCGGCATCCAGGGCGACTCGTTCCGCACCAGCAACTTCCTTCCGGACTTGTCGCGCCAGTTCCAGGAGATCATTCCGCCCATCAACGCGGCGTTGCCACCACGGCGCATCTTCGACCTTTTGCTCGAGCGGTTCTTTCGTTACGTCTACAGCGTGACGCCCTACGTTGACGAGATTACGTTCAAAAAGGAGCTCGATGTGATTTTATTCACCAACGCCAACGATGGGCGCGTGTTCTTCTCCATCAGCCGCTACAGCCAGTTGTCCACCGTGTGCACATGCCTCGTGCTTCTCCGCTTTGCCTACATCACCATCACGCCCAAGGAGTTGCTAACTCCGACAATCAACCCCTTTGACAAGCAGCAGGACTTGCTCGTGGCAGAAATTGCCTTGAGCGGCGTTGTCGTCGGCTCTAATTTCATCGAGTTTGCTAAACAATGCTTGTCCTACGGCGCCGTTTTCCGCAACACTGACATGCGTAACGTCCAGGCGTTGCTTCTCTTCAAGATGTACCGCTTCTACTCGCCCGAGAGCGGCAAGGAGGGCTTTGAGTGCGTGTTGGCAATCTTGGTTCATATGGCGCGTGTCCATGGCTTGCACCGCGACCCGGGCAAGTTCGGCAAAGCCATTCCCGATGAACGCACCAAGCACTTGTGGCGCAAGATCTGGGCGCAGCTCATCTTCTTGGACAGCGCACAGGCCATTTTCTACGGGTGCCCGTTGTTGATTTACGACGACCAGTATGACACCAAGGCGCCGTTCTTGTCAGACGGGTTGCTTGCCAAAGGTGGGCTCTTCGAGCATGAGGAGCAGGTGGTCGAGAACATTGCGCTCCAGCTTGAGGTGTCCACCTTGGTCCGCAGCATCGTCAAGTTGTGCTCCAACATCTCGTTACCGCCAAAGCGCTCCGAGTTGGTGCTGAAGTTGCTGGAGGTGGACTACGTGCTCAACTTCCGTTTGCAGTCGTTTGAGGACTTTTTCAAGTTGAACGATGCGCCTGTGCCCGACTGGGCGTTTTTGCTCCGCGGCGTGCAGTGCGGGTTGCGGGTCTGTCTCACGTCCGCCTACTACACCGTCAACTGCATCCTCTATCTCACGTGCCTGCCGGAGGAGACCGAGTTGCGCAAGAAGTTCTCTGACACCAGCATCGAGCGCGCGATGATCTTGGTCAAGTTGTGCTACAACTTCTTTGGCAACCAGTCGTCACGCGTGTACAATCATGGTTTGGAAACGTTGCTTGCGCCGTTGATCCTTGACGGTGCGCTTCCTGCGTTGCACATGTTTTGCACCACCAGCATTCGCAACTCCTTCGATTTGACCAAGTTCTCTGACGCCATTGAGTCGTTCAAGAGCGTCGATGCCGTCGGTGTTTTGCGCTGGTTCGTCCTGTACAGCTCTGCCAAGCAAACGACGCCCGCGGGCTGCATCCTCCTCCTCGTCGAGGAGTTGTTCTACAAATCCAAGGCCCTCTCCACCAACTACTACCGTTGTTACCAGATCTGTATGATCTTGCGCATGTTTATCATCATCTACAAGGACTTCCACCAGCAGTCCCAGAATCATCAGGAGCGCATGAGCCAACGTCAAGCCGAGCTCCCGAGGGTGGAGAAGAAGCAAAAATTGGAAGTTCCGCGCGACGAGTTCCTAACCCCTAGCTCTGTGACATCAGACACGGGCTCGACTTCCGGCGCCGCCGTTGCCACCCCCATGTCCATCAGCTCCACAGGGCCTATACCCGGCTCCATAATCAACTCGCACCACTCCATCAATCAGGAAATCATCAACCTTAGCACTCACGAGCAAGACGACTTCTGGAAACAGTTCTTTGACGACGGCAACAAGACAGGCTTCGAGAGCGTGCCGAACTTTAGCGAAACTATGCCAAACGGTTCCGATTTCAGTACTCATTTCCTTGATCACATGAACAATGCCATCATTTCCCTGTTGCCAAACAGGGCTATGTCCAGCGTACCGTCTCACAACTTTGTCGGGGATCCCCGAATGGCCCCCGATTCTGGCGGTCTGGTTGACGAGTTTGGAAGGAGATTCTAGTCTAGGCTGAACAACTGTTAGCGGTATGGAGATTCAGATGGTGCCCGCTGATCTCCAGAAGCGGTTGATCGTCCCACGTATGGGGATGTACCAATGGTTAAATATGATTGTAAATACCCCTGAACAGCGATATTGGGAGGACTACGTCTTTGAATCTGAGCCGGGTACGAGTGACTTGATAACACCTCTACTAGCTGCGGTCTGAAACAGGACGATAAATATAATGTAATATCCATGGTTACTAGGCGTAGAAAACATAATCAAGGTACGAGACTTGAGATCGTAGACCTAACAGTCCCCAGCACAACGCAAGATAGTCTTTCAGGTTGACGCCGAACGTCACCAGAAGAGTTGGCAACGGACATACCACATCCCACCATTGTAGAAAGGGTGGTCATTAGGCATCATACCGACGAAGCCTGCACCTATGGCTCGCTATGTAGGTTTGTGTATGAATCCTGTGTCAGTCAAAAGGCTCAGGACTTTGTACTGGGGTGGCCATGCTGCCCCTCTCAGTCTTTGCAATTTCTGCTCCTCGTAGTGTATGTTTCCACGATTACCGTCCGCTTGCCAAAAAAAAAGGGAAACCAAAGGTAGGTTACTTAATCTCATCTTGGAGGTTTCAAATTCATGAATCGTATCGAAGGGAACGGGATACAGAGCTGAAGCGACATTTCCTCACTTCTGCGTCAGTGACTCTGCGATTTCGTGATATCACTTGTTTACAATTTTAGAGACTCCGGAAAATTGTCGGAGCATTTCTGGTTTTCTTCTTAATATTCTTATTGCAGGTGTGACTGGGAAACAGAAACAAGAAAAAAAAAAGGTAATGCAAAGACGGAGGGGCTGGAGGATCGTTTAAACGAGGTCTTTAATCATTTCAGCTTTCTCCGCGACCAAGTTTTTCTCACTCCTTGGAGCAAGTTTCGCAGAGGCTTATTGTGACCTTACCAAGGGCAGTAGCACCACATGGTTGTAAGCCATCACTATTGACTGTTTGACTTCCTTTCAAGTTGGAAACACACTGTTTATTGTTTTCAAGTCCCGAGGCGTGTCCTGAAGCATCTACATCCACTTCTATAGCTTGACTTCCGACAAGCCTAATTTGTTAAGGATCCTCAGTGTATCACGACAAGTTTACCCATTTCAAAGCAGCGTCTGCCCCGTCAGTGAGGCGGATTGTTATTTTTCATCTCTCTGCGCCAAGTTCCAAGGTTGGCTTCGCACCCACTATGACCCTACACATACTTCTTGGCATTATGACCCTCTCTGTTTACTCAAGCTTCCCATTTATTTTAACCTAAGAGTCACAGTTTTGAAAGGCAGCAATTCCTCAGTGTCTATCGAAGGTTCTTTCTTATTTCAAATACCCGAGTTAACTCCCTTCCTGGCAACATACCAGGATTAAGGACTCCAGCTTGAGGGGAGACGTTATCTTTCATAGGAGAAAACAATGCAAATCTTTTGAATTAACCCGTTTGATGCTAAACAAAGCCTAACACGCGGATGTAGACAAGATGGGTACATCTTAAACCGTGCCATTCATCAAGTTATTTGAATATACCCATACTGTCGGTCTTTTTGAAATCTCTTGGACTAATCCCAGGTATTGGGGGGTCGACAAAATTTGAGGAACCGGCTCTTTTGGATGTTGTAAGTGATATACTCAACCTTCGGAAGGGGGATGTAATGGTAGACACTGTTGAAATAGCTCATTTATAGTATATTAGGACAGAAATTTTCCAACTTAGCAACCCACCGTGGCTTTGTGGCATCGAAGAGGATCCTAGCAGCACCGTATATGGAAACCTATAACCAGATACAGAGTGTTGTTTGTGCATTTCATCCCCAAATTGTTTAGCGTTTAACGTGGCAAGAAGCTTGGGGACAGATCGGTAAAAGTTCAGAGAATTATTATTGTAATGATGAAGATCGGGTTGTACCAGAGGAGCAGTTTAGTATACGTTATACCCAAGTGCATTAAGGGCCGTTTTGTCTCCCAGGAGCGGTCTAGTATACATACTGCATGTATCAAGTAATAAAATAGGGGGTAATTAGATGGTCACGCTACTGAGCGCACATCATTTGCCCAGGTTACCACATGCCATATATATGGGTTCATGTAACAATAATGACATGCAAAAATTTTGTAAGTTTTTGGAGAGGGATTTTTTTGGGGTATCTCATTACACAGGAATTCTTATACAATCACCAGAAACATATAGTGCTGCTCCTAATGTCATCCTCCACCACTGAGTTCCTCGCAGACTGCACTGCACTACCAGTGGTTTCCAGCTAAAACCAGAAAATATACCTAAAATAGGATCTCTACCTGAAACTCCTCTGGCTTTCCGGTAGAAGATTGGATTTCGATTCACGCTCTTTACCATCTCATTTCTCAGGATTAGTTTCGGGGAAGCATTTGGCTACTTTGTTAGAGCTCTATCTCGAGCCCACCACTGACTCTGGATAATAGATAAATTCGCGTGTTGTTAGTACTCGTTATATTTGGCCGCTGTGGTCCTTGTTGGAAGACTTGCGGGCTACAAAAGTCCGCAAGCCAGAGTGCGCGCCAGATAGTATCATTTAGGGATGACTCTCAATGAAATCGTCTGAGAAGTAAAATGTCTCTCGGACAGAGGGGGAGTCGAGATAAGCAGCGTTATTTACGTAAATATTACCTAGACTTGTAATCGGGTGTCATACCGGCACGAAAGAAAAGAGTAAAGGGAAAATTATTACTTCGGGGCCATACGGACCATCCGTTCCCGTTCGATGCATTTCCAGTCCACAAATTCGCCGCCCGTCCAATTTCAGTGCACTCTTCTTCTTGTCTCATTATAAACCGGGTATCCCAGCCCTGGATAAATGAATCCTTTAAATAGAGGAACTTTTAATCCCGCACGAACCACACCACTCGCTTTCACTAATGTTACCGAACCAAACACTCCAAGCACCTAACGCTACTTCGGGAGCTCTACCCATGCACCGTGATTGAATTCAAAAACAAAACCGGGGATTATCGTCTCATGACTCCATAGATCACAATGAACTGATCGAAACCTCCAATAAACAGGAAAGCATTCCACCTCCCTTCCAACTCCGTGTGAAGTAAACAACAGCTTCGTGAAGTCACTAACTAGCTGAATGGTTTATTAGAACCAGTTTACTCTGGTCTAATGCTCTTACAGCTCTACCACGTTGGATCCCATAGATTTGGATGAATCGTTATTTGAAAGACGTTTCAAAACAACGCACCACGCCAATAAAAGTTCTGGCCACCTAGCTAAAACACAAATTTCACTTTGATCAGTAGAGTCACCAGGAGTGCGAGCCTTTCAGGAGGGCGAGCCTTTTCTGGAAAGAGTTGAGGTAATTCTGAATAGCAATCTCTTGCAATAAAGCTAAATAGCGCACGTTCTGTGGATTTAATGCTTACAAGGACCTTTTCAACCTCTTAGGGAGCGACCCCGAAGCAAGGAACCCACTTTCTACTACTTCTGGAGTCACCATTATAGCACCAGAAGGCTTTACCGGGTCTCTCCAATCATCTTGTGTAACTAATAATGCGGAAAGTGAAGCGCCTTTAAGCAAATTCCGCTTTACTGCCACAATACCTGTCCCGAGGTGGTTTCCCATAAGCTAAGCTATTTTTTTATCAGAGCTAGCTCATAGCAACCTTTAAACTTCATCTAATATATATCATTTCGGCGACATGTCATCCCACTTGCTGTAGATAAACCTCCCCCGCCTTTTAAAACGGACAGCATTAATATTAACAGCATCGAGACTACGGGTACCGGGGTACAATAAGAGAAATAGAAGGACTAAAAACCACGGAGTAGCAAATGAAGGATACTTACAGCTCCAGACATCTGATTGTATTATTGGGTGGTCTCAGTAGCAAGGTTCTGGATTCCCTTTCAGAGTTTGCTGTGGTCACCCAGACCCACGCGGCTTGCCAAAGAGACACTATGCTTCGAACCTTAGTTACCGCCGTACGGGTAACATACACAGGGAAAAGCCATTCCTGGAATTAGGTCCGGCAAGCGATCGTTTCTTATTATGGCAGCGCATCGATGCATCTTTATTATTCACATATACTCCTTTAAGCCTCCCAGTCTCATTCACCCTCCCCTTCTGGCCCTCACATCTCTCTCATACGGGGCAAAATAAGCGTTCTACCCCTCCGCTAGCTGCGATTCCTGCCCCATCCATACATCGCCTTACAACGAGTAGACCCCTTGTTGTGAGAGATTCGTTTATACAACGCATTTAAGTACGAAACCGAAAGATAATTTATTCCACCCATGGAGGCGATATCCAAAAAATATCATAAGTTGACCTGTGTCGCTTGCCGGAGGAAGAAAGTAAGTTCAGCTAATATTTTCCTCTCCGTTTCTGGTGGGTATGACCAAATTGCTAACATACACAGGGAAAGTGTGACGGACTTTTTCCTGTCTGCTCTACTTGCAAATCGGCCCACAACGAGAAGTGTGTCTATGATAAGCCTGCATCTATCTCGTATGTGAGGTACCTAGAGAAGCAAGTGGGCCACCTCGATGATGAACTAGCCCGTATGCGAGATTCAATGCCCAACGTTCCTTACAAGTTTATATCCTTGAGTGTACGTCACAATGACTTGTTCTCGGCAGCCTCACAACCTAACCTCCGGCAAAGCTTTAAAAATGAAGTCTCAGACCAGCCCGTGCCTATAACGAACAGCTCCCAGGCCAACCAGGTAGAATCAGCGCCTTCGCCTTTGAATATATCATCGGCCCAGTATGAAGAGTTGACCAAGCGTGCAAACATGCATACCGGCGCTGGGCGCCTTCAGGCAATCTCAGAATATGACTTCTTTTTCCTCCTGCCGGCAGCTGCTTTTTCCCCCTCTTTCCAGGGACCGGAAGACTTGATGGCCTTCAGCATCCGGGACAGTCCCTATTTGTACAGTCTAAGGGAGATGCTCGACTCTTTTGCTTCTAAGCCTCCCTCCAATGTTGAATCCTCTACCAACACGAGTTCTCAGAACCTTCAGCTACTTATTGCCGACGTTGTGGCGATCTCGGATGTGGGAGCTGAGAAATCAATACTTTCCGTGATCAGAAACGCCCTTTCTATGTGCACTGTTGGGTTCCATCGGTGGGGCGAGAGCCCCAACCAGTGGTTGGTGCATGGGTTCCTCTCAAAGCTCATATTAGAGAGCAACGAGAGGATTTCTACCCCAAATAGGCTTTCCTGGGCTGTGTACACGAGTGACATGTATATGGCGCTGCTTATGAACCGGGAATCCAATTTTAAGACATTACCGTTTTCGAGGCCAGACGATATTCAATTCAACCTTTTGGACTTGGTGAGAGTAAAAAACCAGCTGGGGACGGTCCATTATTTGGATACACGCTCTCTTGTGTCCTCAATAGCGAAATATGCGATAATCTTAGGCGATATTTTGTCGGGAGTCCATCTCTTTCTCCCCATTAGAAATGAGTTGTTGGGGTCGTCCAACGCAGTTTACGATTCCGTCCCCAAAATTCTCCGGGCAGAGTATTACTTTGAGGGTGACAAGTTGATGCCGGTGCACTTGTATACCTCGTTATATCTGGTACATTGCGGGATAAGGTACATTTTGCTTGCCCAACAGTTTGAGGAAGGGTTCCAGTCCCAGATCGTCCAAGTGTTCGGGGAAGAGGAGTTAGGTGAAAGGTGCACAAAGTTTCGTCACATGCCAGGCTCTCACAAACAGTCCAACGAGAGTTCTGGTAAGACCACCACGTTTCTGTATATCAATGACAGTGAGATGACAGAATTGGTTGAGATGACGGTGCTGATCGAAGCGTCTCTTGCGCTGAGAAGCTCGGTGAGCTCACCTCCCGAGAATGCCAGTGAGACGGTGATCGGAGATACGTGGCTTCTAACGGTCATTCTTGATCCATTGTGTGCTTTGCTCTCTAATGACTGCTTCATAAAGTATGCAGAACAACAATCAAGCCGTACGGCGGATTCGGGTACGGCCAAGGGGACTGTGTTGAGATTCTTTGTCTGCTTGCTTTCGACGTCTCTTGTGCGACTATCAAACGTGAAAACAGCGCACAGCCCAAAACTCCGAGATGTTCTCGCTGGCTTGAAGGCCCGGCCTCTTAAAGTCTTGAATCGCGCGGAATTCAAAAAGTTCAACACGACGATCAAGTCAGCTATTCGCAAAATCCGTAACCTTCCAACCCCTTCGAAGAGAAATTATGGAACAAAGAGCGACAAGCCCCCGCCGAGGCCGTCCACAAAGAAAAACCGAGTGGATAAACCTGAGGCTGAACTGAAACCCCTGAAGACCCCCAAGGTCGAATTGCTTCCACGGTCAACCCAAAGACAGACTCCAGAACTCCAGTCTCATAGTATGGACAAACCAGGCAACTATTTTTCTCAGCTGAAAGAAGCTCTTGCTCAGCTGTCGTATGTTCATGATGCAGCTACAAAGTCTGGGAGGTTTTTTCCGACCACCCTGTTCCTTTCAACGTTTGACAGCTCCCATAATGGCTCAAAACGCGAAGCGCTGACCATCTCTCGCATTTCCCCCCCCTTCATGGATCGAACGCTGATACCACTTTCAGCGTTTGAAGCGCTGTTTCCAGAAAACTGGCAGATGGAATTCCCTCCGGCCACGTCAATGTCGTTCCATATGCCCATGGCGGCCAATTCCAACGAAGTTCCACCCTTCCATCTGACACTGATCCCTGAACCCCCTCTGCTTAACTCTGGATTATATCAAGGGAGCGGGGTGGATATGGCTTCCTCATCTAGTGCGGTAAGCCAGGAGTTCCACATGGAACAGTTCTCGCTGGACTCAAAGCTTTCAAGGGCTGAACTATACATGTCGTATGGTATGAGAACAGTCAATAATCCTAACGGACTGGAGGAGACCACGGAATATCTGGCTACCAATGCAGGCTTCTCTGATGGTTCTATGTTTCACCACGCGTATGACCGAGACATCTGAGCGCATAGTCTATAGGCCGAAGACTTATATAAACCATTCAAGATGTAAGTCTTGCTATTTGAGAGCAAAGGTACAGGCATAAATACTATGGGCTTTGTGTTCCTCGGCAGATGTTTCCTACATGTCAAGACTGTCGTGTAGGCTGAGGGCTAACCGAGTAACATTAGAACCATAAGTAAAAAAAGAGTTGAACATCGGTTCAAGAACAAGAGAGCCCAATGAAAGTGCGAAGCGCTAGGGGATACACCAATTTCGGTTCCGGGAGACATATTATTCAAACCCATAGACCTTGTTAAACAAGGCTTCGTTGAACCACCGTTTAGCCACCAGGGCATGTAGCACGGCGATTTCAGGTTCAAAGTCGGAGGGCTGGAAAATATCGCACAAGGCATCAAAGTTCCAGCCAGTAACGCCCGCCTCTTTCATCTCAACGTTGTATCGTAGCATTAATTCCCACATTCCCAAAAGCGAGCAAAGGATTCTTCCGGTGATCAACTGGCTGTCTACATTTAGAGCTTGTCCTGCCAGAACGATGTCCATTGCACCGAGACCCCCGTTAGCTAATTGGGCTTTCTGGACAACCAAGTTCTCTCTATTCTGATCCTCATCCGAAGAATAAATGGCAGCAATGTTTTCTAACACACACCATAATTCTCTTTGTGAGTTCTTGTTCAACCCAGAAGCCTCTAAGGGTTTGATACTAGGCAATCCTGAGGCTTTTGACTCTAGGAGAATAAGTAAGAGATGCAAGAATCTCAAGTTTTCCTCGAAGCTCTGGTCGTGGAGCGCTTTTATATGGTTGGACAAAACAGAGGAGACTAGCCCTATGGCGGCTCCAAACTCCCGTTTAACTACGAGTATGGATAAAACGCCGTAACAGAGAATGGAAACCTTCTTGACCTCCATGACGCGTTGTTCTTTCAGCGCGCCGATGAGACTTAATCTCACGCGGTACACCATCTTGTAGTACTCATTGACGATACTGAATGCAGTAGCAGTCGTGTATTTCACTCTAAGCAAGGAGAGCTGCAACCCAAAAGGCGTTTCGCTGGCTTCGTTCTTCAGTGGAACTTGCGTCTCTGGCTCTTGAACGCCCAGACGGACCAGCAAATGAATAGCTTCCGCGAGGTTGGTACCCTCTCTGCGTGCTACAAGCTTTGATTCCTGGAAGAGGTGGTTCAATCGTAGCTGCCACAACAGGTAGAGGGTTTTGTGGTCAGACGAGCCTCTGATGGCGTGATAGAGGTCTGTTGCTATCTTATCGCTCTCTGGCTATCCCCGCGTTAGTAGTCTGAGTAAGAGGACACGGAAGTCCGAACGTACAGCGCAAAATAGCGATTCTCGTGATAATTCTTCCACTGGCATGAGTCTTCCAGATATAACACCGGGTAGCTCAGAGCTTTCTTGCAGCTTGGTCTCAAGAGAGTTCTCTCTGCGTTTATTGATAGTGATACTATGAGCCGCACGTTTGCTTACATAATCAGTAGCTACGCAACTCTTTTCTTCATGATAAACGGTGTTGTTAGTAGATGGTAGCTAGTACTAAGGACATGCAATGTAATCATCTTATATAGGCATTATGCATTAAGTAGCCACCTTATACAAGTATTATGAATTTAGGGACTTGGTTTATTGCGCTCAACATCGATGTACGGTTCACCTTTTGTCGGTCTGGCTTTTGATTCGGAGTCTGGTTTTTCACATCACGTGTCCGTCAAAACTCAACCACAACAAAAATGCACTTTGCTACCGCCGTCTCTTCCATCCATCGATCATATAATACCGTACAATGTCCAAGCCTAACGAATCAGGGATCAAGCTCCCGCCTATTTCCTTTTTATCCTCATTAAACAACCCGCAGCCTTCGACGTCGCCCCCACGGCCTGTCGCAGCGTCGCCACAAGGCTACGTCGCCGGCCCGCGTTACAGCTTTGGGGCCAACACCGAGGATCATGTGTTGAAGAGACCCAAAATCGAGCTATCCACTGGCATCAGCCTTCCCAGACCGATTTTGGATATTGACAGACGAAAGCAAAACGAGGACGAGCCGTACCCGGCCGGCACCTTTGGCCAGGCTTTGCCCTCAGTAAACGCTCTCCCGCACCTCTCACAGCCATTCGCTGAATCCAGCGCGGCGCAGACGCTTTTAAATCCGCTCAATTCGCCGCCTAAGCCTGATGTGGACGACACCATCGTGAACAAGTCACTTGTGGAGGACACCATCGTCAGCAAATCGCTTGTGGAGGACACCATCCTCGCAAACAAGTCTACAAACGACGATACCCAAATTGCGGACCAGACGATTCTTCCAGCCCACTCAGAGCGCCAGGACATACTTGATAGGGCCAGCTCCCCCCCTGCGACCAAGGAGGATATCTTGAACGGAGATGCACGGAGTGGAAAAGGGTTTGTGCGGGCAGCCACCACGTATGACAACTCGGATATCCTCACATTTATCCAGAAGTTCCCCCGCAGACATCTCGGGGCGATTATGTACACCTCAAAACCGACGCCGGAATCGCTGCCGTTGCATTTGAATTTGACTCCAGAGGACTTGTTCCGCATGCGCAAGCGGCAGAAGGCGTACAGACAGAAAGAGAGCGGGACAGTGCGGGTGATTCCGCTTTTGCCTGTGTTGTCCAACTATCTCAACTGTCTCATCGACATCAAGATCCCGTACCACTACTTGTTGCAGAAGGAGGAGATCTGGGACCGGCGCCAGGTGTGGGGGACCCAGATCTATACCGATGACAGCGACGTGTTGAACATCTTAAAGCACATGGGCGTGTTTGGTTCCTTCAATCCGTATGTAGACCGGATTGCGCGTGCGGAGGAGACGGAGGAAGCGACTTGCAACGATTTTCTCCGCTTGGATGTCCTGGGTGCGGTCAGGAAGTCGATCCAGTACAATCTCAACTTGAAGAAGGCTCTCGTGAAAAGCGGGCACGTGGCAGGCGACTCTATCAATAACAACCACGTCATCGGCGACTTGACTGTGACGCTTCTCGTGCTTCCTCCGTTGACGGCATATCATGGGAGGTTCCAGAACGGGATCAACTCGCGGCTGTGGACCGAGTCGCCTCATAACGGGATGAGTATTGCGGTTTACGGTATCAGCTTTGAGAATCTTAACGAGTCGGCGGCGGATAGTCATTATTACCACAAGCAGGGTATGAAGGAGGTGGAGGAGGTGAAGGTGGCGGGAGTGAGAACAAGGGCGGGTGCGTAGTATGTGAAGGCAAGCAAAGGCAGATGAAAGCAGGCAGAGACAAGGAAAGACAGGTGGAGGCAAGCGATTGAGGTGCAAGTTAAGCCGGGTGTGATTCAGCAGCTCTCAAGACTAAAAGAGTGGGTAGCACGAGCCAAGGCCGCGATAGTCGAGACACTCGAGGAATGGGCTGAATAAACATAGAACGCCAATGTCAGAAAAGGATGCTCTTGGATACAGCGTATTCATGTTAAACTTTACGGTATATCGTACTGCTTTTGTGGTAAATACCATGTTTTAGCACTGGTGAAATACCTGGGAATTATATGTGCAATTCAGTAATTCTGCTTAGCAAACCTGTGAGATTAATGGGATGGAGATTCCGGTTGTGTAGGCTGAGCGCTTGATAATATATTTTTAAATTGGACTAGAAGTCGCAAATATCCATAATATAGTTTCGAGACACATGTGAGATGTAATTTTTGTACCCGGGAGTTCATCGATATGCACCGGTGAATAGCTTTTATACCATGGGCATTGAGAGACCGTTGGGTACCACTATAATCTATTATCTATCGTTATATCCCTCAATTATACATCATTATACCTCTCAATCATACATTATTTCTCTCAATAATGTATTATTATAGTCCTCCATCATGTATCATTAGTCCTTTATTGTATATGATTTGTAGAGATATCAAAAAGGCCTTATAACCATTAACAACTCGGATACCTTAGTGGGTTGCTAAAAAAACATCAATCTTGAAAGTGTTCTTGAATTTCCAACCTCAATGTGTCCTAGAATATTCCATTTTCGAAATGTATAGTTATGACAGGCATCTAGAATGTTTCGTCGAAAGTACGAGTCCAAAATAAACGGAGGAAAATTCGTTGTGCCATATGAGCAGTGCAAGTTTATAACAGCAAAAAAACAAGTCGGATTCTAGATCAAATGTTTCAGAACGACAAGCTACTAAGGAAAAAAAGGATGTATAAAGGTATCTCACCTAATCGTACGAACCTTAAAGCTTCGACTGAAAGATCGCGCTGGGTTTTATAGTATTCTGTATCATTCGCCGTGAACAGGATTTCTTCTCGATTAGCTACGGAAAGCTGCTGTTTAAGTGGTCCGACGAAGGGCGAACTCAGATCTCGTTACCAGGCCCCCACCACGAAAGCAGTACTAAACGTTTTACGATACGCTCTAGTCGGCTTAGAACTCATACCCCGAGTTCAGATAAGCTAGTGTCAACTACGATAGCTATCCATACTCACCAGATTTCGATAACACCTACAATTTAGATCGTTTTATCATGTAGCATGAAACTGTATTTATTTTTAACGTGAAAGGAGAAGATAAGCCGGAGCGCAAGCGCTAGTCTACGCTCTAATCCAAAGAGGAGGCACCGGTAATAATATCGACCAATTCGTTGGTAATGACGGCCTGTCTGGTACGGTTGTACAAGATCCCCAACTTGTTGATGATTTCGGAAGCGTTCTTGGACGCGTTGTCCATGGCGTTTCTTCTGGCGGAAATCTCGGCGGCGTGGCCTTCAGCCATAGCGGCGTAGATAGCGTTGGCCAACGAGAATTCGGAAAGGGTCTCTGGGGTCTTGGCATCAATATCTAAGTCGTAGGAAGACAAGAGTGGAGAGGCTTCAATGGCGGAAGCAGAGAAGATTGGGACGATCTCTGGGGTGAAAGAGACACCGGAGACAAACTTGTTGTAGATGATCTCAACCTGGTCGTACTCTTCGCCCAAGGTCTTGATAGCGTCGGCAATAGCGGCAGCCTCAGAGAAGGTTGGGGTGTCCTTACCGACACCGTTGACGGCGAGGACCAAACTATCGGCATGGGTTCTCATAATCTGCTGCTTGATCTTGTCACCGATGGCAACAACGCTAACGGTACCAGGCAAGCTGTTGATTCTGTTTCTGGTGGCCTTGGCGACTTGGGAGTGGATGGAACCACACAACCCCTTGTCGGAGGTGATAGAGACAATCAAACTCTTGGTTGGTTCAGTGGTGGCGGCCGTCTCGGCGTGCTTGTAGACGGCGGTGTCAGCACCCTGGTAGACTCTACCGGAGTTCATGGCGATCTGGGCCTTGTTCAACTTGGTGGAGGCAACAATCTTCATGGTCTTGGTGATCTTCTCAATGTTCTTAATAGACTTAAGACGCATTTCGATTTCACGCAAAGTGGCGTAGTTTCTGAGAGAGAGTTAGTAGCATTCAAAAGGATGTAGTCGTGAAGAGTAGTGCCATGGATGGTGGAGTACATAAGGATGGTATGGAAATGGCAGAAGGATACTAGCAAAAGGATACCAGTGATAATAGGATACCCCTAGGATTGAAGTATAGTTGATAGGATACTCCCAGGATTGAAATATAGTTGATAGGATACTCCCAGGAAAGAAGTATGGTTGATAGAATCTTTCAATTATGAATGCTGCTATTTCCACCAAGGCAGGAATTGGAGAGCTAGAAGTCTGTTCCAACAGCTATACCTTCTTTGGGCCATCCAATATTGTTCCATCCAATGTTTTTCCATTCAATGTTGTTCCATTCAATGTTCCATCGTCAGACCAATTTAGAGACAAATCTTCACGACACAATTTTCAGGACATACCTAGCTTGGGCACCGGCGGCACCACGAACAGCATTAGTACCTAAACGAAACATCTTGGACTGATTTATTTAGGTTGAGAGCAAGTCAAATAGTCTATGGGCGACACAGTGTGGTGTTTTGTACGGGGCAATTTACGTGTTGGGTGCGCGCTCTACGATTCGGTAGCGTTCCTAACAAAAAAGTTCGAGACACACCGGTGAAGTCGGACAAAATTTCATTGGCCCAACCGCCGGGTAGGGGGGATTCAAGGGACGGGGATTACTCGTACACGTGTAACACCCAGACCAGCACGTGTTTGCGCACGTGCCATGTCGGCGCCTCTCGATAAGGTTGCTCAGTGCATGGGATGAAAGCAATACGAGTTCGAGGTGTCATTCAGCACCCTCTTATTTCCAGCTATTCAGGAACGTTCTATCACTTATCCCTGGCTGCTACTAAAACAGTCATGTCACTATTATCATCTTCTAAGAAAAACGTCAAGTACAACGTGTCGTTGTCGTTCCAGGAGCTTACCAACGTTCCCCAGCCGGTGGGGTCCTGTGTGATCAAGTACTTTGCCTCCTCCAGCGCCACAAACGACCTCAAGGCCCTCAAAAACAAGCCGACTCCGCCCTGTAAGATCCTGAACTTCAAATGCCGCATCAACTATGAGACAAAGTTCCGTTCCACGTTGGCGATCAACGCCAAGTCAGGCAAGCTCGCCAAGGAAAAGAAGTTGGTGTTGCTCATGTACTACTCGACTACCGAGGGAGATGCTACTGTGCAGGCTCTTGGACGTCTGAAGTTGGAGTACATGGGCCGTGTGGAAATTAACTTGTCTGAGTTCCTTCATGATCACGCCAACCAGGCAGAGACCCACCGTTACTTGCTCCAGGACGCCAAGGTGAACTCCATTTTGACCTTGAAGCTCGGGCTCACACCTGTAGACGTCTCTAACTCATTAATTGGGCTGTCTCCTAGCAGAACTTCTACTAGCAACTCCAGCTTCGTCTCTACCAACACTGCTAGCGATAATGACAGTGCTCTGGGGTTGCACTCATCCTCTTCCGGATTGCTTCCTGATAAGCGGACCCTCCGAACTTCCCAGTCGTATGGCTCGGTTCCACCGTCCCCGCTCCTGGAGGTTACCTCAGATTCAGGCTCGGCCTCGCGCCAGCTGACTTCTAAACCCCACGCGTTGAAACACGCGCTTAGCCAATCGTCGTCCCCCACCGCTTCCTCGATCAACGAGTCGGACAGCAGAGCGTCATTGGACTCGGCCCGGAAGGGGATCTTCATTGCAAGCGCTAAGCCGCTGATCCACCATAAGACTCAGTCTCCAAACGCTGACGTGGTGAAGCCGCTCATCATCGACCCTATCATCAATAAATTCTACAACAAGATATGCGATATCTCGTGGGACCAGCGACAGGGCGAGTTCTCGCCACAGGAGTGTGTGGATGACATCTTCAACGGAGGCACCGGCTGGGCCAAGAATGAAGATGGCGTTTATTTGATCGACCAAAGGCAGGCCGCATCTGATTACGCAAACGAGTTAGAAAATGAAGACCACCTCCCATGGCTCGTAGGGTCGACGACCGGCGATGATACCAAGGAGTTTGCGGGTGGCTACAAGTACAGGGATAACGGTAAAACGGGTTTGGTATACGAAGAGGGGGTCAGACTGGACATGAGGAGCTGGACTATCAATTCTGTGTCTTGAGGAATAGAAATGGGTATCCAAAGTATGGTAAAGATTAAAACGACACGTTTGGTATAATGCCAAGGGACGTTTTCCGCTTTGAGCCGCCCAAGCGTTAGAAAGCCCTACAGGCTGTATATAAAGTATGGTTTCGGCATTGTCCTTCCAGCTTCCTCAGATGACTGAGGCCCCCAGTTTTGATTGATTATATGCATCGTGTGTGACTGCAAATATATTTTCTAAACCACACCTCTTGGACGAGTATTTTGGCGTACTGTTTAATAAATGAAAAAGAGCCATAATGGGGCTTTGCTCGTCTATGAATCGTAAACCTACTTTTCTTAATCTGGTAATCATAAGCGCCATCCCGAGTCAAAATTTATCCTGGTGACACTAGTGTTAGGCTGCCTATCGACAATAACCATCAGCGACGCAAAGATTTGAGAGATGGCGCAAGGGTATGATGCTTATTACCTGCAATGATGTGTTCCCTGTAATGAAGTGTTCCCTGTAATGAATTGTCCCCCGTAATAATTTATCTCCTTCCATTTAATAGGTTTCCATGAATTATATAACTAGTGATTTCCCCTTTCCCGTCAAGGCAAGACTGAAGAATCTTATGCATTTTCTCAACACTGGAGGATATCTTCCGCACCTCTACGTTTGCCTCTCACACCACGCCTCATGCGAATAGAGCTAAAATCCCATTAAATATTTCTGTAATTCCAACCTGACAAAGTATCTGACCGCTATTTGGCACTGCCTCGTTGCCCCACCCATGTTTTCCGTCTTCCGGCAATAACCGTCAGGGTTTACCCACGGTGCTTCAAAGCCCAGCTCTGAGTCATAGTGCATGCATCGGGGATGGCCTGCATGGGGCTGCCTACCAGAGGCTTACTGATAAAACAGAGTATTTATAGTCAACTCTTTCCACTTTTCCAAACTTGTAGTTTTCTATCCTGGTTCACCTTCCTTTACCATGACATCCGCAAAATTCTCCCGCAGTCTCACCAGCACCGAACACTTCTTCAGGACTCGTTCCATCACCCAGTTCTACTCGAACTTCCAGATGGCCACCACGTACTCCCAGCCAGTGAACGACCTCTCTCTTCTCTACAGAGCTTTGAGAAAAACCTTGATTGACTACCCCATCTTGCTCACCAATGTCTTTGATAGAGATGGAGCTGATGGAGCGTATAGTATCTTCAAGGTTATCGAGCAACCTCTCAAGTTTTCAGACGTTGTTTTCGTCAGACCTGGCGCCTCGGAGGAACAGTCGCCCGACAAGGAGCTTAGAGCTATTGCAGGAGACATCCCAAGGGTCTCTGAAAAGTTCATGAAAGAGATTTACAAAACACGGTTCACCTTGAACCTCGAGGACCAAATTTTGCTCCAGGTACATGTGGTGGATCAATTCACCCTTTGTTTTGTCTTCGAGCACATTTATGCGGATGGATTACCGGGGGTGTTCTTTAATGAGTTATTTATTGAAAACTTGGCTTACATAAGTGACTCCAAGAATGACGAGGACTATGCACAAAAATACGGGTATTTGGGGGGCTGCGACAGAGATATCCACTCGGACGCTATTCTCTTCGACTTTAAGACAGATCAGGGCTTAATTGTCAATTCGTTGCCGCCACCGATCGATAACTACCTTCCACCCCTCCACCTCGATTATGCGAATGGCGACCCAAACTTTTTTGACAAGCAGGTTCCACTTTCTGTGTCTAGTGACCGGTTGAAGAAATGGCCAGGCCTCTTTCCCAAAGCGGGGAACTTTTCGTTGGTTCAGAAATTGGTCAATATAACTACCGAAGACACCGATAGAATCGTGGCAAACTGCCGTTCTCACCAAGTGTCCTTGACCTCCTTCTTGAAAGTTGTGCACAGCTTAACGTTGTACCCTCTCTTCGGAGATGAGTACTACACCACCCAAAGAGTGGCCGTCAACTTGAGAAGGCATCTTTATAAGCTCAAGGCGGATGACCTTCCACTGGACGACGAGATTTTGCCGTATTTGAACGACCCAAAGTTAAAGTTCTGGGGGTGCTGTGCTCACGCAGGGCTTCCCGAGCCAATGGCTCCGATTAAGAGCTTCTCCTGGGAAATTGTTCAGAAAATCCACGGCCACTTGCAGGAGACCATTGTCAATAACAAGTTGAACCACACGTTTACCGATTTCAAGGAACACAAGGACGCGGGAAGGGATGTTGAGTTTTTCACACGCGGCTTAAAGAAGCCAAGACCTGATGCTGTTAAGATTTCCAACTTAGGGCTTGTCAAAACTCCAGTATACGAGGTGGGACCTGAAGCCACCCCCTGGACAATCGAAGATGTCGTCTTCACCCAAGATACGGGTGTGTTAGGCGCCGATTTTGTTCTCAGTATGTTATCCACGAGGAAGGGTGGGTTGAACATTGTTGAAACGTATATTGATCACTACGAACCGGACGAGGAGAGCGCTGCAAAGTACAAGCATTTGACCGGGGATAACTTGGACTGGATCTCGGTTAACTTCAGGAAAAACATTCTTGAGTTTGGTCTAGCCTAAGCTTAGTCGCTTTTCCCGGGAATTACATAAAATCTAGTTGATAGAAACTGCTTACAGACTACCTGGATTGCTGAATACCTAAGCTAGCGTTAAATTTGCCTTATAGTTCAGACTAGATGTAGTGACGATATGCAGACTACTTTACGGGAGTGTCTCTACTAAGAGTCTGGTTCATGTCACGGGTAGAATTGGATTCCATTTAGTCTAATCCTGAGAAAACGCTGATAGTGGAGAGGAGCTGGAGATGGCGGATAATGAACAGCCCCCCTTAGTGATTATTTTAGAAAATTTCTCTCTTTGCTTATGGCTACCTCATCGAAACTGGTCTGGGTCGGAGATTGTCGAAGTTGTGTTAGTGAGAGATTACGCTTGTATATCTTTCCTAGTTGTATTTATAGAAGTTTGAGAGAAAAATGGTTTGTTCCTGGTGTAAAAAGGGTATGAAATTTTGAATTTTCAGAAGGAAGGCTAGCGTTTTTTCGTCTATGTCTTTTGGACTCAGAGATTGTTCACATCGTTGTTTACTCATCATTAAGTTCAGTCTCATACCTCGCAGCGGAGTCGAACTCGTAACCTATTCTATTATGCAGACTTGCAGAAGAGACCGGGTTACCAATTCGGCCACAGAGCGTGTCGATAGATTACAAATAGGTGGCTAACGCATACAATCTTCTAAAGCTGATTAAATGCAGGCTTGAACTTCACCGATCCTTATAAGCTGGGACATAAACCCAGCTGCAGTTGAATTTTACACGGATTATAGTGAACCAAGACTCGTTAATGTTTATTGACCTTTAATTTCCAAGAGACTTCAAACCTCTATCACGTCCTGAAAAAGTTAGACGAAGCGGTTGCTACTGCATTTGTGTGATGGAAAATAAAGGCAGGTATGGTATTACATGCATATCGGTTCGCCTGTGAGCATTTGTTCTTGGTTTTGGCATTGGGGTCGTGTGATAGTACCCAAATTTCGATCAGGTAAAAGCTGGTATAGCCCTCCTGAAACGAAAAGTTTTTCGTCTTGATGCGCCATGATTTTATGCCAACAGCTGACCTCTTTGTCTTCCATCAAATCCCTAATGAAGGTGATCTATGTTTTACGCATTTTTACGTGCAATATACAACTGGAGGTATGATAGTGTACCGATAGGGCCTGATCTGGGACTAAATTCTTATGTGACGGGACATTGAACAGGGTACACGCTTTATGCATCGATGGCTTGTAAGGTGTGCCTTGTGAAATAGTGACACTATCGTTTTGTCGATAACAGCTTTTGTAGGGTTGTACCCTAGCTCAGTAATCAATACCCATTGGGCTATACTGCTTTAATGATAACCTAAGTTCTCCTCGAATGAAACTTCACCTCTGGAAAACTTGCATACGCATTCCTTGCAGCACTATAAATTTGCCATCCATCCCTTTCACTTCCTCCCATTGATCTTGCGAGTTGGAACCGGTTTAATATCAATAAAATATGGACCTAAGATTATCAGATACAGACTAGTTGTTTAGAAACTACCACCCACCCGCCCCCTCGTTCTTGTCAAAGGATTACCTGTCTTTGTCTGGCAAGATGGTGATTGTCACTAGTGGTAACTCTAGTGTAGACTTAGAAGCTGTCAAGCTCTTGGGTGTAACCGGAGCTAAAATATACATCTTTTTTAGAAACGAAGCCAGCACCCTTCAGGCGATCGAGGACATCAAAAAGACTATCAAGAATGCGGATATGCACTTTGTGAAGGTTGATTTGAGCGACTTGATCGCTATAAAGCCTGCCTCCGAGGAGTTATTGGCACGGGAATCCAGGTTGGACCTTGCGATCCACAACGCAGGTGTAATGGCCCCGCCAAAAGGCTCCACTTCCGCTCAAGGTTGCGAGTTGCAGTTAGGGACCAATACATATGCCGTTCACATATATAGGTATATATGAGTTCGATGATTTTCTTTGCAGATACCTTGCTTTATACAGCAAAGTGCATATTGTTTTAACGAGATACCCCGAGAGTTGTTACTACTCAATATCCTGTCAGCCTCAAATTAAGATCAAATTTATTGCACAAATCTGTATTAGAGGCTTTAATCAAACCTAACAATGGTTCAAGCACAGCAATCAACAGCAGAGAATATCACCAGGAACGCTCACACGCACGTAGACCGGTCTGTTGATACAGTAATAATTTTACAAAGACAATACCTGGTATGTAAAATAGGTAACAGTAGATATAATTAGTCAAGGAATGCATTTCATTGGTATGATATATACAAACCGAAGAGGAACTGAGGTTCTATTATGGCCAAATGACGATGTTGTAAAACCAGCCTGAGAAAAAGCATACAGAAATGTCATACGATAATCCCCGCCAACTCCATCGTAACACACATAAGGTGGTCCCCCACCCTGGGCCATATCACTAACTATGACCCTTACAGTTTTTTTACGTATATTGCCAGTGAAAACGTAGCTAGGGGATACAACTATGCCCTGGATTTACTACACAGCATGACTTTACAAATGCTAATACTAGCTTTACGAGCGGGAGTGCATGTATATGCACCCTGTCGTATAATGGCTTCCAAATGCCATAATTTGTTTAACGGTGATTTCAGCGTTAATGTTTTCACCACACATCCAGTGGAATCGTATAACAAGAACTCTGTAACAGTTAATGCTTTTACAGAGTATTAATAACCTATAGCTAAACTTATAGACGTATGACGACCCGACGGAGAACCAACCATCGTCGCGTGAATCCAAACTACGGCTCCCAGTCACATCAGAATAGGAGTATGTACAGGAAATGTCACAACACCAATCATGTTGCACTCCTTTTCTAGTGACCGGAGAATTTAGGCAAACAAATGTCCTCCTATGCAGCGTAACTGACAGCTCGCACTGAGGGACATTGACGGAAGACCTGCAGTAGGGATAACACACCTGCACAGGCCGCAGATCCAGCGATTAACACCAGTCTGAACCGGTTATCCGCGGCAACCTTTTAGGGCCTTGAACCGCCCTTGTTTACGGGTTGGTACTTCTGCATTTCCCAAGACATCACACGACCTATATGGTGCCCCTACGCTTAGTCTTGACGTGTACTGCATATAAAGCACCTAACGCAAGGGCGACGTCCGTCCTCTTACCCGATCTGGAGATAACTAAAATGAGAGGGGTGGCCGTTGTTCAAGCAACTACCAATGCTTACCATATGGACGACTTGCGACGTCCCTGAATCTTCGCTCAGCCTTTTTTTCCTAGATCTATATTCGATTGGCCTAGGACTACTCTGTATAACCTCCGAGTTTTACGGGGCTGCTCGCGCGTACTATGACTTTGATTCGACCACTCTTACTCTATAGGGAGCCTCGTCTTGGGGATACATGGGCTAACACCTAGATCCACCAGTCTGCTGAAGTGTCAGCTCGTTATACCGTGGTACGCGTAGCCATAGGCGGTAACCGTTCCTGCTTAACTATAAGTACACGGAAAAAGCCTTCACATTTAAAGCCCATGGTATACTTCCGCGACACCCTACGCGTGTCATAAACACATGAGTTTTTGCTAAACGTGCTTTCCGTAGCTCGTGGTCTAAGTGCTATAGTTCTCTTGTAAACTTTGCTGGGATTAGAGAGCAACCAGAAATGCATGACTCACCAATTCTGATTGTTATCTATCCCAGGGGTAGCCCTACCGCAGGGTCGAAACCATTATATGCCTGAAACTAGGTTTCCAAGTGGACCATTTCAGGAGCCTTTTACTCTGAGCACTAATGAAAGCAATGGCTATCGTTGGTGTTAATGCAGTATTAGCTCGCTCCACACATTTAAGCGCACGTACAGTTCTGGTATACCCTATGGGCTGGCTAGTTTAGAAACCACTTAAACCCACAGGGTTATGGTTGCAGCTATAGGGGTTTAGCGCAGTCTTATTTCAGGGTCGGCATACTCGCAAATCCCACCGTTTCCATCCAGTGATACAGCCAAGGATGTGATACTTCTACACACGTCTCGGTTAGACTGGCGTTTCTCTTCCTCCATGCGACGAAGGAGGGCAGTACGAGGCGTCCGCGTAGGTTATGCGAAGCCAGTGCCTGACACTCTGTATGAATGGCGCCAAAAAAAAACAACAACCCCTTATCTAAGTACCGTTTACAGCCTGACCGCTCGGTAAATTAGTTCCTTTAGTGTATCTAAGTTGCAAGGCATACGGGTGCTAGTGAAAAGCTAGAGGGGCAGCTTGCTGCACCGAACATGCGCCATGCAGCGGGCGGCCTTCCCGACGCAATAAAATGCACGCCTGCATACTAAAAGAAATTATGTCTCGCCGGGGTAGGGACTCTGAAATATAAAACAAGCACGGTACAGGGTGGATTGTCCCTAGGGCTCTAGAGTCACAGTAACCTCCGTTGCTGAGACAATGAACGAGGGAGCGTGCCGAACAAACGGAGTTCTACTTTATGTTTAAGCTGAGAAGGATGTTCGTATTCAGAACCGAGAAGACGTACATAGGACTAGAGGCGCGATAACAAGGGACAATTTACCGTATTGGGGAAGCCATTGTCCGCAGTAGTCGTCAAAGCAAGAAAATTCCACCGCGTAAAGGGCAGTAACAGCTGATCGGTCGATAATAGCCAGTCCTGTAAGAGACTAGAAACCGCAGTTTCCCAAAAAACAGAGCCCCAACAAACTGTAACAAAGGGGCTAAACTACCTAGAGCACGCGGTGGAGGGGGCGCTCGCATACTGAACTGACCCAGCTTCACTGGCTTAAAAGATTAGGTGACTATATAGGAGCTATATCTTACACTAACGTGAAGGGCAAATCATCCGAGCTTTAAGCCTAGCGTCGGTCTGAGGTTGGTGGTCCATAGCTATTATCGCCACGTTTATCTCGTTTGAGAGTTGACAACGGACTACAGCCACTTTACAGGGTGTTTCACCCAAACGTGAAAGTTGCATCGCAGGGATATTAGTAACTTCCTTTGGCTACGCGTGGAAAGAAGATCTTAGTGGCTTACTAGGCGCTCGTGTACCAGTATGGTTGCTACAAGGCCCACATAAGAGCGTATCTTTATTGTCACTCTGTTTAGCAGTTCTGTTGGTGGATCTGCCATCAAAAGCTCTGCCAAGCATCAAAATTGACCGAAGGAGATCCAATATATCACGATCCTACTAGCAAAAGGTATTGTTTCCAATGCCCCATAGAACCTGGCACTATAGAGATTCTTTAAGGCATATGCCGCAAGACGTAAGCAGCCGCGTAGAGTAGGCGATCTCATGCCACTTTATCTATATGGGGGAATCTTTATAAAATGTACGCGTAGATCGCATGAATAAAAATTTTACCAGCGCTCCATTGAAGGCGATTCACATCAGTGTCAAACCAGAAGCTCAAGAAAATACGGGCTTGGTACCGACTCCTGCCTAATGTAGCGGCGTGGGGGATTTTTTTTTAGAAGCCGCTTCAACCTTTAGACGGCTGGGGTTGCATACGCAGCGTGGGAGCTGTAAGCCATAAGTCTAAATAGTGGTGATGGGCCCTATTAGTGATTCAGGGAACTGTAGGAAAGACCGTGCTTACTAGCGTCGGCACTGGTATCGGAAATGTGACGGGACAGCACTAACAGGGTGAGCGGAACACACACATCGGGAAGCATTTCTGACGAGATGGAGTAGCCAATAAACTTTAATGGAGTAGAGTGTACTGAGAAGGGCATACCTATAGAGCAGCCAAGCACCGCGTGGTATATATCGGGGAGCAACCATATCGAATATTCAAGGCGCAGACACCAATAGGGGATCTAATTTTCAAGTTTCCCGTTCCCAGGCGGCAAAGTGTCAATGTAGTAGCAAATCCACCACTTCAACTTGGGTTGAAACGTGGCACCAAGAGCGCCAGATGCGATGTGATGGCAGACGAGTGCTACCCCAGTTACAGCTCGGTCTACCGCCCCTGATTTCCAGGAGCGGCTAGGTTGTCAACACGGTTCTCTATAAGGAGTTGTGCGTGTTGCTCCATCGACAAAGAGTATGTACGTTTACGCGTGCCTGCCTAACCCATGTCGTAGGGCAATGGCACTGCAGAGGCGCTGCAGCAGCCGCAAGTGTGTCTGGTTGAGGCGCCTTTACGTCTCAGAGGTTTAGCCTGCATTTCTTTTTATGTATGGAATAGGCATGATAGTGCGTCAACTCGCTGGACGTCTAATCTTCAGATGCTAGGTCCCCGTATACCTGGGTAGCGAGATATGTGCGTCGTCCTCTAGCTAGGTCTTTGTTCAGCATGCGGAACAGACATGCGGGCGGGCAAGGCGAGGGTCGAGGAACCCACGCCGCTAGGGGGTTCACGCATCGTCTGTGTCTCTCAGTTGTGTTAACGAGCACTCGGAAAATAACTGTTGGCCCGCTCTGGGACTCAGCACGGGTCTGTGCTTTACTCTAGTACATAACCGAAAGGATCGGCGTGTCTAGTGGAAGGCTAAAAGGCAGGCGCATAGTGTTTGCAGAGGACCAGTTGAAGACCAACAGGATCTCCAGCACCATTTCCACTCCCAAACTTTCCAGTCTCAAATAAATACGCTCCCTTCCCCGTTCTCACCTGTCCTTCTTCATTTATTACCGCATCCGTTCACTATCTCTATTCATTCCCATTTGCCATCTGTTCTTCATCATCAGTTCATCCTTTGCGCTGCTCCTTTTTCATTTGTTCATCTTTTTGCGCTGCTCCTTTTTCACCCGTAATTCCACTCGCAATCGGTTCATTTGCCACTACCTACTCATTTTCTGCATTCCTAGACATAAACCATGATGAACGCATCCCCCCGTTTCCTGTTCAAGCCTCCAAAGATGGGCACCAACCGGAAACCAGTCTGCGCCGCGCCGCCTGCGCCTGCGCCACCCTCTGCATATGCGTCCACACATGAGTGCACAGCGAAGCTGTACCCACGGGCGTTGAACTACCTGGAGATCCTCAATCACAAGAAACAGACGGATGAGTATGCCTCTGAAACTCTACAATACAACTATGAGATGTCGCAGAAGTTTCGGGCAAACTTCGAGCTCTTGACGCAGCAGCCCGAGATCTCGCTCGGCTTCCGCATCAAGTTGATTGAGTTCTTGTTCAAGATCGCGATGAAGTTGAAGATCACACCGTTTGTGACGTTCAAGGCTGTCAAGTTGTTTGACCGTTATTGCTCGAAGCGCATTGTGCTCGGCGACCAGTCCCAGCTCGTCGTCTGCACGTGCTTGTGGCTTGCGGCTAAGATCACCGGGGGCTACCACCAGTCCTCCTACGCTCCACACTCCAACATCCTCCTCAAAAACAAGCCTGAGCTTCCCACGCGGGACCTGAACTTTCGCTTGCCAAAGTTGATCGAATTTGTCAAGTTGTGCGGCAAGTCATGCAACTACGATGAGGGCATGTTCGTGCAGATGGAGTTGCATATCCTCCAGACGTTGAACTGGGAGCTCCACGACCCTAACGTGGATGAGTTTTTGTTGACCATCACCGACAACCAGCACTGTCTCGTAGACGACAACCAGTACGAGGTTTACAAAATCAAACAGTTCATGAGCTATGTTGCGTTGTTTGTGCCCGAGATGATTGATGTTTCGTGCTACCACACCGCCTTGGTCATCAAGGAGTTGATAAACGAGTTACTCGAGTTGAACTCTTATGACTTGTGCTACCAAAACACCGCTTTTAATGTCACCGACTTGGTGAGGCTCGGCACTAGCGCTGATTACAGCCTGGATTCACCACTGTCGCCCTCTGGCGCTCCCTCCATCATCTCTTCGGCCTCTTCCTACGCGCGCTCCATGTCTGCTGCCTCATCGTCCTCCGCTTCGTCCTACTCGGGCGACGACGACGACTTCTTCTTTGAGACAGACTACTCCTACCTGGCGGTATCGCCGCCATCGCGGTTCTCTAGCCCGTTCCCCAGGACCAAGCCGCGCTTATGCGTAACCACGGAGGAGGAGCCATTGAAGCACCGCCTTTCGTTTGAGGCGAAGCAGCGACTCAAGAAGGCGCTCGTCACTGGCGTCTTGGAGCACTTTGAGTTCTTCTACATGGCCAATGTCTTTACATCGCAGTTAAAGGGCATTAAGAAGGTTGTTCAGAAGTGCTACGAGCTCAAGTTGTTGCAGGATCAGACGCTGCTGAGCCAGAAGACTGTTAGGTCGCCCCACTACCTCCACTCTCCCGCCACCTTTGACTCTCCCATGGTCGGTGCCCTGCGCCGATTCTCCCAGAACTACTGCCACAGTCCCTACATGGGCAGTGGCCCTCCTTTGCCCGGTTTCAGGCATGCCGTCGCGCCCTACACCCCTGTAACTTCCGCCAACAGCCCCATCACTCCAGAGTCGTCCATGCCCCCGCCAAATCTCCAGCAGAAGCAGTCCTACCAGCAGAAGCAGTACTCTCAGAAAATAGCCAACACATAGCCGATTTGCATGTTGCGCTTTTCACCTCATCCCAGTCATTTCTTATACCCCTCATTCTTTTCGCACAACTTTCTCTTCACTTCACTATCTTTTAGTTAAAACTCTGTGAGTTTTCATTTAGCATCTCCTACGGAGCCATCGTGTTTACCAATAACTTCACCCATAGGGATTTGAAAAAAATCTGCCGTAGAGATAGTCGGCCATGGGCATTCACAAAGTTGCCGTTATTTGGGCTGTAGTAGACGAGTTTGCTCAGGAGCGGCAATCAAAAGGAACCTTCCGCCATGATAATCAGTCTTGGATGAGCTCGGATGTAGAAGTTATATGACACGACAAGGTGCAGATCTTGCTGCTTACAGCACCTGGCTAATCCATGACTGCATTTTCGTGTGTGCTAGGATCACCGAAAAGCATGGTTTGTATGAATGGAACAGAGCCTAACGAGCTCTTTGTATTTTATCCTAGACAGGCATTATACTACAGAGTCTATCACAAGAATAGAAACCGAATGCCGCCCCGAGCCAAAGATCTACATATCCGAGACCCTCAATCCATACACGGGAAATCCTTCTTAAACTGGCTATTCTACATATCCAGACATGGCTCTCGTATTTCATAAAATACCACATGGTAGGCCAGCAACGTGAATTAGCACCAAAAATATCTGTGCCGTACATTAAATACCGAGCCATGTGAGGATGAAATTAATGTAAATTGTGGAATTTTATGGCGAAAGGCATTAGTGCTTTTCAACAATTACTCCTGGAATAGATCTAGCTTAAACCTACCCGTCGACATCAGTCTAGACCTTGGCAGCTCCATATTCTCTTGATCTTTACAGACTAGAGGCTCCGACTCGTTTAAATACACATACTCTGGAACAGTCTCGTTTAACAGGGTTTGGAATGATGTAGCGCCAAGTCAGCTAGCAGTAACTCAGTACATATCCTTGCGTACACCTTAGGGCTCGTCTAGAGTAGCTTTGTAAAAAAGGGTATGCGGGCCCAAGGGCAATGAGCGAAAATGGCATCAATACTGCCGTCTGCCATTAACCCACTATATCGATACTTGATTGACCTTATTTGAAGGGAGGTCTCCAATATCTTGTGGTACTTAAGATGATTTTAGCTATACGGTTATCAGGTACCGGCATCCTGATATGTATAAAGCGTGTAAACACAGGTGTTAGCACGTCTACAGGGAGAAACAGGAGAAAGTCTATGAGTGCAATGTGAAATATTATATTTAGACACTTGGAAATATCAAGTTCGTCATCGTACAGGCAATTAGTATCAGACTGGAGACTCCTCAGTAAGAACTAGCCTTTCTTTTCAGGACTACGGTGTGACAGGTCACGTGATAACTACGCGTTGAGGCGGAGCGTTTGCACTTACCTTAGCAGGCTTTTTTTTTTGGCTGCCAAAAGATCTGGGCGCGGAAAAGAAACGCGGTGCAAAGTCGGGATCAATTATCAGAATACTTTTCCACCGTCTTTACCCGAACGCTTATTTTGTTATTTCCATATAAGTGTCCCTTTACTACTCCTAGTTTCTCATTTTAACACATATACACAGCTACACATGAAGGTTTTTTGTGCGTTTTCGCTTCTCTTCTGCTTGCTCCCCGTCCTAGCGGATGACGAGTTTAGCTTGACAGGCACCTGGTCGTCCAAATCCAACACGGTTTTCACGGGCCCAGGGTTCTATGACCCCGTGGATGAGTTACTCATCGAGCCAGCTTTACCAGGCCTCTCATACTCCTTCACAGACGACGGCTTCTTTGAGCAGGCGGCATATCAGATTACGTCGAACGCAAAGAACCACTCGTGCCCGTCTGCCGTCTTGATCTTCCAGCATGGGAAATTCGAGACGTTGAGCAACGGGTCGCTCATCCTCACACCTTTTGCCGTCGATTCTCGGCAGTTGTTAAGCATGCCGTGCTCCGACAATGGTGTGTCTGTATACTCTAGATATGAGCAGGTATTGGTCTTCAAGAGCTATGAAGTGTCTATTGATGCGTACCACGGCAGATACAAGTTGCAGTTATACCAGTTTGACGGCTCGAAGATGCAGCCGTTGTACTTAGCTTACAGACCTCCAATGATGTTGCCTACCATCACGATGAACCCGACCGACGGAGCCCACGCCTCAGCCACCGGTGTTGTCGCCAAGTTTAGAAACGTCAGGCGCAGCTTGGAGAACCGCGCACGCACCAACGCTGTCAAGAAACAGGAGTCACACTCCGGTTTGGTTATGGCTTCCTTGGGGATGATTGGCTGTGGTGTCATTCTCTTAACCATCGGGAGTGTCTTTTAAGTGCTATATCAATATTATATCGGTACTTCAAAGGTGGTAACGCCGTAGCGGTCCGTCATGTAAAGTAAAAAAGAGCAAGAAGAAAAAGCAGCAATTAAATTAACTTAATATAAAGATTTGGACTAAAGGATACGTATGAATATATCTTTACTGAATTGGAGATGGGCGATTCATTATAGCCCTCCGGGCTGTCTATAACCCATAGTTTTGAATTTGAGCCTGGCTATAACCTAAAATAATGATACCGTTAATTGTACTAGCTGAGCCGCGCTTCGGTTACGCCATTAGCCTGATCGAAGATCAATAGGCGCTAGAGCTAATAAGCTACAGTCGCATTCAAGAACCGTGTAGGGCTCACTCTGCGACGACGCTATACTTAGAGCATTTTTCATTCCCCTTTTCATTTGTAAGCAATATCGCAGTGTTCCATACCATTCTACCGCACACGAACATCTACCAAGGATTCAGGTTAGCTTGGCGCTGTCTCGCGCGGCTGCGCCACTGTGGAAATACCGCCGCACCACCCCGGTACACACACCTTTTTTCTTACCGCCATTATCGCTTTTGCCAACGCCATCCCTAGATCAACAACCAGATCAGACCTCAAAGACCATACCCGCCAATACTCACTATCAATCAGATCCCTACAACATGTCCTGGTTCTCTACAAACAAAGCTTCAGAGTTTGAGGGGAAGATCGCGGAGGCCACCTCGGAACTGATCCCCAACGGCGAATTGGACATTGCCGTTTCGCTTGAGATCACAGACATCATCCGCAGCAAGGCCATTGAGCCAAAGACTGCGATGCGGTGCTTAAAAAAGCGACTCACCTCAAATTCAAAGAACCCAAACGTCCAGCTTTCTACCCTCAAGCTCATCGATACGTGTGTCAAGAACTCGGGGTTCCAGTTCTGCGTGGAAGTGGCGTCCAAGGAAATGATCACGACATTGACGATTTTGCTCAATCGCAATGACACAAACCCACTTGTTGCCCTGCTAATCCTCCAGCTTCTCCAGGAATGGAGCGTTGCTTTCAAGGGCCAACTCCAGTTGGGGTTGGTCGAGAAAACGTGCGCGGAGTTGCGGGCCGATGGCTACGAGTTTCCGCCGCTACAGGCCGTGTTTAACGAGGGCTTTATCAACTCAGAAACCGCTCCAGACTGGATTGACGACAATGTCTGCATGATCTGCTCCGACCCGTTCACGTTTGTGAACCGCAAGCACCACTGCCGGTCGTGCGGGGGCGTTTTCTGCCAGGAACATTCTGCGCACAACATGGCGTTGATTGACGTGGGGATTAACGAGCCAGTGAGGGTATGTGACGGATGCTATGAAAAGAGAAATCGGAAGCGCGGCAAGAGCGGAGGAAGCGGGAAGGGAAAGCCTTCCAGGAGAGAACCGGTTGAATCCGATGACGAGGAATTGAGAAGGGCCATTGAATTGAGTTTACGCGAACTGGGAACGGAGTATGAGCCCGAGCCGGTGTGTGAGGATGAAGATGATGCGGACATGAAGGCCGCGATTGCTGCCAGTTTGCGGGTGTACGAAGAGCAATCCCAACCAAAGGGCTTGTACAACGCGTATGTACCTACCGAAACCGCGCTCTACCAAACAAATAATCACCCGGAAAGCTTTCAGCCTCTGACGTTTCAATCCCAGACAGTCCAGGAGCCACTGTATGCTACGCTTTCCCAGGAGGAGGAGGACTCCATCACGTTGTTTTCCTCGTTGGTGGAAAACCTTGCCAATGGCCCGCCAGATGCCGTCATTAAGGACCGAAACTTGCAGACGTTGCATACACAGGTTGCGGTGTTGAAGCCAAAGTCTTCGCGCGCATTAAACGACGCCATCGCCAAGTATGAGATGTTTTTGGAGTTGAACAACAAGTTGCACACAATTTCGCGCTTATACGATCAGTTGTTGGAGCAGAAATTAGCCCGTGCTTATGAAAACCACCGCGTCTCCTCCCAGCCACTCCAGTACCAGCCAACACAAAGCTACAGCTATCCCCAGGAGTTGTCGCAAACCTTGCATGTCCCGACTCAGATCTATCCCCAGGCCACGGGCGAGGGAGCACAGGCCTTGCGCATTCCCTCTGCTCCGCCTTTCTACCATCCAGTGAATGCTGCCTTACCCACCGCTCCGATTTTTGCTGATGATGCTCCTATTCAGGATGAGAATGTAACCGAGGCCCCAGTCTATCTGCCTCCGCCTGTTCCAAGCGCCCCAGCACCAAGCGTACCATTTGCAAGCGCCCCGGCACCAAACGTACCATTTAAAAGCGCACCCGTTGCAAGCGCGCCCGTTCCAAGTTCTCTGGTGGCCAATTCTCCAGTGGCTAGTGCTCGGCTTCCAAGTTTCCCCACGGTTCCCAGCTTGCCAGCTATGCCCGAGTTGCCACTGTACGGCTATCCGGAAGAGGAACCAGTGCGGAAAGAGGAGCCTTCCTTGATTGAATTATAGCGACGTATGGACTATGAATTAATAACATTTTGGTGTCATGCTGAGTTTGTATAGCTTTAGGATACCGGTACACAAAGAGGTGAGGTGATGTGTATGTTCCAGATCCGACAGTTGCCATTACCACAATGGCATTCGATAAATATACTGAGTTTACACCTTAGCACCGGTGGGGATATCTGAATTGATGTTTCAAGTACTTCTTTTGCGAACAATCTACGAATTTAGGCCTTTCAGTTATAGATTCGTCCAGTCAGTGAAAGCCTCCCACTCCATCCCATGTGACCGCAAAAAAGAATTCCAGAAATTTAGGGGCCGCCTACCCCTGAAATACGAGGGAATTAATATTTATCACCATTTGACGAATTTGGCAACTTCAGATACGATCTAATATCAACAACATGGTTGTAAGACTGCCCTACTCGTGGAAGGGTCCAAATTTTTAGGATACCGTTAAGGCCTGAACTCTTGGCGTATTGCTGTGTTCAACCTTTACAGTATCCAAAATTTGAGAATACGTCAGAGTGCATACCATAGCGTATCGAGGCGCGTCTAAGATAACTGCTAGTTGCCTTAAGTAATTGGCTATCTGGCAGCACTCGTGGTTGTTTTTAGATGGACTAAAATCAGGTGAGCCTTGAAACATAAACTAGGGTGTACGAGGCCTGGCCACCCGCCCTGCATTAGTCGAGCTAAACGCAGGCCTAAAATGTGCGACTTTAGACGTCGCGCTAACCAAGTACCTGTTTCCACGGACTCCTAAAACAATTTTCTTCCCTAGTCCAGTGGTAAATATAGCCGAACCGCGTGCATGTAGGAATACGTTACCGAGACACTAACTTCTCTTTCACGCGTGCAATGGGGTGATTTCTCGCTAGTACATCAGTGTCTGGGAGGTTTAGCCGAAGAGGTATAGTTTAAGGGGTTTGGCTTAGGAGACATAGCTCAGGAGGCTTGTATTTCCTGATGCGGGTGAATTAAAAACAAATTGGTTGAAAGTTTCCAGATGAAAATGTTAGAGGTAAAATCTACCCGTAAGAGCATATTAGGCTGTATAAACCCCACTCAGTCTTTCTTGATACTGCCGAAGATGGCCATACTACCCGAACGCAAATCATTTGTGAATAATGTCTTGATATACTACACCATTAATAGTATTTGTTTGTCGAAAAGTGGTTTAGTTACACAATCAGAGCCAACGAAAAGGCACTTGCTAACCTCGAAATTCGGTATTGCCCATTGATTCGATCTAAATCAGAGAGAACGGCGTCTTGTGAGAGCGGATACAGCTTTCAGCTCGTACATCGTCACCGTCTATTTCCTTTTCCTTCGTGTTCCTGAAAATATTAGCATTAAATTACTGGCGAATCTGGTAGATGCGCGGCGGGCGAATGGCGGGCTATTTGGTTTCCAGCTATCCGGAACCAAAGGACCGACCGTCTGGAATTATCACCACCTAGCGATATTACATCCTCCGATATCGATACGCGTTGTAGCACCTGAAATTGAGAATTAGCTGATATGTCTTGTGTTGGCCCAAGAAAAACTATTGTTGCATTAACAGTGACGTACTCATGTAACCCATTTCCCTGGGCTGTTCTGGCTAGCAACATACTAACCAGATGTGCGCTGGATCGTTTAGCGAAACTAGACCGGGGCCAAGGTAGAGTCCTTTTAAACAAGTGTCTAATTTTCTACAAATCTTGATCAAACCCAAACTAGCTACGGATCATTCAGGTTCGGCGACTTGGAAAACCTACGCACGAGAAATAGAGATTACACGAGTTATTTGTTATGACGGCAGCCGACTATAAAACGGTTTCGACCGTTGAACCTTCCGCGTACCTGGCATGACAAAGCTAATCAGACTACCGCTTCGGGATAGGGTGATATCTATCGTTTGTGTATTTCCGTGGTGCAGACTTTCGACAACCCCAGGGTGGGAGCCATAAATATGATTTTCGATTTGAGAACGCTCCGATTTAGACATTGTTTTAAAGCATCGAAAGTATCACGGCGTGATCCTTACTTTTGGGTATACGACTGAGGGAGGGCTACAGCCTAGCTATTTCATTATCCCTCTAATATAGATTTGTTACCCTGGGACTTTAAGCCCTTATCCCCATTCTAGTTTACATTTCACAACCAGCGCCCCAAATAGTAATATTGGTATTAGTGCACGGGCCGATAATAGACAACTAAATATATACCGGTCTTGGCTTCAGATATCTCATATATAAAATTCTCCTTTCAAGACACATTTAATATATAATCGATTTAGCCCAGTGCGGGGAGACGTAGTATTATCTCTCTGTATTCATGTTGATGTCACCGTGCATGCGATAGTCTAATTCAGCTCTGGAACTGCGCGTATGATATGCTAAATAAATTCATTATCATACTTTTATTAATAACAATCATTTATAATAGGCGAAAAAGAGGACGAATACCACTGAAACATTTAGTTCTCGAATACTTTCACCCCGAAAAGCTCCGTTTCCTCCAACCACCAAGTTACAATGTCCACTTTATCGAGGCGTCAAAAGGCGCTGCGTGTCGTTCTTCAGTCCTCCTACCCACGTGACACATACCCCCTCGCAAATATAAACATCAGCGGGTAGTTGCGATAATATTTCCATCGATTAATTATTAACTTATAGGTGAGGAATATTTTATATTCGCGTTTTATAAATTTGTATCATGTTATGGTGGTCCCGCCTCGATCTGATTGCAGTTGGGCATCTGCGCGAAAATCAAACTAAAATCCCCGCCGCTCGGCAAGGTTGCAAAAATAAATTGACTTCAAAGCTACTAAGGTAGACCTATTCCTTATTATCTTTATTTACGTTTTGTGTTACCCCAAAGAGAGCCCCCCGATACCTGTTTAGTTACCGAGTTTCTCAAACCGTCAAATAACACTGCCCTGTTCATTCTTGAAGTTGCCTTTGAACCACTGAGCTTGGCCCCACCACTTGTCTTCTCAGGAGCTACTTACTCTGTCCTCAGCTATTGTTGCTACTTTTCAGATATCCACCGTTAGTGTGAGTTGTTACATTTTCCGAGATACCTAGTTTTATTCCCGCCTCAACCGAGATTTGACGGGCGCCATCGTTGTTACTTGCTTCACCCACATTCGTCCACCGTATATACGATCATCGCATAACTTGCAACTCGTTCTCCACCATGGCCCATTCTTCCCGTGGTTCCATCTACTCAGACTTTTCGTCTCCCAATATCGAGCGCTTTTCGGTATACAACTCCGAGTTCGAGTCCTACGAACAAGACCACCTGGATGCAGAAAAAAGCTACGTCGAGGCCACCACAAGCCTCCCACCAAGCCCGCCCGATACCCTGCCCAATGTGGCTACCGCGCCGCGCGCGCTCCCCGCTGCGGCCACTGCCAAACCGTCAGGTTTTGCGGCTTCGGGCCTCTCCACTGGCTTTGCATCCGGCGGCTTCTCTTCGCACAGCATCACGCTTGACGGGCTCTCGCTCGTTGAGCTCCTCCTCATGTTCAACAAGATCAACCTCCGTGCGCTGCCGGCCAGCGCCGAGTCGTCACCCGAGTCGAGCCCCAACTCGCGTACGCCGACGCGTAATGTGCTCGCACTTGCGGACGCGCCGCTCTACGACGTGTGCAAGCAGATCCTCGCGAAACTCGTTGCATCCGTGCCACCGGTAAATAGCAGCGACCCGCTCACACCGGTCACAGATGCGTTCGACTTTGAGCCTGAGCTGCGCTACCCGAGCCCCTACGCAAACTCGTCTCTTAACTATTTCACACCGTCCTTGCTTATCCCCCAAAACTACAATGTGCACGCGACGTCCACCAAGTCCGGAGTCGATGCGGATCACAATATCTGGACGAATCCGCGCGTGCCGATTCGCGACATTTCCGTCAAGATCGACATGCTTGGCGAGATTGTCAAGTTCGTCACCGACTTCTCCCGCAACGTGGACACATACTACGCGAACGGCGGACTGAACCAACACCTGTTGCAGGTGGCCAGCACTGTCGCATACTACGAAAAGTTGCTCGTCGCGTACAACGTGTACGAGTTGCCGTACATGTTGAACGAGCCGCGCGTGCCGCCCGCGAGCACGAGCGCTGACGACGTAACATCACTCGACGGTAACGACACGTATACGCTACTTGCCAAGATGGAGACAAATGATTCGAAGCATGCCCACAGCTCGGCCGAGACGAATACGACCGAGTTAAAGCCCGATGCGAGTTCCGCCATCGCCGCGCGAAGTGCGGGCTCCAAGTTGAAGACCTGGAAGTTCAAGTTGTCGCGCGGCGACGCCAGTGATACTCCCTCCCTGCGCACGCACAAAATGAGCCCCTCCACCGTTTCGGAAACCTCCGATAAAACCAGACGGAGCTCTCTCCGGGGATCGTGGTCCGCTGTGCTGCCACGCCCGCTTGCATCGGTCACGTCTGGCTCGCGTTCCCCCCTGATTGTGTCACAGACCTTCAGTGCGCCAGTCATATCGCAACCATGGATGGTGGTGAAGCCCGAGACCCAGACTGTGCCTCAGGACCATTCGCCCGAGTTGAAGCAGCGGTACTTTGGACTTTTGGTACAGCTTAATCGCGAAATCCAGCACTTGATTGACTCGTACAGCATTGATTACGAAGACTGGTTGATTGAGAATATGACTGTGGCTTTAAGCTTTGTGTTGGAGAAGGTGTTGCGGTTTGTGTGCATTGACTTTGTCGGGATGGCGGTTGGGTTAGTGAGGCATCGCTCTGCGGCGTTCATTGACATGTTATAGGAGGGCCTTCCAGTTGTCACGAGACATTGAAAATTTCGTATCCGAGTCAGGTGACGTAGCTGTGAACCAGTTTGTTGATTGTCATGATCGGGTGATGCAGCGCAAATATTCATGACCGATGAACTAGGTGTGGGCTATATTGAAAGGTATGATGCCTTAATTCATACATTCATTCAATGCAAAGGTATGGACTTCCATTCTCACCTCCAGGCTCTGACGAGTATGAATCTACCAGAATGGCAACCGATGTGACTGGAACAGTAATGTACGTGATAAACGAAATGTAATGAATTTGTGACAGGGAGCGCCTCGGATCAATAATGACTGGCCGCCTGGGATATCACCTAATGAGGTTCAGCTTTGTTCTTAGTCCAAGAGAGTTTTCTGGGAGGATCCTTGGTACACCAAGCGGTGAGGATGCTATCGTACCTAAATATGGTCATCAGAGAACAGGAATATAGCTATAATGTTTCACAAAAGGGGATCGGAGCGTGGGGTCTAGAACTGAGATATCTTAGTGAGAGGTATTCAAAGATTTAGAATTTCCCCAATAAAAAGTCAATAATAGCCGACAACACACATAGCTATTCAATATAGACGAGTATAAAAATGCAAGTAACGAAAAGTCGGCTCATGATTATATCGAGAGCAAAGACAATTAATGGAGGAAGAAAAATAGCCTCCATCTAGAAAAAGAAATCGGGCCGAGCAGGGAATTGAACCCTGGGCCACTCACACCCAAAGCGAGTATCATACCACTAGACCACACGGCCGATTTTTACTGATAAATAAGCTCTAATGAATGGTAATAAAGCAACGATTGAATCGTTATCAGAGTTGAGTGAACGGCATAACCGTAAGAAGAACAGTAGCGTTGGAGGTTTTAGACAAAGACCGAGATGTAGATATAGGTAACATGTATTGGTCTCACTGTGCCATATTTCCATTTTCATTAATTGGATATCTAGCCTAATTTCAAATTTTAGATTCAGGGGTCGTACAAGCCATCCTCCCCAAAGTTCTTCTTCTACTTCTTTACTGCTATGATATTTCACCGAAATTTCAGGCCTCTTTCGGATTGGTGACGCAACCATTAGTGTTAGCAGTCTCTAATTCTCCGGGAACCTTACCAACTTATACGATCACCGTTCCGTAGACACCGCACGCCAATGCTTCTCTCTAGCCCCATCTTATGACCCCGACCTCAAAGTCACTGTGAACATCTTAATCATATTATTGTCTTACGTAATCACACACAACCACCCCAACACGACGTAGATGAGGCCTACCGGGTATATAGCCAAGATTACCCTCCCAGAAAGTACCCCCGAGCACTTCAAGGCCACGGTGGCGGCGTAGACCGCCCAGGAAACCAACACCGCATCCACCACAAGCCGCACCATCGCGTGCTTCACCAAGATGGAAACGACCGCACCAACGACGATGGGGAAAATGGAGTAACCAGTGGCACTAAGGGCGGGAAGAAACGAAATGGTCCCTCCCAAGAGCTGAATATTCACGGCAATGACCGCCAAAGTCAACCAGATCATGGAAAAGGTCAGCGAAAAGACCTCAGACGACAGCGCCTTGGGTGACAAGACCCCCAAAATCACAGAGTATGCGAGAGAGAAGACGAGCGGCCCCCACAAGTCCCATTCAAGTTGTTTTACCGCGACAGGAGCTGCCTCATTCTCAATATCACCCCGGAGCGCGTCTGGAACATTGATCCCGGCGTTTCGGGCGTATCCGACAAGGTTCTGCTGCTGGGCCTTAGCAAGCTTCGATAACGAGGCGGGCCACAAAACCGCATACAAATGGTGGCCGATGGCCTTCAAGTCACGGGATAACGTTTCGAGAATTGGTTCGTCCAACGTGTTTCCACCGGAAAACTGGCGTTCCTGGACACGCGTGTTAGCCCCTGTGAGCGGCTGGAAGCTTGCTTCCAAGTTGACAGCTGTTGGATTCATGAAGCTCGTAAAGTTGCTGAACATGGAGTTTGCGGGTGGTGGCGCGCTGGACAGCGACTGTGGCTGAGTGGAACTGCGGACAGGCGCTTCATCGTCAGAGTCATCGGCCTCGATGATAAAGTCAGCTACAGCATCAGGCGATACATTAGGGGGTTTCCATTCAGGCATTGTGGGTGTGGAAATAACGAGCTGGAAGATGGAGGAGGAGCGATGTGTCACGTTTAAAGGCAGTGCCACGTTTAAAGGCAGTGCCAAGCGGCGTGCGTGTACCGCCGATATCCCAGGGGTAAGTACAGGTCAGGAGGGCTATCATTATGGGGAGAATTTTTAACTAGAGCATGGATCGGTGATTCTTTTGGGGGTTTCCCAAAATAATAATTCAAAAACTAGTAGAAGCTAATAATGATTCAAAAACTAATAAAATCTAATAATAATTCAAAGTTTAATAGAACTAAATAATAATTCTGCATCGCACATATTCGCGTTGGATTATCAAAACGGTTAAATAATGAAGGAAGTAGGCATAGGCTGCACGTTCACGAATTGTACAGTAGGCTAACTATATGATTTCTCATCCTGGTTACAGATATTATCTACAGTGCTAGTACCAAAAAAAAAAACATTTATTACGACTCAACTAGTCGTCCTTTTTTTGATGAACGAAAACAACCCGCGCTTCTTGCTCTTCGCTGACGTCAACGACTCGGAATCGCCCGACGACAGTCCTTCGAGTGGCGTCACCTCCGGTAATCTCGCCATCGACGTTGCACGCTTTGCCACCATTGGGTTGGGTGACCGCTGCACTGACAGAGGACTAAGGGCTCTCACCGACTTAGAATCGGGAGTACGCGGTAACAGGGTAGTCTCCACCATGGAGGCTTTTCTTCTTGGCAGTGCAGTCAGCAAATTCGGGTCTTTGGCCGTTAGTAAGCTTTCAGCTGAAGATGACCGCCGGTCCTTGGATGCTTTTTCATCTGGCTTGTCACTGGAAAGTAACACCTCAAGTGCCTCCACTTCCAAATGATAGCTGCGGGTCATATCACGGCAATTTGCCGCTCTAAGCATCAACTTCATATCGTTAGCAAGCGCGGCGGCCTCATAAATAAAGTCCACAATCACGTCGGGAGCCGGAGGCGAATCGGGTGATGCTAGTTCCTCCAATGTCGGCATCGAGTCTTCTTGCAACGGCGGAGAACTGTACGCCGTAAGACGGGCCTTTTCGTCCTTGACAGCAGCCCGACCCCTCACTTGTTGTTCCCCTTCGTCATCCGCCCTTTCATCCAACTTTTCGGGCTCTTTGAAATTCCCGGCAAAGAAGGCCAAGTTAATGTCCATTTCCTCCTCACTGGCACTACTCATCCCCTTATCCGACATTTCTTCGTCGATTATAGCGGTCTTTTCGGGGCTGTGCTTTCCATCCGTGCTCCAAGCCTTGGAAGAAACACTCTCCACGCTCAGTTGGCGGTGAACCCTACTGGTACGCTTCAACAATCGCAAGTCCAAGTAGCCATCATCCACGGTCTCTCTAAACCCCTCATACTTGTCAAGAAGGCGCACGTGCGGAGCGGCACCGGTTCTAGCAACCACAGCATCGATCTCCGCATACAACTTTTCGCTTTTCAGCAATACGCTGGACTCCTTTCTCCCTATAACTCCATACAAAACCTCACTGATCAAATCGTACAACAATGGGAGCTCGTAGAAATTTGAGGCAAGGAACACATCCAATGTGGTGGGCGTGATTTCCCACTTGGAACCCACCTGGCCGGTGTATAAGAACTCAGTAAACGCTCGGGCCGTGGTGGTGGAGAACGGAAGGTAGAGCTGGCGGGGAACCAACAATGGCTCGATAGGGAAAGTCTCAACTGGCGTTTCCAACATTGCCTCGATGTATCGGGAGCCCGTTCCATCGTGCAACTGCGAGACCGGCTCAGTTACCATAGGAGACTCTGAGCCTTCCTGTACGGTGGCATGCGAAATAGTAGACTCGGTGCGGTCACGGTCCAATAGGTTCTCCAATCCGCCAGTAAGGCCTTCGACAGATGAGTGACGACGGGAAAGACTCGAGACCGAGCCCCGTGGCCGTATACGCGGCGATTGCTGGGGCGTATGACCCGGAGAGAGGCCTTGAGTGCCGGACTTGATGGAATTGGTAGAACTCATGTTGAAGCGTGGATTGAAGTTAACGCCGCTGGATGCCATCGAAAATGAGGTCCTCGGTCTAAGGGACTGCAGTGAACTGCTGATAGATCCTCTGGGAGAGGCAATAGGAGAATTTAACGGCGATTCAGAGTATGAGCCTTTACGTAACGAAAAGAGGTTTTCAATAATTGACAGCCTGCGCGACTTGGACGGGAAGAGGTCCACATTCGGATTGAGTGACGGAGTGGAGGTTGGGCCATCCTGAGGAAGGGAGAGCACCACGGGATGCGGCGTCTTTTCGAGGGGATCCACAGAGTTGGAGGACCGGATTGATGGAATGGAGCCCTGGGAAGTCCCCTTCACCAGAATAGCAGCCAACTCACTCGCGGAGCACATAGGAGCTGGGTCGTTAGGCATAGGCTGCTGCGGTGGAAGGTTCTGGATTGTTGGAATGGCATCATCTCCGTTGGAGGCGATGGACGAGCCGCTGGAGTGCACAGATGAGCGGCGAGTTGTCGTTGATGACTTGTCTTGGAACGGGAGCCGAAACTGGGGCACATCTTTCACGGTGGGTTTTGGGGCAGCCAGAGGTTGCTGAGACGTTAACCCAGGCACGGCTACAGAACCGTCGACGGTCGAAATCGAGTTCCAATCAGACCTCCCACTCAGCACAGAGGTCCCGAGCTGGATACGGCCATCACCTTGCTGGTTAGCATCGAACCTCGCCAAGGCACGCGCGTAGGCCTTGGAGAGAAGTCTGTCGAAACAGTTCCCCCAACGCTTTCGCGCCAACATCAACGGAACAGGCACACTGTCGCCCTCAGCCGAGATAATCTCTAAGTCTGCAAGCTCGTAGCCGTACCTCTCGAACGCGTTTCGGCCGAGAGTGACCGCAGAGGGCGGGAACACCGAGTTGATGGAGGTGAGGTTGCTGCTGGGGGCCGAATACTGGGCGTAGATGTCAAACGAAGTCAGCGAGGAGCCGTGGGTGGGTTTAGCCGTGGCACTTTCCACGTGCAACACGTTGATGATTGGCAAACTGATTGTGATCATCTGTGTAAAGTACCGAATGCTACTGGTGGTGCTGGAGGTGTTGTAGTTACCAATAAGCACGACCTTGTGGTGGGAGGTCCACACAAAACCACCCCAGAACCGGTGGGCGCCGAATTCGTGGTTGCACATGACGTTCAATCGTGTCCATTTGTTCGAGGGCACGTTATAGATAAAGACAGAGATGTCAATCTCCTGCGGAAGAAAACCGGTAAGCACCAAGTTTGGTCCAAAGCGGCCTACAATGGGGTAGGAGAGGTGCTCTGGGACGGTGATGTTACTGGTATTTGAGATGATAGGTGAACGGGAGCCATCAATCTTCAAGTGCGTGGGCTTGTGAGAGCTGACAATACTAGCAATGGTAGCAGAAGTGATTCTCTCTCGAGTGGTGGAATCCACAATCAACTTTTTTTCATACTGAGGCTTGGAAACACTGGGTGGAGCCGGTGTGGCAGCCTTGGTTGTGGGCGGAAGCGGCGCCGGCTTGGGGGTAGACTTGTCTATCTCAAAACGGATAAAGGGATTTAATTTCGGATTGCCAGTCTTGAAGGCAAACAAGGTAGTTTTCTCCCCAACAAACGCGGAATAAACGGTCTCGTTCTTGTTTGTGATTGTCAACGGTCTGTGGTCTTCCATCAAGTCAAGAGTCCCTAGCCACTGGCCTTCGACCAAGTCAAACACCGCGTTCGACGCCAAAGGTTCACTCTTCGCATTCTTACCACCCGCGATCAAGATACCGCAATGGCCCGGCTTGCGGGCCAACGCTAGAGTGGAGAGCACCATAACTTTGTGCCCGTAACGAGGCACAACCTCGGTGGACTCACTGGCGGCAGAGAGACACTTCCACTGACATGTTAGTAAGTCTAGCTCCCACAAGTCGTTGACCGGCACAAACTTGTTGGAATTTTTGGTGAGCACCAACCCTCCAAACAAATAAAGCCTGTTGTCGAAGGCGAAGATGTCGTGGAAAAGCCGCGGCTCCGGGCGAACGGCTGAAACATGCTTGATGCGGGACCAGACCCGGTCAATCATGTTCAACTGGAAGAGTTCTCCAGAGAGGTACTTGCTGAAATCTATAGCTTCGACCGGAGCGTCAGTGCTGGGGGAAAGGACTGTGGTGTTGTTGACGGAAAGTGCAGAGTACAACATCGCCTCAATCTCGGTGATGGTGAGATTGAAGACCTCGAGTCCGAGCGTGAGCCCCCCGTGCACGAACATGAACGACTTGTACAACACAGGACTCAGACCCGTACGGACGGTAAGGTTCATGCGGTCATCTTTCTCCAACGGTGGTAAGGCAAGCGAGTGGCACGCGGAGGATGTGGGGATTAAAGGCGGCATGAAGTGGAAAGAGAGAAGCTATGCGGTAGAACTTGGTGGTGACAGTACCAAACAGGGTCAGTTGGCAAGGTGGATTTCGATAAGAGGTAGACAAAATGAACAGTGGAAGCAGGCGTTTAATGCGGTAGGCAAACAGATGACAGCTGCAATAGCGATGAAATAGCTTTGCAGGGTGACTCAACGGGCTAAGAGGTCCAGATAAACACTAAGGGAAGCTCACGTGGCACGCGTTTATACAGGTGTTGGTCCAGAGAACACTGTTAATAACAACTGACGGGTGTTAATGGGGAGATACAAAGTAAAGGGTGCTGTAATTAGCCGCCAAGCAACGCGTTGTGCCCGGAAACGGATGCCGACAAACGGGGAGGTGCGGCCTGCATGTAACGTATGGAGATGCACCCGCATCGCAGTGTATATTAGGTGGCTCTATTCAAACTTAGTATGTGGGTTAAGGATCCAATGTCGAGGAGGGACCAATAGTTTTTTTTTTTTTTTTATTTGAAATCACCGCATTGGTACGTAATTAACTGCTTTATCCTTAATTATGAGTAACTTTATACAACTAATTTTAGTATTTTATCTTCTATAATTTTTCTACTGGACAATGCAGTGAGAGGGAGTATATGCTAACACACTAATGTTGCGTTAGATACGGCGAGTCATACTGTCCAATGGTAATATTATAGCGGATGGTGGGCAGTAAAGCCGTTCACCTTAGCATAAATAGGCATGTGAGAATTTTCCATAATTTTTGGAGTAGTCAGGCCGATAACCATACCACGGTACACTAACAGACTCAGTTTCAACTGTCCATGTTTCCAAAATATATCCACCCTCCAAGACTTGAACAGTGCACCACTCACTACTGTGGAGTGTCAAGGATTCTCATAGTCATATTCTAGGGGTAAACCAGTGAATAGAAAACCCTCAGGCGGGCTTGACCTTTTCATCCATGGCGCTAAACCACCGACACGCTTCTTGCACCGCAAAAGGCAAACACTTGACTCCAGGAAGAAAGTTTGAATAGAGAGGAACACAGAGATTCCCTCTTTCTCCGTGTTCAATTGCCGTCACAAGCAGCGTTGCGATCTCTGAGGAGTCTACGATTGGAGCCAAGAACCCGTTGGGTGGGGAAATATCCAGAAACATAGCCGTGTTCAACTGGCCAGGAGTCATCACCAAAAAGCGGACAGAGTCACGGAACTGCGGTGAAAGCTCGTGGGAAATGGATTCGTGAAGCTGGATAAGTGAAGCCTTGGTGGCGGAATAGACCGAAAGATTGGCAGGGCCGAGTGTTCCGAGAATCGACGACACCGTGGCGACGTAAAGACGGTTGGGGTGCTTGATAGAGTCCGGCTTTGTCGCTTTTCCAACGTAGTGTTTGATGATACGCATGGGGGCAAAGGTGTTGACGTTGTATATCTTCATCACCTGCTCGTCGGATAGGTCCACAAATGGTTCGTCATGGCGGATTCCCGCGTTGTTGATCACGATAGTTGCGTCCCCAAAACCAGCGTCAAGCTCCTGTAGCACCCCCAGAAGACTGTCAAGTTTTGACAAATCCGTTCTTCGGAAGGATACATTGCTGCATTCGTTGCTAACCAGTGGCTCAACCACATCGAGAATCATGATAGGAAGGCTAGGGTAAGCAGTGCACAAGGCCCTGACGATAGCCATTCCTAGCCCTCTGGAACCACCGGTAATCACGACCTTATCGGATTTAGGATCGATTTTCAGCCATACACCCCGGGTTTTGTATTTGTAGTTGGCATGGAAAAGAGTGTAGCCCAGGGTGATAAGCACGCAGACGGGTACTAAATAGGCGGCAGACACAGGCAAAGCATGTACAATGACCAACGCCGTGAACCAGCACCAAATCGGATGAAAAATGGTAGAAAGGAGTAGCCCCAATGTGCTGTCAATAGTTAACGGCATTATATGAGCCTTTATCACCAGATATTGGGTCGCTAGGCCTGTTTCTGGATGTGATTTTTCAGCCATACTAGTATCCTGCATAGACTGCCACTTGGCTTTCAGCTGCCTCTTTTGGGATGGCCTGCAGGGAAGCTTGGACGGGGTTTGAATGCTAGACCGGCTTGAGGCGCTACGCCGGATGAATAAATTTTTGAGATAAGCTCCCAAGTAATCAAGTGTGACGGATGGAATAGGATAAAACAAAGATTAAATTTATGCCGCCCAATCCTCATTGACGTTCTATGCATTACGTGATAATGCATGTGATACTGGCGGGCTGGAGATCGGCCTGGCAACATGTTTTAGATCACTCCTGAACTTCGAAGGCGCCAGGAAGGGCTACTCGAAGAAACTAACAATTAATGATTGTCCAGGCTTGTAGCTATTGTCCGATCTTGGGCGAATCAGGTAACTTCGTATTTTGTTTTGACGAGAGAGGCCGCGGATACGAGGCGTATGCAAGGGGGTCAGAGAGTTTAATCCTTGTATTTGGATCAAGCCAGGGAATTTCTCTTCAAGGGTATTAAGTTAGCTTTGGTATGCGTACCAATGCTTATTGTGTGTCAGACGAGTCCTATACGGTCATGTATATTGAAAATCGATTTTGGCTAACAATTAGGCCTCACTCTGTGTGGAGATCTGGACACTAGAGAATGAAATCAGGCACTGCCACAGGATATATTGGCGAATGATTTACGTAAAAGTAGCACAGTTTTACCGCATTAGGTAAATTAGACCTTCCTCTTTAGCACTGAATTTTGGACAGCAGGATAACATTAGGGCTACGTGGCTATCAAGCATCAATTTCAGTTCTTGTGTCATAAATCTTTGTCAAACCCCAGCGGATGAGCTGATCACTAATACTGGTAATTTATTGGTCCTGGTAGACAGTCCGATAGTGGAAATATTTGCCAACCCAATCACACGGGGTCTATGTCATTTGCACCCTGACATATTTACTCAAAGATTGCATCATGCAAAGCTGTATTACTAATATCAAGGCGGGATTACCCCGGAGGCAGCATTAGGGGATAGGGTTAATCGTCAAAGCTCCGCCTGATGTCATGGACTCTCTAACTCAGCCCCTTTTTCTATTACAATAACGCTTTGTGCAATCTGTAGCCGTATAATAGCCCCAGAGAGGAATACGATAGAGGTAGTTTCAAGTGTCATTCCTAAAAAGGTTCACATGTTCCGCCCACCGATACGGGGTCTCCAGGGGGAGTGCTCCCTGGAATATGATGCATGCCCTTGAAAATACTAGATATTCCCGGGTTCATTAAACGAGCATTTTTAATAAGTTGAGATTTCTACTAATGAGTGTCTGTAAACAGAAAAATCATCGTCGAAAGATCAGTGAAACACGTGCACTTTCTAGCCTGCCCGAATATTCTCCAGAAGCACTACAGTCTTTATTTCACAAATTACCTGGCTATTGAGAATATGATGCATCTAGTTACTAACTTAGATAAAAACAAGAGCGTAGTATTTAATGTACCCAATACCCACTGTAATCCCTAACAGAAAACACCCTGCTTACTAGAAGCTACCTCCTGCTTTCTCCAAGTGAGGATACCCCTAGGACGGACAAGCTTTTAACCCCTAACAATCTTTTAACCTGAAAACATGTTAGCTACCTAAAAACCACCTGTATCTTTGATATATTCCTCAAGCAAATCTCCGACTGGAAGATACCAGTAATAGCTCCACCGTAGTTGGCTCATAATTAGAAGTTAAAAGGAAAAGTTAGTCGTCTGAAAGTTACATTCAGCCTACAAACACCATCACTCTATCGACTTTTTACGTGATGCAGTAATATAAAAATAGCCATCTCACAAATAAAAATCATGTGGTTCATGTTCTCCGTACTGACCCGAGCCACATCATCTGACCATCGCCTTGGGTTCCTGTAGAATGCACCCCTGACGTCATTTAGGTCCAAACCCAACTATGTCGAAACTACTGAATACACCAAAATAAACCCTCTCCTTAACTCTGTTATTATTCTACAATAAGCAATGCACTTTTCATCAACCATCATTAAATTTTAAAGAATCACCGTGGAGGTCTATGCAATCTGATACATTCCTTCCCTCATTTTTTGTTGTTGTACCTCGCCGCGCCAACGGAAATGCCTAATCGGGAAATCTCCGCTCCTTGAAACGCGCACGGCGATTGCTGAACTCCCATCGCAAGCTCTTGCTATTTCTTCACCACCACTTCCTTTCCTCTTCCACCCAGACCTTTTCCCCCATACAATATTCAATATGGCCTCCAACGAGTCCACTTTGGAAAGAAACCCTTCCCTTTTGAAGCAATTGTCGCTGAGCGATAAATGGACCTCTCCTTTCAGATCCAGCGAGGCCAAAAAGACCGCGACCCGCAAGCTGGTTATCGCCGACAACGCCATTGAGAATGTCAATCTCCCGGATTTTTTGAGAAGACCCAGACCCGCCCCGGCTGCCAAGACGGCTGCTCCAGCCGCTACTGTTGAAACTCCTGCTGAAACTCCTGCTGAAACTTCTGCTGAAGCTCCTGTTGATGCCTCTGCCACTGTCGCTGATGCTTCCTCTGATGCTGCCGATATTGACGAGGGTGTCAGTGAAAAGCCACTCGACTCCGACGCTGCGTCACTCACTTCGGAGGCTCCACTCCCGGTTGAGGCCACTGAGACCGCTTCAAAGTCTGAGGCCATTGAGGCCGCTCCAGAACCTGAGACTGCCCCAGAACCTGAGACTGCTCCAGAACCTGAGACTACTGTGGTTGCTCCAGATTCTGAAGCCGCTGGGACTGCCCTTGAACTGGAGGCTCTTCCAGAAACTGCGGCTGAAGCCCCAGCCCAGGTTATCGAGGTCCCCGTGACTGAGGTCGTCGACCAGACGGTTCTTGAAGCCTCAGACCCAATCAAGGAGGAATTCGCTGACAAGCCCGCAATTCTCGCGCACTATGCGTCTCTCCAGGCAAATGGCCTCGTCGCAACCAGTGGCTTCGCCACGGACGACCCTGCCGCGCTTGTGGATGTTGGACTCGGTAAGAAGATGACACAGGGGCAGCTCATGGAGATTGCGCGCGCGCGTGTCAACCCGGTGCTCGCGAATATCCTGGAGCAGGTCGCCGCCGTCCAGCGTGATGATGCGGATAAAAAACTGCGTGATCTTGCGGCAAAGGCCGCCCAGCACTCATCCAAGTTGAGCACTGACTTCCTCAAGCACAAGAAGAAGATCGACAAGGAAAACGAAAAGATCGCCGCCACCGCTGACGGAACCATCGCCAAGGTGAAGGAGTCCATCGCTGGTGTTGTGACGGCGCGCGAGGCTTTTGCCGCCACCACAACGGCGGCAACGGCGAAATTGGACGTTGACTTCCAGGCGAGGGAAGCCGAGGCCTTGGAGAAACACGAACAAGACAAGATTGATTTGGATACTAAGCACAATGAGGCCGTTGCCAGCAACAAGCAGGCGATTGTGGACGCCAAGGCCGAGATCGTTGCTACCAAGGAAGCCATTGAGTCGCTCAAAGTCGAAGCCTCAGACCTTACGCTCCATACGGAGGAGGTGGCGGCTCAGGCGGCTGAGAAAGAGACTCTCCTTGCAGAGAGAACCGCCGAGTTGAATCGCATTATTGCGGCAAGAGACGCGAGACAAGCCGCATACGCGACGAACCTTGGGGCGGAGGAGGCCCGCAAGAATGAGGTTTCCGAGGCGGAGCGGAAGGCACGCGATATTGAGGCGACCCACAAGGCGTTGGCCGTGGAGGTTGCCGTTATCCAGGCGAAAGTTGATGGCTACCACGCGCATATCAAGTCTCTAGGCGAGGAAAAGGAGGCAAGGGCTGGCAGACTCGAATACGCGCAGCAGGTTGCGAGTGAGTGGGAGGAGAGCCAGGTCCAGATGAAGACCGAGGCCGCCAAGGCCGCGGAACAGAAGAAGTTGGAGGACTTCCACGAACACGAGAGACAGCAGTTGGTGATGGAGCAGGAGGCTGAGAGAGCCAGAGTTGCGAAGAAGTTGGAGGACCAGCGTCTTGCCGAGGAGAAGGCGGACCTCGCCCGGGCGGAGGCTGAGGCGAAAGAGGAGGCTGAGGCGAAAGCTCTCCAGGCAAAAGAGGATGCTGTGCGCGAGCGTGAACTTGCACTGACGGAGAACGACCAGGAGAAGCTCCGGTTGGAGCAGGAAGTTGCCGAATTGAAGGAGTTGCAGCGGTTGCAGGCGGAGCGGATTAAGTTGAATGAGGAGCTTGCCGCGTCAGAGCTCGCCGCGGCCACCGCTGCGGCTGAGTACGCGCGCGTTATCGCCCAGGCGGAACTCGCCGCGACAACTGTCACGTCAGAGTCTGTCGCGCAGGCAGCACGTGCAGACTCGGCCGCGCGTTCCAACTTGAACGTTGCAAACGCCGCCGTAGCCACGAACACCACCAGAGCGACCGACCTCGAGTCGGTACTCCACCGCAAGGGCGTTGACACTGCGAGCATTGCTCCAAGCCAAACCCAGAAGGCTGCACCAGTCGAGAGATCTGTCGCTCCGGTGGTGGCGACGTCTGCTTTAGCTGCGGGCACTATAGCCGCTGTCGCGGCAACCACCCCAAAGGTCGCTGCTGCCCCAGCCCCAACGGTTGTCAAGTCTACCAGAGGCTCCTTCAGAGAGAGGGTCAAGCGTAACTCGTTTGTCCAGGCCTTTACTAGCTCCCCGGAGTCAAAGGCGAAGGTCGAAACAGCTAAAAAGGCTGAAGCAAAGTCTGTTCCAGTCGCCGCCGCTGGCCACGCAAGTGTTTCACCTGTTGTTTCCAGAACTACTGGGGTCTCTCCGGTTGCTTCCCGAGTCGAAGCTCCAGTTGCTGCCGCCGCGGTGGTTTCTGCTCCAGAGGTTTCCACTCCGGCGGCTGCTTCCTTGGCTTCCGCCTCGGTAGTTTCGTTGAAGTCGGCCAGAGTTACCCCGGCTGCTTCTTCCGCTTCCGTCGTTCCGGCTCCAGTCTCTGCTAAGTTTGTCGCCCCGGCCGCTGCTTCCACACCAGTGGTTGCCCACGAGGTCTCCCCCCCAACTGTTTCTAACGCGCCAAGCTCCATCTACGACGCACCAGTCGCCCCTCATAGAGCCATCGCGAGTCTCAAGGATCAATCGCGCACGTCGCTTAACCACGAACCCGAGTCCGAGTATGAGTACGTCTCCGAGTACGAAGAGGTCTCCGACGCCGAGTACGAGAGAAACAAGCTGAATCCGGACTACTCCATTGTTGGTGCCGATGAGTTCCACAAGATTACCAAGTTTGTTGCGTAGAGCTTGCGGTTCAATGATGGCTGTATCCGATTGTATCTGGTGATGATGCCTGATGTAACAAGGTTTTGTGTATTTTTTTTTATTATTATTAATTCTATTGTTTGAATTCTATGTTAGATCCAAGTGGGATGTTATTCTGTTGTAAACGCAACTCTCCTTACGTGCAAATAGCTGGATAGATGTTAATTGCCAACGGTATAATGAAGTATGCACACCCTAATTATAGCATCTGAAAAACTAAACCACTGCTTTCGTAAGAGATCATATGCAGCTTACGTTGGATATATCGTATGGTCGTTACAGCCCAGGTAGGCCAGTGTCAGACGCATAAGCAAAAAAAAACAAGCATATATTAAGTCAATGCAGACGGTAACAGAGGTATCTACGATTTTAACTTTAGTCTCCTGAGGCACCGGAGTTTTCTGTGACGGCTCTCTCATTGCTTACAGTGCCAGATATCCTGCTTACTATTTCCGGAGTGTGTCTGGTAACTTACACCAGTGGATGTAGCATAGCCCTGAGGGGCTGAAGTACCAAGGCCAACGAAGGTTAAATAGATAACCCTAAAGCCAAGCAAAATAACGTCAGACTAGACGACATGTCTGCAAGGGAGGTGCGACGTTTGGGTTAGCGCTGGCCAATCGGAAGCGCATATGCTTGTTGCGAATATGCACGATGATTTTTTTCTTGCAGATGCAAGTATGCCATGCGTAAAATCCACCTACATGACCCCAACGATGGCTTGCATATGGGAACCATCTGGTCCCCTCAAAGGCCAGCGTGTAATCCGCTACCCAAATCCTTCGCCCGCATGTGGTATCATGGTTTTACTACCTTTACAATCATTTAGTTTTGGTATTGTTTAGTTTGGGCGTGGCAACAAGATTCCTTAAATCATGTTGCGGCATTTCTGCATGTGCCGAAAATCACAATAAGTCCACTTTCATATGCACGACCCGACTCAGTCCTTGCATAGCCAGGGAACTGATGAAAAGGCTAAACTCGCACTTTTTCGCAGAGGCTTTTACAAGCTCACTTCATCTGTGAATTTCCGGGCGTCTCTAGATCTGGGTTTCCCGGCTATCCCTAGATTTAGATTTCCCGACCATCTCTAGATTTAGGGTTCCTTCTGCATGTGCTGGTGTTGTAATGCAGCTCCTGCCAACCTCTGCATAGTTGGGTGACTGTTCTCAAGTGGATCTCATAAAGTTGTACCACAATGAAAGAAAAGTCATGTATCAGAAAATTACTGGATGTAATTGGATACTCTGGGTGGTGTTATGTTAAATAGACACTGGCACTTTGCCGTATGGTATACCATCGTATCTGTCCATATACCTTCGTCCATAATGTGCAATAAATAGAAACGTAAGATAGCCGTATTCCGTAAGCCACTGCCGACACCAGATTTCTGTCAATATCCCAGGCACTTTCAGTATATCTAGTTCCCTTTAATCCTCCCCGCATATTGCTGCTCCATCTCACTTACGTGCCTAGTGGTGCTCCGCTTTGTTCCGCTCAGTTTGCTGCAATACTTGCCGTGCAGGTTTCGCGCAGAAGCCATGACGCACGTCCAGGCGCTTTTTGCTTTGATCAAAACGTCGCTTTTTTATCCTCTCCTTTTACATTCTCTTTTTGAAAAACGAATTCCCCACCCAAAGTCCCCGCTCCGTATCGTCTTCTACCTCATTGTCCTACCATGTCACTGCCAGAAGCCAACCACACCGTGCAAAACCCGCCATATATGTCTGCCAACCCTCCAATACTTCCGGCGGCTAATCCCTTAGGACACCCCCACCAGCCTCCGCAAATGTCGCAAGCTCATCCTCAGATACCACTACCGTATCAGCTGACCCCATCTCAGGGCCAGCCTGGCTATTACTACCCGAACCATCTGTACTATCCGCCTGCCAGTGGCTCCAGCACCAACACATCCCAATCGCAGTACCCGCCCGCCACCGCCAACCCTAACTGGCGCTATGCACAGTATCCCTACACCGCACCATCCATCCCGCTAAAACAACAAGATCCTCCTGGAATCAGCACCGCACGTGTGCCCAGTCCTGGTACCGAGCTGGGCTTCCGCAAGCGCCGTGCGGACGAGAACAATGCCGCAGGCGTCAAAGTCGAAGCAGCGGAGGAGACTCCTGCCAAACGCGTGAAGGTAAGCGAAGCAAGCGCGAGCGATGCGAACGCGGTGAATGACGCCACACATGCCAATGTGAATGCACGTGCGCCCGGACTTTCCATGATCTACTGGATAGACGAGGACGTCAAGTGTTATCAGATCGAGGTGGACGGTGTCTGTGTCACCCGCAGGGTTGACACGGATTTTGTTAACGGCACCAAGCTCCTCAACGTATCGCGTACGTCGCGCGGGCGCCGTGATGGGCTCCTTAAGGCTGAAAAGGACCGCTATGTGGTCAAGATCGGTAACATGACCTTTAAGGGTGTGTGGATCCCGTTGGATCGTGCACGCTTGCTTGCGCTGCAGGAGAACGGGCTCTTGGAGCGTGTCGCGCCGATTCTCGACGACAACGCACGGCAGTTTGTCTCGGTAGACCACACCGACACGGACGTGCCTACGCCTGTAGCGGTTGCTCCTGTTTCAGAGTCGAAGCCGGAGCCAATGCTGGACGTGCACAAGCTCCTTTCGATCGAACCCGTGGAGCTGAAACCGGAACCTTCAGATTTCTCTGGTTCCCGAAGCCCGTTGTCCCACATTATGGATACCCCCGTAAAGTCGAAAGAGAGCACGAAGGGATCGGTGTCGGTACCGGCGACAGCGGAGGGATACAACCCATATGCCGTGCCATACTACCCGTACTACCCATACCCTTACTACTATTACCCCCAGCCATCTGCCCCTAAAACATCAGATAGCCGCAAAAGCGACCACAAGAGTGATCGCAAGAGCGATCGCAAGAGTGACCGCAAAAGTTCTGGTGGTAAAAGTGACAGCCGCAAGAGTTCGCCGCAGGCGCAACTGTACCCATACGCGCCACCATACCCGTACTCATACTATCCACAACCCACAGGTGACAAGGCCGCCCCGCCTGGGTACCCGCTGTACCCGTACATGTATTATCCGCCACCGCAGTACCAGGGGTATGGTATGTACCCTCACCCGCCATACCCCGGCCACCAGGTGACCCCTTCTGTGGATGCGGGTGTTGCGGGCTTGGCGATCGGGACCAAGAAGAAGAAAGGTGATGGGAAAGCTGGAGACGATAAAGTGAGTGCCTAATCGCAGCTGCCCTGGGTTTCTCCCGATTCCAGCCATAACGTTTGCCAGCGGGTAGTTGAGGTGGTTAGTAAGGATTTTCGTATGGTTTTTTATCTTGAAAAATAGTTATGCGTTTTGTCTTTGTTTCGTCCCTTCGATGGTGGCTATTAAAGCTCAGCCGGAGAGGATCCCAGAAGGTGGAAATGTAAACTAAGACTGGTTGGTGAGTTATCAGAGAGGTTCGTACTGGAATCAGACACTGGGAACAGGTCTTTACTACGCTATATATGTATCAATGCGCATCAGTAACGAATTATATTCAGTCAAACGAAGTATACGTTAAAGCAAAGGGCATCTTAAACTTTCGCCTCGGACACTGATGGAAATAACATGGCCCCACTATAATAGAGATACACCACCCTTTATGTCTCCGTTTTAGCCCCTCCGTCGGTCTCCTTGCTTCCCCCATTCTCATTATCACTTTCATCTGGTGGCAACCCCCCGCTGCTCAGCTTGTTTATCCTCAAGCTGGAAATGTCGATATCGGCGCCTCTCCAAGACCGTACCACCCCAACAAAATACTGGGGTTTCCAGTCTAGGTCAACCGGTAAACAAATGAGCTGAACCACATTCTGTGGTTGATCACCTCAGACCCTACAAGACTGGACAAGTACATCTGGGTTCCTATGGCAAGTATGTACTGTGACCTTCCTTCGAATGGAGCAAGCTTTGTAATGTATGAGACAGTATCCTTTAACTCCGCTATAGGAACTTCTGGGGATATGGGGGTGGTTGAGGCTCGTGAAATTATGTCCGAAGATAGGCCATATTTGATTGTAAGCTGGTGAGACCAAGGGTTAATACTAGGCTTAAAAGTGGACCCCTGTCAGCAATAATCTTACCGATGGCGGCGAGAGTGACAATAGCTGTGGCTCCATTGTGCAAGGCGCGATGAATTGGAAGCAGATGCGAGTTTCATCATAAAGTGGGGGTGTAGACCAATAGTAATTTTGATAAAATCGTGGCGTTCGGTTGAGAATCAGTTGGAGTAGTGCAAGCTTTAATTTCAATCAATTATGCTATGATTTCAATGCTAAAACCGTGTAAAACATTCTCAAGCCCTTATGCAACGTTGAACCATTTTCGTAAAACGCGTCCTTATGTGCAGTATCTAACACGTGCGATATGCTAGATTTGACGTGCATATGGCACAAATTCCGACTTTGCCAGCAGAGCCCTAAAGCCAAGCTTTTTTTTTTTTTAGACACCCGGTGGAATATTAGATTGGCTATTTACTTATAGGTAGATTGGATTCGATGTCTGTTTACCGAATTATTGACTGAGAGGCCTGTCAGTGGATCTTAGTCCACGACATAGCATGCGAGAAAGTGCGTCTCGTATATATGCGAGTTTGTCTGGTGGCCTTGATGCACGAGTTTAAATCCCACATGCATCCAGAAAATAGAGGCTGCACGTGCTGTTGGATGATTTTAAATCGACAGTCTCTTCCGCTATAAAATGCGTTAAGAGTGATATATATATATATACTAAATAGCGTGCTAAAAAGCGAATATATACCAGATGGGATAATGGAACAGCGCACTTGGCGTAAATCAACCAAGCGCTTGAAGAATACTTATGGCATTACCATGCACAATTTATGATCACATGATTTCTATGCCAGGGGCCTTCTCTTTTAGAGGTTGCATCCAAAAATATGTACGTGTAAGTGTTTGATAACTGAGAAAGCTCTTGGCCCAAGATCTCTACAGCGCCAAAGCAAAGACGCAGACTTTTAATAACTATATCTTTTCCCATCTGGCTGCCTCTCTACCACCGTATCGTGATATGGGAAGTGGGCAGTTCTTCATGGTTGAATATGAACCCTGTACATAGTGAAGCCTAGATCCCTACCCACGAAGTTTGCTTCCATAAACGATTTAGTGTTTAATCTGAGGAAAATGCCTTAATGTAGCTATATAAGCATGGTTATGGATCTGGGTTTGAACAAGAGCCATAGATACACAGGTGAAACGTGATTGAATCCAGATAGAGAAGGGATATACTGTACGAGCTTTCTTCCCAGTTTCCAAGAACTTGGCCCCATAATGGCGATGCTTGAAAAAAAAAACTAGAGAAAGGCGCCTAAAACACAGATAACCGTTCACAGGTGGAATAATCCTTTGGTTTTCAATAGATTAAACTACTCGGAGCCTATTGAACGAGTTCTCTACCTTCATCTCAGAAACATAATCCCTTCGCTAGTATTTATTACAAAATCTTGGGTTAATTACAATTCATTAGCGTGTAGGCTTCACCCAATTCCAGCTGGGGGCTTACTTCTTGAACACCTTGTTCAATGCCTGCTCAAAGTCACCGATGATGTCATCAATGTGCTCGGTACCGACGGAAACTCTGATCAAGTCCTTGGTAACACCGGCCTTGACCTTCGCCTCGGCAGACAACTGCTGGTGGGTAGTGTAGTAGGGGGCAATAACCAAGGTCTTGGAGTCACCGACATTGGCTAATTGGGTGGCCAACTCTAAGCTATCAACAACCCGGGCGCCAGACTCCTCGAACGGATCCTCCGGCGCGTCACCCTCCAAAGCCTTGACACCGAAGGAGAGAACACCACCGTAGCCTCTGCCGGTCAAGTACTTGTTGGCGTTGTCATGGTACGGGTGGGACTTCAAGCCCGGGTAGGAGACCCACGCGACGTGCGCGGATGCTTCTAAATACTGGGCCAACTTCAAGGTGTTGGAGTTCTGTCTCTCGACTCTGAGGGAGAGGGTTTCCAAGCCCTGCAACAACAAGAAGGAGGCAAATGGGTTCAAAGCTGGCCCGATGTCTCTCAACAACTCGATTCTGGCGTAGCCAATGAAGGCCGCGGTGCCCAATGCCTCGTTCAAGACCAAGCCGTGGTACGATTCGGAAGGCTGGGAGAACTGCGGGAACTTCTCTGGGTAGTCCTTCCATGGGAACTTCCCGGAGTCGATAATGACACCGCCCATGGTGGTACCGTGCCCGCCGATCCACTTGGTCGCAGAGTGGACCACAATGTGCGCACCGTGGTCAATTGGTTTAGCGGTGTAACCTCCAGCACCGAAAGTGTTGTCGACCACGAGCGGAATACCATACTTGGTGGAAAGCGCCGACAATTTTTCAAAGTCTGGGACATTGTACTTTGGGTTACCGATAGATTCCACGTACAATGCCTTAGTCTTGTTGTCGATCAACTTTTCGAACTCAGCAGCATCGTCACCGTTCACGATTCTGGCGTCGATGCCAAACTTCTTGAAGGTGACGGTGAACTGGTTGTAGGTACCGCCGTAAAGGAAGGATGTGGACACGAAGTTATCCCCGGCGGAACACAACCCGGAAAGCGCCAAAAACTGGGCCGCGTGGCCGGAGGAGACGGCGACGGCACCGATCCCACCCTCCAACGCAGCTATTCTCTTCTCAAACACGTCGTTGGTTGGGTTCATGATACGGGAGTAGATCCAGCCCTCCTTCTCTAAACCAAACAACTGGGCACCGTGACGCGAGTCGTCAAAGGCAAAGGAGGTGGTGGCATAGATAGGCACGGCTCTCGACTTGGTATTGGAGTCGATCTCCTGGCCCGCGTGGAGCTGCAAGGTCTCAAAGTTCTTGGAAAGCGAAGCAGACATTGAGTAAATAAGGTTAGGGAAATTGAGGGGAAAAAGGTCAATGTGAAATTGAAAAGAGAAAGCATCGAGACTAGGGTTTATATAGGGTTCAAACGGTGAATGAGGGTGATACTTCAGGGGAAGTGTGAGCATCGCACGTGATCTCGTGTAATATTTCGGTTGTGCTCGTGATAGTTCAGCCGGTGCCCCGGTACAGGGGGCCCATGGTGCCTGCAGGTGCAGATCTCAAATAGTGAAATTATCGGAAAGACTCCCTTCGACCTAATCACTTTGGTTATTCCTCGGCGGGTTCGGTTTTGGTTGAATTGGAGATATAGCTGAATCCCGTGTGAGTCATGGTTATTTACGTCCTGCACATGTATACCCCCACCCATGCATGATGCATATTGTAAAGCAGTTCATTCTATTGATAATTGGAGATTGCCCGAAGGGCTGATGGTCATCAGAGATTCTTTCACATTAGGACGCTTAGACAATATAGTTTGTATTACAGGTTGAAGGACGTATAATCCTAGATACTCAGCCACGTTGAAGCCACTCTTTGTGGGTGTCAAAGATGCCGATACCGCATCAGTGGTGAATTTATCCTGAAAGGAACGCATTTAAAGAGGCGGGGTACTGGAGCGGCTCTGAGAGGGCAGGTCAAAGGGTATTTTCCTCAGCCACACTCACACCTTAACAGTCCACACCTTAACAGTCCACACCTTAACAGTCCACACCTCTTATCAGCTCCATTCTCAACCCTTATGTCTTTTATCAACCCCTTGGTTTCCAACCCAATTCCCAACATCAAAGCCGAACTCTTGGCCCATTTCAAGGGGAAGCACGTCAGCTGCCTCCCTACCCCGTCTTTTGTCATCAACAAATCCGTTGTTGAGCGGAACTCCCAACGGATGCTTTCGCTGGTGGTCCAGTTGCAGGCACGTCTGACGGCAAAGATCCAGTTCCGAGGCCATGTCAAGACCCACAAGACGTGGGAAATCCTCAAGTACCAGCTCGGATACGATGCCTCCCCTCACTTCGACAATATTCTCATCTCCACCTTGAATGAGGGCTGGAAAATCATCCAGGAACAGAACAAAAGTGAGAAAAAGTACGTACGCAGCATGGTCTACGGTTTGCCAAACGTCACGTTCGACACCTTGCACCAGTTGACGGCGATGCGCAAACACATCGAGGAGATCATCCTCTTGGTGGACCACCTTGACCATTTGCGCGTGGTGAAAGCGTTCTGCGAGGCCCACAGTTCCTTGCACTGGCCCGTGTTTATCAAGATCGACATGGGTACCCATAGGGCCGGGATAGAACTCGCTGGTGGTAATTTGGCCCCGTTGGTCGAGTATATCAGTGCGAATTCTGAGCTCAGTCTCTACGGCTTCTACGCCCACGCGGGCCATTCCTACTCGTCCAAAACGCTTGAGCAGGCTGAAAACTACTTGTATGATGAAATTAAGGCTGTGACGGATGCCACCAAGCAGATTGGTGGTTCCTTTGACATCTCGAAGCTTGTGCTTTCGGTGGGTGCTACCCCCACGTTGCACGCCCTTTCGCGCTGCTTCCAGGGTGCGAATAACCACAAACTCGCTGCATTGATCAACAATGATCTCTTGGGGGTTCTCGAACTCCACGCTGGCAACTATTGCTGTCTTGACTTGCAGCAGGTGAGCACCGGGTGCACCGATTTGGAGAACTTGTCGGGCTATGTCTTGAGCACCGTCATCTCACAGTACCCTGGCCGTCAGGGTGGCGAGTTGTTGATCAACGCAGGATCACTTGCCTTGTCTAAGGAAACGTCATCGATGTTTCCGGGCTTCGGTAAGATTGACTATTTAAGTGCTCAGCATGGAAATGCCGATACTTTGGCTGTTGTCTCAAATCAGACTGGGGGAGATGGGACTGGAGACTATGGGGAGTGGTATGTCAACAGAGTCAGCCAGGAGCACGGGATTTTGAAGCCATTGGCGGAAACCGCGACAATGATTCCCATCGGAACCAAGGTGAAGGTGTTGCCCCAGCACTTCTGCATCACCTCCAGTTCATACAATGTGTACTATATCATCGACGATGAGAGTGAGGAGAAGATTGTTGATGTATGGGTTCCATGGAGGGGATTTTCGTAGGTAAAGGACATGTTTGAAAGGGTTTATATACAAAAGTCGTATGTTTTAAGTTTGAGATATGATGGGTCCAAGACCTGGCATTGGGTAGAATTTTAAACTCTAGATTTGGGGGACTTGATTATAACCAGCATGACAATAATTGATAATATTCTGGTGTTGCAAAACGTTCTTGCTCGTGATTCACGCACCAATTTTCCCCAAGAATAGTCCCAGGCTAAAACGGGTATAGCATACAGTCCCCGGAACAAAACTCCGAAAATGCGTGCCCGTGGCTGCATGATGCCCGCAGTACATATCGTACGACGGACATATCGTACGACAGGCAAACGGAGGTTAATGTGTTGAGCTCCCTGCCGCGATGACGAGGAGTAGAGCATAATTAAAGCGCTTAAGCCAAATCATTGCGGTTTAACATGGTTCAAGAACAAGTTCCGGGTCCCTTTAGATGTAAAGATATTGTGATTAAAAAAACCTCTGGGGCGCTCCTGCTACTAAAGCGTGTTTGTACAAAAATCTGAAAGTACTGTCTCGCACAAGGCTCAAGGTCACAGCTACAACTTGAATAAGAATGGAATAGTATTAAAGGTGGGTTTGTGAACTACAAACGTGAATCGTGAAGTGAAGTCAGGTCGAGGAACCAAAAGATAAAACCGAGAGGCCTGCGAAGGACTCCATAGAGAAGGAAAAGCCATTGGTGATCGTATAATAAATAAGGGTCATGGAAAAAGAGCAAAGGTTGGGGTGTCAGCTTTCCCTTAAAACCCGTGCTTAAAGCAACATCTGTTGCCGTACGGGCAGAAGCCACCGTTCTTTGTCCAGTTGGCGCAGGTCTTGGATCTGTAGTTGGTGGATCTCTTGACCATCACAAGTTCCTGTTCGCCGTGAGCAAATTGGCACTTGCCTCCGTATGGACACAGCTTGCCGTTGCTCTTCATGTAGGAGGCGCACAACTCGGTCTTGTACAACTCGGTGTTGACCGGCTGCACGGAACTGGCGGAAGAGACGGAAGACTTGGAGGATTGAGCTCTAGCGGAGGGAGCCGCCACATGTTGACACTTTGGGTAGGAGACCGCTGGAACCACTGGCACTGGCGTCTGGAATGGTGCCGGGTACTCGACTCTGGAGAGATTTTCCATGGTCAACTGTGGAGAAACGGTGCCATAGGTGTTGTAGCCGCCGATGTACGCCACTCTATCGTCTGGCTTGGCCAAAAAGCTGCCAAAGTTCTGGGCGGAGGAGACACCGGTAGAGCCGAAACTGGATTTTCTACTGGCAGTAAAGCCCCACAATTCTGGTAACTCGTCAAAGACGTCCGAGGTGTAGAGGTTCTTGTCGTCCTCGTCCTCCTCGGAAAACTCGGAGCCGGAGGTGACTGACGGTGGCGCCTCGATCTCAGAGCTTGGGGCCGTAAAGAAGAGTGACTTTCTAAAGGGAGCCGGGGTAGAGATATCGTAGCCGGGGGTCTGGGTGGCAAAGTCGACGCCAGCACCATAGGGCTCGCTGGTGTGGGCAAAGGATGGGGTGAATTGCTGAGAGTACATGGTAGAAATGGTAGATAAAGTGGTCTAGGATTAAAGATGCAAATGGGTTAGGGGCTTTGCTTTATAAAGTGCCTTAGGGGTACGGATGCGATTTGAAAGGAGTTGGTTTTGCTGTGTCACGCCGGAAAATCTGTTTTGTTAAATACAAAGAGGGGAATGAAACCTCGTATGGGAACTTTGAGCGGCAAAGTAAAGTGTATTTATACTTCTGCAGCCACACCGCCATCGTGCATATGCCCTTAGAGTGGCGTGGATGTCAAACGCTGTGGGCACCTAGGCATATTTTCGAGACTGCGCCTGTCGCCTTCCTAGACGCACATAACGGAGATGACTACGATTTCGGAGCAAAACGCTCATGCCAATTTATCCTACACGCCGAGCGATGAGGTGCTCGCGTGCAGGACGCTCGTAAAAATAAAGTACGATGGCACGACTTTAGAGGCCGCGAGCAGTGCTAGCCCGATATGGAACATGAGCATCATATTCTATGACCTAGATGGCTAATTATTACAACGCAACCCTAACAGATTCAGGACATGGTGGTGATAACCGGCGTGTGTGTTTGACGCCACGATTCTATTCATCGTCTAATAGCAAATATAGCCTTTGCGTGACAGTCATTTACAGATCATCTTGATCTTGCCACAAGGATAACGTATGTCGATACTCGTCAAAAAGGTGGATGTAAAACCGTAAATCTCACATCCCCGCACCACACGTGACCACTTGTGGTAGTACGCCATCTCCAGAAACGAAGGCTTCCACACTTATACCAAAGGCCGCCCCGACTTACACATGTGTGTTATCTGTCCCCGCGAACTATACCTCCTTAGCGCCTGGTATGGCTCTTGGACCCTGGGGCGCTTCACGTGGGTGTTTGTTATATGCATCTCGTGCTTTATCGGCGCTCGTGGAAACTATTGCTGCACCTCTCCGTCTCGCACTTAACGCGCGCGCTGTAGATATCGGAGGTTGTGATGTGCGCTAGGAACCGCGTCTTATCGGGGATAAAGCTTGCGCAGAGTTCCTGAACCACATTCAACGGTTTACCGTAGTGGGTCAGCAAGTGATATTTTAGGATGGTTTAATCCCCTGAAGTGAAGGAAAGAGAAATACGGGCGCTACGGCCCGGTGGGCAAAAACCAATGGTCCCTAGCAGGATCGAACTGCTGATCCCCGCGTTATTAGCACGATGCCTTAACCAACTGGGCCAAGGGACCAATAATTGGGGGAAATTCACCAGTGTCTGGGTGATTCTTGTATAGTCCTACTGTCTTTGAGTCGTTTTAGTTCCGCACAATACGGCCTCTTACATACAATTAGTATTGCGACACGCATCTATTAATTTTGATGGTTAGATTATCACAAAATAAGAAGAACTTCTGTTTTCACTAAATATGATTATAGTTAGTTTGCGGCTCAGAAATGTTGACCAGCTACGCCGTCTGCTGATGACTGTCAACTGGGACTATCCACAACTACCCCTTTCTTGTGTATATCTTACAAATGAAAAGTATTCTCCTTTAGCTAGCTAACAATATCTATTGTTACTTGATATACTGTACTACCTATTTTCTATAAATATTTATATTCCATACGCTTAAACTTTTATCGGATATGCTTATTATATATATATATATGTGACAAGAAAGCCAGAAAAGAGACCACGCATATCGTCCAGGTCTTACTAAAAGTTGTTAATCCAATAATACTTTGCTTACATCCATCTACATACTGTTAACAGGAATACAAACTTAGATTAACTGGGTGGAAATGAGGTGCACTAGAATGGCAGCCATGCGTGAAGCTAGAAGCAGATAGCGGCGTAACTGCCAAACACACAGCAGACAGTACTGAGAGTGATCCCGGCCGCAAGGCCAAGACGCTCTATCTGGGACAATTCTGCATAGAAAATGTGGCGGTAAAACATGAGCGGAAGCGTGATACAGATAGTAAAGCAGATGGCGGAACCAAGGAAGGCCATCATTTTGCCGAAGGAGGTCACGGTGATGGAAATGGTATAGAACATTGCAAAGATAAGCACCTTGAGCAAGAGCTGCTGGATAAAGACCTTGAACAGTGCCCTTTTCAGCTCGGCCTGGTTTTTTAACGCCAAAATCTGCTTGTCAATGCCAAGCACCTGCTCTGCAGCCGTCAAAATCGGCTTGGTCATCAACGGAGCCTTAGAAAGCGGCAATAAACCCATCAGCACGGCAATCACGGTGGGCACCCACGCCGGGTACTTGGTGGTCAACATCAAGTTCTGTGTGATTTCTTCGGCTACATTTACCCCAAACATGAGAAACCCAACCACTGCAAGCCAGATATCCACACCGTAGGAGAACAGGAACGTCACGTTGACACAATGGGTGTACTTGTGCGGGTGTCTCATGTCACGGAAAAGTTCAGGAAACACTGCGTGGCCGCCCCATGGGGCCATGAAGATCCCCAAGCCGAGGAGAATATTCGTGTAGTCCAATGGCCAGGTGTTGGTAACCTCTGGGGCCAACAACGAGCCTGGGGCGCTGATTCCGCCAAAAAATAGCCCACATACCGTGACGAGAACGACAATGGAGGAGGTACAGATGATTCCGATCACCGACAAGAACGATAAGATACTGAAAGGAAGGAAGGAGACAACAAAGGAAATAGCGCAGACAATGATCTTGAAAGAGGTGCTACTCACCGAGGGAACCAAGATTGTGAGGGAGTCAGCAAAGAGCAAGATTAGCGACACACAGGCGCCGACGAGATCAAAGCAAAAGATGAGCGAAACCACGTATTGTCCCTTGGTGCCGTAACAGAACTTGGCAAGCTCCCCATACGAGTAAATTCCATCGTGTTTCGCGAGAATGCGCCCGATGAGCACCGCGGTGTAGCGCGTGGTTAGCGCCGAAAGGGTGAGGAGAATAACCCCGTACACCCACCCGCAGTACTTGAGCCCGAGCGGCAATGAGAGAATACCTATACCCACCATTACGTTGATGGAGTTGAAAATGGTCTGCGGAGCGGTCGAATCGCCGGTAATTTCCCTGAAGGTGGACTTCACGCTAGCCATGGAGGCTCTACGGTGGACGAATCCGTCTCTCTCAACATCGGTGGGTGCTCCGGGAAAGTGGAACGACTGGATGCTATCTATGCCTCTGAGGGGAGCAGGGGAAACCCTACCAGTAAGAACGCTATCGTACTGTGGAGCCGGCGTTGCTAACAACGCGTCATCGACGACACTGGAGCGGGGGGACAAGTCGAAGGCCTCATTATCCACATCGATAGTCATGTAGGTTTGGGCTCTCTTGAAGGATGAGGCAAACTGGTTGATGGAGTTGGGCCCGCCGACGTCCAACACGGAACGTCTGCGTTCGCGGTTGCCAATGTTTGTAGGGGCTGACATGGAGGTATATGCAAGACAGACTTAAAATATAGGCCCTCGGTTGAGATGTGCACTACGGAACTGGAAATGACGCTAAATGCTTGTTTCTTAAAGACTAGCACGGGAGTTTAGGTGATCCGTATGGAAGTGTCAACAGGGTCTAGACCAGATACCTGGTAAAATTTTCGACGATAATCCTCAGCTCTGTGTCGGAGAAAATGATTAGACTGCAGGTGCGTCTAATTGCTGCTCAGGGGGTCTGACTCGGACTACGTCAGGAGTCTACGACCATCATATATCGAATTTGCTATCATTCGAACCTAAAGTTTATAGCGAGTATCACAAATCCCGTGAATTATAAAGCTAAAAACGAGACTTCAATCTATTATCGAGTAATGGGCTTTTTGGCTCAGTGCTTCACACTATCAGTTCGAGTCGCCATGCATGGAAGGGGTCTTTTTTCCATGAGCCATCTGCGTGTCTCGGACTGGTCATGCGTGCGTCCTGGTAAGCCGTGTAGTGAGCCAAGTATGACAGCAACCCTGCAGTTCAGCCAGCATTACTAATCACAAGAGCTCTGGGAACAATAGAAATTATATTAATGTTGGAGAAAACCATTTATTTATAACGGACAATTTAGATATGGAAGCTCGAAAATCTCTACGTTAATAATTATCAAATCTCCCGGGTCTGCAAACTCTTATGAACAATGGTCATGTTAGAGTAAGGTCCAAGAGTTTCATTTCGTTCTGGTGGATTAAAGGCAGTGTGAAATATGTAGTTCTGACCTAACAGCCTACTCGGGGGTAATTGGCATGGTGCAGTATTGGCACTGTTCAAGTGCCAAGGGTCTCGTAATCTATTATGGTGCCCCCTTTAGACTGAGGGATCCTCTCTACGTTGATAATTTGAATGTATGACATTAAGGAGTTGCGAGTTGTAGAAAAGCTGGAGGGAAGAGGAGGGTTGCGGGATTAACGGGAAAGAAAGCGATGTGCTATAATATACAATAAATAGAGGTAGAAAAGATAAATATACGTAAAAATACCAACTACGGGGCAATATCAATGACCTCAGCGGGGTGGAGCAGGGAGGAACATGTCTCCACTACTGGGGAAATCGATATCTAAGCCGTTCGGGTTATCAGAAGACATGAAGTCCAACAAATTGAGATCCAAGTTTGGATTTGACTCAGTGTCCAATCCCGGGTACTGGTTATCGGCGACATTCAAGCCGAGGTTGTTGCTACTTGGATTGAAAGAACGGAACTCAGCGGTGGTCCGGTTATTGTCGGGTATGACGCCGTCGGTTGGTGCTTCAAAATAGGCAGAGCCAGTCCCGTTACCCATCAACCCGTTAGCATCGGCATCGTCAAAGTCAAACGTCATGTACGAGTTAACGTCCATATTAGCGCTCGGAAAACCTGAATAATCCGAAATGTCTTTCAGGCCGTACTGATTGGACGTAGGGTCGCTGGTAGCGTTACTGGCCACATTGCTATTGTACTGGCCAAAGCTAGAGGTGCTCTTTGGGATCGATGGCTTGGCCTCCGAGCTGGCATTTGTGCCGTACGGGACGAAAGTGTTGCCTCCATTCTCATTCGCCGCCCCGGAGCCGGGGTTGCTCAGGTTCTTCGAGTTATGCTGGCCCTCACTATCATCGTTCACACTCGTCGCACGGAGGCTGGCGTTGTATTGCTGGAAGGTTCTGGCACTATCTTCAAGGGTGCTGTCGATTCCATTGGCATTGCCAAGCGTGCTGACAGAATACACTTGTTGGAGATCGTTCCGCGAGTCCCTTCCGCCATAGTCGCTTTCTCCGTGAGAGTACGTGTTCAACGAGTCAGAACTGTCTATGCGGATCAGCACCGGTCTTGACTGGTACGGCTGGGCTGGAGGGGAATTGGGCCCGACGTGGGAGCTGGAAACACTAGTGCTTGACCGCACACTCAGCGTGCGTTTTGGCTTCACCGGATACGGATGGAAATGCGGAGGATAGGCGGAGGCATCATGCTGGGTGTAGAACGACGTATGCGGGTTGTGTCTGGCCTGGCTAGGGTGATGGTTGTGGTGCTGGTGGTGGTGGGCAAGCTGGTGAACGGCCGCGTGCTGGGACCCTGAAAGAGACGTATTGCTACCGTATAGATTCTGGTTGGACTGGCTTCTATTCGGGGTGGAGTACCCACTTTTGGATGGTTTCGGCGACTGGAAACCGGAGCCATATGGCGTGGAAACACCCTCTGATGGCGGTCTGGAGTAGTCCGCGGTCAGCCTTGTGAGGTCTGTTGGTTTGGCCGACAGAGTCCCAACCAAGGGGAACAATGGAAACATGCCACCGGCACTAGCGTCTAGCGGGGAAATTTTCCCGCCGTACTGCGACGAAGGCGAGAACTCCAGAGAGCCGGGGGTCACCTCGTCGTAGGTTCCGGTTTCGTAGTCTGCCTGAGGCCTCGTCTGGATGTCCGCGAAGAGGTCGAGTAAACCGCCAGATTCCATGAACGGAAGAGGAATGTCGCCCAAGACGTGGTTGATATCCACCTCAGAGTACGGGTTGACGATTTCATCAAGCGAGACGCTCACTTCACCAACGCGGGGCTGGGTGTGAGAGGTTATAGGTGCAGCAGAGGCAAGCGACTCAGCACCAATGGCCCTGGTCATGGAATCGTCCACAGACCGCATCTTGACAATGTCCAACTTGTTCATGTTAGACGCGATAGACGAGGAACTGGAGTTATCTGTTGTCCCAGACTCAGCCTTGATTCTGGAGGCTAGCTTGGCCTGGATCGGAAGATCATAGACGGGGGTTCCGTTTTTAGCGCTGTTCGTCCCAGATTCGTTACCAGAGTCGACAATCGCATCGATATTCGCAAACTTCGGCAGTTCACCCGCGATCGCAGGCGAGGAAGACGAGGAAGGGGGTTTCAGACCCGGTTGCTTCTTCTTCTTGGCAGTACAGGTGCAGTGGTCGCCGACCATGCAAGGACAACCCTGGGAGTGGTTAGGCAACAGCGGGTCCGTTTTTTTCGCACAGCTACAAGCGGCGTGGGTGTTGGTCAGCTGGCGCGAGTCTTTACAATGTGAACACTGGGTGGAAGGACGGCCCTTGCGTTTGATCATCATAAGAGGCTGGTCAGTGTGGGTGCAGGTGGAGACCCTGTGGCCACGAATACACCGCTAAAAGGTTAGTATGATGTGGGATGGCGAAGTTAGGAAGGATAAGCGCAGTGATGATACATTATGGCTTTAGCTGAGGACCTCCACAGCAGTTCCATGGATCCTAGAAATAACAGTAATGTGTGTTGATCGAAAGACACATCGTAGCTGGTAACTTCAAAGATTAGAAGGGACCGCCTCCCTGGCACCGTTCTGTCGAAAATCCTTCCACTCCAATCTTGATAATAAAAACATACCTCACAGGCGTACTTAACACCGTTGATAAGAACCATAGTCTATATGGGTTCCAGTAGCATATATAAGACACGGAAAGCTGGCGGGACTCGAAAAGTTGAATGTTGCGGTTTGTCGCCGGTGCACAGGCTCGTACGGGGATGGCGAGGCGGGATGTATATTGGTGGGTCAGAAACGTTCTGATTACGCAATTTGAGAGCGCTGGGTCGGGTAGATGTCACAAACTATTCCGGATTACTTGTATTTTGCGTGTTGGCAATACGTATTCTTTTATGGGACGCACTTATGTATGGCTTGGCGTCTTCTCGGTAAGTACGGGGCCAATTTAGACATTTCTCAAATTTTTAATTTTCTGTCCTGCACACGCTCAGACCGCTCTGGACACAGAGCGGGGCAGGCATCCGCGAAAATTCGAGAGTCTCATGCGACATTGCGTGATGCCGCTTCGGAAGCGTGCAGAGAGTGCGAAAAAATTTTCCCTGTGTGACACCAGGAGTGGCTGTGAACGCGCGGTAGCGCCACGTTCGCAAATATGCCTCACGTTGCTTCGGCTCTTGGAACAGCGGCTGAAAACTCTCGACTCACATAGACCTCCGAATTGTAGATCAGTGCGGGTAACACATATGATTGGTGTAAGTGTGAGCACAAGTTTGGTTCTAATAGACCGCACACGACCCAGCATGGTTGCCGCGGTGACTCATTCTAAAACAAGCCTTTTCGAGACATGTCGTGTATCGTATACATGCTCCGAGAACCGTGTGTTATCATTTGTAGGATGTTGGATGCAACCGATCGAGATTCACATCAGTTGTTGGGTATTTAATCATCAAGCTTGTTTTGTTTTAGAGTAGCTACAGAGATGTTTCGATATCCGCGATAATATCTCTGTTCTGCTTGAGATCACTCGGGCCGGTGTTCGGCTTCATCCCACTCCTCAAAGAGATGCGTGCATCGGATGTTTGTCGTGCTAAAAATAGCGGTTCACAAGGCCCTGGCTGCGTTGCAAGCCGAGTTCCGAATAGCTGGTAACAGCGGCTACGCGAGGGGCCTGTAGAAAACTATGAAAAGTCGGTATGCGTTACATCTTCCCTGACCAATACTACTGAAGTCTCAAGGCAGCAACAGATGGTTACATAGACATGGGGCGATTACTCGTCTTCAGAAACGGTGAAGGTCAGGCTCTGCCCATTGTTTCATTGTCGGAATGCTTGTTCTTGGACACAATCGGGATGCTTCCAAGCTCCACTTCTGGGCCGCTTCGTAGTAATAAACGTAGGCATCCAAGTTTGCATCTGGTAAAGCGAACTTCACCCCTAACGCCGAGATAGTTTATTCCCTGCTACGTTAAACCTGCTTTGATTAAACAAGGAGTTCATAGTACACTTTGCCCCAGCTCCACTTCCATGATTGGGCGACCCCAGCTTTGGTTCCCGAGACGGTGGTTGGTCCAGGAGCAAATGTTATAAGAACTGTACTAAAGAATGAAAGCAAACTACTGGCCGTAGTTATGGTATATCAGAATGGATATCTCTACGATAAACAAGCACCTAAGATACCAAAGGTTTAGTAACACTGTATCAGTACTGTGTATCGTTGTATACTAACAAAGTCAGATATACGACTTAGAGTCTGCTTAGAGGCTCTCTGATGAATCTACACTTAATGCCATCAAAGCCTTGCAGCTCCTATTGTGATGTGTTTGATAAGCCGCTTGGAAAACCAACCTAGACCATTTACATGAACCTTCCCTTATCCAACATCTACCTTTGTATTACTTTCTCTCGCCAGTGCAGTAAAGGTACTATTTAACCAGACGAAAGTCGGAGTCCACTACCTTCTTACCTCCGATAAGCGAATACCTTGGCATCGTACCCGCCTCTGTATATAGGGCCACTGACTACCCTTCTCTTGTGTATATCTTACATATGAAAAGTATCCTCTTTTTAGCTAGCTAACAGTATCCACTATTACCTACTAGATATATCACAACTAGTAAATACCAACGTTTGGTACCATCCAAAACTGCTATGATGTTCTGACCAATACACATATGCGTTCAGACAGCTTACTGAACTTTAGGCAGCTCGTTTATACTATCCACCCCGAGCTTCCATCCCCGAGCTTCCAATTCCTCGGTTAGCTCCCCAAATACTTGCTGGGCATTCAACCCGCTTCGAATAAAAGGATATCCCTGGCCTGTAAGATGAAGCCCATACCTCCCATCTTGGTTCGGCAAATGGGCCAAAATCTTTTTATACATCACATAGCGGTACACGTAATCTGGCAAACCCTTCTCTTTGTCACTAAGGTTGGCGTATTCCCTCTCTAAGCTCGACACGAACAGTGTTTTCAAACACCTCGCAGGTCTACCCGACACAAGCGGCGTGATAATGGTGTCCGTGTACAGCCCTTCAACCTGCTTGCTAAAAGTCCTGCTAACTATTGATTCAGGCGTTCTGAGAAAAGCAGTACCCATCATGACGCCGCCAGCTCCCAAGGAAAGAAGAGATTCAATGACTGTCCCATCCATGATTCCTCCCGCTGCGATAACCACAGGGGGGTTCTGAAGCCTTAAGCCGTTGACCTTACCGAGTACTAGCTGGGTCAACGCAAACGTCGAGAGATTTTCCGTGCCGTTGGACAAATCAAAACTACCTCTGTGGCCACCCGCCTCATCACCCTGGCACAATATTGCATCGACACCGGCGTTCAACAAGACATCGACTTCGGCAAGTGTTGTGGCACAAACGTGGACCGCAATCCCTAAACCCTGCAATTTCCCAATGAATTCCTTTTCAGGGCAGCCAAAATGGAAGCTGACCACTTTTGGTTGGTAGTGGGCCAAGAGAGCTAGCACTGCGGCCTCCATCTTGTGTTTGGACCGAGCGGCAAGAAGCGATCTGCTAGTGGTGGTGATCTCCGACACCAAATCCCCAGAAATCCGATCCGGTCCCAGCAAGGATTTATTCACCAAACTAACCCAGTTCTCAACCTTTCGTTTCTGGGGTGGAGTCTCTCCGCAACTGGGATCAGACTTGTATTCGTGGTAGAAGAAGTTCAAGTTGACATTTCTGTGCAAGTCAGGGTTAGGCACAAGAGACTGGAAGCTTTTCAACAAATCTTCAATTGGGCCTACTGTGGTGGTAAAGTCAACACCACCCAAAGGAATCGAGCCAAGACCACCATGGTTTGTAATGGTGGCGGCAAGCTGGACCGTGCTAACCCCAGCCATTGGAGCTTGGATGATGGGGTATTTCAATCCAAGAGACTGCACGAAGCGGCAACTGTTTTGGTATCTCGACATGGATGTGGTAAAATTAGTATAGAAATGGTTTTAGCGTAGTCTTGTATAATTTGAGTCTCAGGTGTAAAGAGGTATGAGAAACATCCTTAGTCCTAGTGTTCCCCACAGTTCTGCCTCTACACGTCACAGCGTGCGTATACAATTTATCATGTGATATGACTGTACATAGAAGCTATCCCTCATCTCGTATTGAAACATTTTAATTATGGTACTCACAAACAAACAAAAATTTAATTAAATACTTTGAAGGCACGCCAAAGTATTACTGCTCAGAACTTTTGGCGCAGTCCCCTAGATCCCACTCAATGCGACACAAACTGGAAAGCAAAAGAGATATCGTCAAAATTCGCTTCATTCTCAAGCAAGATATCGCCAGATTTAACCAACCCGTCGTGGTTGATATGATTCCACGTTGTTGCGTCACCGTAAAGCATTGCTGGTGACTTGATAAACTGGGACCCGTTGCGACAACGTTTGCACTTATATGTATCATGTGTGTCACAAATCGCCTCCGGCGAGAACTCAAACAATTTTTTCAACCCATCGGCGGTAAAATGTCTATCAACATCCTCTGCTTCGTCAACTACACACGACGAAAGCGACATCTTCATCGACTGTCTCTGGAAAATCTTCTCCTCGATGGTGCCTGTGGCAATGAAACGGTAGATGAAACAACTCTTGGTCTGGCCGTCTCTCCACACCCTCGCCAACGCCTGCTGATCGGCAGCAGGATTCCAATCTGGGTCAAACAAAATGAGCCTGTTAGCGCCAATCAAGTTGATCCCACACCCGCCGGCCTTGGAACTGAGCAAAAAGATAAACTCATTCCCTTCAGGATCATTGAACTTGTCCACTAGCTTCTGTCTTTTATTGATGTTTAATGTGCCATCCAATCTGAGAGCACCGTACTTTCGATACCGACACATTCTCTCGATCAAATCCAACGTCTGGGTATAGTTCGAAATCAACACAATCTTGTCGTTCGTCTCCCTCCGCATCTTGGCAAGGAAACGCTCTAAGATCGCAAATTTACCGGAAAACCAAGTCTGGATTTCGCGGTTTCTCCCACCACCGCCTCGCAACGAGTTCAGATAGTCGTCGGGAATGAACTCCTCAGAACCCTCGACGTCCTCCGGTAAGTCGAGTAAATCTGGATGGTTGCACAACTTTTTCAACATACCAATAGCTTTCAACGGTTGCGAACCCACACCCTTCATCAACTTCCTGATTTCAGGACTTGTGATGAAATGGTTGTACACCTGTTCTTGCATTGGAGCCAAGCGGCAAAATACCACATGCTCGAACTTTACCGGAAGGTATTTGGACAAAATGTCGTTGGTTCGACGAATGATAAACTTCGACACCACCCCTGAGAGCTCTGCTAATTTGGCATCACCCTTGGCCCTTTCAGCATCCGACGCTTCAGCATCTCTCCCGCGCAAAATGGCCAACTCAAAGTTCTTTCTAAACTCGAGCTTGGACCCAAGAAGCCCGGGGTTGGAAAAATTGAGCAACGAAAAGTATTCTGATAGATCATTCTGGATTGGCGTACCCGATAAAATCACTCTCCGCGCGCAGTTGAGCGAGTCAAGGGCTGTGAACGTGAGTGATTCACCGTTCTTTAATCGATGACCCTCGTCGGCAAGCAACAACCCGACCTCTATGCCGGCCAACTTGTCCATATTGCGTCGCAACGTCTCGTAACTGATGATCAAAACGGGCCTCACAATGTTCCTTCCCCTGGCACTGGCCCATTGAACCAATGCATTGCTCAAATCGCCAGGCTTGGTTGACTTACCGTCAATCGCCAAGGGTGTGAGTACTCCTTGGCCAAGCCATTTGACGATTTCATTCGCCCAGTTTCTCACCAACGACGACGGACAGACAATGATGCACTTATCGATTGTTCTCTTACCCCTAGGGCCCTGTTTGATCAAGGTCCAGAGCAATGCAATGCACTGAAGCGTCTTTCCTAGCCCCATTTCGTCAGCCATAATGCACCCCTTAGCCCTAGGGTCGATTAAACCTGCCGTACAGCGGTACAAGAATTGCACACCAGCCACCTGGTGCGGTCTCAAGATTTTGGCGAGCTTTGGGTCAATCACAACCGGTACATTGGGGTGTTTGGACATGTCATTAGGGTCCGTATTGATACCTAAGATCTCCGCAAGAGACTTGTGGGTTTTATGGCGTTTCACCGCCTGTTCAGTTTCCTCTTCGGGTGTTTCTTCTTTCTTTTCCTCCTCTAGTTGGGGAATAACGTCTACCGTAGGGTCATAAAGCACAATGGCAAACTCGCCAGTGGGGTCATGGAGCGCCCGGGGAACAAGGACTGGCATTCTTCTGGTGCCTAGCGGTGGCGGCGGAGGTTTGTACCCACCTTCATCCCTTTTGTCTTTGGATAATGGAACCGCAAAACTCTTCATGAGCTTTAGTTCTGCATTTGCGCCTGTTTCTCCGAGAAGCCGGCGGGACAGAAGGGCACCGATTCGCTTGGTGACAACCACCTGGCTACCGTACACGTCGAACGCAACACTGGCATCCCCGTCGCTTTCCTGGTGGTCCTCCACGTACGAAACAGGAGCGCGCGTGCGTGCCATTCTAGCTGGGAGCTTCGAAACATGGTTAAGTTTGTGGCGAGGCGCGACGGGGACCTTGAACGGCTTGGCGAGACGTTCAAGGGGGTTGGTGACGGCCTTAGGACGGAGGTGCGGCGGAAGGGCAATCCCTGCCCGGAGTTCGTTTACCGGGCCGTTGAGCTTCTTGGGGGCCATGTCTTGCTTAATTCAAGAGACTGTGGTTGGGTGTATGTTTTTTTAGGAACACCAAAAGTAAACTCTGGTGCTGTAGTATGCCGAGAAGCGAAGATTGGGCGAAAAAATATTCCCAGGTTTCAAAGAGTAGGATTCTATGGAATACCGTCTATCGAAAAAAAACTGAAGTTTGACGGCTGAAGCGCTTTCTGGGATTGGGTTCCGGGCTGATGCTGTCACAGATTATACTAACGTGATCGAGATAAATACCAAAAGGGTTAAATCAAGGTAGAGGCAATTCTCTCAGTGAGGTACTGCAACAGGTTACCAAAAAAAAACGTTGTTGTTTCAAGGATATCGGATAGTGCTTTGGCGTAAAGGGCAATTTCCAGGTTTGTCTTGGGGGGCAAAAACTGGTAGGGCTGGCGGCGAGGTGCTGGAGCGGTATGAGTGGCAAAACTATAGATACCTTGCGTTACGGTTTGAATCTGAACTAAACCCTTCGTTGGTGCTCGGTGGGTAAACAGGTTTATATTGTGTATGTTTGCAGCTAATGATTGTCATGGTGCAGCATTTTTTTGTTGTCTTGTTTTGCGGTGGCGCGACACGTTAGCCGCGTGAATTCCAAGGTCACGTGAATTCCAAGGATACGTGAACTACAAGGTCACGTGAAGTAATAGAACGTGTGAACAATGAGGATGTGTGAATTACTAGAACGTGTGAATAATGGGGATGTGTGAATTACGACGCGTAAATTACAAGGTCACGGAATTATTCAAACGTCAAAAAGGCTTTGCCTATAAGATTTAGTAGTGACAGTGGGGACGTCGAGCTGTCTGACCCCTCACAAGTACTACTGGTTTATTTTTGTTGAATCTTTAAAATAAGTATAAAATGGCATTTAAGTTTTAAAAAAATCCTTAAAGGGCTAGTTCATTATTTTTCATTTAGCTATTCTGAGACTATCCTAGCTCCCTAAATCAACAAACCCAGATCTTATATATCTGGTTCGTCCCATCTTGTAGGGTGTAAAATGCCCACGCCAGCGCTTTGTTCTCTAACCCTTCTAACAGCCACACCTGTGCGTACGTTAAAGGTCTTGTGTAGCCCGTATGGCTACAGTATTTACCGATAGGATTGAAACGCACTATCTTGCTATTCAGCCCTCTAGGCCGTAAAGGTAACTATCTCTCATTAGCTTACAGGCAGAATCCAACATATAGGGAGATTATAAGCATTCATCAAGTTAAAGCTCTGGATATATAATACACAGGAAGAAAAGGATTACGACTGGGTGCTTAAAAGATGCTCAAAAGAGCGGAAAGGCCCAAGACACCACCGATCAAGGCAGAAGCCTTCCAGTTGCCTGGAGCAGCAACGCCGGCGGCACCAGCCTTGGAGGACGAGGAAGAGGCGGCACTAGCCTTGGAGGACGAGGAGGCGGCACTAGCCTGGGAGGACGAAGAGGCGGCACCACCAGCAACACTGGTTAAAGACTTGATGTCGCTTTTAACTTCACTGGCGACGGACTTTACGTGCGAAGCACCGTTGGTAGCGGCAGACTCAACGTGGGTAGCAGCGTTGGTAGCGACAGACTCGATGTGGGAAGCAGCGTTGGTTGCGACAGACTCGATGTGGGAAGCGCCGTTGGTTGCGACAGACGCCACGTTGGTAGCAACATTGGTAGCGACAGAAGCGGCACCTGCAGTAGCCTTGGTGAAGACGGAAGCAGCACCTGACGCGACCTTAGTGGCAACACTGTCGATGTCACCAGCGACAGACGCGATACCGCCAACAGCGGTAGTCAAAGCACCGACAACGTCGCTTAAGATGTCTCTGTTTTGGATTTGGGCTTGGTTGAGGGCAAGAGCGGTCATTATATTGGAAAAAGGTGAGTGAGGAATATGCGAAACAGATTTAAAACGTAGGCAAGGGATGGCTTTATATTTGAGAGGAATCCCAACTGGGTGTTTTCAGCAGGATGTCAACACGCAGCAAGGTAAATCCCGCATCTAGAATATGGCGAGGCTGGTCACAGGACAGCTCTCCAGTGTCTAGGCTGTGCATATGCAAAACAGCATGCAGCAGTGCTCAGCCTGTCTGTTCCACATTTGCGTTTCACAATATTTCCAGAAATTTTATTCAAAGGCAAATTTTAATGGGAGTTTGAGAGTAGCCAGTTATCTATACTATCAGTATATATTTGGTAGTCTCATGTGATACAGAGCCAGTTTCTGGTCACGTGCTCGTGTAACACAGCGGAAAGTGGGATTCCGCGCGTACCCCCCAGAGTGGTAAACAAAGTCATCGTGCGAAACTTCGATCGACAGAAATCGGCCAAACGCTGCACTTACGCCAGATCCGCATTATGGTTCTCACGGCGTTGCACCTATAGGCGAAAATAACCTTCGACCTTGCTTCCACCGAATCTCGTCAATAGAGATATCTGATATTTCTGGCACTGTGTATACATGACTAACTACCAACCGTGGAATTATGCTGGGTACTTGAGGCTGGCCTTAAGCGTTTCCTATTCCGGGCCATATTTGTAATAGCTCCTCGGAATAAACCATACTGTGGCGCAGCAATTTATAGGCGGCGGGTAACGGAGAGGCAAACAGGCTTAGACGCAACTTAAGGGCTTTGGCAAATCCCTGACATTGCGGTATATCCAATAGATGGCTGTCTAGTTAGCTTCAAATATTTTTAGACATGGTATATCCAAACAGAGAGATCGAGAGAGGCATCAACAGACACTCTCCGGTAATCGTTTGACCTATGCCGAGTAAAGAGCTCCCAAGAACCAAGATGAACTAAACCACAATTAAATGTCTCTACAATAACCAATCCTGTGAGAATTGCCAATTCATTCTAAATTGAAGCATATCTATATACTGACAAACTATTTCCCTCTGGTGAGAGCAGCCTCAGACTGTATTGTATTAGCGTCGCTATTTAGGTGATGCTTGGAGCCACGACGCAATCCACAGCGCCCAAGCCGAAGCCTGAGGTAGCACAGGTGATTAGCCAGTGCAATGCTGAAACGGATGAGTTAACTGTAGCCGATCCTCATCGACTGTAATAGTTGTGAGGAAAGGAAAGGAAGGAATGGAAAAGAGCTGGACTATGTTGTCCCTTTTATAGTGGAGAGGAGAAAGGTGGGGGAAGGCCAAGATCCGAGGTTAGGCCTAATTGGGTAGCATAAGTATCGCACCGCCGTGGGACATATGCCACTTCCGAAACTTTCGCGGGACCGCTCCACCATTGCTTATTCGAGAACCATTGAGCTGTCAGGATAAGCCCTTCCTCTCTCCATGCGTTATAGCTGAAGTGCTCAAGGGCTTAGATCGATGTCCGTAGTCCTGTAAATGTCTATTTTTCAGGAATCGACACAGAATAATGGGCTTGGCTAAACTGCTTAATTTGCTGTACATAAACGTGGCACATAATCGATACTCATAGGTCGCGTATCAGAGCCGAACCCTCGGTAAAGCCAATTTACTAACTGTCAAGGTACAAAACCGTCGAGAATAGCACTCAAAAATACCCGTGCACCCTATAGGGCTATAAAACTTTCCCAGTGCGTCTCCTTTTAGATAATCCATAACATTACAATGAGATTGTGTGCACCTCAGTTGTTTCTCAAGGTTCGCGAAAACAGGGGAACATATTAACCCCAACTGCCCAAACATTGGTAAAACCTGAGAAGTCATAAAAATCAAAAAATAGATTTTGCGAATATCCACCTAGTATAACCTCGGAGGTACCATTGAGCGGAAAATCTCAACCCCGTTGAGTATATTCACAATTCAAATTCCCGTCTGCTCCCACCAAAATCCAAACTTTCCACAACACTGCCGCATCGGACGATGCCGACATACTATAGGCATGGCATTAATCGCATGTTACTGACGGTGGAGATATCCATTCACATATAAAAGTAGAGTACGATAATATACTGACATAAAATCTAAGCTTACTGTCGGACATGGTCCTCAATCTCCCCCAAAAATAAACACCTTCTATTCAAGTTTATTCCTCCTGCACACCTGGTCTCGTGCCCCTACCGCGCATAATTTTCATGGCACCGTTTTTCTATGCCATGAAAATTGGCGGCTGTCAGCCTTTATTACAATTCGCTCCATAAACCCTTTGCTTCGCTCACTGCTATAATGACATCCGAATCATGGGATGAGATGTTTCTCTCCCTTGAGAAACTTATATTCAGTTCGTCCACCAAGGTGAGAATCCCCACCTTGACCAAAATTGCCGCACTTCTCACGGAGCAGCCTTCGCCGATCCAGGACTCTGAGGTGCCGAAGATCGCGGTCCTATTGTTGAAAACCTACTATCTGTACCTGGACCTCAAGTCCAGAGCGGCGGTTGTCGCCGTTTTCATGCTGCTTTTGCAGAGACAGCCGCTCCTCTTGCCCAAGCTCATCAAGTTTGTGTCTGACATTGCGCAGTCGGGCAGAAACTTTGCCATTACGGATGTGCTCACGTTGTTGGAGTGGATCAACCGCTTTGCAGTTCATGCCGCGGAAACGGCGCAATTTGCCGCACTCGCGCAGGACATCATTCTCGGGCAAGCGTACCTTCTCGCGGCCTGTGTCGACCACGCCGCGACTGCACACCAGGACAAGAAGAGAAAGAAGGAGAGCGCAGTGGCCACCACAAAGGCCGCCGTCCAGCAGATATTGGCCGCGCCCGATGCGTTGGCCACCTATATCCAGACCTTGACCACAACCAAGCTCCCGCTTCACGTGGCGTTGTCCATGGTAGCGGTGGTCTCCAACGCCGTCGTAGACCTCCAAGCATCTGCCCCGGCGCTCCACCAGACCTTTATCGACACCTGTAAGCCGCTCGTGTTAGAGTTCTACAATACCCAGGTGGTGTTGGCCAAGTCCGCACCGTCCCAGGACGCACTCGCGCTCTTCGGTCAGGCATTTGTACACCCATTCGTGTCTCTCCAAGACCTCCAGCAGACCGTCCCCCATTTAGAGAAGGCCAATTTGAGATCCCCGGAGGTCTCCTTCGGCCACATCACTTACGAGTTGTTTGCCAACTTGGCGGGGGACATGAATCTCCTCTCGGTATTGACCTCCTCCAAGCTCTTGGCCCAACTCTTGTCGTCCTTGAAGGCGTCCAAGGAAGTTACTAGGGCCGGTGCTTCCGAGACCGCGCGGGTCATCTTCGCCCAACACTTCTTCGTGAAATCGGAGGCTGACGAAGCGGAATCGTTAAAGATACTTTCCGAGATCTTTAAAGCCTTAAAGACCGCGTCTAACATCGACCACAAGTTGGTCTATGCTCAGGTCATTGCCGCGTTGCCTACCAGCGAGAAGGTTTCTGCGCAGGTGTTGGCCGAATTAGTCACCTACGCCGCCAAGGACCAGAACGAAACCACCTTGGCCGCGTTTTTGAGGCCGCTCTTCAAACATTTCTTTGCCTTTGCTGATGACAAGGTATCAACTGCCGTACTCGCTGGCTTGGCTGACAAGAAGCTCAACTTGAGAAAAGCCTGGGCCACTGAACTCGCTCAGGCTGTGGTCATTCCAGGCTCGCTTGCTTTCCTCATCAAGGCTTACCCTACGCTTGTAGCTGCGTTATCCGAGTGCTCCAGTGCCCCATTGCCGGCTGTGGCCAGTAGGGCGATTTCTGCTGCCTACGCCACGTTAGCCATCTCCGCCATCCCCGAGCTCGCGCAGTTGGCGACCGATGCCAACGTCTTCGGACTTGCCTTAGCCGACGGTGAAAAGCCCTCCGTTCTTACAAACCCTCGTGTGTACGTCAAGTTGACCTTCACCGAGGACCAGTATTGGTTTGTCGAGGCGTTAAAGGCCGCCGCTCCCCGCGTCTCCAAGGAAACCGCCCCTGCCTTCACCAAGGCCCTTCTCTACGCATCCATGTCCAACAACATTGCGCTGTCCGTCAAACGGACCGCGATCACGCTCATCCGCGAGGCGTACATTGCCAACCAGGCGTTGATTGGGAATGGCATCACCGAGGGCATCAAGTCGCTCTTGCTCGGCGAGTTTGCGAATGTCAGCGAAGACGAATTGAAGTTCGAGATGTTTGGCATCTCTCCGGTGTTGAACTCTCTCACCTTGTGCCACTCCGAGGGCATCGTCCGTGCCATCTTGTCCCAGGACCTCCAGAACTGTTTGATCATCGCACACCACCAGGCCGTAAAATTGAAGAATGGCTGGGTCGGTTTATGCCAACGTGCAGGCTTTGACCCAGGCGACGTTGTCAAGGAGAACAAGACAGCCATTGTGGGCTCATTGGGTGAGATTCTCTTGAGAACCACCCGCACCGAGCAGCAGAGCAACATGCACCACTCCGCCTTGGCGGCGTTGAGCACCGTGGCGTTCATCGGCTCAGACGAGGTCTCCCCGTTGATCTTGGATCTTCTCCATGACGATCTCAGAGCGTCCAACTTCGAGTCTATCACCCCGGAGGATATCCGCGTCTGGCAGGGCAAGGAGGGCGAGATGGTTGTTAATGTGTTGGACACCAACGAGAAGAAGAAGAAGGTTGAAGACAAAAACTCCAAAGACTACGAAACCAAGAAGTGGGAGGAGAGCGTCAGAAACGAGATCGCCAAGAAGGCCGTTACCAAGCCAAAGAAGTTGACCAGAGACGAGCAGGCCTTGGTTGGCGACCAGCTTGCCAAGGAGTCTGTCATTAGGGCCGCCGTCCAGGCCAAGTGTAACTCCTTGCTCAGAGGCGTAGGTGTTATCAACTCTTTGGCCGAGGAAGCTGGCACCGTCGACAACGGTTACGCCACTTGGTTCCCGCTTGTGGTGAACATGCTCTTGCCTGTTATCCAGGGCCCCACCTCCTCCGCTCTTGTCGGCGACTTGGCCGTCAGGGCGTTCTTGAACTTGTCCAACGTCATCTCCGCCCGACTCGGCGCTGTGCGCTACTTCTTGGGTTCCGCCACCTTGAGACTTCTCGAGGTGAGCAACCTCCCTGAAAACCTCCAGGAAGAAGACTTGTTGGACCTTGTTTCGCGTGTCATGTTCAGAGTCAAGATCCTTTCTGACCAAAAACCGTTGGACTCACTCTCGTTGATCTACATCCTCCCGTTGTTGATCAAGGTATTGGAGAATGGGCAGATCGCTGCTGTAAAGAGCTCCACCAAGGCAGCCGTCACTTCGGAATTCGCGGATGAGGACAGAGAGGAAGAACAGCTCATGTTGTCGTTGGAGATCTTGTCAACCCACAGTGAGTTGTTCGAGGACAGTAATGTTCCCCGTAAGGAGATCTTGGCCATCTTGCTCTCGTTGATGAAGCTCCCAGCGAAGGCTAAGCTCGCCAAGGAGTGTTTCCTCTCTATGTGCCAACATATTTCCGTCGACACCACTCCAGAGGACATCCAGATGCTCTTGCGTGCGACCGTTGCACCGGAATCCTTTGTCCGTAACGCCGTGTTGGAAGTCTTGGACGCTGAGTTCGACCTTGCCGCCGAGATGGGCTATGCCAGTGAGATCTGGATCGCTGTCCACGACAACGAGCCGCACAACGCGCTTTTAGCCTCCACCATCTGGCAAGAGAACAGCTTCAGCGTGGATGCGGAGTCCCCGGCCAAGTTGATGGCCTTTTTGGGTAACGCTGACGGGGGGTTGCGCTTGTCTGTCGCGAAAGCGGTCTCCACAGCCATCAGCTACTTGACCGACTCCGACTCCGCCGTGTTTGCCACCTCCCTTGACGCCTTGCTTGCTCTTTACACCCTCAAGGCCCAGCCTCCAGCGCCGATCCTCGATGCCTACGGGGTGGTCATCAAGGCTTCGACCGAACAAAGGGACACCTGGGAGGAGCGCTCGGGTGTGGCGTTGTCTCTCAAGCTTCTTGCCGGGCTATTCAGTGAAACGTCGGTCACCAAGTTCTTTGGCTTCCTCATCGAGCAAAAGGCCTTGGGTGACAAGGAGTCGATTGTGCGCCAGGAACTTCAGGATGCCGGTGTGGAGGTGATCAACGCGACTGGTGCCTCCACCATCGAGTCCTTGATCCCTATTTTCGAGGCCTGCCTCGCGGCTAAGGACGAAGGCAGCCGCATCCAGGATCACATCAGAGAAAGTGTCATCATTCTTTACGGTGCCTTGGCTCGTCACTTGGACGCCTCCGACCCTAGATTGATCCAGATTGTTGACAGATTGGTCAAGACCCTCGATACCCCTTCGGAAGACGTCCAGTTTGCCGTTTCTGAGTGTCTTGCACCGTTGGTCAAGATGTTCGAGCCGAAGTTGCCTGCCTACTTTGACAAACTTTTCGAAAAGTTATTCTCCGGTAAGTCCATTGCCGTCAGACGTGGTGGTGCCTACGGTATCGCCGGTTTGGTCAAGGGTGCCGGGATCAAAGCCTTGGCCAATAACGACATCATCCGTAATTTGATCGATGCCGCTGAAGACAAGAAGGATCCTAAGCGCAGAGAGGGTGTTGCGTTTGCCTTTGAGTGCTTGTCCCAGTGTTTGGGCAAGTTCTTTGAGCCGTACGTCATTGAAATTCTCCCGGTGATTCTCAAGAGTTTGGGTGACACCGCCCCAGAGGTCCGTGAGGCCACTGACTACGCCACCCGTTCGATCATGAAGCACACCACTGGTTTCGGTGTCAAGCAATTGATTCCGCTTGCAATCGAGAACTTGGACCAGGTTGCCTGGAGATCCAAGAGAGGTTCGGTTGAGTTGCTTGGTTCCATGGCTTACTTGGACCCGGCGCAGTTGTCCTCCTCCTTGGCCACCATTGTCCCTGAGATTGTCAGTGTGTTGAATGATTCCCACAAGGAAGTGCGCAAGGCCGCTGATCAGTCGCTTAAGCGGTTCGGTGAGGTTATCCGCAACCCAGAGATCCAGAAGCTTGTGCCTACATTGATCAAGGCCATTGGCGATCCAACCAAGTACACCGAAGCCGCTCTTGACGACTTGATCAAGACCCAGTTCGTCCATTACATCGATGGCCCATCTTTGGCCCTTATCATCCATGTCATCCACCGTGCCATGGTGGAGAGATCCGCCAACACCAAGCGTAAGGCCTGTCAGATTGTCGGTAACATGGCTATTCTTGTAGACACCAAGGATCTCCTTCCGTACTTGCCACAATTGGTTAGTGAGTTGGAAATCTCTATGGTCGATCCAGTTTCTGCCACCCGTGCCACTGCGGCCCGTGCCTTGGGTTCCTTGGTTGAAAAGCTCGGTGAAGAACAGTTCCCAGACCTTATCCCGCGTCTTTTCTTCACCTTGGAAGACGAGTCCAAGGCTGGCGACCGTCTTGGTTCCGCCCAGGCCCTCGCCGAGGTTATTTCTGGTCTCGGTGTCGGCAAGCTTGACGAATTGCTTCCAAAGATTTTGACCGGTGCCACGTCGGTCCGGTCCTACGTCCGTGGTGGCTACATGCCCTTGTTGTTGTTTCTCCCTGTTTGTTTCGGTAACCAGTTTGCTCCATACCTTAGCCGTATCATTCAGCCAATTCTTAACGGTTTGGCGGACATCGATGAGGCTATCCGTGACACCGCGTTGCGCGCCGGTAGGTTGATCGTCCGTAACTACTCCACCAAGGCTGTCGACTTGTTGTTGCCTGAATTAGAGGCGGGGATGGCTGATTCGAGCTACCGTATCCGTCTTTCCTCTGTCGAACTTACTGGTGAGTTGCTCTACCAGGTTACCGGTATCAGTGGCAAGACTGAACTCTCCGAGGAACAGTCCGAAGCTTCCGGTACCCTTAACCAGACCCTTATTGACGTTCTCGGCCAGGACCGCCGGGACCGGATCTTGGCTTTGCTCTATGTTTGTAGAACAGACACTGCTATTTCCGTCAGAAACGCTACCGTGGACATCTGGAAGTCACTTGTTTCCAACTTACCTCGTACCATCAAGGAGATTCTTCCTACCTTAACTCAGATCATTGTCCGCAAGCTTGCCTCTTCCGACGAGGTACAGAGAGCGATCGCCAGTAATACCCTTACCGATTTGGGTGAGCGTGCGGGCCGTACGGCTTTCGAGCAGCTCTTGCCTACCTTGGAGGAGTCCTTAATCACTGCCGACTCGGACTCGAAGCAGGGTATCTGTATCGCTGCTGGCTCGCTCTTAGAGTCTGCCAACATCGACACCATTGTCGAGTACAAGTCCACCTTTATCAACATCATCCGTGGTACCTTGGTGGACTCTGCGCCAGGCGTTCGTGAAGCTGCTGCTCTTGCTTTCGACAAATTGCAAGACTCTATTGGTAACGAGGCGGTGGACGAGGTCTTGCCATACTTGCTCAGCATGTTGGAGTCTGACGACTCTGAGAACGCGCTTTCCGCGCTTGAGGAGATCATGGCCACCAAGTCCAACATCATCTTCCCTATCCTTATCCCTACCCTTTTGGCTCCGCCTATTGACGCCTTCAGAGCCCGCGCTCTTGGTTCGCTTGCGGAGGTTGCGGGCGCTTCTTTGTACAGACGTTTGTCCACCATTATCAACGCTTTTGTCGAGACTTTGGTGAACGCCACGGCCGACTCGGAAACCACCGAGCAGATCAAGATCTCGTTCGACAAAGTGTTGCTTTCGGTCACTGAAGACGAAGGCTGCCACCCATTGCTTCAGCAGTTGCTCTCGCTCATCAAGAATGACGATTCCCGCAAGCGTGCTGTCATCTGTGAACGTTTGGGACCATTCTTTGCTCACACCACCCTTGACTACTCTATCTACACCCAGGACATGCTCACCCAGTTAGTTATGTTGTTGGACGACAAGGATGAGGAGGTTGTGAGGCACAACTGGCAGGCATTGTACGAATTGGTCAAGCGCCAGTCCAAGGAGTCCATGGAGAAGTTGGTCAAACCAACTCGTATCGCTTTGCATATGACCGGTGTCAGAGGCACCGACTTGTCTGGTTTCGCCCTTCCAAAGGGGCCAAACTGTATTTTGCCAATCTTCTTGCATGGTTTGATGTACGGTACCTCTGAACAGCGCGAGCTTTCCGCTTTAGGTATGGCTGACATTGTCGAAAAGACTCCAGCGGCAAACTTGAAGCCGTTTGTTACCGTCATGACCGGGCCTTTGATCCGTACCATCGGAGAGAGATTTTCCAGTGACGTCAAAGCAGCTATCTTGTACGCTCTTAACATGTTGTTTGCCAAGATTCCGCAGTTCTTGCGTCCATTTATTCCGCAGTTACAGAGAACCTTTGTCAAATCCTTATCCGACCCTACCAACGAGACTTTGCGTACCCGTGCTGCTAAAGCTTTGGGCACTTTGATTGAACACCAGCCGAGAGTCGACCCGTTGGTCACCGAGTTGGTGTCTGTTGCCAAGGCAGCTGCTGATGCTGGTGTCAAGACTGCCATCTTGAAGGCGTTGTTGGAGGTTGTAAGTAAGGCCGGTGAGAATATGAGTGAAGCCTCGAAGAACGGTATCATGAGTTTAGTCGAGGAGGAAATCACCTCGGCCAGTGACAAACTCGCTACTGCCTACGCCCGTTTAGTCGGTTCGTTGGCCCGAATCTTGACCTCTGAGGAGGCTGTGAGGGTCATCCAGGTGAGAATTTTGGATGCCAAGTTGGATGCCGGTTCCGGTAAGTTTGCAGTGTTGACTCTCAACGCATTTTTAAAGGATGCTCCGCGCCACATCTTCGAGAACAACCTCGCCGTGGAAGTGTCTGAGTTTATGATTAACGCTTCCAATACTGCTTCGCCGTACATCTGTGACAATGCGATTGTGGCTATGGGTAAGTTTTTGTTGTTGAAGAACCAGTTGGCTGCGCCGGCCCAGTTTGTATTGCCAAGGATTGCCAACTCCAAGATTGAGGATCCAACCGCTCCGTTTGAGATTCCGGTCGAGGCTGTGAGTGACGTGGTGCGCCAGTTGTGTGTCACTATGTTGGAGCCAGCCTCCAACTCTGTTGACTCCAGGCGGTTGTCCTTGGTTTGTATCAGAACCATCGCCCGCTTCCAGTACGACGAGGCCATCCAGCCGTTCTTTGACGCATTAGGGCCATCCGTCTTTGCCTGTGTCAGAGACCCGGTTGTTCCAATCAAGTTGGCCGCCGAAAAAGCTTTCTTGGCGTTGTTCAACTTGGTTGAAGACGAGCAAGCAACTGCTTTCAATGAATGGTTCGCTAAAGTTTCCGCTGTGGGCACTACTGTTGAGACTGTGGTTGGTGCTGTTGTACAATTGAGATCTATTGGCGACTACAACAAGAGAGTTGCTATTAGATTGGCCGGCGTTGAAAGAGAGAGAATCGCCTCTGGTGGTGACGAAGAAACCATGTACTCGGATAGATTTGAAGACGAGGGTGAGATCTGGGCTGTTGGTGGTGTCGATCTTTCTAATTAAATAGTTTTGTATTGTTTTAAGCATTTTGTTTCCTTTTGAGTGTAAGGCGCGCAAGGAAGATATGAAGGTTAGTCCCCGTTCTAAGGGACCGCCATAATTATAGGCTGCAACGTTACTTTTATACCATGAACACACCTGGATTCTTGAACCGGTATCTCTTAAACTTTGAGCCAATCCTTTATAGTCCTCTGAAAATTGTAATGTTGCCCCCGCAATTGTATTCATAGGGTATATGAGTTTGGTCACGTGATACTATCACCTGTTTCTTATTTTCTAGCTTATTATACATGTAAGCGTTCTAACCACTGTCCCCTGGGCTATCACTTAAATTTCTCCATTTCCGCTCTAGGCTTTGACTGGATGCCACACTGACCACACATGTATAGCCACGATGTTCCTTTCCGATGGAGGGAGATTCCATTGGAAATTGTGGAAAAGATCATCTCCTACCTACCGGCATCCCTTCTTGCAGTATTGAGGAAGTCGCAGAACGCCCCCATTGCTGCTGTGGCACGCAGATACTACTACTCGAGAATCGAATTGGTCTTTAACCTGCGCGTAGAGATCGGCTATCACTCGCCCAAGGACTTCCTGGCTATTCAACTAACTCTCCCTGAATTTGAAGAGTTGGCAAACAGCCCTGGGCTTGACCAGCTTCGCATACAGAAGTTATATATTACGGTTTACACAGAGGTACAGGGGTATAGGTTCCTCCACCAAGAAGCATTCACCAAGGTCTCGACCATTGTGACGGATGTCATGCTTGAATTCTTTACACAAGAAAAGGGTGCAGCCCGCTTTGACTGGGATTGGTTGCCCCCTTCTCCTCGGGTCCAAAAATGTATCCGAGAAATCTCTGTCCGATACACAAGCATTGATCCCAACGTGCTGGCCTTGCCCTCAAACTTACGCAAACTCGAAATTCTCCATACCAAGTATCCGTGTCAGATCGATGAAAACGCCCCGGAGATTCAATTTCCGCCAAAACTTGAAGATTTGAAATTCTGCAACCCTTGGATACCTATGTCAAAGTACGGAAACTTGCCATCGACTTTGCGGGAGCTAGACTTGGTTGACATCGAAGACTTTTCGGTCCAGGGTTTTAATGCCCTACATTTACCGCACTTGAAGGCTTTGCGATTAACGCGGCTTTCCGGATTGAAAATGATTGCTGAGCTGTTTGAATTGCCTCCTCTGTTGGAGCTTTTAGACCTCCGGTACATGGGCATTAAAAGCTTTGAACAGCGGAAATTGCCTCCATCCTTAAAGGTGCTATCCTTCCTGGGATGTCCCATCAGGAAGTTTTGCACTGGTGACCTTCCAGATTCTCTAACAAAATTGGTTTTTGATTATACGCAGCTTACCTCAGCGGACATTCGGACACTCACATTTCCTCCGAACTTGAAAACCTTGGAAATTATCCATGGTCACCTAACGTCGGTTGACTTTGTGAACGCGTTGCCTCCTTCGTTGGAACTGCTACTGCTCCACGACAATTCCCTTGGCTCCTTGTGCGAGACCGACGAAGATGAAGACACGGCCAGGGCATTCCAAATTCTCTTTCCGAAAAGTATTGAGGCGATAAACCTCGGAAACAACAGTTCGTTCTTTGCCACTTATTCACCGGTCAACCTCGTCTTCCCTCCAAATTTAAAGGATATAGGACTCCAGAGAATGGGCATGCGTTCAGTAAAGGGGTTGAAACTTCCTCGGCTGCTTCAATTTCTCAACCTTCACTACAATAGTTTAACAAATATCAATGCAATTGATATTCCACCTACCTTGGCCAATTTACTGTTGAGTAACAATTGCCTTGAATCGTTCACGCAAAAACTACCCGACACCATTTGTAGCGTGGACTTGGAAGACAACCGCTTGACCGAGTTGGTAGGCTTCCACCTCCCAGTTAACTGCACCACCTTTGAAATCTCCCATAATCCCCTACAGAGGATTCAAATTACCAATGCGGACGATCCAAATTTGAAGCTCCGGTATTTGTGTTTAAATGGAATGTCCACTGTCGCTCTCTGTGATATCTTCCCCCTTCCTAATTGCATCGAAACCTTAGTTTTGCAAGGGTCTCAATTACGCTCCCTTGCAGAGTTTCTGTTTCCTATGGGATTGAAAAGATTAGAGATCACCCTGAACAGGTTGGTATCTTTGGAAAACGTCAACTTCCCGCCTCACTTGGAGATATTACGTCTTCATGATAATGAATTGACTAGTTTGGCCAATGTTCAATTCCCTGAAACCTTGCTTTGCTTGGAACTAGAGCTGAATATGCTTGCCTCGGTTGATGGAATTCGTTTACCTCCCAAGTTGAAGGTGTTGGACCTTGAAAGCAATGCGATCACCGCAATCAATGATTTGCGACTACCAGACTCGCTCGAAGAGTTGATCTTGGCTAACCAGGAAAGTGAAGCTACTACACACGATGAAATCTCACTAGCTGATCCCCGAATAAAAGGATTGTCGAACATCAATGGCATAACCAAACTCCCTTCTAACTTGGAGTTTTTGGATTTGTCCAACAATGATTTGTCGGAGCGGGATATTAGGCACTTAGACTTCCCCGTGAGTTTGTCAAGCTTACACGTGTATCCCAACAGGTTTACTGACTACCTTTCATGGTTGGAAGGGATGAATCTGAAATATCCGGATTTGGAAATAGACGAAAGGGCTGATTGGGATAATAGAGAGTCCCTGTCTTACTCGGATGATTCTACTGGTAGTGAGGATGAAATGCCTTATGAATTTTGACCTCAATCAGGGGTGCATATTGACTGGAAGGGGGTGTATTAACCTATGAAGCGCTTTAGCTTGGTTGAGAAAATCTGATTATACCAAAACTTGGCCTTTTTTTAAACTCTTTGGTTTAGGTTCTGAGTTTAAGCTTGCTTCACTTCTGAACCCCTCCTTGTGTTGATAGCAATGCTAATTCATCCCCGCATTAAGCTTATTCCCCTACGTCACTAGGGCTGTCATTCACCCGAGTTCGCGAAAGTGCAGATCTCACCTGGGCTGTTCCGTGCCGTGCATAATAATAGCAGCTACCCCACAATTCGAACCCCCTCCCTGAGCGTATCTTGGCAAGGATAGGCGCCTGGTCACGTACTTTAAATAGCCTAATTTGTCCGAGAAGCAGCCTGGACTGTTGGGTCTTTTAGGTCGTAAAGCGTATTCTCGGCTATTTATAGGCATTGGTTCGCTCAACTGTTTCCCTATCTCGCCTCTTAGCAATGTAATTCCGCTCTACTCCTATCACAAGTAAAGGATACCAAACAGCTTAACTCCTTTCTTGACTCAAACATGAAAGGCCTTCTTTATTATGGTAACCGCGATATGCGTTACTCCAACAATGTTCCGGAGCCAGAGCTCATTGATGCTCGTGACGTCAAGATTGAGGTGGAATGGTGCGGGATTTGCGGATCAGACCTCCACGAATACTTAGACGGACCTATTTTCTTTCCCCATGATCCTAATGGCAAGAACCACGTCTCTGACTTTGGCTACCACTTGTGTTTGGGTCACGAGTATTCCGGTACGGTGACTGAAATTGGCTCCAAAGTTTCCACTCTCAAAGTGGGTGATACTGTGGTGGTAGAAACTACCGGTGGGTGTAACGATCGTTACAGATATCCAAATGCACCAAACTTTGGTACCAAGAAGTGCACGGCATGCCGTAACGGAAAGACCAACGCTTGCAAGTACCTCACGTTTCAGGGTTTGGGCTTGAGTAGTGGTGCTTTGGCGGAACGGGTGGTTGTTGGTGAGCATCATGTTGTTAAGATCGATAATTCGAAAATTCCGTTTGATATTGGAGCCTTGATTGAGCCATTGGCAGTAGCCTGGCATGCGGTAAGCCACTCAGGATTCAAAAAGGGGTCCAATGCGCTTGTGCTTGGAGCGGGGCCAATTGGGCTTGCGGTTGTCTTGGCGTTGCAGGGCCACGGTGCTGGTACCATTGTGTGCTCTGAACCAGCTGATATTAGACGTGATCAGGCTGGGACTTTAGGGGCTCAGACCTTTAATCCTATGGATTCTAAAGATTCCATCGAAGATTTAAGAGCCATGGCACCGGGTGGTGAAGGGTTTGAGCATACCTTTGATGCCTCAGGGGTTCCCTCTACCTTTACATCATCAATTCAATGCCTTGGTCCTCACGGCGTTGCCGTCAACATTGCTATTTGGGGTCATAAGCCTGTAGATATCTATCCAATGGATATCACTCTTCAAGAGAAGAATGTCACCGGTGTTATGTGCTACACCAGAAAGGATTTTGAAGAAACCATTTCAGCGATTGAAAATGGGTTAATTGACATTGAGAAAATAAGAAAAATGATTACAGGAAAGGTTAGATTGGAGGACTCTGTTGAAAAGGGGATTCTTGAGTTGGTCAACAACAAGGAAAAAAATGTCAAAATCTTGGTAAGCCCAAAGATGGGAAATGTCTAGAAGTTTCTGGTTGTCATGAATTATACATTCACCAAACATTTAAAACCAGTATTATTTCACATTATCGAAATATGTCCGCTTGGAGGCGCGCAACTTTTAAACGTAGTCTAGTTAAATTGGAAAAGGGAATGAAAGCTTCAGTGTGGTAATTTTGGTGCTGTATAAAAACAGAATTCGTGCTGTCATACTCATGGTTTCAAATCATTAACGATTTTCGTAAAAGCTGAGAATCATTTTTTTCCCCACATGTCTGAGCTTGGCCGTCGTAAAATAATATAACCAAGTAATAATTAGAAGCCTTTCGTTTCATCCTTTACATCTATTTAATCTTTCAGGTTGAATCAGAAGGTGATACCTTTAGAAACTGGTTTATATATTCCGATACCGCATAATTGCGCGTAAACTGTTTTCGCCGTAGATAAGGCCCAGTGAAAAATCCGGCACGCACTCAAAAAAATTACAAAAAGAAAAAAAAAACCTATCATTGGCGTATTTGTCCTTCTCGATCTATTACAAACCAGCTAGCAAAGCATCCATTTAGGATTACTCTTGAACCCTCCCGCGTTGCTACGTTTCTCTATTTTATCCACTTTCAGAGCCATCCCTTCCCGAAGATTCCTCATGACTGCCGACGTCCCTAGCACTGCTCCAGTTGCAAAGGCCAAGCTCCAGGGCCGTGCCTTATTCGAAGCGATCGGGTCCCCTACCAAGATTGTCGCACCAATGGTGGACCACTCTGAACTTGCATGGAGAATCCTCTCTAGACGCTACGGTGCCACTCTTTGCTACACCCCTATGTTTCACGCACGCTTGTTCGCCACATCTGAGAAATACCGCAAGGACATGTGGGACGAGCTCGACGGTGACCTGGAGAAGGACCGTCCCACCATTGTGCAGTTCTGCGCCAATGACGCTGATTTCCTCCTCTCTGCCGCCAAGATCATCCAGCACAAATGTGATGCGGTGGACTTGAACTTGGGCTGTCCCCAGGGCATTGCCCGTAAGGGTCACTATGGCTCTTTCCTTATGGAAGACTGGCCGTTGATCCACAAGTTGATCAGAAACTTGCACGACAACTTGGATATCCCAGTCACTGCTAAGATCAGAGTGTATGATGACCGTGAAAAGTCTTTGGCGTACGCTAAGATGGTGTTGGATGCCGGTGCGCAGTTTGTCACCATCCACGGGAGAACCAGGGAAATGAAGGGCCAGAAGACCGGTTTGGCCGACTGGGAGATCTTAAGGTATATCAAGGATAACTTGCCGGAAGACACTGTGTTTTTTGCCAATGGTAATGTGTTGTACCCAGAGGATCTCGCTAGATGCACTGAGAAGGTGGATTGCGATGCGGTCATGTCGGCTGAGGGTAACCTCTATAACCCTGGCGTGTTCTGGACCGCCACTAACGACATGGAAAGGCAGTTTCCGCGATTGGACAAAATTTCTCGTGAGTACTTTGAAATTGTAAAGTCTGTACCAGGCCATGCCTCCAAGCACGCACTCAAGTCGCACATGTTCAAGTTATTGAGACCAATATTGGGAATCGAGACCGGTATCAGAGAGCTACTCGCTAAGGCAAATACCAGGCTTTCTTTAGACCCTATTGAAGAGGTTGTTCAGGCGGTGGAGGCTGCTGTGCAGAAAATCTACGAGCAGGAAAATATCGCGGAACTCGATGTGATTACTGAGGGTGAGGTCCAGGCATGGGGGGGTAGCTACAAGACCATTCCATACTGGAGGTGTCAGCCATATTTTAGACCGGTTAACGGGGTCGCTGGGCAGGACAGAGCCGCAGCGTCCTTGAAGAAGGAGGAGGAGCTGACTGCGTTAAAGAGAAAGTCCGAAGAAGAGCTCGGCAACGGTGCCAAGAAGGTTGTTTCCGAGTAGGTTTAATGTATATATGTGTAATCTAGTGTGATATAAGTTGAAATCAAGAAATATTACAATCGTTCAAATATAAGCGTGGAACAGAAGCATATCCTAACTACATGTCCCTCATGCGCGCCATGCCCTGTCGCATGAAGCGAAGTCGAAGGCGGTCTACGCATTAGTGCTAGATAATATTACATTAGGCATTTATACCAATCCCGAACACCAAAAAAGTCAAAACAGAGAAATGAAAGAAATATTTCCCAAACGAAGGGCAAAGAATAGAGCAGATGAGAAAGGCCATAGGAATAAAGAATTATAAACGGTGTCAACAGAAGCTGGATTATTCGTTGGATAGACTGGAATGCCTAATACCACAAGTCACACAATAGGTTTAACAGCCTCCGACAGAATACCGATAGCTCTGTAATTTTTAAGTCCGAGTGGTTTCTCCTTTGGTACCTCCGTTCCTGTTATCTCAACTGCATGAACGCATCTAACAAGGCTGAAGGGTTCGAATGCGCGCTCTTGTTCTTGTCAAACACATTCCAAAATCGTAAAGTTTCGTCGCCCGCGCCGGAAACAATCGTCTGGCCATCAGGCGACATGGCGAGATGCAACACGCGAAACGAATGGCCGGTGAGCGATGCAACCTGCTCCATCGTAGGGTACTTCCAGATCGCAATCTGGTGCTTGGAAAACCCGTGTGACAGTACAATCTCGTTGGAGTTCTTCAGCCATAGCATGTTGCACACCTGAGAGCCGGTGTCGATATCCTGGGTCTTGGCGCCAGTAATGGTGTTCCACACCTTTATGCGCCTGTCAGCAGTGCCGCCGCCTGTGGCTAGAATGCCCCGCAGGTGCGGCGACCACGCCATGGCCTTAACGGCCGCCGTATGCTCCTCAAACTTATGAATTGGCGTGGTGTTCAAGCCATCCCATACCAATACCCGGTTATCGTTGCTTCCCAGCGCCAACTTGTTTTCCTCCACGTTCCACTTCAACCCGCACACCTCCTGCTTGTGCGCCTGGATGCGCTGGATATAGTGCTCGGGCACGCGGACATCTCTATGCAAGATGCTGCGGTCTCGGGAGCCACTGCTAAGCACATGCTCGTTCCAGGCGAGCGACGCGGCCCGGGAGGCATGGCCCGTCATGGTTCGCGTGCATTTGCAGGTTGTGGCGTCCCAGATTTCCACCAAGCCCGACTGGGTTCCTACTGCTAGGTGCGTCCCCGCGCCCACCCATGCCAAAGAAGTAACCACATCGTCGCCCAAATCACAAAGCGTGGTCACCGAGCCTGACAGTGAGTTCCAGAGATACACCAGGGACTTCAAGCCCACCGCTAGCACGTCCTGCGAGCCCCAGTCGACCAAGTTGAGGTAAAAGTCGTCAGCCAAGTCCGGAGCGTCTAGGCAGCACACGGGGACCTTCAGCACGTTGCGCTGCTTCTTCTGCGGCGAGAGGAGAAACCGCTGCGAGTCCGGCCGCACGGGCGAGAGAGAGTACAACTGGCTCTGCAAGTCGAGATGCGAGGGTCTGCCCTTGGACGGTGATTGGTACGTGAACAAGTTGGCTTTTTTCGGCGTTCGGAGCGACTGCGAGTCGCGGGAAGATGGGGTTCCAAGCATGCCTCGGCTCGGGGACCGCGGTGGTGTGCGTTGATTCTGGCTAGATCCGCTCTGGGAGTTTTCGTTGCTGGTTCCGGACCCAGCTGTGCTGGGCCGCGGTTTGGTCAACGTCTTGAGGCTCGCGGTCTGGGGCACGTTGTCACCAAACAACTCGTTCTTCAACACGGTGTTGAAGTTGAGGTTCGCCTCCTCTTCACGCCGGTGTTCGATATCGTTTTCGGCACTGCGGTTGGGGTTTGGCGGCGTCTGAAAGTCGTCCATTGTTAAGCTGAACGCGGCCTGGAGGTCAACACCCGTTCGGTTGGGGATAAACCGGTCCGTGTAGACCACCTTCTTCTTGCGCCGTGGCGACAGAGGCGATAGGTTGAGCCCATCGCCCAACTGTGGCGGCCGGAGGCTGCGGGTTGACCGTGTAGGAGATCCAGGTGTAGATAATCTGTGATCGGACATACGGACAGGTACAAGGCACGTGTGTAGATGATAAGGACCGTGGATGTATAAGGAAGCATTAGAACAGATATATCTGTGTTTTAGCTCGGTGCGGGCGCCTAACCCAAAGGCGGAGGGCTGCAGGGGCTACAAAGATAGGACAGAAGCATACTTATGTTTTGCCGACCGATCCGGTTTAATTTCTTGTCCTGTAAACATTGAGTTTTATTTATAATCGAGATGAATCTGTATAGGTAGAGTGTGGCAGTCTCAGTCGGCAGCTCTTTGTCCCTGGCTAGAACCTGCAGCGGTGACCAGTATGCACACCCTTTGTGACACTAGACCCTACCTGTCTAGAGGGTTGTAGCTCTACAAGTGTCATACGATCGGAGGTAAGCTTGATGATTCGAGATCTGGCCCTCTGAATTGCCTAAATTACGAAGATATGGAGCGGTACGGGTGATTTTTAGTGCTTGGTCAAAACCTTTAGCTAGGGATTTTTCGAGCCTGGGTACATGGTGATTGCTGCAAGAGAACGTTATAGCCTCGTGACTTTTGATCATGAAATTGCTCCGCATTAAACCATTCTCGAAATGGAAGAATATTACACAAGTCCTTGTATCCTTCCATCACAACGTTTTATCTTTATTTGGCCCCTTGGTCATTCCTTTGTACGCACACAAGATTCCAGATAAAATACATCAGTTGGGTGTAAAATAATTTAGAGTATACTATGGTTGGAAGGGCTTTAAACAAATGTGAGATAATTTCAACTAGAAAGATAACCTTACTGCACGGTTGACTGAAATTATATATTAAAGCATGAATATGGTAACGTTCGGATCGTGCGTGGCTAAAGTCGACCAAAAAATACAGAGGACTGGCACTAATGAGAGTACGAGGGAAGCACAAGCCCTCTATTCCTCAACGTGGTTCAAAACCCGTTCCTTGTTCTGGGTGGCCGTCTTGACTAACTGCTGGAGCGCACTGATCGCGTCGCTGCTCTTCTTTTCCGAAGAGGTACTGGACGAGCTTCCTGTGGATTGGGTCTTTTTCAACGCCGAAGAAAGGGCCCCCCAGCCACTAAGGCCCGTGCTGCTGGACGATCCCACGTCTTCAAAGTCCGTGTCGTCGGAGTCGTCGTCGTCCAATTCTTGAAGCCTCTTGATTCTGTTTTGCAACATCACCAACTCGATCGCCTGTTTGAACTTGGACTTGGCATTGAAACCGGCTCTGATCGATGGCAACAAGTCGACGTCGTGGTGTTCGGCGGCGATGTTGGTGAGCCACTTGTCCTGCAAGACCTGCTCGATGCTAGGTCTCTCCGTCGGCTCAACGTCTAGCAAGTTGACGATGAAGCGACGGGCGTCCTCACTAATGTGCTTCCAGTACTTTTCGTGAAAAATCACCGCGTTATTGTGCTTCACCTCGGCGAGAAAGTCGGGAATGTTCTCGGATCTAAACGGAGAGTACCCACAGAGCAAGGTATAAGTAATGACACCAAGGGACCACACGTCGCACAGCTTCCCGTGACCGAGCCCCTTCAAAACCTCCGGGGCGGCGTAACCGAATGAGCCGGCAGAGGTGTGGATGAGATCGTCGCTGCTCCGGAGACGCTTGGCGATCCCAAAGTCGGCAAGCACAATGGGCGACTCCTGTTCGTGGTTCAAGTACAAGATGTTCTCAGGCTTGACGTCACGGTGGACAATGTTCTGACCATGCAAGTATTCCAAGGCCTCTGCCACCTGGTAGATCACCAAGGAAGCGTCTCTTTCGGTAAAGTGGCCCAAATCCACAATCCGGTCAAACAACTCACCGCCGGTTGCAAGCTGCGTGACCACATAGAACTTGGACTTACTTTCGAACCAGTCACGGAAGCCAACAATGTGAGGGTGCTTTAACTGCGTCAAAAAGCTCAATTCGTCGTAAACGAGCTGCTCATTGCCGTTTAAGGTGCTCTTGAGCATGATCTTGATCGCCACCTCCTCCTTCGTGGTGTTGTTACGCGCCTGTCTCACAACCCCGAACGAGCCAGCGCCCAAGGTCTTGCCGAAGGTGTAGGCGCTTTTTCGGGCGTACGATTCCGGCTGGCCGGAGATCTTATTGAGCATCTGGGAAAACTTCCCTGAAGGGGCTATGGTATCGTCGTGGGGAGCAACAACAGGCATGATATAGGCTGTGTGAATATGCAAGTAGACGCGGGATGAAGATTACTGTGTTTAATTATAGCAACAGAATCTATCGTCGTGGCAATGGAGCGTATATATATGAAGTGTAGAAAAGGAGCTTATTATTGCCTTTCAGGATTCACAGCCCACTTTTTCCCTTGCTTTTAACCGGGGCGCAATACTGCGGCGTACATGAAACTAAAATTAAGCCGACAGGGCTGAGCCGAACCGGACCGAAAACAGTTCTACCCCTGAATGTTGGTAATGATATATTCTCCAAGGACTAGCTGATATAGAGCTATATTGATGCCTCCAGAAACCGTCTGGAGACGTTCTGGTTTAAGCTCGGACAAATCCCTATCGATAGTAAGCCCGGATGTTTTATTTCCATGGAATATGGTCGGGGGTCTAGGTTCCCTGAAGTAGGATGGCGTGTTGGTTCTATTCCTGGTGGGCCATTGCTACCCTTGAAATAGACTCTGTGAGGCATGCTTATAGTCTGGAACAGTGTAAAAGAACATCGGGGTCTTTTTCGAGACATCCCTATACAGTGAAGCTACGTTTCTTTTTGCGACCAAGAATTGTAATCATAGACCTGTTAGAACTTTTACTTTTCTGTCAGGGTTCCAGCGCCTGTTGGTATTCCAGTCGGGGGGTTGTAATCAGTCATTGATTCACAAGTTACTTATTGTGATCTTCCACGAAAATAAAGATGATATTAAAACCAAGATCATTCTTAGATCTGGAAAACTACTTCCTTATATAGCTTTCTTCGGTGCCTCATTTGCTTTATGCGACAGGATTAGTTTCAGATACTCATTATCAAACAATCCTAGTAGCCTCAACTGGAACCTCATAAGGTTCCTGAAACAACTCTCTAACTCTGACATTTTCACGAAGCAAGCGCTGTGGCGCAGTGGAAGCGCGCAGGGCTCATAACCCTGATGTCCTCGGATCGAAACCGAGCAGCGCTATTGTCTTGTACTGCTTTTTTCCTACTGGCCCTCCGTTAGTTGGGAAACGGTTTTTTTCATTAGCAGGCCTCTTATACGTTCGTCTCATTGTGCGGTTGTTCTTGACATACATATCGATGCTTCATCAAATACCTTGAAATAATATATAATCCGTGATATAACTTACATCTTTAAATTTTAGAATCATCAAAAACTTTACGGCTAATAGTTATTGTAAGTTTGACAATAAGGAGTTGTTGACCAATTAATTCGACAATAGTGATTCGTAAATTGGGGCCTGGAATCGACGTATCTTCGAATCGTTTCATTTACTTCGTTTAATGTATACATGTGTAAAGAGAAAGGGATCGATCTCCACATATAGAGTATCGATTCCTACCACGTGACAGTTACACCCTTACTAAATAACCAATACCAATATATATATATATATATATGCATTTTCGAACCCATATGCATGCATATATATTAATTGCCCATTTCTGAACTGATACCTATACACATATAAGTTAAATGTGATCACGATTTACATATCTCTATATGCCACGTATATATTTCAAATACATACACATTGATATCGATTATGTCATGCGTCCGTTGGGGGCCTTCCCACTCATGTAGGCTTCACAAAAGCTACGCCGGTGCGGCGTTGATACGGTTCCACTTGAGGAGTCGTTCCGGTAGCTATTGAAATCGCTAGCTTTATGGTAACCATTAAATTTTTGCAAGGATTAAACATTATAACCTTGGAATTTTAGTGTAATTCTGGTTTAGATTGAGAAAAGACCATCCCTCCTTTTATTTTGGTAAGCCAGAACGTTTAACTCCAGCTTTTTTAAAGCGGAAGTATAGTACCGACGGTTAACGTTTAGTCTTTAACGCGCCGGGGAAACCCCTCCAGCGCCGACTTCTGATAGTTTTCGGGAGGAGGTCAGTGGTGATTTTAAAATTACTATCCCATAGCATGGTTAGTGCCCAAAAATCCAATACAGCTCTGTGCCTTGCCCTCCTCTCAAGTCTCCGGAGCGTTTGTTTCGAAATTACATAGTTTTTCATCTAGACTTCGGAGCTAAAGATAAGGTTTAGAAAAATCTTTTTTTCAGGCCCAAGCATCTCCGGGTTCCTCAAGGTCAGAGTAGTTCCAATGGTCCAATATAGCCCGCAAAGCCTATATCTACCCGCCAATTTCGGAATATTTCAGATTTCCAGGCCAGATACGTTCCAGCTCCGAGGCCTTCAACCGTAGTGATTATTCTTACATGGGATACTTGTGCCGAACACCAGTGTGTGCTTGTACTACCGGACTTAGCGACCTCTACGTTTCCCACCCCAGGGAAACCCCGGAAAAAACGGGTAATTATGCAGTCCCGAGCCTTGTCTCCCATCATCACTGCGCACAATTTACTCCTCCTTTTACCCACCTAAGGAGGGGGGCAACGAATATATAAAACATATCAGAATTCGTTGGTCCCAAACTGCTTTACAATGCTTTAAGAGAGGGCGCCAGTGCGAGTGTGAGGAAATTCTACGTAGGATAGTACCCTCGAGGTGGTTTCTCGGACTTGAGGATGCAGTGTATCGTGGCACATAACCTGGTTGGAACAAAAGGCTCGTGACTCACGTTTTGGATGCGGAACTCGGTCGCAATAACTGGCGATCCACACAAGTAGCAGCACTACCCTTATCCGGATTTTTATAATAAAATAGAGCTGATGGAAAAATCGACAACGTATGCTTAAACTCCCGCAATGACTCCTTTATAGCGTGTAAGATACGTCATGGAGCGGTTATCTCGGCAGGAGTGTAAGGGCTCCTCTTAAGGTTTGTCCCGGCCTTAAGGAAATGCTATGCCGTTAAATTTTCGAGCACGACAACCGAAACCTAGGAGAGGATTTCTGGAAAGTGAGCGCTTCTTGTATGAGGAAAGGGAAAGTGAGAGCGTGCATCAGACGGCTTCGTAATCTTGCAATCATAGTTATGGACAGCGACGGTTCCACTGGTCCGATAACCCTACCCATATGCAAATCCACGGCCTCGTGCGCGTTTTGACACTGGCCAGGGTAACGTAAAGCCCGCGTGCCGGACGAACGGCCCGCTCGTCCCCATGTGAGCAACTTGGGGCTCCAGAAATACATAGCACACATCACGTGTCGGCTCTACTCCTCCGCTCCGGTCTCGGAGTTGCACGCACAAGTCCCCTTACCCCGGATTTCATCTTCCTCGTTTCACATGCCAGGCTTCGTGCACCTTATCGTTGCTCCATAGTGACGCATAAGATTTTCACTCGGCCATTGCAGCACTAGGCTCACGCTACAAAATACAGCACCATAGGGGATCATATAAAAGTCTCCCTATCCCCGGGTTTAATTTCTCTTGTCTTTTTTTTCCTTAGAGACATATTCTTTACACACAACATGGCTTATAGCAAAATCGACCTCAAGAAGGAAACTTCTGACTTCCAAGAACAAGTTGCCCTGATCGAAAAGTGGTGGGCCGAACCAAGATGGGCCAAGACCAAGCGTATCTACACCGCGGAGGACATTGCTCGCCGTAGAGGTACCTTGAAGATCGACTACCCATCTTCCCAACAGTCAGATAAGTTGTTCGGCTTGTTGAAAGACCACGACGCGGCTAAGACTGCCTCCTTCACCTTCGGCGCCTTGGACGCGATCCACGTGGCGCAGATGGCCAAGTACTTAGACTCTGTCTACGTTTCCGGGTGGCAGTGTTCCTCCACCGCCTCGACCTCTAACGAGCCATCTCCAGATTTGGCTGATTACCCAATGGACACCGTTCCAAACAAGGTCGAGCAGTTGTGGTTCGCCCAGTTGTTCCACGACAGAAAGCAGCGCGAAGAGAGATTGTCCTTGTCTCCTGAAGAACGTGCCAAGCTCCCATACACCGACTTTCTCCGTCCAATCGTCGCCGATGCCGACACTGGTCACGGTGGGTTGACCGCCGTTGTCAAGTTGACCAAGATGTTCATCGAGAGAGGTGCTGCCGGTATCCACATCGAAGATCAGGCTCCAGGTACCAAGAAGTGTGGCCACATGGCCGGTAAGGTCTTGGTTCCAGTCCAGGAACACATCAACCGTCTTGTTGCTATCAGAGCCTCTGCTGATATGTGTGGTTCTAACTTGCTCGCTGTTGCCCGTACCGACTCCGAAGCTGCCACCTTGATCACCTCCACCATTGACCACCGTGACCACTACTTTGTCATTGGTTCCACCAACCCAGATATCGAAGCCTTGTCCGACATCATGTACGAGGCCGAGATGAACGGTGCCAGCGGTCCAGAATTGGCCGCCATTGAAGCCGAATGGTCGGCCAAGGCTGGCTTGAAGTTGTACTCTGAGGCCGTTGTCGACGCTATCAAGGCCGGTAGCTACTCTAACAAGGAAGCCTTGATCAAAAAGTTCACCTCCGCCGTCACTCCATTGTCCGAGCTCTCCCACAAGGAATCCAAGAAGATTGCCCGTGAGATTTTGGGTAAGGACATCTACTTCAACTGGGACTCTCCACGTGCCAGAGAAGGGTACTACCGTTACCAGGGTGGTACCCAGTGCGCTATCATGAGAGGTAGAGCCTACGCTCCATACGCCGACTTGATCTGGATGGAGTCCAAGTTGCCAGACTACAAGCAGGCTGAAGAGTTTGCCGTCGGTGTCAAGGCCAAGTGGCCACAGCAGTGGTTGGCCTACAACTTGTCTCCATCTTTCAACTGGAGCAGAGCTATGTCTACGGACGAGCAGGAGACCTACATCCTGAGATTGGGTAAGTTAGGGTACGTCTGGCAGTTCATCACCTTGGCCGGGTTGCACACCACTGCGTTGGCCGTGGACAACTTCGCTCGTGACTACGCCAAGCAGGGTATGAAGGCCTACGGTGCCAACATCCAGGAGAAGGAAATCGAAAGTGGTGTTGAGGTGGTCAAGCACCAGAAGTGGTCCGGTGCCGAATTCATTGACGGGATCTTGAAATTGTGTACCGGTGGCTTGACCTCTACGGCCGCTATGGGTGCTGGTGTCACCGAAGACCAGTTCAAGCACTAGGTTGGGGTTTCTATAAATTGTGCTTTATAAATATTGCTGGTTTCAATTCATGTTACGTATATAAACTCTCGAACAGCTGTAGCATTTACGATTAAAGCTTGTGTAATCGGGTTTCTCCTGTGAGTTTTAAATGCCAGCACGACAATAGCTGTTACGGTGTGTTAGGCGGCACAAGACTCTACTTTTAGTATAATCAAATTATTGGGATTTGGAAGTGGATCGGGATATCACTCACGTGGTAGAATATCTAAGACAATCAAAACTCTACTTTTGATTTTTCTCTATTACCGACCGGCTAACCCCTCCTGAGTTACGCACATATACGTTGTAACATTAGTGAAACCAATCCATAGCGGTATAGCCGAGCCAAAACAACCATGTAATATCACTTTTGTCGTTCGTTATAACCATGCGAAAGGTACCATGGATCGGCATGCAAGCGGAAGAAACATCGTCACATTTGAGGAGCACTACCCTCCATCTTTGTATTCCCACAGGAATCATCCTTTGACAACTGTTTCTGCATGACCCGTAGCTCACAAAACTCACACCATCTGGCTCAGCCAGAATGCCGGCTCAGCACCATATCTTTCCAAGCTATCTCTCATTCCAGGCCATCGCCCACCAGGTAGTTCTGCAAGAGAAAGTCACATATATCGTCAATTTTCTGCAAATTGCTTTGCTGCATGCTTACCCCCTTTGCCAATCGACTCAATTCGAGGATACACTCTTCATAGTCCTCGGTCACGCCCTCAAGTTCGGGGGTGTCTAAATCGGCATTTTTGGCAATTACTTCCAACTCTGCACTGGTTTGCTCTTCGAGGGCCTTGATAAAGTCATTCACCTCGGCATCGATCTTGCCTATGATCGATTCATACTCCCGAACCGTGCGCTGGGGTATCTCACTCCGCATCTTTGTCAACTGGAGTGTCTCCTCCTCCACACTTTGGTAGAGCCGCCGCAACTCCTCATTCATTGCAAAATCGTACGGCTCTACCCTGGTGGGTGTCCGCAGCTGCTGCTCCACGTACTTCAGCAACGGCGAGCGGCTTGAAGGCTCATGGCCGTCAATTATCATCCCTTCTTTGGCTAACTCGAACGCATCGTCGATAAAGTCGTGTATCATGGCAGAGATTCGGAGCTTCAACGGATCATCCGACGTGGAGTAGAGCGCCGACTTCTTGGAGTTGGGTGTGTTGGACGACGACGGGAGATGAAGATTGAGCTTGTCGCTCGCATTTTTGTGGAACTGCATCTGGAGATACCGCACGTCCCCGGCTTCCAACTGTAGCTTTTCGTGTAGCTTGCTCATGACGATGTGTGGATGTGTTTTGGTTGCGGGGGGAGGCGACTTTTGAAGTGAAAACTATCCGTATGATTCGTAAGAGCTTTGGTAATCGTGGTTTCCCTTATGTATGGTTTGAAACACCTTAAACGTTAGTAAGGTGTAGGACTGCCGCTTGATGAGCGCATCTGATAAACAAACAAACGCGATAATTCTCCCGTGCGTCGCACGCCGTTCGCGCGCTCTTTCTGGAGGTTCACGTTTTCGGGATTGAGCTCGTACAGTGAAGCCCACCTATGTGGTTTAATCGGGCAGCAGCAAAAACTGGGTCCTTGGATACTTTTATCCACTAAAAATAAAATATTTGCAAAATCTGCCACAAAATGACCGTTTTCAATCTCGTGTACTTTTTGGGCACGTGTAAATTTTGTCCCACCCATGCGTTTATCCCAGCACGCAGCCTGCCCTCCGTTGTATCCCCATGCGCTCACTGATTACTTATCTGTCTCCTTCAGTTATCGTAGCCGAGGCTCCTGAAGACCACCTATTTCCAATCCATTCTCTCTTCCCAATGTCTGAGCTTGGGTCTGAATTCACACCAAACTTTGCTCCGTTCCTAGGGTTCGCAGGCTGTGCTGCCGCCATGGTCTTATCTTGCGCCGGTGCCGCCATCGGTACCGCCAAGTCGGGCGTGGGTATTGCGGGTATCGGTACTTTCAAGCCAGAATTGATTATGAAATCCTTGATTCCCGTTGTCATGAGTGGTATTTTGTCGGTTTACGGGTTGGTGGTTGCCGTTTTGATTGCCGGCGGCTTGTCCCCCACCGAAAACTACAGTTTGTTTAACGGGTTCATGCATTTAAGCTGTGGGTTGAGTGTTGGGTTTGCGTGCTTGGCCAGTGGCTACTCTATCGGGATTGTCGGTGACGAGGGTGTCAGAAACTTGATGCATGAGCCGAAGTTGTTCGTGGGTATCGTTTTGATTTTAATTTTCGCCGAAGTCTTGGGGTTATACGGGATGATTATCGCCTTGATTTTGAACACCAAAGCCAGTGGTTAAACCCATGACCTTCTGGTTGCGCCAAATTCCCCAATCCGCCACCCTAACCCTTGTGACTAGCCAAATACAAACGACATCCAGCTAATGCTGCACATTTTTTTTTTACTTCACTTCTCTCATTCTGTTTATTCACACCAGGCCTTTCTTATATAGAATTCCCATTGTTATTACGCCGACGCCGTGTAGATATGGCTGGAAAGTCCTGACTTGGAGAGCTGATTTCCTGACCCTACTAACATGGTATATATATGCCGTGACTTCTGAGTTTTTCTCTACTGGGGTAACTCCCCTTTCGCTTAGACTGGTATCAGCTTCCCGTTGGCGGCTTCTCGTTTATAAATTCAATGGGCCGTCTGGTTTAGCACTTAGCCATTAAGGCTAAAACATTATATATCGTTTAATGCTGCAGAAATACCAACCAATCTCTAAATCTGTGGACTACATTTTGACGAACTTGCTACTCGAATTCTTCCAGAGAACATACACCTAATCATTACCTAGACTCCAACACGCGTCATTAGAAAATGGAGCCATCCTAAACCTATAATACCTAATAAAACATCATTGGAAAACACGAAATTTAAAACAAGCTCTTTTATGCCAAGTTGTCCTTGGCCCCCTGCTTGCGGAAATGCTGCACTGGTCGTTCCCTGCTCAATATACGAGACCCTTAGGCAATATCAGATGCTACGTCACAGATCAGCCTCATCCACCCATGGAGCTGAGACTACACTATTTGCTGGCATGTCGTTTTTAACACAGCTCTTCACATGCTGCCTCCCCTCATCGTATACAGTACCACTGATTACGATCAATAACAATTCCTACAAGATCATCAAGCTTCTCGGGGAGGGCGGCTTCTCGTACGTCTACCTCGTGCAGTCGCCAAACGGCTCGCAGTACGCGTTAAAGAAAATCCATGCGCAGTTTGGAAACGCGGGAACCACGTTTGTCGTGGATGAGGAAGACGATACCGACACAGACACATATCAGCAAGCGATGAACGAGATCTACAACTACAGCGAGTTCCAGTCGCCTTACATCATGAAGACCATCGCGCACTCGGTAGTGCAGAACCCGGATGGCTCCAAAGACGTCTACATTTTGCTTCCGTTCTTTGAGCAGTCGCTTCACGACATTATCAGCGGAAAGGTGTTGAACGGAGAAAAGATGACCAAGACTGAAATCCTCAAGATTACCATCGGTATCGCACGCGGCCTCCAGGTGATGCACAAGCACCAGAAGTCGCGAAACCCGCACCCAGCAGCGCAGCCGGCAGACCAGCAGACCCTTCTCGGAGCGTCCGAGGACACAGAACTCCAGAGCTTCGACTTGCAGCCACTTGCACACCGCGATTTGAAGCCTGCCAATGTCATGCTCTCTCAGACTGGCCTTCCAGTGCTTGTAGACCTTGGCTCAACACAGCCAGCCCGTTCCACGCCCCAGACAAAACACCAGGCGTTACAGATCCAAGAGCAGGCGGCGCAACAGTCAACGATATACTACCGCGCGCCCGAGTTGCTCGAGGTGGCGGTCGGTGAGCCAATCTCCGAAAAAACAGATGTCTGGTCGCTTGGATGTGTTGTGTTTGCGATGATGTATGGGGGCTTGTCGCCCTTTGAGAAGATGGAGATGGAACAGGGTGGAAATGTGAATATGGCCATCTCCATGGGCGAGATTCGTTTCCCCAGCACCAGAGCCGATATGGAGGACTTGCAAGACTTGATCAGACAGTGTTTGGCGGTCAATCCCCAGGAGAGAATTGGTGTCGATGAGGTGATTACCGTGTGCTTGGAGATCCAATCGAGTTTGTAGCGAGATACTTGAGACTCTGGCCAATCTGAGAGTATACTTTAGGTCAGGTTGACCAAACCTAAGGCTTGGAAGAGGGCGGCCAGCCTTTCGACTTCCCAAAGGTCGCCCCGGGACAAATTGTCACTTTGAGGAACATTCTAAAAAACCAACAAATACGCGCTCAAAATTTAATTAACATGTGCCAAAAACGCCGTAGCTTGAAATACAAAACTTACTGGGGGTAATAGTGTACACCTACCATAGCTCGATCACAGCATTAATATCCATATAAACTACCATTCTCTTTACACCCCCTCGATGATCTTTTTTAGAGAGACACCCCAGGTTCCGCAGACATTTACATGGTCCACCATGAACAGCATCAACGCCTTACTAGCTTCCTCCTTGGTATAGGCTTCAGTAGCTAGCCCCTCGAGTAAACTTTCCACAAAAGTCCCTACCAACGCTGACTGAGTATTTATCGTCTTCACGGTGGCCTCGCTCAATAACCGCGTCTTGTAGAACGTAAACTCTTTAGCGGAGAGGGACGTAGGCAACGCCACTAGGCGCTCCAACGTGGGTAAAATGTCAAAAGTTGGATCACTGGTCGGTGTGATGGAGGCCGAAGACAGGGCTGTGCCGGGAGGCAGTGGACGCAGCGCCTTTGGTGGAAGGGGAGGGGTTGGTGAATAGGCCTTAGATAGGACTGGAGGGGGAATCATTGGTGAGCTGGGAGTACCAGGCTGAGAGCTTACCCTTGATTGGGATGTGCTCCCCGTGAATGTGTTTAGATCATGGGAGGCGACTCTTCTTCTTCTACTGCCGGCGCTTGCGGTGGAGCCTTGCGAGTTGAGCGACGTGGACGAGTTGTTTGTAGGGACGGAGGCCTTCTTGGCTAATGGGATCGGCGGTAAGTCGTTCCAGCCTTGGATAGGGGCGCCTGATTGGTAGATAGTCATAGTGGGTGTGAGTTCATGTGATAGTGGCGTTGTTTAGTTTGGTGTTCGGAACTTGTAGTTTAGGAGTTTGACGACTCACAGAAATTCCGCCTGCACGGAGAATCTGCAGGGTATCGGCCTCCTGCTGGGTATGAGGCGTGTTACTTAGGCAGAAGAGCCAAGGCGTAAAGATTCTGCCATTTTGTTAAACTAAGGTTATAACCCGACTAGCGCGAGGCTTTAATATTGTTACAAGAAGGTCATGTCTGAAGGGTGTGTCATACTGGGGTCCTGGGGTATAAGGTATGTGTAAGCATGGTTTTTCGTGGCCACAATGCATGCAACTGTCGGGTCTTACTGAAAACGGCTCTGACAATGGCATGTGTCACCCAGGGGTCCGATGCACTGCTATATATGGCTACAACGCTATTTGGGATATACTCGTTACAACTATATAACCAATAGCAAACGGAGAGTACCAATGGAGTTATTTTAAAGATACCTCCTGGTGAGAAGCTAAGCATGGATACAGATGAAACTAGCCGGAATCTTAGTGCTGCAGTACCGGTTCCGGGTAATTACATGCGAAAAATGAGTGTCTATAGCGCAGTGCTGTGATATTTTCACCAGGTGTATACTATTGTTCGGTTAAAGCAGGAGTACACGGCTTATATAATAAGTCTAGACTTTAGCTCGTGCAAAAATGTGATACCGGCTTTTATTCCTTTTTTCAATGGGGGTTGAAAGTAAACACAGATAAACATCAGTAGTGTGAGTTAGACATCGAGAATTGAAGAGTATGGCTAAGAGACTTATATCATAGACCCGATAATTTGGACCTCTGGCGCTTTAATATCGATCTTTGTTTAAGAATGGGTGTATTCAGCCCTCGTGGCTTCATTTCACCCGTATTCGAGGACGGTTCAGTTTTAGTCTAGACAGTTGGTAGGGTACAAAACAGGGGGTGTCTACATTTTTTATGACCGTTGTTTAAGCAGTGTTGGTATCTTTGAAACCACTAATTAGAGCAGGAGGACTTGATGTTAAATTCAGCGCTGCTAGTGTTCTATACATACTTTTTTATTTATTGAGGAAATGACTTGGTTACCACGTTCTCGGCTCTAACTATATCCAGTACGAGTAAACAACTTTGTACTATAAAATTCGCCGTCCACCATCTGAACTCACAGTATCGCCCCCTCCTTCTACCACCGGTTGTGACAGGTATCCGATTTTTGTTAACATCCCCACTTTCTACGTCGTTCCGGAAAAAAACCTTGATAGTATACATAATCTCTAAGCAGAGGTGTCCATTTTGTCTTCGTCCTGGCTGATACGCACCTTACCACCGTCGTCGATGTACTGCGTGGCAAACTCCTCCAAGAAGCCGACAGATCTGCCGGCGTCCAAGAATAACATGTAGGACCGCTTGACATCGTTCAATTCGACAATCTTGCTCTTTCTCTTGGACGCGATCTGGGAACTGACACTGATCAAGTTCGCGGCGTACCTCAAACTGGTCTCTACGGCGATCTTGGTCAATAACTGGACGGCTTCAGTTGCCAACTCGACCTCTTCTTCGATTGCACGGATGGCCAAGATCGACGCAAGCTCCTCCTGGCCGTACGGCTGGGTCTGGATGATGATTGAACGATCGATCAAGTCCATTGGAAGACCATGGGGCGACGTGTAGTTAGTGCCGCGCGTGCGGGAGATCCCCTTGTTGGTCGCCATGATGACAATCGGCGCTAATTCGGACTCCAAGGCACGGTTGATGAAGGAAAAGCATTCAATGTCCAACATATGGCACTCGTCGATAAACAACACCCCGGGGTTGATATCGGCCTTGGACTCCTCCTTCCATTCGGCGATCTTGGTGTTGATCTGGTCGCGTACCTGCGACGGAATCTCACCCGTGTCACCGCTGAAGATAGCGAGGAAGCCCTGCGATCTGGAGTTGATGACGTCAATCTCGTGGAGCGAGATGTCATGAGTTGTCGTCTTGCGCGTCTGCAACTCGCCCTCCGGACACTGAAGGAACTGGACATCCGAGCCCATCGCGTCGTAGTCGCGTGCGCGCGCGAAGGAGCGCCCCATGCGGGAGATTTTTCCAGACGCCTTGTCGATCGAGATGATGTCGCCGGCAATGACCTTTGCCTTGGTCAACTGTTCGATCATCTTGTGACCCAATTCGTAGATCGTCTCCATGTCGGTCGTTTTGATGGTCAACTTGCCCTGCTGGTGCCCGCCCGTGAGCGAGCGGTCGATGGAGATCTCCACAACCTCACCCTCGATCAACTCGGTCTCTTCCTTGATGGTAACTCCAATCGACTTTCTAAAGAATTGCGTCAACGCCTCCGTCTTGGAGATTTCCTTGCTAAAGATTTCGGATCCCGTGATCGACGTGAACGGAATGTTGGCGCCGAGTGCCTGCGCCAATCCCATCGCGAGCGCGGTCTTCCCCGTGGATGGCGGTCCTGTGAGCAAAATAGCCCTGCCCGCAATTTTTCCCTCAGTAATCATCTTCTGGATGACCCCCATCGCGCGGCGCGCCTTCAACTGGCCCACCATGCCCTGCGAGTTGGCCGCCGCCGTTTTCGGCTGGAGGTTCGCGTCCAACCCGAGCCCCTGGATATGCGAGTGCGCTGCGATGAGTGCCAATTCGTGGGAGGCCCCTGCCCCGTTGTCTTTGACGGAAATGGACATTGTATGGTAAAGTGATAAGGAACGAGAAGTGGCGTAACTTGAGGTGACTTTTGTTTGGCTTTTCAACCGCAAAAAATTGCGTGCTTATGTAAGCAGAGAAGGTGGAAGGAGGGCGATAAGATTAAACTGGGAGAATAATGGACCATTAATGGATTAATGGATATCTAATTGGGATAAATAATCAGAGGTTGATGACTGTGGTAAAGCGTTTGTGCGTACCAGATATATACCGTTGTATGGCGTTAATAGTACGTGAAACTTGGCCGTTAAATCACCTTATATTTGTTCTACACTTTGCAAAAAGATAAATATATAAAAAATGAGAACCTTCCTCGTATGTACTGCTTAAGCGGTCTTTTTTCTTCTCCCGACTTGGGCGGAGAAACCGGTCTTGATGGAGGTGACGGATCTGGTGGAGCCACAGGCCTTACACATCAAAAAGTGTAATCTATTAGCACTTTCTCTCTTCATCTCGGTGTTCATGGACTTGCACGTCTTACACGTGACGTATTCCATGATGTATCTTCTCAACACGTTTTCAATCTGTTTCGGCTGGAATCTCCCCTTAATGACCAATCTCTTTTGGCCATCAATGGAACCGGACGTCCCCAATTCTGCAAATAAGTATTGGATGACGTGCTCCGGCGATCTCTGCAATACAGCACAGATCTCCTGGACATTGGCAAACAAGGTCTTCTTGTTACCTTCTCTCTGACACACTGGTGGTGGAATGCGGAACTTTGGCCCGGATCTCTCGCCGGCAAGCTCGGGATTGTTGGCCTTCAAGATTGTGAAGAAACGCGACAAAAGATCGTCGTATGGCAAACCAACGTAGGTGGCGGTAGCCTGCTCTGGCGCGGCGGCTTCTGGCTCGATGTCGTCCTCTAATACACCAGCTTTTTCCAACTCCTTGTCAAAGTCGTCCATGACAACGGGGGTGCTGGACTTCTTCTTCTTCTTCTTCAACTTCAAGTCCCCGAACGATTCAGCGAGATCTTCTGTCGCCTCGGCGCCCTCCTCGTCCTTCTTCTTTTTCTTCTTCTTGAGGCCGGTGAATAACTCGTCGGATGTGTCTTCCACGACCGCCTCAGCGCCGTCTTCGACCTTCTTGGTCTTCTTTTTCTTCTTTAAAGTAGCGTCAAAGCCTAGGTCACTCATGTTGATGTGGATGGTGGGAAGGTTTTGGTTGTAACGGTACGCGTTGTTAGGAGGCGAATTTTCACTAAGATTTTTCTGCTGGACATTTTTCGAATGTTAAGCCGGAGATTTACGCATGGGTAATCCTGGGAACGCAAAGGGTGCACCAGGGTGTTCCAAAAGGGTACACCAAAAGGTGCCCCAAACCTATAGATGGATAAAGAGGGGGTGTTTTGGCATTGAAATGAAAGGGATAATGCAATAATTTAGATAATAATATAAAGATGAATGGATCTGTCAACGAAACGGGGTATGGATCCCGTATGATAGAAGAATGCATGCAGGACTAGACGTCCTGGTGAAATGACGATGAGCGTCAATTGCCTATTAAAAATATACTGGTCCCAAAGGGCTTACAACCAGCAAGTTTATACGTTATTGCCTATTTGATATCAATGCTATGGAATCCCTTGGGATCCTCGTCGAAACACCTTGCGTTGAACGAGATGGAAGGAGTTGTATACAGGACGGCGATGACATGAACATTGCAAGACTTTGCTCCACTCGGACTCCATTTAGTATATTACAGATATTTACGTGCAAATCGCTTTTATATTTTAAGGCTTGGTGCATAATTTTTTTATATTAACCTGGATTAATCAGTCTTTATGCCGGTAATAAAAACTATGGCAGTATAAAATCCATATCATCGGTCCCTAAAGTCGCAATATTTATCCAAAATGCATAATAGATCGAACTACTAGCCTCTCCCCTCAGTTCCTACCTGATTACCGTTTTACCCACTCAACCAAGGTGCATAAATTTCGTACGTATTTAATCCACTTTATAACCTACCCATTCTTTCATATTATCTTATTATTATACAGCTAACCACATCTAAATGGCCAAGTTCTGGGTCTGCTCCTCCAACTCCTTCTCCGCAGCAACACCCTCTTTCTGGGCCTGCTCGATTTCCATGCCCGGCTGGAACTTGACAGTCTCTGGGGCGTCTTCGTCCAACTTACCGAAGTAGTCGTCCTCGATGGCGTACTTTTTCAAAAACCAGTTCTCAATCTCTTCCTTGTTGTTATTTTCCGCCTCAAAGATCGCGTCGTGACCCGACGAGTTTTTGATGAAGGCATCCGCATCGTACTCGCATAAGACCTCCACTACCGGTAAATGGCCGTTCAAAGCGGCCCAGTGCAACGCGGTGTTACCACTGTCGTTCTGGAGGTTGATGAAGGCCTTGGACTCTTCCTTGGTGAGCTTGGAAAGCAAGTATTTCACCACCTCGACATGTCCGTTGGCGGAGGCCATGTGGATGGGTGTGGACAAGGAGAATTCGTCCTTGATGGTCAAGAGCACAGAGCCGGCTAACTCTGTAAAGATTTCAGTTAACGACTCAAGGTCACCGACCCTGGCATCGTAGAGGATACAGTCCATCTCTTCCTGAGTTAATTCTTGCACAGACATGATTATAGGGGTACTGTAATCAGGTATTGTAATCGGGTAGTCAGGGATGCTTAAAATCGCTTCGGTGCAGTGAAAAATTTCAGAACCTAAAATTATTTTGCGCCGCACGCGCCGGGATCAAAATTGTTCGAGTATTTGCCACCAGTAGTTGAACCAAGAGGAAGACCGAGACATTACTGGAAGGTGATCCAATAGACTCCAAATGGTTAAGATTGAAGACATAACCCCGATGGCGAAAATAGGGGACAAAGGTCCGGCGGAGATACCCCTGATGAAGGCCGAACCCCAAGTTGACACACCCACGGACGGGCTCCAACAGCTCAAGGAACGCTCAACGAAGCAGTTGCACAAGCCACAGTTCTTGGGGAATTCACCGTTGGACTTGCTCTTTCAATCGTTGGAGGTGGCGTTGCAGGACGTCAACCTCGACGATCCGATTGGGACACTTTATAGCTCCTTGTTCCAAGGCGCAACCCACGCTTCCGACTCACACATGCGACTCGCGGTCACTGACAAACTCCTCGCACAACTCCTCGCTATCCAGGTACAAACCATTGCGGCAAAGGCAGAAAACAGAGATATCATCTCGATCGCGCTCCACGACTTGAAAACGTTTAGCAAGGTCCTCAACCTTCTCCTCGTGCAGTGCGTGTACCCCGCCTTACCCACGAACGTGGGGATTCCGCTCGACCAGCGCCGCTTGAAGACGTTCAAGAAGCGACTTACGGTCTCGAAGGTTACCGATACGGATGAATCATTTGCCCTCTTGATGCTCTTGCAGCGACAGTTGACGGCGGTATTCAGCAAAGACGGGGACGTGCGGGATCTCTTGATGAAGGGCACGGGCTACAGCGACTATCTCATTATTACCATGACGTTAGTGACCCATCCAGCGTTTGTAGAACGCCAAAAGGCATTGCCAACGGCCGAAAGAGTTACCTTGGAAGACTTTTCTCTGGTAGAACAGCTTTCGTCGACTTATGAACTCTTTAGTACCTACTCATTGCTCATGACGATACGGTCACCGGTGTACTTTAAAGGCTTTGTAACACGCAGAATTACGCATCTTCCCGTCGATCGTGCGGACGGCGTGCGGGCGTTAATCGAGTTTATTGTGGGTTTGCGTGACGGCGAGGATGTGAGTATTGAAAGATTCGACCATGTGGCGCGGATTGTGCTTTCCAAGCCCCAGGAAATGCCGACAGCAGCATATTTCTCGAATGTGTGTAGTCAGCTATATGACATTTTGGTTTTGATTAACCAGCCGGTTCTCACCAGTGTGGCAGCCTACGTTGTGGAGAAGTTGTTTGAGCGGAACAAGTTGGTTTGCCGGGACTTTTTCTTCAAGCTAATCTGGAGCAATCTCTCCCCGAGCCCCGAAACTAAACAGGAGGAAGTGAAAAAAAGAGACGAGGAAAGTAAGACAACGGATCAAGAAGTTGCTTTGACAATTACAGGAGAGGCAAAGCTCAACAACACAATCAACGTGCTTATTTCAGTATCGAAAAAGTCCTCCTCTGGTTTCCTCCAGGCGTTACTCGAGCCGGTGTTGCTTCCTCTCTGGGCGTACGCAATGTTTGTCAAACGGTCCAAGAAGCTGACGGAAGTAGTGACCAATATTCTTGTGTCTTTTTTTGCCATCACTGATAATTCCACGTTATTGGACATGGTGGCTAAGAACCTCTTGTTCCAAAGCGCTGGGTGGGCCTTCCAGACGGGACCCAACGGCTTGGTAGTGATTGAAGCAACTAGACCCGCCGTTCAGGTGACCAACGAGCGATTTTTCGAGGATGTTGAGGTGGCGGTGGAGTTGTACATTGGGCTATTGGGCGATTTGAGTGACTCTTTGCTCCAGGGTCAGTTTTTGCGCATCGTCCAGCGCTGGATGGGAGTTGAAACAGTGGAAAAGCTTGGCGAAACAGAGAATCCTTTTGTGATGTTGATGGACTTGCGGTTGTTGGAGGGAATTGGAAAAAAGTATAAAGACCGACTTGCCCGCTCACCCAAGGAAATCTTGGATTTGGTCGAGTATGTGTTGAAGGGATTTCTCGCCGAATCAGCTCCACAACCTGAATACACTGCGATCATTCCCGGCAGTTCGGTAAAGGAAGAGGCAGATTCTGACGACGAGGATGACTTTCAAGACGACGGAACGGGTCTTGCATCGTCCACTGCCTCACTCACCGTTGTGTTGGAGCTCCTATCTGCGATAATCACCGAGACCAACCCCGCTGAGTTGTCTAGCACGTGTTTTACGGTAGTGACCTCGATCCAGGGTTTGTTGGCCCAGCTAGAGGCGAATACCGCGGCTCAGGCGTTGTTGTCGCGTATCAACACGCTTCTCAGTGGCGAGCAGCGCCCAGCCTCGAAGAGTGAGGCGGACGCGAAGACGTTGACGGTGGCCATCACGAGTTTGAACGACCCGCTTATTCCGATCCGCGCGCACGGATTGTACTTGTTGCGAGAGTTGGTGAATAAGAAGTCGGATGTCGTGGGCTTGGACTTTGTGGTGGAGCTCCATTTGGCCCAGTTGAAGGATCCTGAGCCGTTCATTTATTTAAATGTGATCAAGGGGCTCGAGGCGCTTCTTGAGTGGGACAGAGGCAAAACTCTTCCCCTTTTGGTGGATTTGTACCAGAAAGATGGAAATGTGGATGAGCGGTTGAGAATCGGCGAGGTGTTGCTTAGATTCATCCAGAGCACAAACGAAGCGTTTGCTGGAGCATGGGCGGATTTGGTTGTGGGGACTACCCTCCGAATGATCAGACGCGATGGGGAGGCCGACAACCGGATGCGGATGTCTGCGATGAGTTTGTTGGGGGTCTGCTGCAAGACCAATCCCGCGGCGATCTCACGCCATGTCAGTGATGCCCTCGATTGTACTCTAGGGATTCTCCAGTTGGAGAAGGAGCAGGATGCAGCGATCATGCGACGCGCCGCGATTGTGTTGGTGCATGATTTGATCATGGGGAGCAACGGTCTCGACGGCTTTCCGAAGTCATATGGGTTGAAGTGCTTGAATTGTTTGCGGTACATCACCGAAACAGATGTGGATCTCTTGACCCGGGAGCAGGCTGCAAATGTCGCTGAGTTGATGAGGGAGTTGATTAATGATAAGTTGATGGCTAATGCCGAGGTTATTCCACAGAGCTACAACCGGTTCCGGATTTAAAAAAAAAAAAAAAAAAAAAAAACTGAAAAAAAAAAAAAAAACAAAATAGGAATAAGTATATAAGAACAAGTGTATGGGGAATTATTATCCAAAATTTAGCCTGAATAAGGCTTATTGAGAAGTGATGGAGCACTGCTCCAAATATTAATTGTAAGCTAAGTAGACAAATGTGACGTTAAACTTCCTTTGGATGGAAGCATCCGCAAAAACCTTGGACATAGTTTCCACGGGTATTGATTACGACAAACATAACAATACATCATAATACGGAATCAATTAAGTCGGCAAGTAAACTACACTCTTCAGATGACCGTTCCGGATCGTGCCTGCTCACCTTTTGGGTGTTTGTCACGTGCCTCTCTACTAGCGAAGGCTTGCAGAGTTAGCTATAACGGTCATCGAGCACGTGACAAGCGTCACCTTATTAGGTCACATCCCCCCATACGGATACAAGGAAATCATTCGAATCCAAGAATTCCCCAGAACGTGTATTCCTTTCAAGCAACTCTAGATTCGGTTCTGGCCGATGTCACATACTTGCCACGAAGCAAGATCCGAAATCCATAAGTTGTCGTTATACACAGGTCACGTATACATCCTCTGGAATGTTTACGTTTCATCCGTTTTGGGACATGTTGTGTTTCACACGCTCAGCAAAACAAACCTCAAACTTTGGCGCTGAAAACAAAACCTTGCAAACACACACGCAAACAAGCCAAAGACACCCCATAGCCACCGCCATTGCTCTGCCATTTCATTTACCAATGACTTCACCTGCTAAAAGTATTGCTTCGCGCTACTTGGAATCAGTGGGAGACGGATCGCCGTCCAAGCCGTTGGGGCTCTCGTCCAGGGTGAACACCTTTGCGCACAAAACCACCAACACGGATCTTGACATCTTGTCGAGCCAGCTTCAGGAGAACCTCGCTGTTTCGCCCTCCAAAACGTCGCTTATCAAGTCGCGTTTCGAAAACTCACCCACCGTTTCCGCCTTCAAGTCGAAGTTTGACCAGCCGCCGGCACAAGAGTGGTCAACGCCCAAAGCTCGGACCACGGAGAATTGGATGTCTCCCACGAGACAAACAGGCTATAAGCAAGACCGTTCCGAGCGTCTCAACTTTGAGTTGGCCAAGCCATTGGGTAAGCCTTCCAAACAGCTGGTGTCCCCATCCCACCCAAAGCCATCGGCTACGCCATCTCATTCAAAACCATTGGCTAACTCGACTACACCATCCATTCCACTTTTATCGCCTACTAAACCTGGCTTCTTGATCCCTCCCTCTTCCTCTGATGCCTCCGCCAATGGAGCAATGTACAAAATCCCGTTGAAAAACACACGCTCGCGGTCAGCCTCGCCATCTAAAACATTTCAGGCGCTTTTGACCCCTAAAACAGCCTCGTCGCCCCAGAGATACACCGACGATAAATCTGAAAAGATTTACCTGTATCTCTGTCGCGTCGCTGAGTTGAAGGCATGGATCGAGACCTGTATCGGGGAGAGCATCCCATCCATTTACGAGATGCCCGACAACTTGCGCAACGGGGTAATCGTTGCAAAGTTGACGAAGGTGTTTGCACCACACCTCATCGGCCGTATCTACGAGTCGCTGGAGCAGAAGTTTTTCTACACGGAAAACATTACCAACTTCTTCAAGTTCTTGCAGTTTGTGCAGATGCCCACGTTGTTCAGCTTCGAGCTCACGGACTTGTACGACGGCAAGAATATCCCCAAGGTGATATTCTGTTTGCACGCACTCGCGCATATTTTACACCTGAACGGCAACGGCCCCAAACTTGAGAAGGTTACCGAGTTGGACGACTTGGATGAGGTCAAGTTCGAGCGGGTTCTCAGGGCGATCGGCAACATGAAACTCCCGAACTTTGACTCGATCGAAGCGCCTATGAAGTCTCCGGTGCGGATGAAGCCCTTGCTGAACCAGCCATTGCCTCCGGTGTTTGAGCCGGAAGAAGAAATGACGGTGATTGAACGAGAGGCAAGTCCGGTGCCAACTCCACCCTCAGTTCCATCGTCATTCCCTATTCGGTCCCCGAGCCCGGTGGCTGATTTCCTAGAAGTTCTTGATGAACCTACCCAGGTCATCCCCCAGCCATCCCAGGTGACTCCCCCAGATGAGCTCCACCGGTACCTCCAGACAATCGTCTCCTTGCAAGCCTTGGCGCGCGGCTCCTTGTTCCGCTACAACATGTTCATCGACAAGTACATGGTGCGCAAGTTTTTGGATACGCACCACCTCTCCTTGGAGTACCGCGGGGCCGACCTCCCAATCACGCCGTTCCACGCAGTGGTGAAGGGCCACTTGCTCAGAAGGCGGCTTGCGCGCCAGAAGGCGATGCTTTCGCTCTTTGCGCGTGAGATCTCCGAGTTCCAGGCCATCGCGCGCGCGCACTTGCGCCAGGCCTCATTTTCTAGCTCCGTGCGTGGCGCTGGCGATAGTACCGACGCCGTGCGCGCGTTGCAAGCCGTCATCAGGGGAAATGCCGCGAGGCAGAAGGCCACACGGACCGTGCGAGCGTTGGCTCTTCACGAGCGCGAGGTCACCCTACTTCAGTCCGTGGTGAGACTGAAACCGGTGCGTCGCAACACCCGGTCGGTGATTGAGAACAAAAACGTGGCGGAACCACATTTGGTCCGGTTCCAGGCCCTTGCACGCGGCCATCTCGTTGCCATGAAGCACCAACACATGCAAGCAGCGATAAAACTGGCGGTGCCGAGTGTGGTGGCCCTCCAGAGCGTGCTCCGCGGAGCCGCGGTCAGAAACAGCTTTGAGTCACACTTTGAGGCCGTGACCATATCTTGCAGCTACATGGTAGACTTCCAAGCCATCATTCGCGGCGGATTGGCCCGCAACCGCTTGAACCACATCTTGGACGTGTTGTACGTACAGGAACCGCGCACGGAGTATCTCATGGCCATTGCGCGCGGCAAACTCGTACGGAGGGACGTGTATGCCACATCGGCGCAGCTCCTCAATAGCCAGGCCACTGCGTCGATTACGGCGATGCAGGCGCTCGTGCGTGGAGTGTTGAGTCGCTTCTACCTTGACTGCTTGATGGACAATGTCGAGGATACGGCACCCGTAATGGTCGGGTTTCAGGCGACTGCACGCGGCGCCTTAGTACGTGCGCAACATGCACGCATGATCCGCTACTACCACGCAAACGTAAACACCATCATTAAGGTGCAGAGCTATCTCCGCGGAAAGTCACAGCTCGGGGCTTACCGGTCGCTCACCAAGTCCGGCGACATCAACGTGGCGGTTATCCGCAAGTTTGCGCCGCTTTTGGATGACGCCACGCTGGACTTTGACGAGCAGATGACGTTGCAGCGGTTGACAGACTCCATCGCTGACTACACAAAGAATAACGAGGCGTACGAGGCAAAGATCGAGCAGCTTGAAATCAAGCTTGGGTTGTTGCACAAGAATGAGATCACTCTTGAGGAGTTCAAGTCGCACGCGCTGCTCCCATCGCAAACAGCCGGTGGGCGCCGCAACGTGTTTTCTGCTCTCACAAAGAACTCTGTCGACCGTATCGAGGTCTACAAGTCCATGTTCTACCTCTTGCAAGTGCGGCCACACTACTTTGCCAGCGCGTTTGCGCGTTTGCTGCCCGACAGCAAGCAGTACCACGAGGTCGAGGAGACGGCATACACGGTGCTCAACCCAACGGCTGGCGTACGCGAGGAGTTTTTGTTTGTACAGTTGCTCGTGGGGTTGCTCTCTACGGAGATCCAAAGCTGCGACCACCTCGAAGTGCACGACGGCGCGTGGAGTGCGCTCTTGTGCCGCTTCCACCAGACGGCCAACCAGAAGCGGGTATTGAAGGAGTTTGCGTACGAGTTTGTATCGAGTGTCCTCGAGAACGAGGATGTGGACTTCGAGGCCAATCCTTCGTCCATCTACTTGAAGCTCGTTCAGGCGCAGGAGCGTGTCACCGGCAGACCGTCTGACCGTCCGGTCCGGGTCAATCCTCAAGAGGCCATGGCAGATAAGCTCACACATGACACATACATTCGCAACATGATGAACCTCAGAGACTATACCAGTCCGTTCATCCAGCATATTTCCGACCACCTTGGCAAGCTCGCGCTCCACGTGCGAGTATTGTGTCGCCAGGTGTATGACCAGGCGACGCAAAAGTTTCCGGGGGCCAGCGAGATGAAGAAGCTCGCAGTGGTTGGGAAGATTCTTGTTCGGTACTACATCAGCGACATTCTTTTGGACATGGCGAGCTACGGGGTCGACACCAGTTTCCTCAGCGGTACGGGCCGCGTGCGTGTACAGGAAAATCTTGTGCATGTGGCCAAGTTGCTTGCGCAATTGTTTGAGCTCCGTCATTTCGGGCCGCTGGACCGCCACTACCACTCGCTAAACTCGTTCATCGACCAGAACACCCCCACGGTGGTGTCGGTGTTGCGGTGCCTCATCGACGTGCCCGCACCGGAACAGGCCTATAACATGACCATGTACGACGACTTGACCGCCGCCACGCGACCGGTGCTCGTGATCAAGTGCTCGGAAATGTTGGCCATTCACCAGATGGTGAAGCGCGAGATTAACGCCTTGGTTCCGCCGTCCGCAAGCATGAACGACGGTGCGGATCCGTTGCGCGAATGTGTGGTGAAGCTCAACACGATCAACGTGTCGGCACCCGAGGTGGCCAAGATCAGCCAGCTTGGCGAGATCTCGCTCCAGCTCAGTCCATCTGCCTTTGGTGATGGCTTCTCGAGCAAAAAGATTAAGCACTTGCTTGTCCAGGCAAAGCGCTACGTGTTGTACCACATTCGTGTGCAACGTGAATCGGACGATTTGCTTGAAATGCTCATCCTGAAGATCGGGCCCGAGCACGAGAGACGGTTCCGCGAGTTGGTTGACGGTGGCCGAAAGAGCCTCAACAGCTCTACGCGCACGGTCGAGGATTCCGCCGCGTTGACATATGTGGAGGTGCGCAAGTTGGCCCTCGCAACGTTGCTCGAGTTAGAAGAGTTGCGCGAGGTGACTCGCGCGAATGGTTTCCACGAAGTGTTGGTGCAGTTGGCGACGGACATTCGCACAAAGCATGACCAGCGCTTGGGCCGCAAGAAGCAACTCAGCCAGGCGGCCGAGACCAACCAGCGCTTGGAAAACAAACACAAGGCGTTGGTGCGTGAATACGCCGATTTCAAGCGGTTCATTGACCGCTTGTTGGTGGAGGGGCAGTCGCAAAAGACCGGGGGCAAGCGGTGGTTCCACTTCCTCTCCACTTTGACCAAACAGTACCTCCAGCACCGCGAGTTCCGGCGCATGGGCTTCACGCCCAAATTTGGCTACCACAAGTTCTCCGCCCGCAAGTTGATGGACCAGGTGGTGTTAATCGACGTCAAAGGCCTAGAGAGCGGGGGGAAGTCTGCGTTTGGGTCCTCTAAGCTCGACTTTGTCTTTTCGTCCGACCAGGCGGGGGTCTTCAAGGTGGAGTGTCTCCTGGGCTCGTTCACGTTCCCAGACGCCTCTCAGACCGTCACACTTGATGATTTATTGCAGGCTCAGTTCGAGGGCCGTCGCGAATTTGAGATGTTCAAGAAGGCCAGGTTCGACACGGATAATTTGATCAAGTTGATCAAGAAGAAGTTTTACGAGAGTGCGTGAGATCGCAGAAGATACGTTAGTATTGAGGTGAATATGGTTGAGTATATGTAAAATACACTTTTCTATAATATAGACGGAGCAGTGTATGCTGGAGAGTGGGTGTAGAGGGAGAGACGATGTGTTGCTTTGGCTGACCGGACGAGAAAAGTCCAAACCTAGCATCCTGTGGTGGGACATCACTTAAGTATATATACAGGACAACATATAATGTTTTTGCACCATTCAACATCTCTTATTCTTCCCAACCATTTCCTTGCTATTTCCATAATGCTGACTTTACCGGTTATTCCAAAAACCTACCCCCTGACCATTGAAAATGCCACGTCTGTGGCACAGCTAGAAAAACTCCAACAGGAGGTCAACGAATGGGGCAAGTGTCTTCACAGCCAGCTTTCTCAAATCCCAGTCTACGATCAGCGATCGTTCTCCCTCCAGATCAGCCACTTGGTCAGCTTGATCGAAGCCAAGAAGAGCCAATTCAAAGATACTGTGTTTAAATTCTCGCAAAGAAGAAAACCTATGGCCATTGCTAATGTCAAGGACACGGTTGCGGCCGCTCTCCCCCAGCCAAAGCCCGAGGCGGAACCCGTGCTATCGGGAAGGGCCTGCTTTAAGGAGACGATAACGACTAAACTCCAGCATATGTACGTGACTGACTTATCACAGTGTATCATCAGTGCTCCAGGGCCTGTGGGCTCTATTCATGTGAAGAATGTCACACAGGCCATCGTTTCACTTGTTTCGGATGGGCCCGTCTTCATTCACGATTTCACCGACGCTATTCTCATCGTGAAATGCCATCAATTGAGAGTGCACAATACGAAAAACGTCAAGCTTTTTATGGACGTAGGATCGAAAAGGGCGATTATTGAGCAGTGTTCGGCGTTGACGGTGGGGCTGTATCCTGGCTCCCAGAATATGGTTGAAATTGACGATTTCAGCTGGCCAACAAAGAACCAGGCCAACCCTCATTATGATTTTTCTACCGAGAGTCCAAACTATAACTGGGTTGACAGTATTGGAGACGGTAGTTTGTCCCCAGAGGTGGTGAGACGATTATGTGAAGCGGTATCACCGAGCCAGCCCCTACTGACATAGGAAATGGTATCCATATTGTGGGAGTTAGAATACCGCCCTAAGTCTAGCATATACAGGAGTCTGGAATCGACCGTCCGATCCTTGGTTGACAAAGTTTCTACATTAATGAAAATTCTTTGCAGCTTCTCGGTTGAGTCTGAGTGGTATGAGTTTAGATGCTGTCTTGCATTCGCAGCCCCTTTTGGAAGGGTAGCAACAAATGCTACACGATGCCTTGGTTTTCGTTCTATTAACTGAGTATAATAACCAATATCTCGCCAAGTTCACATCCATGCTAATATACAGGGGGACTCATACAAGTTAAATACATAAATACATAAGGCTAGTTAAGGAAACTCTATACTCAGGGATATACTTGAGGATCAATATAGAAGAGCCTTTTTAAGCGTACCCGCTTACTCTGGGAGTCTGACCCTCCCAACCAACTGATCAGAAACCTTACGGAGATCACTCCAAAACACCCTCTTTGGCATTCTTCTCCCCAACTCTGTCTCGTAGTCGTAGAGCTTTCTGATAGGCGAGAAGCGGATGTGCGATCTGATGATACCCAAAACCGAGGCCGTCGCCTTGAACTCCTCCTCGTCATTCACAAACTCCACATCATTTCTATACTTATTGGTAACCTCTTGCCTCTCTTCAATAAACTGCACCGCCTTCACCGCCAATCTTGCGGCTCTGGTTCTGTCCATCGCCGATGGAATCCCACCCTGCTGCACATGTCCTGGCACCGCAGTCTTTGCCTCGAAGCCCCCTCCGCCTTCCTCATTCATGATTTTAGCGATAATAGGGGTGGTCAATACCTTGGATGCGTTCGCCGACTTCAAAACCAACTTGCCGGATCTCGTTAAATCGTGCGCTTCGCCAAACTGGTCCTTCAACATGTCGATATCGCATTCCAACTGCGCCAAAGAGATCCCTTCCTCCGGCACATACGAACAGTATGCACCAGTAATCAACGAAGCGTAGGTTGCAATGTACCCAGAGTTCCCACCTTGGATCTCCACTACAAACACACGGTCTCTGGTAGAAGATGCGGATTGCTTGATGACGTCACAGTAATCCATTAACGAATTCAAGCAGGTGTCGGACCCAAGAGAGTACTCGGTCCCGGGGACATTGTTCGAAATCGTTGCTGGGATCAAAACCATCGGAATTCTAAACGACGAGTAATCAATCCTGGCCTTTTCCAACTGCTGCAAGGACTCAAAGGCCTCAAAGCCACCCACAAGCACCAACCCGTCGAACTGGTATTTTGAAAAGTAGTACGCAATCATCCCGATGTCGGTTTCGCTCGGAATAGTCCTGTTGGTACCGATTTCCGACCCACCCATAGAGTTCCAGCCGTCCATCGACAACCAGTCAAGCGATCTCACCGACTCGTGTCTCGCCAAACCGGAGAACCCGTTGTGGATAGCGTACGGAACGTGTCCGCGAGACATACAGTACGAAGCCATGGAGTAGACTGCCGAATTCATGCCACCAGCAGGGGCGCCGACATTGATAATAGCAATCTTCAAACGCTTCTCTTCCGGCAAGCTCGCGGGGTTGTGGTTAGCAGAGTTGATGGCCATGAAATTGCCCAAGTTCTCAACAAAATCAGTGTCGCGCAACTCCATGGCGTGCTTAAAGTCCTTGTTCTCGATCGCCGTTGCCACAGACTTTGTAATCTTCACCGCCTCCATCAACGACCGCCTGACAATCTTGTTCTCGTCGATGGCAATCATCGGAGACGGGGTTTCTGGGGTGCATTCAAGCACAGCCTTGACCGCCTCCACCCCTTGCATCGTAGCCAACATTCTGTCAAAGGCCACGGCGGTACCTCCCCTTTGGACATGCCCCAAGGTTGTGATACGGGTGTCCAATCCCAAACGGTCGACCAACACGTCCAACACGTCTTTGGAAGTGATAGGAGACAAGTCCAGAGCGATGGCACCCTCGGCTACGATGACAATCGTCTTACGGCGGCCTCTGTCCCTGCGCTTCTTGATAATGCTGCACATCTGGTCCTGCCACTCCTGGCTGGAAGCTGGCTTTTCGGGGATTAAGATGTAGTCTGCGCAGGTAGCAATACCGGCCATCAAGGCTAACCAGCCACAGTGGCGGCCCATAACCTCGACGATGAATGCACGGGAGTGGGAATTTGCGGTAGCGTCAATGTAGTCAATGGCCTGGCAGATACGCGCCAAGGATGAGAACGCGCCGATAGTGGCATCCGTGGAGGCCATGTCATTGTCAATAGACCCGACCGTTCCGCAGATGTTCAAGTGCTTGTGCTTGGCGAATTTCTCCTCCAGAATGTCGCCTCTGTGGTGCAACTCTTTGATGAGTTCAGGCCACTCAGAACGGAACAAGTCGGCACCGGTAAGCGAGCCGTCGCCCCCGCAGACAATCAAGGCGTCAATACCAGCGTCAATAAGATTCTTGCACGCCTGGAGTCTCCCCTCACGCTCGCGGAACCTCTGGGACCGGGCAGTCCCGATGTTGGTACCCCCATGGCATAACCAGCCTCTGACGTCCTCCCAGCCCATTTCACGGATAAACTTTTTGCCACCAGCTACCAACCCTTCGTACCCCTCGTAGATGGCAAACGCCTTGCAGCCCGAGAAGATGGCGGTACGAATGATTGCCCTCACATTAGCGTTCATGCCGGGTGCGTCACCACCAGAGGTCATGACGGCAACGTTACGGCGCGAGGCCGAGCTCATGTTAGGCATCAGATCGGTTGCTGGTCTTCTAGACGCAGGGGTGGCGGTGCTCAGTGACGAGACATGCAGTGGAGGAACGTAAGTGAAGGGTGGAATTACCGCAAACGAATTGACCGTCGCGGCGGAAAACCCGATGACGTTCCCTAACGGGTCGACCGCGTAAACTTCAATTGGATTGTCCTCGTCCGGGGTCACTTGGAGGACGGCCCCGGTGCCGCGTAATCTTTCAATCAACACATGGATGTTGGTAGTTTTGAGGGTGAAGGAAGACTGGATCGAGCGCCAGTCATGGAGGTCCAACTGGCTGTTGATCTGCGCAATTCGCGCCCGAACGTCGGCTGTGGGTGGGGCATCGGCAGTAACAGCCACTTTGAACCAGAAGTTGTACTCTGGGTTTGTGAGCCAGAAAATCCCACCCTCAGAGCCGGAAGTTTGCTCTTTGACGAAGAAGTCGAGGGTGGTGACGTAGAAGTCGACGGTGGTTTGCGCCAACTCGGCGGTAGACGCATACAAGGCTGTGTAGGACTCGCCGTTGATAGACGGAATGCCGGGCATTGTAATATGTGTTGTGGGCGTCAATTGAAAGAAGAAAGACTAGCAGGTTCAAGGATCATGATGCACAAAACCGAGCTTTTTTAGTCGCTGGAGGTTTTCTGGCCCCTCATGCGCATCGGGTGGTGCGCAACGAGGGGCTCTGGAAGAATGGGTCCGGCACGGAATGAGTACATGAGCCGGCAAGCAACATGCAAGATGCTCAGCTGATGAGGACTGCAGCGATACCGTTATATCTGTTTGGGGTGCAATTTCTCTTGTTTCCGGATTTGGCTTGGGTGCTATGGCATACAAGAGAATCTACAGATTGCAAATAGATTGGTTAGAGAGTGGTTAATTTATACCACTATTTTTACAGTATATGCCAGCATCGATAATACACGTATATAAGTTTAGAGAGAATTGTTGTGCGAAAGATGTGTATCGATCAATACATAGCTGCGTACATAACTATATATAATATATATGAATAGTTATAGTATACATCTTCATACTGGGAATACATATTTAAACAATGCCCCTCCTAGTGTACCAATAATATTACAATATATAGATAATTTACACAATGAATGATTTAATGAGAAAGATAAAGGGTCAACATACCATCTAAGGAATCTTATAAGAGTCCCTGAGTGCCTTGCTGATATCAAGGGTTGGTTAGAATCAATTCAAACGCTATCACGGTCTGGACACAACTCATACACTGGCAACATTCGACGCGTTGCTTAAAATACAACAGAAGCTCTCCCTGAAGGCGCTTATGAATAAACCAAACCTGATGTTTATTTAGAACCTAGATAAAGGACTAAACTTGTCACTATGGTCATTAAGTTACTAAAAGCATAGCAATGCCAAGTAAAATGTAACGTTATCCCTGATGAAAGCTGTGGTCAATATCGGGTACGGATTAGTTACCAGCCCGCACAACGGGCCAGTCTTGACTTCAATCAAACCATCTACATCCTCGATTAAACTTTAATAATTATATTATCCAGAGAAAAAGATGAGAAACATCAATAAAAAAAGTGCAAGCCAGTGTAAAGTGTAAACGTTTGAAAATAAAAAGGGATGTGAAAAAAATGTAAATAAATAGCTGAACGGAGAATGCAGAGCAGGAGAAATGTCAAGGGAAACCCTCAGTGTTGCCGTGCCATTCCCTTTCGTCGTCCTTCTCGTCGCTAGCCTTCAAGAAGCCAGCAGCACACAGAGGTGTTCAAACATGAAGCACATCACTTGCAGCCATAGTACGGATACAGAGAGTGGTTGCATGAGAAGTCGGCTGATGAAATTGGAGGGTGCGGCGAAAAGCAGCCAGTTGAAGCTAGCTCCGCAATTTTCAATTCTGGCCTTCTAGCATAGAGCCTCAGAGTCAAGTGACGAGGGAATGATAGATCGGATGGGTTATTTTATAACAACGACACAACAGCGCGCCGTGTCTCAAAAAGCGGGTATTCGAACACCCTCATTCATGGTTGAGCAGGGATGGGGAACAGAGGCAGATTGAGAGAAAAAAATGCATAGGGGAAAACAAGAACGAAAAATAAAGAGGCACGGAAGCTGCCTACCCTCTCTATTTGGATGGATCGTATCTTTGATAGCCCATGTAGCCAGTGATCTGGTGGGTTCTAAGCATGGTCAAGTACAACTCAGCCAACTCTCTGCAGTCTTCGAAGTGGTTGACACCACTGGTGTGGTAGCAGTGACCCAAAGCCTTACGGACAGTCTTCAAGGAGGCTCCTCTGACGTATTGCTCTCTTAAGTAGGAGTCTCTAGCCTTGTGTAAATCTTTGAGGTTGGCGTAGTTGATTTCGTCAAAGGACACTAAGTCGGAACGCTGGTGAGTGGACATTGTTAGTGTGTAGGGCGTTGCTTGAATGAGAAAAGAAAATGAGCGTTCAAATAACGGGCCAAGTAAATGTAGTCAATGTCACTACTGTTTTTGTGTGTTTTTACCAGCTTCGATGCTAAGATTGTATGTGCACCTGGTCTTCAAAGCCCAAACTGTTTACCGGAAAAAGCATGGCATCTTACTGGTTCAGGAGCTTGCAAAGGAGGGGTTACCCGCAGTAAAATTCGCTTGCGCACGCAAAAATATTAGGAGTGCATCCAGCCTGGTGGGGTACTATTGGGATGAAACCTTAGTTCAGGTAAACGGTACTGAGAATAGGGTAAACAGGCGTTAATCACATAGAACAATTAAAAATTGTATAACAAGCAAAGCGTTCGGAATATCGGAGGAACTGAGCTCACGTAGTAATTTATAACGTGGTTAGGGAGACTGTCTAGATTTATTTTTAATTATCGGCCGTGTGGTCTAGTGGTATGATACTCGCTTTGGGTGTGAGTGGCCCAGGGTTCAATTCCCTGCTCGGCCCGATTTATTTTTTGCACCTTAATAGGCTGAAGTTCTAATGACTTGTATTAAAATCAAGATTGTTTCGTAGTTGCATTCCGACGAACGATTGGCGTGGAGCGAATGTGATATTAAAGTGTATGGCGAGAAACATCTTATGGAGACAGGCTATTACGCTCCTCTCAGATTCTCGTCCTTTGGTTTTTCGCTTCCAAAATAAGCAGCACCGCCCTTATCACTAAGCATCGATATCAATCCCGTGATACATGGGGGCACAGTTGGGCGATTTGAGGGACTCCAGTTAAGGGGTTGCAGTCTGTCATTTATTCACAAGTCACTATCACGATCTTCCACAAGAATAGAGATATTTCTAGACTAAATGCATATCTTATCAACAGGAAACCATTTCCTTATGGTTCTTTGAGCTTGAATCGTCACCGGCGTTTCCATTTTCTTGAAACGCTTGGTGGTTCAATTTCACTTGGATCGCCACTTCCAGTTCATTTTCCTGGATTTATGTATTCGCTACTCTCGTGCTAGATGGCTGGGTTCGGTGAATGTTTAACTCTTCCTGGTAGCCACACGCTGACTTTCTCGTAACCTCAGTGATGGTTTCAATAGCGGACACGCTGCAACAAGGTTGTATAGTGTAGTGGTTATCACTGTCGGTTTTGATCCGACCAACCCCGGTTCGAGTCCGGGTACGACCTATATCTTTTTTCCTCCGAGCTTCCTCGGTTATATGTTAGAACACAGACCTACTCGTTTGTGTCAAGTTTCAGCGATTCAATTAACTAGAAACGGAATATAATACAAAAAAGACTCCAGTGCCAAGCAGCTAGCTGTTGTTTAGCGCTTGTTCAAAAAAGAAGAAGCCATGGAGGCTAATGAGCCAATGTCCATACCACCATTGTTCTGGGCTTGGCCCTGGTTATAGTTTTGGCCATCATTTTGGTTGTAGTTCTGGTTCTGACCCTGATTGTAGTTGTGGCTGTTGTTCTGGTTGTTACCGGACTGATTATAGTTAGCGCTACCGAAGCCTTGGTTTTGGTTGTAGTCAAAGCTCTCGTTGTTGCCTTGGCTGTGGTAACCTTGGTTCTGGTTGTTGTAGCCTTGGCTCTGATTGTTGCTGTGGTTGCTGTAGCCATGGTTCTGGTTCTGATTGTGATTTTGGCCTTGGTTTTGGCCCTGGTGTGAGTTACCACCGGCGTATTGAGAGGCCATGGAGGCCAAAGAACCCAAGCTGAAACCGCCTTGGGAACTACCACCGTTATTTCCATTACTGTGGCCACCAAACTGGGAAGCCATGGAAGCCAAAGAGCCCAAGTTGAAGCCACCCTGAGAATTGCTTTTGCCACTGTTACCGCTACCGAGCTTGGAAGCAAGTGAGGCCAAGGTCCCGAGATTAAGACCGCCACCAGAACTGTGAGAGCCACCATTGGAGCCACCGCTGGCGCTGAGCAAAGAGGACAACATACCCAACTGAGAGGAATTGCTGCTGCCACCACTGCTCAAAAGAGAAGAGATCATGCTGATAGGCAAACCTCTGCTGCCCTGTTCGCCATCGGATATCCCTCTGCTACCTTGTTCACCGTCAAACATCTCTCTGCTGCCCTGTTCGCCGTCGTTGTTGTTCAGGGGGTGGGCAGCGGAGATTTTCCTGGTCAACTGTTGGATGATTTCTGAGATTCTTTGCTGGATGTTGGAGTTTTCGTTACCGTCAGCCATTTCCCTCTGTTCAGCGTGGGACAAGGCGGCAACACCTTCCTCGTACTTCTCTTCGGAGATAAGTTGTTCCCCCAACTTCAAGTAGTTATGAGCGGAGGGGTTTTCTTGGACTTGACGTTGAGCGTGGTCTGACATTATTATTGGAGTTTGAGTATAATTCGGAATCTCCCTTTTTTTGTGTATAGGGCCGGAAGAAAGTGTTTTATACAGAATTGGGTCCATTGGGCTGACTGGGAAACCTTCGCCAAGGCTTTGGGTTACGAGTGGGCGAAATTTCGGGCTTGCCTCCAAAGCCGCAGCGAAAAGCATAAGGGGCTGTACATGCAGCTGTACAGCCATGTTTGGTGTGACTTGTACAAGGTTTAGTAAATCCTGGATAGTTCAGCAACGCTATTGCAGCTGCAGAGGGAGCTACGGGGAACGGCTTGGATAGATTGCTGTCAAAGGTAAGAATCTGGCTGAACCTTACAGTCAGGCTCTAGTACTGGATATTTGAATGTGCTGGCCGCGGTGCACCATGCATATGCATTATTACAGGGAAGCTAGCTTCTCCGTATCTGCCAAACATTCCTGTGAGTAGAACCCCCGAGAGGCACTGTTGAAGTTTTGAATCTTTTGATATGTGAAACAGTGTGTAAAGGGCAATAAGAGTAGAATATTGGAACGCCTTAGTTTCTGTGATGGTTCCCTGGTTGGGGTAAGAAAGGAGGGTCCATGAGATCAAAGCCTGGACATCTACCAGGCGACTTGTGTATATAGACTTGGGTTTAGAGCTTAGAGATTTATCGGAAACCTTTTCTTCTGAACCTACTTCTTGACGGCACGCCACGGATATGTAGAATGATATTGGTGTTCAGCCGTTGGGATGAACGAAACACAGATTTTTGGTACAGTAAAACGTAAATTCTTATGTAAGACAGTGAGGCGTTATCCATCAACCGACACTAAGTCAAAAACTTAGAAGCCAAGGAAGCCACGTTCAACCCACCGCTGCTTCCACCAGCTAAACTAGCAATAGAAACTAATTCGCCAAGACCACCACCGGAGCCTCCGGTAAGGCTGGCAACGGTGGCCAACATCTTCAATTGGCTTATGCGGCTGTTGCTACCCATCAACCCAGAGACCAACTCCTGTGGCAAGCCCTTATCGTTGGACCCGTCAGAAGAGGCATTGCTTCCCACCAACATCGGGGTCAATTGCCCAATGAGCTCAGAAATACGCAGTTGGACATCGGAGTTCTGGTTGCCCATTTCTTGCTCCTTGCTTTCGGCATGAAACAACGCTTCGGCACCAGCCTGGAGATTATTTTCATTAATCAATTTCTCCCCCAAGTCTAAGAGGTTGCTAGAGGAGGGGTCTTCTTGAACTTGTTGGGCTGCTTGTTCGGACATTGTCGTGTGTTTTGATTCAGGTATTTGAATTGGGTAAACCTAGAGATACTCAGAAAATGCAATGTGGGGAATTGGTCTTTATATAACCGGGATCAGATCGCTAGCCTACCCCCAAACTTAGTCGAGCTGTGCACGCGCGGGCAAGAATTTCAGGTCACCGCCCGCATGAGATAGACTAGTCCCGTGGCCTCTGTTACCTGTCCCACATACAGGTCACGAGTCAATAACACACGGAATGTCGATTTTGGTCGTTTCACCTAAAGTCGTACTCTAGCACAAGGGTAGACTGACAGTCCACGATTATTCAGGTCTCTAAGCATAGCAGAGAGCGACAAAACCTTGAACAGCGGCAACCTTTTCAGTAGTGCTTAGCTTTCAAGATTGGACAGCCCAGCCCGTGTACGTTAGGCACATTTTATCTGACGAGTCCACAGAGTAAAAGATTATATTCAGGACGAAAAAAAAAGAGGGTTATTTGTCATATCGATAATGATACATCTTATATCCTGAATCCAGCTGGCGTTAAAAATATGCGTGCATATACCAGGGGCCAATCCTGGTTATTTGTCATCACCGTCATCAAGCGAGATAAAAAAGATAATAAATCATTCCCCGCATGCACGAGGGACTGTCCACGACTCAGAAGGAAGGTTCTATCGCCTTGTACCAAAACATTGTTTTGAAGGTCTGAGAAGTGGCTTACATTCTATCCTGCATATACATACTTTAATTTGTAATTACAACGAAATCCGATTGTAAGCTTTATCTTTAATTTAAGCATTAAAACCACTAGATTTACCGTATTTGCTGATTTTAGATGCTGACCAGAGTTCAACTGAAAATAATCATTTACCTCTATATAATAAATATATCTTGATTATACAAACCTCCGTTTAAGGACCTTAGGTGAGTCATTCCATCTCGTCTAGTTGTTAAATATCCCAAGGCCTTACCATGGCGGATACCGCCTGCAGCCTTCGCACTGAACGGCAATAGCTTACAAACTGATAACGCTGCATATTGTGGGAAGGTGAGTCATAGACCAGACAGAGTACTTAAAGACATTTAACTATATATTTCCGATCTATCACGGAACCTCTTTTAAACCCCTACTTAAAGTTTGTCCAGGTGGGATAACCAGCTAGCCTCTCGTGATGACCCTGTCCACCACTCCTGCGCCTTCACGCCGTCTTACGGCCACAGAACACTTCTTTAGAACTCGGTCCATCACCCATTCCTACTCAAACTTCCAGTTGACCACCGAGTACTCTCAGCCAATCAACGATTTGCCGCTTCTCTACCGTGCCTTGAGAAAAACCTTTATCGACTACCCTATCTTGCTTACTAATGTGTTCGACAGAGAGGATGCCGAGGGCGAATACAGCATCTTCAAGATTATCGAGAAGCCTGTCAAGTTTTCTGACGTAGTCTCTGTCAGACCTGGTGCCTCTGAGAAACAATCTCCCGACATGGAACTCAGAGCCATGGCGGGTGACAAGCCGAGAATCTCGGAAGCCTACATGAAGGAGGTATACGAAACTCGCTTCACCTTGAACCTCGAGGATCAGATTTTGCTCAAAGTGCTTGTAGTTGACCAGTTCAACCTTACGTTTGTTTTTGAACACATATATTCTGACGGGGTACCTGGCATTTACTTCAATCAGTTGTTCGTCGAGAATTTGGCCTGGGTGAGCGACACCAAGAACGATGCGGAATATGTCAAAAAGTACGGGTACTTAGGCGGAAGCAACAGAGATGTCGGCTTGGATGCTATTCTTTTCGATTTCAGCACCGATAAGGGTTTAATCCTGCGCCCTTTGCCCCCTCTGCTTGATAATTACCTCCCACCGCTTGATCTCGACTACTCAAACAACGATCCCAACTACTTTGACAAACAGATTCCGTTGTCTGAATCGGGAAAACCGTTGAAGAAATGGCCTGGTCTCTTTCCAACCACCGGTAATTTCAAGTCTGCCTTCCACTTAATCAACTTGACCCCCGAGGAAACTAGCAGAGTAGCAGCCACCTGTCGCGCCCACCAGGTTTCGGTGACATCCTTTTTGAAGGTGGTTCAGACTTTATCTTTATACAGGATCTTTGGGGACGAATACTACACTACCCAAAGAGTGGCCGTTAACATGAGAAGACACCTCTACCTGCTCAAGCCGGAAGATTTTCCTCCTAACGACGCGATCTTGCCCTATCTAGAAGACCCGACATTGCGCTTCTGGGGCTGCTGCGCTCATGCGGGGCTCGCTGAGCCAATGGCTCCCGTCAAGAACTTTTCCTGGAAAACTGTCCAGAAGATTCATGGCCACTTGCAAGAGAATATTGTCAATGACAAATTAAACAATACGCATACTGATTTTTTGAACCACAAGGATGCGGGTCGAGATGAGGAGTTTTTCACCCGTGGTTTAAATAAGCCAAGACCGGATGCGGTCAAGATCTCCAACTTAGGGCTTGTCAAAACTCCAGTATACAAGGTAGGCCCTGAAGCTACCCCATGGACGATTGAAAACATGGTCTTTTCGCAGGATTGTGGTGTCATGGGGTCGGACTTCTTGCTCTGTATATTGTCTACCAAGAAAGGCGGGTTAAACATTGTTCAGACATTTATTGACACCTACGAGCCGGACAAGGAGAGCGCCGAGAAGTACAGGCACTTGACGGGTAAAAACTTGGCCTGGATTCCGGTTCTTTTCAAGGAAAATATTCTCAAGTACGGGGTGGAAGAGCAAAAGGCGGTTTTATAATACCCTTTACCGTGAGATGATGAGAATTCGTCTAAAATATTGAGTTAGCAATGGAACCATTTTACACTGCCAGTGGGTTGGTCTGCTCGTTTTTATATTATGTGATTGTTTTAGCAGTTGACAACCTTTAGTGGATTGAAATATATGACTATATGGAGCAATACAAGACACGGGACCAGTAGAATGAAGGTTTCAGCCCTATACCGATAAAATAAACACACTATGATTAAATTAATTGAGTCATACTCCGATTTTAGATCTTCTCAAAATAACGAGGCTCGTCAAACACATGGTATCTGTGGTCTCTGACACCATCGCCGTAGAAACACAGTGGGAACCTCAACAGTTCGTCCACTTGGTTCTCCTTGATAAAGTTATTTCCGTACAACTCATCTTCGCTGTACTCCTCCGACGGCTTCTCAAGCAACTTGAACTTGGCAATCTGCAACTCTGTGTCGGTGATAGTGGATCTGGAAATTCTGGCCCAGCCCACCTTGTTTAAATCCCTGAACAAAATGTACTCGCACCATCTGTCGTCATCGGTGGAGTCAATGTCTCTCATTCTGGACTGTTCGCTGACATAAGTGTTGTAGTTACCCTGCAATGGCTCGGTGACCAAGTAACTCAACAAGATCATCGGTCTGTGGGAGTCACCCATAATTCTTTGCAAGGCCAACGACTGCAATCTTCTGTCCTCCTCATCCTCTTCCTGACCACTGTGGAAAACCACCACATCCACCTCCTCACCGTAGATATCCAAGGTGGCGTGGACAGCAGGAGCTAACTCTCCCACTGGAGACGGTAACAAGTGGTGGTGGGACGCAATTATCGGAAACTTGGACAATAAGGCAGCACCCCAGGTATGTTTATGCGGGCCGGGACCAAAATCCACATAGTAGCCCATGTCGTGGGCAAGCTTCATGGTCAAGTCGCGGTTCCCCATGATGATCCGCTGGGTGTCACTCTCCAACAATCCCACAATGTCCACCTGGGCATCCATGAGTAAGTCCCTCATACGGTCCTCGGACGCCCACATATCGTTGTCAATCCCAAAATGGATTGTCCAGATACCGGCGGTGAAGCTGCGTGATTCGGCATTAAACGGAACCGGGGTGGTTGGAATCCGCTCATACGTGAAGTAGCCACCCAAGGCCAAGACGAGAACGAGATACGTCACCATAATTTTGGCAATGGAGGATTGAGGCTTTGTAGATTTCTCGCTAGGGATATTCTTCTCAGCAACAAGCTTGTAGTTCAAAGTGCCCAAAACCACGCACACGGTGCTGAAGCCCAAGACCAAATCGCTTCTCTCACGGAGAAGCTCTCCGGCTGGAACAAAGGCATAGGCAACTACCCAGACATGGCCCAAGGAAATCACTACCTGGATGAAAGAGGCAAAACCAAGCACAACACCGGCGTTACCCCAGGTGCTGGTGGTGGAGATGAAGATCACTGGGGCCATGGCTGCGAGATACACCGCGTAGCACCAGCCACCGATGTAGGAGACAAGCTCAATGTACGTGTATAGCACATAGGCCGAGCCCAAACCAAACACAGAGAAGCTTAAGGACGACGTAAGGCGAGGGGCAAAGGCGGACAACAGGCACCCTGTAGCGACTGCAAGCATGGTGAGGATGGAGTGCTTGACAGGGATAGGGCCATTGGCTGGATAGCCTTCCCAGGACCAATAGATGAGCGTGGAGGCATCGGTCAACATGGCATGAAGGGAGAAGAGGTAACCGCCGAGACCCAACGCAGCCAAGAGAATGGAGCCGCCTCTAGGGGAGGCAGACAGAGCCTTAGGAGCCTTTCCGCAGGTGAGCAAGGCAGCGATGATACCGACCACAAGCCCGGTGAGGTTGTGACCGCCATTGGTTTCGTTCATGATTGGCCAGATCGGGTTGTTTGTAAACCAGCCATACTTAACCACTACGGTGCCGAGCAACCCGGTGATGAAACTGGTACCGTAGTTGCGCACTTCCTGTTCCGAAACCAGTCTGGCGGCAATCAACTCGCCCCCAAGCGAGATAAACGCGAGGGCGTTACCCAACGCCGCGACAAGAAGTCTGTTTTCTGGTTCCTCAAACTTGTAGGAGCCGATCCCCGCGAGCACCGAGCCAACTCTGGAGACCTGGGGATAGGCCACCACAAGTTTGCGGACAAAGGGCACGGTAAGAAAGATTGGTGAGCAGATGGCGACGATGGACAACTCGTAGCCCGATACACCCATGTGCCAGAGCGGAAAGTGCCACACGCACAAGAACAAGGAGGTGAGCATAGAGAAGAACATGAAAGAGTTGATGGTGTTGACCGTGAAGCCGAACCAGGATGCAGACGCAGCAGGGGTGGCAGCCTTGACGGGTTTGGCCGTAGAGCTCTTGAGCTCAACCTTTCCCTCCGAAATCTCAACGGTCAAGCCGTCAAAGTCATACATTGTAAATATGTCAAATCCGATATCTAACAAGATCAACGCCCACTCGAAGTATGCGTAGATTGAGTAAGCGCCCGCAACCACGTGGACCTTGTGCTGGATGAAAAAGTACACCAACGGCACCAATGTGAAGAAGAAGGCCAAGCAGGTGGCTACCCTGGCACGCTTAATACCTCCAGACGGCGTCAACCTGCACACGGCAACGGTCCAGGGGATGGTCAATACGATGTACGCAATCATAAAAATGTCGTGAAAGTCGTGGTCGTCGGAGGAGGTGATGTACACCCAGCCCCCGCATGTAAAGGTACGCACAAGCCCCGACACGAGCAACACGTAGCTAGAAGTGGTCTTCTGGGGGTTGTGGAGTCTAAGGAAGAGCAACAAGATCATGAGAAAGCGCGGCCCGGCCGTGAGCGCGATGAGAAGCTGGAAGAGCGATCTCTCCGGGTAGCGGTCGCCAATGGCAGCGGACACGCTGGGGAACCACTCATCAGGGTAGCCGTACAGAGAGTTTTCAACGATCTTCTCGTAGTGGAGCAAACAGCCTACGATCAAGGCCGAAAAGAAGGCGGAGTACGCGAAAACCGTGTGCGCGTATGAAATCCACACGGCGTTGAAGGAGACACGGAGGGCTTGGACAGCCTCGTTTTTAGGCGCGGGAGACTTTGCCTTGGAGTTTCCGGCTCCAATTTCGGGCGTCTTGGATCTTTTGCTCATCGCGGATGGGTTTTAGCTGGAAGGTAGGGAAGAGTGAGCAGTTGTATTGAAATTGAAATAGGCGGAGGAGGTTTTCTGTCCACGTGATAGAGAGTGCGCCACATAGCGAGGCATGCGCCATACGGCGTAGCGGATATTGGGGAGATAGAAATGCGGGCAGTGACGAGTTGTTGAACGTTATGAGGTATATCAGACCAGGAAGTGATTATAGACTACCGGGATTGCACTTGATGATATGATAGTTTTATTTGTTACAGTTCTATTGTTGAATTGAGTAGGATATGTAGATTAAGCAGGCTAAGCAGGCTAAGCGGGATAAGCGGGATAAGCGGGATAAGCGGTTTATTATTCTAGACTGGTAAGAAATCTCTACGATGATGCTGTTAGGTCGGAGTAGAATATATTTCTAGGGCCCCGCCCCATCAGGCAATTACGAAACGTAGGGTTCTTTGATCGTTGAATAGAATTGACCACTATTATAATAAATTAGGGATGTACGGAAAACATTATTTTCAATGTCTCTACTGAGGTAGGATAATTCTGCAGCTCCCGGTATACCAAAATACCCTCAACTCATTGCTTTTTCCCATCTCCAGAAATACTTATCACATCGTTTATCATACCAATTTAAAACACTTATTCCTTGTAGTAGTGAGGCTCGACAAATGGCATCTTGGCAATGACACCATCTCTCAATTTTCCTCTGATTTCAATCTTGACTGGGGTGCCGTTCTTGTGAGCGCCTCTGTCGACGTAGCCTTGAGCGACGTTACCCCCATTGGTTGGGGATGGGGAACCGGAGGTGATGGTACCGATAACCTTTTCACCGGAAGCGTCAAAGATCTTGGAACCCTCTCTTGGAGATGGACCCTTGGACACCAAGCCAACTCTCTGCTGTTTGACCAAGGTTCTGTCCTTCAATTGGCCCAAAATGGTAGCATGGCCATTGAACGCGGCAAGGTCCCCTTCCTTGTACTCGAGACGTCTGGACTTTGGCACCAACCAGGCCAAGGCGGCCTCGATTGGGGTGGTTTGTTCGCTGAGCTCGTAGCCGTAGAGACACATACCAGCCTCCAATCTAAGGGAGTCACGGGCGGCCAACCCAATTGGCTTGACAACCTCCTTGTTATCCTCCAAAAGCGCACGCGCAAATTCGACGGAGCAGGTGCCGGCGTGTGGAATCGAAATCTCAAACCCATCCTCACCGGTGTAACCACTACGAGCAACGTGAACCTTGTCGGAGCAGAAGCCCGAGAGGTTTAAGTAGGCAGACTGGCCAAAGTACAACTTCGAAAGATCAAAGTTGGTGTATTCCTGCAAGGTGGCCGCAGCCTTTGGGCCCTGCAAGGCCAACAAGGTGCCCTCAAAGTTCTTGTACTCGAACTTGGCGTTTGGAAAGTGCTTATCCATCTGGTCACGCAAGAACTTGACGTCCTTCTCACGGCATCCGGCATTGGTGACAAAATAGAACTCGTCGTGGCCATGCTTGGTGATGATGCTGTCGTCGATAATACCACCTTCTTCGTTAAGCAACACGGATAAGGTGCTGGTGAACGGCTTGAGGGTCTTCAAGTCGGCAGGGGTGATCTTTTCCAAGAAAGCGGTGGCACCAGGTCCCGAAATCTTGTGCTGCAACATGTGCGAGACATCAAAAAGACCAGCCTGGTTTCTGACCCAGTTATGGGATTCGATGTGGCTCTGGCCGCTGTACATCACCGGCATCTCAAAGCCGGCGTATGGCACCATCTTACCGCCCAAGGCGACGTGGATGTCGTACAATGGCGTTCTGAGGAGCGGGCCGGCAGCAGAGGAGTAGAGTCTCTTGGAAATGTGTCTGAGCATTGTGAGGTGTGCAGGGGCTTTAAGGGGTATTGCTATAAATGGGATCGTCGGTCGGTAGTAGAAGCGATATGCAATTGGTCTAGCTGGGGAAATATTAGAAAAACTTGTGATTCGAGAAAAAGAGGATGAGAATGGTTTATATTGGCGAATTGGTTGGCGGTAGCCACGATGATCCTTCAAAGTTTGACGGAGGTCATCCCCCGAGTCAGGGCACGCGGGGACATGCGGTGAAATCGCACGGGGCTACTGACAGTGCCGGCAGAGTCAGGATGTGCGTGCCGGAGTCAGGACGCAGTCAGAAAGGAGTCAGGCTTGTCACCTTTCGGATGTTTGTGTGCGCAAAATATGATAAATAGGTTTTGTGATTGCGCAACGGCAGAGGAATGGGAAAGGATGTGAATGAATGAATGCGTTTTGTGATACATTCAGGGCGATTCCAGTACGTGGGTATGCCAAAATATCCAACTCTGAGGGCGAGAAGCGATCCACGGTGGACATTCATAGTTGATTAAAAATCGAGTGGTGCTTTAGAAATAAGATTACATTGGGGACTTGTGCTTACTCGACGATAGACAGCTCCTTTGGAGAAATCACCCCTAAGACCCCTGATAGTCTATTATTTGGACTTGCAATGACCGAGCCAAACACAAGCTAGTATCTTCAAACACAAGTTGGTATCTTCAAACATAAGCTGGTATCTTCAAACGTAACATGACCAATTCAACTCGCTGGTTATTTAGCCCGCAAACATGTAAGACACTAAATACCAGGCCTAGCTACATCTCTGTAATTAAAACGTAAAAAAATATATGGTGGAATGATAACTGAAAGTGGAACTAAAAAGCAAGAGCAGCGACTGACGAAAACATTGACCTTGCAATGACAGAGCCTTTGACCAGGCGTTTTCTCTAAAGCGCCTTGAAAACATTAACAGGGTTTATTTCTTCTCTGGCGGCGCTGACGTCCCTCTCAACGTAATCGGATAGTGGAACCCATCGTCTTCGCGTTCATCCTCGTCCGTCGACAACTTGAACGCAACATAGTCCTCTGTGTTGATCTGCTCAGACGTCTCCTGCAACGACCCCAAGTCGCCCGGGGTCATCAACATGCTCCTGTCGCGTGGCGAACCTGGCGCTGAAAGCGGCCTGGAGACCCTCTGGGTGACAGCGTCCGCAAACGGATCGGCGCCGTTCTTGAACTTATCCGGGTACGCGCGTCTCAACGCGAGCTGTCTGGCCTTGATGTACTCCAAGCCCATACGCTTCCAGTCCAACAAGTCAGACAACCTTTCGGTTCTGTTTCTCTGGTTGATTCTCTGGCGGCGGGTCTTCTTGGTAAAGTCGAGCATCTGGGTGGTTAACTGGTCGATGGACTCGTCAACCGACTTCATGCGTCTGTCAACAATATAGATCCCGTAGTCGCTGGAGTTCTCGATCAAGTCCTCCATGTAACAGCCAAAGCCTGAGAGGTTGGTGGTGATGGATGGAACCCCCATGACGGTACACTCGGCAGGAGTGTAGCCCCACGGCTCGTAGTACGACGGGAAAACCCCCAAGTGGGTGCCTCTGACAAAGTCCTCGTAGTCGAGCGACAAGATCGGGTTGTTGGCGTTCAAAAACTCTGGGTGGAAAATAACCTTCACACGGTCCTCTGGCGCGTTGAACAACTTCACACGACGGACCTGGTTCAAGATTGGATCATTGGCATCGTCCGCCATGTTGTGGGTCACCACTGGTGGTAAGGAATCACGCTTGAGCGCAAACACACGTCTCTTGAGCAATACCCTGTCAGCCGGGCGGACGAGCTCATCCAAAGTCGGCAACTCCTGGCCCTGTGGCTGGTGACGCGCACAGTGCTCGAACAAACGTCTACCAATCGACGTTTGAACCTCCCTGATGGTGCCCTCCAACTGCTTGATGACGGCCTGGCCCTTCAAGGTCTCCACGGTGTAGGACTGGGTGGCTGCCGGCATGATGATGAAGGCGACAACCGTCATCTTTGAGCCCAGTTCCTTCAAGCGGTGGTTCAAGCGCGCAAGCGATTCGATAAAGAAGTCTGCACCTTTGTTGCGGTACTCGTACCTCCCGGCAATAAAGAAGTACAAGGTGTTTTCAAGATCAAAGTCGTAGTGCCCGTAGAAGTGTCCGCGCACAAACTCGTTGATCTTTTCCTTGCTATTAGCGTGCAAGTTCTGGAACTCGTGGGCGGCAGAAAACTTTGCCACGTTAAGCCCGTTCGGCAAGACACCGTCTGGCTTGCGCTTGAGAAGGTGTTCTGATTCGTACGCGGTGATGTGCGATACGGTGGTGAACACATCCGCGGAGTGTGCGGCTGCGCGCTCGATGCAGTAGCGGTGGTAGATCCCGCGCTTCCCGGCCTCGGCGTCCACGTCAAAGTTGGCCAAGTTGTTGTAGAAATCAACGGAACCGGCGCAGAGGTAGCGCCCAAGCAACGTGGCGTGCGTGGTGAAGACGGTGGTGACGTCAATCTTACGCTTGCGGCACAACGGTAAGGCCACTCCCGCAAGCCACTCGTGGCAGTGACAGATTACCGCACGCTCGCGGTCGTTGTACACCAATTCGCCGAGGAACCACGCCACAAGGTACCCGAGAAGAATAGCATTGTTCGATTCAGGGTCGTGTTCGGGTGTGGGGATGCCGGCCATCTCCCACATGTCCGTCTTCCACTCGTCCAAGTGCGAGGAAGCAGAGCCGACGTCGAAAAGCAACACACGCGGCGCGCCTTCAATCAACCAACGCCCGTACAACCAGCGGACCCCACGCTCAGACATGCTGTCCAACGTGACTTTGATTTTTTCATCTGTAACTGGCAATTCCTCAACCTCCACCGCCGCGGAAGCCTGGTTGAGTGGGCCAATGAGCGTGTAGCGCTCACGGTATTCAGCGACGGTAATTGGCGCTTTCGATTTCAACACCGAGTAGATGCCGCCCACACGGTTCGCCACTTCCGTGGCGACCTCAAAGAGCAAATGGTTTTGGATATCTCTGGTCATAAAATTAGTTAGCGGGAAGAAAGAAAATGTGGAGGGAATTGGGAATGAATGACTTATATAGCGAGGAGAAAGTGGGCGTTTCGTGGGGAGGGCAACCCCCGCGAAAAATTCAAGGGGCCGCCCAAAATTTCTCCGCGCTCGCCCAGCGGAGAGCATGCGTCGGCGTAAGTCACCCGATGTAACATCAGCCTATAACGGTATTGTGTATATATTGGAAATCAGGGCACGGATGAGAAAAATCTAATGTGGAGATATACCATAATGTTGGTTATATCCATCTAGGTGTTACCGTATTGGGCTTTAGTCGCTGAGATGTAAACTGCCCAGGTTCTGTGTAGGGGGTGACTGGATACACATTTGTGCTTAGTGATTATTTGATGAGACTATTACCGGAGTTTATCAGCACATGGTGAGTCAATGTTTGATGACGTCGGGTGTCTAACCGGCTCAATATCCAACTTGGTGCCTCTTGCTGATTGGGTTTACCTGGCTGTCATTGGAATGCGGGGAAACGGCAGATGCGTGACCTGACGGCTCTCCCCCGACATCATTACTATTCCCAGTCGATTGTTTCTTAGAGCTTGGATATTTCTCGGAGTTTAGCTGTTTCTAGTTTAATGTTCATTATTTAGCGTTGTAGTTATTATCCAGGTCTGGGTCGTTAGTCTTGGCACGGCCGTACTTCGAAAACCTAACTGAACGATGCTCTCCGAAGTCTACGGGCGGGATGTTCTACGGATTCTATATACCCTCAAAACGCACTTCCATGCAGACACTCTGGTGTTTGAGAGATAATCCATGCTCTTGGCTTGTCGATGCTATCCAATATCTGACTACCGAGGCTCGTAAATACCGTATTGCCACGGTCGCCTCCCCCTCAACACTTTCCCCACTCGCCAGATCGCAGGGTCATGCGTTTTTCGCTCGCTACTGCAGGTGTTTCGAGGTTTTTCCTTATCACGTCGACGCACATCAGGATAAACCTGCCCTCGAAATATCCGACCACCTCGTCACAAAGTGACCCAACTTCCACATCTTTAAATGCTCAAGTTCCCCTAATAATCATGATTTGAACATTGTATGAACTGTGGCTCTTATACCTGGGTAGTTTATGCTTGGAGGAGGCTACGCCCCCCGAAGTACTTGCCCAAGTTTCTAGAAAAACTCCGATATGCAGCTTGGTGAATTGGCTGAGATTTACGCTTAACCTAAATGCTAAACGCTAGTCTAAGATGCCTAATTCGGAAATACAAAGCTTGTGCGCACCGTCTGATGGCTAATTAGAGCAGTAGCACACAGGGAGGAAATTCGTCCGTAATTCGTTTGTTCAACTGTTTTCAATAGACTCGGCGTCCCAACTACATGAAATAACATTAAACTCGGGGGAATGGCGTCGAAATTGTGCACCGAAGCGGCGGAAGATGCAACTTCAACGCCGCACTTGAAGGTTTGCATCCAGTCACTATAAAATGAGGAGGCAGTACACGACAGGCTTCATAGGTAAGTCACTTATAATACTTGGTACGCCACGAGGAGGCACGTACGACACGATACCCACAAGTGAGTATAACACGGTCGAGGAGAAGTGTACAAGCAAGTATCGAAAGCACGAACAGAGTAATCAGCTTACTTCCTACATGCGATAAAACTGGATTAGACACAACATAGTGAGGTGCTCTTCGATTTACTCAGCACTGAAATTACCAGGTTTACTATACCCTTCATCGCATGGTAGAGGTTAGGTAACTCTTGTCAAACCATCACACGGCTGACAAGTATCTGGATCCTTGGCTTAAAAGTGGAAACTATGATATATTACCACGACGGTGTCCGCAACAATAAACAATGTTAGATACGGAATATTGGACTTTCAGCAGGCACAACACTCAATTAACATCGAGACGTATAAGCATGAAGACTGTGGTCATCGGTGGTGCAAGAAGGTGGCGTCAACAACCCAAGCAACATCAGAGACTGTAGAAATATCACAAAACAGTAACATTCTGCCGTAATTTCGAATAATCTTGGATGTCAACGCTCAGTACAATGACTACAGTCCCCCTGGACATATTATATCTCTATCCGATAAGATGGATATCCACGGTAATAGTATAATGGCTAGGCATCCAATGTATGTAGGACAGGAGAGAGGGATTGATCTCTACTACATGACAGCTACATATTTAACAGTTAGGTAACAAAGTCTTGAATATATAAATAATACGAGTATATTCGTTATCTCAGATAACTTCCTCTGTCACCACCATTCTCTTGAATGTGCTTCTTTCCATGTTCCATCATCATTTCCTTGACTTAACTCTCCTTCTCTCCCTTTTTTTTTCTTTTTAATTGTTCTTTTTCTTTTTCTTTTTCTTTTTCTTTTTCTTTTTCTTTTTCTTTTTCTTTTTCTTTTCATAATATAAGATCATTAGACACTGACAAGACAACCATTGCCACTGAGTCCATTCTCAGAGCTTAGCTTTCTAATTCTGTTTAAGCCCTGCCAAATCAATTAGCCTCACTTTGAACGACCCGTTTATCATAACCAAGACAGTGGGTGCCAATGCAGCTCTCCTTGCCTGGGTCAGAAGCGGCCCGTTTATCATAGCCAAGACAGTGGGTGCCAATGCAGCTCTCCTTGCCTGGGTCAGAAGCGGCCCGTTTATCATAGCCAAGACAGTGGGTGCCAATGCAGCTCTCCTTGCCTGGGTCAGAAGCGGCCCGTTTATCATAGCCAAGACAGTGGGTGCCAATGCACCTCTCCTTGCCTGGGTCAGAAGCGGCCCGTTTATCATAGCCAAGACAGTGGGTGCCAATGCAACTCTCCTTGCCTGGGTCAGAAGCGGCCCGTTTGTTAAGGTGAGGACAGTTTCCATTAAGGCACCCGCCTGAGCCAACAGGGACAGCAGCACCCATGGTTGCGGTAGCGCAGATGGCTAATAACGTATAGATTGTAGTAAATTTCATAGTGATGGTGAATAAGGTTTTGATAAACTGTTATATTTATTACAAGAAATACATTAAATGAACGGACGGAAGCTCTCCTTATATAGTGATAATTTGGCTCAAAATGGAGTGGCACATGTGTCAGTACTAATGATATATAAGGAGCTTTATCGTGTTGAGCTGAAGCAACTCTAAGTTAGTATGACGTCAGGAGGATGGCGACTATTTCAAGTAATAAGTTAGACGATGAGGTATCACCTTCACGCATTACAAATTTCAACAGTATATTTGTGGTTACTACAAACGGAGTTGATATGTGTGTATTTGGCCTCCCCACAAGAAAGCCAAGTAGGCATGCGGCTCTGAACCCTCCCAGACCCTTGCCGTATTGGGAACCCGCCAATGTCAGCATAGTACATCGGCTTTATGCCTTGACGTAGACTTCGATTCCCCATGCTACTTTCGCCGTGTTTAGTATAGAGTTTTCCTTGATGCTTGAATGCCCATGCCGAAAGCTTATATCACAAATACTTGGCATGTGTAAATGCTTAACTAGCAGATGGTGTCTTGACATCTCCCTTGATTGACAATGGACCCGTATAGAGTTTTTCTATTATCAAAAAGAAAACTAAATGCAAATGGAGTTCCTAAGCTTTGATATAGCACCATGTGAGGATATAAAAACCCGAGGGGACCGAAAATTCCCAAACGGGAGCCTTGGGCCTCTGTCGGCGCGGAAAATGGCGTAGAGCATGGATCGCCGTACATGGTTGCAGGATGCACTTGCATATATTTTCAGTGACCCAAGCCTATGTCGTATGGTGATTCGTTGCTTCGCTGTCACGGGATAATGCCAAATTACACCCTAGTATATCAGCATCCTGAAACCGATGACAGGGTTTAGGTATCGTATGTGAATGTCTATAGCTTGGGAAACCTTCTAGGTAACCGCTGTCTCAGTGGAGTGTCATAATCGTCCCTTTTTCACTTGTCATCCTCCTTCTCGTTTACGGCCCATCTTAATGGAAAATCCTCCCGGACTCAATTTTCATTCATACAAGGACTGGGCTAGGCTAGAACGCTAACGTCCAGGTATAATCGCCGTCAAGGTTCCGGCACTTAGAGACAGAATCTCAAATAGCCATCGGTCTTATCGTAAAGTTACCCTGTGGTGGTACGGCACTAAAACTCTAATCTCATTACGGTCCGCGAGAAAGACTATAATTCGCCGTGACGGAAAACGCTATATAACTTCACACAACAAATGCTGTGGAACTCCATGACCGCCTTATCAGACCGGGGGTATTCGCCTATCATCTACTAATTAGGTCTGAAATGCGGCGAGGGGAAAGGAGATGCATAAGCTATGCACGACCAGCAGGATGCTCAAGGATTAATGCATATCTGCGTCACGCTTATCACTGACGAATATGACTAGTCTTGAACGGACTTAAAGTCTTGTTGGATGAAGGGATTATGACTACGTTTAGGGCGTTCCGTTCATAATCTTTACACTATGACATCTGGTTTTATTTCAATGGAGATATTGGTCTCAGTAAGATGCATAAGACGGCTATACTGATGACCTTCGAGAGAGCAGCTGGCCATGTGAGCTTGCAAACAAGCATTTTGCATTGGTCATTTCCCACGTTCTGCATATGCGCCCACAGGTCTTATCTACGCCTCAACGCACCTCTGAAGCATGAGACCTGACCCTAAAAGCTTAATCGGCCAGCCACCCACGGCACCTCCAATACTAAATGACAGCCCTGGTAGGCTCGTATATTAGAAATGTGTCCGTATGACCGCACGGGTAAAAAAGAAAAAAAAAAAAAGACAGGATCCATTCTACGTTAGCCATGCATGAAGGAAAACGCTTACCTGTATGTTTTCGAAAGTGTGTGGAGACATACATTCATATATATATATACATGCATCCTCCACTTGTAAACATCTTTTCATATCTCGCCTCTCAAGAGATTTTCAGAAATTTAACTAGGTAAAGTTTATGGAAAATGGGGTTTCTCAACAAAATTATCCCTAAGGATGCTCCTCTTTCTGAAACATCTCACCTAAAAACCGAAAAAGAGATTCCAGATGACCTCAAGCTACAGGCTGTCAAGTCTGGCGAAATGGACATGTTGTCCGCACAGCTTTCCCAGGAAATTCTTGAGGACGAGTATGCCGGTATTGTCATCGATGATGATTCTCCATACCCAGAAGTGAGAGCTGCGATTTCTTCCTCCGATGACCCGTCGATTCCCCAGAATACCATCAGAATGTGGGTCTTGGGTATGCTTATGACCACTATTGGGTGTGCTTTGAATTTGTTCTTTTCTTTGCACAGAAATTCCATCCTGATCACCACTTTGGTTACTTCCATTCTTGCCTGGCCCTTGGGTAGAGCCTGGGAATTCTTACCGAACGTAAAAATTTTCGGTGCAGAATTAAACCCAGGTCCCTTCAACATCAAGGAGCACACCTTTATCACCATCATGGCTAATGTTTCGTACGGTGGCGGTGCTGCGTATGTTACCGATATTCTCGTGGCCTTGACCACCTTTTATAAAAAGGACTTTGGCTGGGGGTTCAACTTATTGGCTATCTGGTCCACCCAATGTATTGGTTTCTCTATGGCTGGTCTCTGCAGAAAGATTCTTGTTGAGTCTCCAAGTGCTATTTGGCCACAAAACTTGGTCATCTGTACCTTCTTGTCCAACATTCACACTAACGTGAATCACCCTGCAAACGGGTGGAAAATTTCACGTCTTCGGTTTTTCTTGATCATCTTTATTTGCGCTTTCGTCTGGTACTGGATTCCGGGCTTCCTTTTCCAAGCCTTGTCCGACTTCGCGTGGGTCACTTGGATCAGGCCTAACAACGTCATCATCAATCAGGTGTTTGGGACCTATAGTGGACTTGGGATCTTCCCAATCACCTTTGACTGGAACACGATCTCTGCCTATATCGGTTCTCCATTGGTTCCACCGGTGTCTGTCATTTTCACCATCTTGTTCTCAATGACCACCATGTTCTGGATCGTTACTCCAGTTATCCACTACAAGAACGTCTGGTTCGGCAAGTACTTGCCAATGTCCAGTTCCGGTTCCTACGACAGATTCCAGAATTCATATAACGTGTCCAAAATCGTGGATGAAAACTTGAACTTTAACCTTGAAGCGTTCGACAACTACTCTCCGTTGTACTTATCCACCACCTTTGCCATTTCCTACGGGTTGTCCTTTGCGTCGATGACCGCCACCATCGTCCACACCGCACTTTTCCACGGAAAGGATATCTGGAATCAGATCCGCCTGGTCGGGAGCTTCAAGCCAGATGTGCACAACAGATTGATGAAGTCCTACAAGAAGGTTCCAGAATGGTGGTACGCTATTGTTTTCCTCGTCTTCTTTGCGATGTCTATCGCTTTGATCAGAGCCTGGCCAACTGAGATGCCTGTATACTCCCTCATTATTGCTCTTTTGATTGCCTTTTTCTTCTTGATCCCGGTTGGGGTTATCTTTGCCTTGACCAACATCGCTGTTGGCTTGAACGTTATTACCGAGTTCATTATTGGTTATATGGTTCCAGGGAAACCAGTTGCCATGATGTTCTTCAAGACCTTCGGCTACATCACCAACAACCAGGCTGTGACATACGCCCAGGACATGAAGTTGGGTCACTACATGAAGTTGCAGCCACGTCTTGTCTTTTGGGCTCAGTTTATTGCTTCCATCTGGGGTTCGTTAGTGCAGATCTGTGTGTTGAAGTGGGCCCAGGGCTCTATTGATGACATTTGTAAGCCAACCCAAAAGAGCGGATTCACTTGCCCTAACGGTACAGTCTTCTTCAACGCTTCGATTATCTGGGGTGTCATTGGACCTGCCAGACAGTTCTCTGGTGGTAAGTTGTACAACGGCTTGTTGCACTTCTTCTGGGTCGGTGCTCTCTTGCCTGTGATCAACTGGCTTGTCTTGAAGAAGTGGCCAAATTCTCCAATCAAGTACCTCCACTGGCCGGTCTTTTTCTCTGCTACCGGTTACATTCCACCAGCCACTGCCTACAACTACGGGTCATACTGTATTGTTGGTATCATTTTCGGCTACTTCATTAAGAAGAGATTCTTCCACTGGTGGACGAAGTACAACTACTCCCTTTCCGCTGGCTTAGACATCGGTTTAGCGTGGTCTTCATTGATTATTTTCTTGGCTTTGGCCTTGACAAACACGAATGCACCAAGCTGGTGGGGTAATAACGTGATTAACGGTACCTTGGACACCCAGTACGCGGCAATCAACCGTGTTGTCCCGGATGGCGGGTCCTTTGGTTTGACCAAATGGTAGTGGATGATCTAGTGCTTTGCTGTAACAAGTATAAACGGTTCTTGGCTTTCAGGATTACAGTATTCAAACTGATCCTACAATGATTGTTGGGCTTGTTCTGGCTCTTGTGTATTTTCAATATAAGAATATCTTTAAACAAACTGGGTACACCGGGGGGTGACGAGTATTTATAATTGTCCGGGCGAAGGTATGTTATTCTGAAGTCGGGATGCTGGAAGTAATATTACACTGTGGTGCCAGGATTACAGATCTCATTACAAAAAAATACACCAGTACCTGTAAGAAAGTGACCAATCTGGATTATATGTACATAATTGTCCGTTAACCCAGTTACTTTTTCCCAGTCGATTTATTAGGAAGAACCTTCGAATATACCCTCTCACCGCTTTTAGCTACGACTCTGACCTGCACGCACTGAAGCCTACGGCGTTTATCAATTTCTTCCAGCGCAACAGATTGCTGACTTTCTCGCATACTGATACTCCTCCGTTGCGTCTTCCATGGAGTCTTACATCGGTTCCAGTTTGCTTGTCACGGTCAAGAGTCCCCTGGGTCTGTCTCAGGAGCTTAACAGTGCCCGCCAAGTCAGCGGCATCCTCACTGCCTGCGATAGCTCTGCCAACATTTTGCTCTCTGAGGTGACTGAACACTACTTGGGGCGAGAAAGAAGAATGGGCATGGTCAGTGTGCCTAGAGCTGCCATTACCAAGATTGAATGGTGTGATGTATGAAGGAGACATTATATGGATAACAGGAAAGGAATCGTCCGGGAATGCGGAAATATCTGATTTGCTGAGCTCTCAACCCTATTATACCCCGCTGGAGTCCTACAAATAGGAAGCTATTGAGAGGGCTGCTCGTATTATAGCCTGGTGAGCATTTCATGTGGACAGAAATTATGAGGTTGCTCTCCAATGGTGAATCATCTATTTAGTTAGATTGAATAATGAATTTGAAATACAAGGGAGCCAACTTATAGGATTTGATCGAAACAGGTGTGGCTGCTAAACAGGACGGTCCCAGCTACACGCCTAATGTAAATTGACCATTCTTTATCAACGCGAAACTAAGTGGATACCCCTACAACCGTTTACGCTATTCCTATACTATGTCCTACATGGGGCAATTTTCGGATTTTTGTTCCAAAATGCGGCGTCTCGAGCTCTCCAATTTTCCGTTCACCTCCACACTGTGGAATAACACTTCGACCTAGACCTCCACAAAAACCAAACTCAAATAGTAACGTTTCGTGAGCTTACTCATCCTGCATCACCTGACTCGTCGGAGAGACAAAATCACCCTCCACAGTTGTATCTGTTAGCGTAACTGTGTTACTTGCGCTATCCGGCACAAGACGAGCCCCGGATTACTAAACATGCAGTGACTTCTCACACCCCTGAGACGCCCCCACCATCCTATATAAATACCCCCTCCTCAATTCCTACGTTGGATCCATATACACCTTTCATCCTGGTTTATACATACATTTCCCCTTAATATGACTATTCCATCCACGCAAAAAGTTGTGCTCTTCCGTGAAAACGGCGGTCTTGACGTGCTCCGCTACGAAGAGGACTTCCCAGTGCCAACCATCTCTGCGAGCCAGGTGCTTATCAAGAACCAGTACGCTGGTGTTAACTTCATCGAGGCTTACTTCCGTAGTGGGCTCTACCCAAGCGAAAAACCGTATGTTTTGGGTCGCGAGGCTGTTGGTGTGATCGCCGCTGTCGGTAAAGACGTCACCAACTTGAAACAGGGCGACAGGGTGGCTTACTTAGGCGGCAGCAGTTTTGCGCAGTATACTGCCGCGGAGGCGAGCGGTAAGATCTTCAAATTGGACGCTGATATCGACGAGGAAACGGCCCAGGTCTACGCTGGGTTGTTGATCAATGGGTTGACCACGTTAACCTTTATCAACGAGTCCTACAAGGTCCAGAAGGGTGACTATATTCTCGTGCACGCTGCCGCTGGTGGCTGTGGTTTGCTTTTCGCCCAGCAGATCCTGGCCAAGGGCGCTCATGTCATCGCAACCGCCTCTAGCCCGGAAAAGTTACAGCTCGCAAAGGAGGCAGGTGCGGAGTTCCTCATCAACTCCTCCACTGAGGATATCGTTGCCAGAGTTAAAGAAATCACTCACAACAAGGGTGTAGAGGCCGTGTACGATGGAATCGGAAAGGACACCTTTGAGATTTCGTTGGAGGTGGTGGCCAGAAAGGGGACCCTTGTCAGTTTCGGTAATGCCAGCGGCGCCGTTCCGCCGTTTCTCATTAGCCGCTTGCTGGCCAAGAATGTCAAGGTCTTGAGACCATCGCTTTTCAATTACTTGGCCGATCAGGAGGAGTGGGACTTTTACTCTCAGGAGTTGTTGAGATTGGTTAAGGAGGGAATTTTGAAGCAGAAGATCACCAAGGTCTACCCGTTGGCCGAGTACAGACAGGCTGCGGAGGACTTGGAGGGCCGCAAGACTACCGGTAAGTTGGTTCTCGAAATTCCTCAATAGAGTGTATAGCAATACTATATCAACCGGTGGAGACTGATCCACGGGGCGAGTGAATCTATAATCGATGTATAAGTTTGGGATATGCGTTTGTAGGAAAATACAACGGCAATCCACCTTAAATTAATCAAATTTCTAGTGTTTTTTCCCTTGATTTTGGATTAAATAATAGTCAACTAATCTGATGCATCTGCATGCGTGTCTGTGTATGCGAGGTGCATATGCCGGTGTGGGTGTTCAACTGTTTTCTATTTGTGATCTTAATCTTATATAGGTGGTATATTAATGGTCTAGGAAACACTTATAAACTCTTTTTTATTCATCGAACTGAAAAACAAACACCGGAAACTGCTTAACTCATCATGCTTGGGCCCCACATTACATGTTTACGCCAACTTTTTGCGGTTCTCGTCTTGTCACACACTGTGTGGGCGACGCCTCCAGCTTGTTTTCTCGCCTGTATCGGGGAGATTGCTAGATGGTGTCCGAATAATCACGCAGATATCCCCTGTATCTGCGAGAACAGAGCCTCTGTGGTTGGCTGTTTGGTTGACGTGTGCCCTTTTACTCACTTCAATGCTGCAAGGGACCACTTTCTCGGAACTTGCATTGAGCATTTGGGTAAGGGCTTGCCTCAAACGCTTCCCCCAAAGTATCCTTCCGCACCACCTAGAACCACGCCTGTGAGATCGAGGCCGGAATATCCGGGAGAGTACGATAAATATCCGGAGTGTCCCGACAGCGATGACGAGGGCTGGGAAGAAGTGATTGGCAGTGACGGAATCCACCGCTTCAGAAAAGTTGAAGGACAAAGATCTAATGTATCTAAGAAGCAAGTCTTCGAAGTAGACCCGAGAGACTTTGGGGTGGAAATAGATAACTGGGATACACTGTATCTTCCATCACCGGAACAGAATTTGCCAGTGGACCAGTATGTTAGTAGTCACCGGGGTGGCGAAGCAAACGGAGGCGGAGGGCGTCGTCCCGAAGTACAGGGTCTGTTACATGGTCCGCGGCCGAACAAGAAAGAAATGGAGGCTGAAGCTGCACAAAACCACCAAAGAGTTGAAAGTTCAAAGTTTATGGGTCAGACTGTCGAAGCAAGACCGGTAGAAGCCTTTACCGGGAAGAAAATATTCGAAGAGAGTTTACCACGTGCATCTTACTCAAGAAACAGGGTGAATATTCCAAGAAGGTGAAGTCTTGGTTGTATGTCTAGAAACGAAAAAAAAAAATTTTTCAAGCACCTTCAGGAACAAGTTTGATGAACTTACGGCTGAGCCAATAGACCTTCCAGAGTTATAAAATAAACGTTCAACAAGAACTCCGAATTACCGGAGATTTGTGTCTATATTTAACAGTTATAGGTATTCAGTCAATCTGCGTGATTGAATTCAAAGCTAGCACAGATATTGAAATGTACATCTGAAAAATGTATACGTGCCGACATGACACGATATCGTCCGCAGCTGCCCATCGTTGTGCCTCACTTTCTGACTCTTCAGTGTTTCTGTTTCAAATACGAAATTAAACAGCCAACGTGATACTTAATTCTTTACCGTGGCAAAATGTCTCAGAGCAGTGGAGGAAACCTCGGTAGTTGCTAACAGCGTATGGTAGCCCCTTGTAGTATAGGACCTGGCCGATTTCTTACGTCAATTCTTGTCCTCAAATTCAGCAGTAATTCAACAATTTATTCATAAATGCATCCAAGGCCTTGGAATTTGGCATTAAGCACAGAACTCCGAGACCCTATCCGCGTCCCCTTGCCGTCACTGACCTCTATAAAGAAGAGCCAAGTATCTATAAACGAAAAATCAGCGCGGGGTGCATTAGCGTCTCAAGTTAATGAAAAGGAGCCCAGTTATCTTATCATAATGAACGTAAACATGGCAGTTTCGCAGTCCCAACGCCCCCTCTGACTTCGGTTACTCCTCTTCCGCCCCCCTCTTCCTAGCAGACCGCCTAGGCGAAAAAGGAGTTTCCTGCTTTGTCAAAAGTTCTACTACGCGGCAAAGACTGCTGTGTAAACCAAGCAATTGCTTGTATCCCGCCGCATCCTTCAACATCTTTTCCGTTTCAGACGGATCAAGCTTGAGCCCCAAAACCCTCACAAACTCCTTTATTTCTGTGATATTGGCGGCCACTTCGTACCATACAGCACCGTCCGTCACCTGCGTATGGGCTTCCGATACCTCGTCCTCACCATCTGTGAGAAACTCATCCACCGTGTCAAAGAACACAGGGGCCTTGTCGCTCTTCTTCGGCTCTTTATTGTTCACAAGATCATGTAGATCCTTCGACACCGTTTCACCCCAGACGCTCGAAAGCGTTTGCAAAACATCCTGGACGTACAACTTGAAACGCGGCCTCACACTCCACGCAGGCAAATCCGTGGCAGATCTGGCTATTGGACACATGTAAAACCGGCCAAAAGCCCCGCCTTCCCCCACAAAAAAGTCTTCGATAGACCCCTTACTAGATTGTGTACCCCCCACCAAGTTTTTAGAGGCTTCCATTCTGGTTAGAACTCTTAATACACCCAACTTTTCCTCCGGCTCGAGTGCATCCAAGCCTCTGGTGGAAAATTCAGGGTTGCCATACGGATTGAGTTCATTATCCTCTTTCCACTCAATAGACATTTGCTTTAGCTCTTCCAAAGCCTGTGATTGACTCGCACCAACCACATCTTTTCCTAACGCCAGTGTGAGGAGCCTGTGAAAAAGCGACGTCATACTGGCTTCCGCGTGCACAAGCTGTCGCGCGGGAATCTTACTACGCGGAGCCTCGCGAACACGCACGTTATCACGTCTTAGCGTCTCTTGGGAAAGCCCCAATCCCTCCTCAAAGTCTTGCGGCGAAAGCCCCGGGGAAAGCGCCAAAATCTCGAGGATAGTCGCTGCGTGCGGGGCTGGAACGACCCTGAAGCCCAATGCCAAAAGAGATCTGTGGCTCTCCTGTAAATCGTAATAAGCGCTAATCTCCCGCTTGGGTTCCTTGGCTCTGCCCTTAGTTTTGGGCTCGGGGGCTTCCTTCGCCTTCAGTTTGATCGTGCGCGTCTGTCCACGCCCCACGACGTCGTCACGCGCGGTGCTACGTCCTTTCGCGGTCAACGACTCGTAGTCCTCCAACACAATCACCGTCTGCGCGGGTCTGGGCGCGCGCATGTGTTTTGCCTGAAGCAACAATTCGTCCGCGCGGATAATGGGCTCCTCGATAACGAGCTTGAACCCGCCGCCAGAACTCAACGGTGTGGTTGTTTTGCGAGAGCGCGCGGTGTGGCTTGTTGCACGACCGCCGCGCGCGCGCATCTTGCCACCGCGTGACCCCGGGCCGGCGACCGGGAGCGAGTCGAACCGAAATTTGGAGATCACAGAGTCGTTGTAGTTCAGCTGCGACGACATTTCCGGCGGTGCGATATTAACCGTGTTATTTTTTCTCGGTCTTCCGAGTCGCTTGTTTGCAGTCTTGGAGCTCGGGTCTACCACCACAAAGTTCATCCCGTCGGAGGGGTGTGCGACGCGAGGCGCGGGCGCGAGCGCGAGAGCATCGCGCGGAAGAATGCCCGAGTCGATCACCGCCTGTGCAAGGTGCGAGGGGTGGAGCTCCTGCTGCGGTGAAAGCGTGTCAAACGCGCCGTAATTGATCATGCCCATGGATGAAGCCTTGGCCATTTCATTGTACTCGTTAAGTCGGAACATTGTGTTGTTGATAGCGGTGAGCGCGGTGTTGTGGTACTGCTGCTGCACGAGTCCGGAGTCGTCGTGGTCACGCGGCGACACCGTGAACTTGCTAAAGAGCCCGGATGATGGGTCCATACTCGGATCGATATTCGGGTCCATCTTGGTTTGGGATTATATGGCGGAAATAGATAAGATGGAGGTGAAGTACAAAAACCAAAATGGGAAATTTTTCAACTATTTCCGGAGCTGGTTGGGTACTGCACGACCCGGCGCTCATAGCTAGGGTATAGGTGGAGGAATATTAGACGGTGTAATATCTTGCGATTCTGAGTGAAGAGGCATTAAGAATGGATATTCTATTGGGGAGTTTTTAAAGAGCTTTTGCAGTTATCTCATACGTGAATATTGAAATAAGCAGCTCCGATAGTGGCAATGCCTTTTGAGATCTGGACTCTAGAATTTCACATGCACACCATTTTTAAATGCAGTTATTTTTGCGTCTATGTATTTCTTTCACCAAACCACCTCTATATATTTATCAATGCCTTTTCAAATCCACCTTGGAAAAGATCACGGTAATTATTATTTCCCTTGGCGGTCAGACCCAAAAGTGTATTCGTAGCCATAACCTTTGTCTTCACCCAACTGCTTTATTCTTACAATTATTTATTTAAACTTATAAATAACCTTGTTATTTATGTTGATTCTCCTTGGATATGTGTATCTTTCATTAATCCGGTCAACCACAGCAGTTTCCTCATAACCCATCAATCCCTAGACTTCATTCCTGCCTGTGCCTTATCTACTCCGTCGCCATTAATGCTTGCGCGATCCCGTCCAACATCTCTTCAATCTCGCTCACGTGAAGGCCGCACGAGATCGAAATCAATTTCCGGTAGTTGTTCATCTTGGGGTTCACGTTCTGCTGCGACAAGTGCGCGACAATTTCTTTGACAGTCTGCGCGCGCGCGAGTTGCAACATTGTCAAGGCATGTGCGTCAGTCGCGCCGCCACGTGCCACATGCGCAGCGCGTGCGCTCTCCTCTATCTGCACAAACTTTGCGAGCTGGAATGCCTGGCTGCGCTCGTAGAGTCGCGATAAGTGGCTTTCTTTCGCCAAATACTCCGCCTGCACTGCCAGGAGCTGCTGTCGCATGTTAGGTAACGTTCCGATGGAGTTGCTTAAGATTTGGAACTTTTCCTGGCTCTCAGCAATTTCTGCGTCCATCGATTGGAGAAGTTTTTCCGCGTCCGCGAGTTCACGCGAGGTGTCTGAGAGTTCGACGGCAAGGGTCACTTCGAGGGCGTCCAAGACCGAGTGGAGATGCTGTGGAGTTGGAGGCTCACGAGGTGCCGAGGGCTCCGAGTTGTTTATGGTCTTGTCCGACTTGAGTTTATCCGTGTCGAGTCTCCCCGCGATGCCCGAATCCGCCGGGACATTCTCTGGGGTTTTCTCCGCAGCCTCCTTCCTGTTTTCTTTATCCTCTACCGACACCCGCTCAAACTCCGACGTGAGGGTCGAGTCCAAGCGCTTGAGGAGGTCGTCTGGGGTCTCACCGTGAATATTTGCGAGATCTGCGCGCGCACCTGCGCGAATGAGTGTCTGAATAACCGCACGATTACTTGCCTTCGCCGCGAGGTGTAGCGCGGCCTCGCCATTGACGTCCTGGTGGTCGAGCACTGCCGCAAGCATATCGCGCGCAGCCGCGGCGTCGAGAATCGCCCGCAAATAGTACACCAGCGACTTGTGCTTGGACTTGTTGCGGCTGAACTGGCACACATAGTGGACAGGCGTGCGCCCGTTCATGTCTGGCTCGTACACGCAAGACTCTAGTAACTCCAAGATCTGCCCAAAGTTGCGCATGTCGTACGAGTTGTTGAAGGACGTGAGTTTCGATAAACAGTTCATGCCGTGCTTATTTGGCTTGTGCGGGTCACCGCCATTTTTCAAGATAATCTCCATGAGCTGGAGGTTGCCGATGGAGGATGCCCAGTGGAGGGGTGTGTGCCCTTCGTCGTCGATGGCGTCGTTGATGTTGAAGTCGTGAGGCGGGTGGAGGATAAAGGGGGGGATGGGTGAGTTTTCTTGGGAGAAGAACTCGAGTAGAGTGTTAGCATACAGTACCGCCAAGTCAGGCTCTGGATGTGACTCTGAGTACTGTTTTGCCGTAGGGGGAGCTGATGGATACGAGTACATCAGTTCCCTCGGGTACAGCTCTGACTTCAATTCCGCCACGTCCGGATGGTGCAAATATGAGTTCTCGTATGATGTTTCCGCAGCTGGAATGTGGCCATTGATTTGACCTCCATTAGCCATTTTAGCTTTGGGGATTGTTGCTCCATTGGCTGTGATCCCTTGGGGAGCTACCGTTCCGTTAACGGGTGTTCCCTGCAGATGGAACAGGTACAGGAATTCCTCCTGGGTAGGCGGTTTCATACCCTCGGGCACCAGACTCAACGGCTTACCCTTTTTCGCCGCAGCCTTCGGCTTTTTCGGTGTTTCCTCCTTCGGCCGTTTCTGCTTCTTGGGGCTGGGATTCGCCGAGGCACTGCCTTTGACCTTCTTGGGTATGGTTGCGGGGTCTATCGCTGTGGCATCGAAGGTCAAGACCGGTACCATGGCCATGAGGCCGTACTGAACAGCTAGCTTCTGGGCGATATCTAAGGGCACCCACGTACCTTGGAACTTACCATACCCTCCCTGCACCTTTTCGTGGGTGCCTGTTTGGATCTCGCGTTCAAGAATTTTGGTGCGCTGGGGCTTGGGGAAGTCGGCGATCTTGAGGATCTGGGTAGCGTTGACCCAGTCGTCTTTGCAGCGTCGCATGAGGGAGTTTTCCTTGACGATGGATTCATAGACATCGACCTGGAGGTTAATATGTGTCAATCGAACAGAGGCAAGGCAATACCAACTTCATACTGGAAACCGGGCAAATATTCTAGGCTAGACAGGCCTACAGGCTATTACCATAGCTTCTGTGGCTAGTACTGAACCCTCTGCCGTCAGTTGAGCATTGCAGTTTGATCTCGCAGAACACTTTAGGATTTGCATACCGCAATCCAAGGGATTAGCCACCGAGTCTATCCACTCAACTAAATGAAAGCCCAGTCTCAAGGTTACACACTTTGTCTGTAGAGATTCCAATATGATCCAACACGGAATTCAAATTAAAAGTAGGATACTCTCAAGCTATGAATCACATTGAATTAATCCGTAGAAATTCAAGCGTTCAGTCTGAATTGTGCCTCGATCCGCATATCCCTGTCATTGCCATTGCCACTTCGTCGTCATCAGATACGTACATTGGAGTATGTCGCGACAAACAAGTTTTCCGGAACCGACATCTTCAGTGTCGTGGGGGTGGAGAGTAAAAGAGGTGCGGTTTGATACTGACGCGTACTTATAGCGACGCCCGCCTGAAAAAGTCGTGTCTCCACGCGTCAATTTACCCCGATGCGGAAATTACACGCAGCTGCCCCGGGGGGTGACGAGATGGACAATAAGTTATATTTTGTTAGTGATTCAAGACTGAAGCTAAGGCGAGAATTCCCTAATGTCTTAATTAAGGATATTTTGTTCAAACCTTTTTAAAGGTTGTAATGTAGAGCTTGAAAGATATTGACGTGGTAAGGTGTAAAATGTTATTTAATGTGACGTTATCGGACTATCAAAAACCCAGGAAGGATTTACAGATCCACCGACAAACCACATAGGTGGTTATGCGGAATAATTCTTGGGAAATCTATACATAACTATGACTATGGATCTAAATTCGATTTGAATAATAATTATTTGAAGATTTTTCTGCGGTGCTTTAGTTGAGAATAGACGTTTAGGCTGTGACTATTGTCTACGTTGTGGAACCCACAGAACAATAGCATGGGTCAACGTCGATACGATTCATATTTGATAGATTAAAGTAGGTAATATTAAGGGCCTAGTGGGAAACACAAACGTTTGAATGAAACTATCTTTTTTTATATATATTTATTGGGAGCTGAAAATGGTATTTTAGCTCTATCAGACCTTGGATAGCTATAGAGAATTTCCTTCAGCCAACCTTTACTTTTCACCATTCTTATGAAGCCGTCAATATCCCAAGGTCAGCCTTCAAGAAGAAGTAAAAATATTACCAAATAGGTATCGCATGAGCTGATATGGTTTATCTTTCAGGACACAAATAGTCTTGTACCACAACATACGAGATTAGCCATGCGAATTAACACTAGATACAGCTTTTAATATACCAAACTCAGAGAGCTCAACTTTGGTGTGGACATGTTTGACTGCAAGTTAATTCCATTAACACTTGAATATCTATGGATCAGAAGTAAGCCTGGTGTTAGCTCTTTAGAAATAAACCTGTTATGAACTCTTCAAATCGGGGAGACGACGTCTGGCGACGGTCCTGCCTAGCTCTCCAAGCTCATAATCGCCTCCTTTATCAAATGACTCCCCTTTGGATCGAGCGTCAAAGCCACCGTAAATTGCTTAATTGCATCGTTATTTCTATTCGCCAACTTGTACAATTGCCCCAAGAGAAAGTGCACACTCGCCTCGTCCGGCGCCAATTCAGCCACACGCTCAAACTCAATCAAAGCGCTATTGTAGTTCTGTAACGTAAAGAGCAATTGCGCCTTCTTGAACAACGCCAACGCCGAGAGCGGCTGAAGCTTGTGAGCCAACTCGTACTGCTTGAGCGCCAACTCACGGCGCCCCGTCTTCTCCAACACCATGCCTACGCAGCAGAGAAGAATCACGTTCACCGGGTTGATGTTGACGGCCTTGCGGAAGTGGAATTCAGCGCGCGCGTAGTCGCCGAGCTTCAAATACACCATGCCGAGTCCGTATAACGCATTGTAGTGGCGTGGGTCCACGAGGAGCGCGTTGCGGAAGCTCTCGAGTGCGTTCTCGTACGCGTCGTTCGCAACGTACTCGTGGCCCTGGAGCGTGGCAGCATATGCAAAGCGACGCGCACGCGCAGCACGCTGGAAGCAACGGATCGCCTCATCTGGCTCACGCCGCAACGAGAAAAGGTTCCCGGCCGCGACCCACGTCTGTGGCGCCGTGGGGTCCACGTCGTACAATTCATGCGCCAAAAAACTCAACTCGATGTCTTTGTGTAAGTGCCAGAGCAACGTGGAGTAATACTCCATGTCCTCGACACGCGCGCGGTCGAGCGCCCGCAACTGCTCAAAGTACCGCTCCGCGGCCGCGTAGTTGACAATCTCAAAGTGAAGCCGCCCTAAGCGGCTCACCACCCACGGCGTGTTGCGTTCGTTGTCAGGGAGCTCGCTCAAAATCCGGATAGCCTTAAAGCAGTCGAAGTGGCTGGCCGCCTTGAGCGCCTTCGCAAACGTCGCATAGAGCGCAAGGAGTCGCGTCTCCGCCTGCACCCGCTCACTGGCGCTGTGCGGTGTGCCCTCGCCGAGCGCGGTACTGCCACGCTTCAACGTGTCGCGTGCACGTGCGGGTACCGCGGGGATAAGCCGCGACGTGACCTTTGACGCAGAAAGCTTGCCCGGCTTGGAGAACTCGCCACGCACGCGTCGGTTAGGTGCGTCCGGCACCGTCTGCGGCTTGAGTCGCGGCGTCAGAAGCACGTGCGTTTCCGGCGTGGCCTGTTTGCTGAAGAAGCTAGTGCGCGGCGAGCTCGCACCCTTTGCGGGCACAGGCACCGGAACCTCCTTGAAGTGGTTGAAAGGATCGCGGCTCAAGCCGCGGTCCGTGTGGTACACGGCCTTGACACGCACGTTGATGCCCATGCGGCAGAGCTCCTCGAACGAGTCGAACAAGTAGGGGTTGAGCTTGAGCGCAAGCGAATGGTTCGCGGCACTCTGCTTGATGTCGCCTGTCGCTGCATAAAGCTTGCCAAGGAGGTGGTAGATGGCTGCGCGGTCGGGCATGACGCTGCGCTGTGTTTCGTGGCCGCTATAAGTGCCGTCACCCGGTTCGTATCGCGCGGCATCGGCCAGTTCCCACGTTGCACGTGTCTGCTGGAGCATGAAGAGACCCTCTGCGGGCATATCCAACTCCAACGCGCAATGTGCAAACACGTACGCACAGCCCACGTGCGCGTGCGCGGCGCACGCGTTGTACGCCGCGAGGAACTTACGACGACGGAACAACACGAGGGCGTAAAGGTGGCGCGAGTCGAGCAGCTCCGGTTGGAGCGAGAGTAAGCGTTCCGCTGTGAACTCCGCGTTCGCAAGGAGGTCGTGATCAAGCGAGTAGAGCACAAGCGAGCGGAGTTGTGAGATGGAGCAATCCGAGTACATGCGAATGAATCCTAATTCAGATCAATGGTAAGTAAGAGGAAAAGATCGGCGATCGGAATGGTTATCCTAATAGAATAGGATGGTGGTCAGCTTGGACGGTCAAAATAAAGTATCCGATCAAAATGAACTATCGTCTGGTACAATGGATGCAGTTGTGTTTGGTGCCTATTATTCAAGGATCCAAAAGGAGAGAGGTTCAACAATTCTGGAACCGGTGGGGTTTTTGAAACGAATAGCGAGGATTTACTGGTTAATAATGCGTAATAGAAGAGAAACCGGTGTATTTTGACGTAATGCCTTCAGATTGCTCCATGAAGCAGACGGTACAAAGCAAAAGGTAAACATTGAGTTGTGCACGACCTAGTTCCCCGGAGTGCAACGGGATGGTATCACAATACACCCAAACTGTTTGTTTATTCTGCTTTGGAGGTCTCTTATCGATGGAAATTACAGAATTTCTTGTTTTCAGCACCACCGTAGCCTGGCCTTTAGCGTTTGAAAGGAGTGTTGTATGTCATTATACGAGAAGAAGCCAGAACTATAGCTACTCATTCTGGGTTTTGATCAAATTTCTTTCATAAATTTTGAGTGAGATATACTTTTTTTTATCGATATACTGTCTACAATCCTTCTTTGAGTAATTGTATCTAAATAGAAGCGTATAACTTAGTGTAAACCACTCACCACCGTAATTCTTGCTTAGCTGTTCTCTTATGCCGCAACCGCCGCACCAAGCCCTCAGCTCTGTACTTGCAAGCCTCGCACTCCATAAATTATCAATCCCAACACCGGCTCTTCTCCACTTATCCTAGTCGCTAACACTCATGTTGCTCAAACACATATATTATGTACTGCTTATAGCACGGTGTTCTAGCTTTGAGCTATTCGGTATGTGTGATCTGGTCCGGCGAGGCTGAGGTATGGCATTGAAGGATTGTTTATTAAAGCCGCTGCTTGAGCATCCAGTGACGGTCTGCCATCCGGTACCAACTGATACTCACAGAAATGGCGATTTATTTCGTACCCGGGTGTTCTACTTCTATTGTTGAAATAACTTGTTTGCTTATTTACCACTTGACTATTCAGACCCTAGTGATGTTCATTTCACTCATTGGCGTCTACCTCAACCCCTCAACCATACTTGTGTCCTGGGAACCCTGTGCCTCAGAACACCTCTTATTTTCCTTCGGTTATTAACATTGTTTTAGCCCCCACCCCAAACTACTACTCCCCTGGTGATAAAGTCGAACTTCGCGTCAACAAAGTCGAATCCGATATCACCCAGTTGCCCTACGCCTACTATGACCTTGGCTTCATGTGCGGCCCTAGCGTGGATGTGCATGCGGTACCGCTCAGCCTCGGCGAAATCATCCGTGGTGACCGCATTTGGGGCTCGGACTACGCGCTCACGTTTGCGAAGGATATACCATGTGCGCGTCTCTGCGATAGCGTTGTGAAACGCGCCCACTTGGCACGTGCAGACACGCTTATCCGCCAGGGCTACGTCGCTGAATGGATCATCGACGATCTCCCGGGTGCTACTACATTTGTCAACGAGTTGAACAGCAAGTACTACGCCGCGGGCTTCCCACTAGGGTTCGTGGAAAACGACATCGCGTACATCCACAACCATGTGATGATGGTCATCCGGTGGCACGCTACGCGTGATGGCCGCAAAACCATTGTGGGCTTCGAGGTTTACCCGCGCAGTGTTTCTGACACGCAGTGCCCGGGAGCGCGCAAGGATTTCACAAACTTTCGCATTGACCCTGCGGCCGAAAGCGCGCTGATCCCCTTCACCTACTCGGTCTACTGGCGTGAGGAACGGGGAGTCAGGTGGGAAGACCGCTGGGAGCTTTACGAGCGGGACGAGACGCGTGGCGAGCACATCCACTGGCTCGCCCTCATCAACTCCTCTGTCTTGGTGTTCTTCTTATCCACCATTGTCGCAGTCGTTCTTCTTCGAACTTTGAACAAGGATATTAAAGGTGTGATCAATAGAGATATAGATAATAATGGAAAGGACAAGGAAACGGAGGACATGTCTGGATGGAGGCTCCTCTCTAATGACGTGTTTGTGCCTCCGACCCGCGCACTTGCGTTGACGATTCTCGGCGGGACCGGTGTCCAGCTTGTGTTCACCATTGCGGCGGTTTCTCTCCTCTGCGCAGCGGGGATCATCAACCACAATGTTCGCGGTAGCCTCATCTCGTGCATTGTGGGCTTGTTCGTGGCTGCGGGTTTTGCGGCGGGGTTTTCCGGCGTGCGACTCTACACAAATTTCGCCGACGCGCACGCGCACTGGCCGGCAGTCGCGATCTTGTGCGCGGGCACTCTCCCGCTCCTTGTCTTTGCCTTTTCCTTGCTCCTCAACTGCTTTATCTGGGCCAAGGGCGCCACCACCGCCTTGCCGTTTGGAACCATCATCGTTTTGGTGCTCCTCTTTGCGTTGCTTGAGATTCCGCTCTCCTTGCTCGGAGGGTACTTTGGAAGCCGTAGACAGTACCATCAAATGGCCACGCCTATTTATCTGATTCCACCCCAGCCATGGTTCACACGGTTCAGATATGCTGTGCCCATCTTTGGAGGCATTCCGTTTGGCGTAGTCTACGTTGAGTTAATGTATATCTTCAACTCGCTCTGGCTCGAGAAGACGTCGCAGTACTACATGTACGGTTTTCTCTTCGTAACGATCATCTTCTTGGTCGTGGTGGTTGTGGAGTCGGTGGTGGTGTCGCTATATATCTCGTTGGTGTACGAGGATCCCCGGTGGGCCTGGCGCTCCTTTGTTGTAGGGGGAAGTGTCGCGTGGTACATTTTTGCCTACGCGGTGTATTATTTCTTCAGCCATTTACTTGTTCGCGACTTTGTTTCGACCCTATTGTACTTTGGGTACGTGGGCTTGATTTGTGTGTTGATCGGGTTGGCCTGTGGGGCCGTGGGGTTGTTCAGCGGGATGACGTTTGTACGAAAGATCTACGGGGCGATTAAACAGAAGTAAAGGTTTTCCTTAATAGCCGAAGCGAAGGCTAATAACTAGTGTTTTCAAACGTACAGATTATTTATAGAATATAGAGGTATTTTCTGAAACTTGCGTAACGTGAGTGCTGTTCAGTGAGGAGGGGTTATCCCAAGCCGGCCTTGTTTTAGTGCTGATAGCCATTTACTTTAGTTTCCATTATATGAAATGCTTTAGTTTGATTGGTTTGGACGCACTCCGGGACCATAACCGTGATTTAGTCGTATAGCGACGGATCCTTACACTCGCTTATGACAATTTAAACTGTGTAGATGCAAAAAGCTATTAAAAAGAATTATAAATCAGTATGAGAAATAAATGTGTAACCACGAATTGTCTATTCGTTTACTCCAATCTTTTTTTTTGTCCTTTTAGAGATTATTTAGGGCTGTTTTAGTCAGTAACGATGGTTATACTTATGAATGGGCCAGGCTATCCAAATCCACACACATGCTTTGTAGCCCACGGACATTGTGATGAGAGTTGCATTGTCTCGCCATTATACATAGCTACACACCACGATACTCGCACTCTCCACCGATACCCTCACTCTTGCCTCCACTGAGCCATCTCCTACAATGCCCCTGAGGGCCTGCCAACCTATTTTTGTTTCATTAAAAAAGGATCAAAAGAAAATTACAAAGCCAAAAAATTATTACTCAATACAATGTCATTATATCATTGCGCCAGTTGCCCTAATGTACAAAATCGTTGCACGCGTTACTGGGTAGCGTTGTTGAAACCTCCACGGTTGTACCCACCGTTACCACCCTGGCCCCCTTGGTTCCCCTGACCGCGGCTCTGGTTCTGGTTCCGTCCGCCTTGATTGTTGTATCTTTTGTTACCTCTGAAGTTGCCTCTGTTGTTTCTGCCCTGGTTATGTCTGTTGAAGTTTCTCTGCTCCATGTTCTGGATGTTGGCCTCCTTGACTTGGTCCATGATTTCATCTGGCAATCTCAAATACTTGATATGGTTTCCCCTGACGTAGCACTCGGGAATCAGCAAGAATTGGTCGCCCCCAGCGCTGCTCTGGATGACGTCTCTCAACGTCAAGTTCATCCACGAATCACAGTTAATCAAGTGCCCGTTCAACGTTTCGCCACTCTTCAACTCCACCAACATCGGCTGGTTTTTCGCTGCAGTTAACAAGTATAATGGAAGCATGTGTGTATAGTGTTTGAACCTTCTAGCCTTACCGACAGTGTTCCATCGTGGTAAATTTGTATGCGTCGATGTTGGGCGTTATCTTGCACGTGTTTTGGCGGTACACGACCAAATAGAGATTACTCAATCCAAGACGCAATACTACACTGGCCGGTATTAGCCTCTACACCAAAATCACCAGTCGCTTGATATTGGGCTACACGTCTTTCCACGGGCCATATTTAAAGGGAAATAAGTATAACGGCAGAAAAGTTTACCTTTTTATGCAAACAGACTAGATAGGTGATTAAAAGATAAGTTCACAGGATGTGATCTATATTGGGCATCTTAAGTATAGAGCAAGCTCTTTAATTCTCTAAAATCTCCCGACGGTCAACCAACCCAAGCGTAGCAATTAAGTAACAATTTCCAGCGGAAATCCGTATATTAATCATATATCTATTGAATTATTGATAAAGCCATACAACGTAAACTAAAGCTACGCTAGCTTCCATATCACAGTGCACCATGTACACTCCCGATGAAGCGCAACCACAGAAACGCCTCATGACTGAACGATCTAATATCCTGTTATCATGAGATACACGCACATGAAGCTATGAATAGTTTTGAATTATGGTTCACCTTCAGTCTGGTAACCGACAGCCCCCTTTAACAAAACCCTTTGAATCAGTGGCCCCCTCCCCATCAGGCAATGCGCAATTAAAACACGTGAGCTTTGAAGCATCCACTACCATATCGAGACGCACCGGAGATCTTCGGCCGCATAGCGATTCGAAACACCAACCTTTCTGCTTGTCAAACCATACGAATTCACATTTACATACGGCTCTGAGTAAATCCTCAGACCAGTCTCATCCCTACTGCTGCGATGGTAGACTTGATCCCCCGCCATGGAGACCACCACACGGCAAACCTCAAATATGGTTATCTCACGCTCCTTCTCTCTCTCCTCCACACCGCAGCCATCCCGCTCTCGTCCTACCTCTACCGCAAAAGATGGCTCGTTACTGGCAAGGCAAACAACTCTCTTCGCTTCTACAGCAATATCCCGCTAACTGTCAAGGTTGGGGCCTGGATCGTGGTAGTGGTCGCCCTTTGCACGTACAAAGTATCGGCGGAGACGTTCACCACAAACGTCAAACGTGCGGGACGAATCGCGTACGTGCTCATTCCGTTTGACATTCTCCTCGCATTGAAGCCATCGCCGCTTGCAAACTATCTAGAGCTAGTTGCGCTCCACAAATGGGTGTCGCGCGTGATTGTGGGCTTGTCGCTCGCCCACGGCGTGGGGTTTCTCGGCGTCTGGATCGCGCGCGGTGACGGCCAAATCCTCAAGGTGTTTGAGTTTTTGAACCTCTTGGGGGTGCTCAACTTTCTCCTCTTTGGTACCTTGTTGGTAATTTCTGTCCGCTACTTCCGCGACAGGCTCTATCCCTGGTTTTTCGTGGTCCATCAGGTGACCGTATGGTCGACCGTGGTGCTCATTACCTTCCACGCCAGACCGGGCGTCCTCTGGTACTCTCTCATCTGCACCGCCTTATTGCTCTTACAGGTGTATCTCAAAATCTACTACACCAAAGACATCTTGTTCCAGGAAGATAACTTTGTCTCCGCTGAGGGCTCCCTGTTGGTGGTGGTGGCTCTTCCCCGCTCCAAGCTCTCCTATTCCGCGGAAATCCAGCCGGCATCGCACTTGCGGATCAACAGGCATACAAAGTATAACTACAAGACCTGGATCTTGCCATCCCACCCGTACACCGTCGCCACCTACGACGACACGGCAGCGTCTTTGATCGTAAAGAAGACGCATTTCCAACTACAGCCCAACGTGACGTACTCACTCTTTGGTCCTCCCTTCAAGTCTTCCATGGCCTTTGAGCAGGAAACCATCGCCAGCTTGTCGCATGTCATCATCGTCTGCGGGGGCTCGGGTATCTCTTACGGGTTGCCCATTCTTAGCCGCTTGCAGAAGATCAGACAGGATGCCTCGCACACACAGTCCAACGAGAATCTCATGCGGCAGTTGAAGTTGGTGTGGTGTGTGCGCAACAAGGCCGATATTTTTGTCTTGGACCACTTGAAGGTTTCCGGCCGGGTTGAGGTTTACGTCACGTCGGGCGTTGACACTTCCAAAGATGGTGGGAATGACATTGAGATGGAATCATTGGATGAAAGCACTTCCAATCCGTTCGCAGACCCAAAAAGAGGCTACACGGTTTCCTATGGGAGACCAAACCTTCCGACCTTGGTAGGCGACTTCAACCAGACCTTAACCGATAGTAGCAACAGGTGGATCATCGCTTGCGGACCCCAGGGGTTGGTGGACGACTGCCGAGGCGTATCTAAAAAGTTTGGCATCAACTTCAACCAGGAAGTGTACAGAATGTAACAACTTATTGCTCGATGTATTTATTTCGCTACGTTTTGTAGACCCAGAGAATTTTACCCCGGCCTGTTCTTCTACTTAGCACATTAGGCTATACCGAAGCTTCTAGGAGATTTTTTTTCTTTAAAATTTGCCCCGACCTTTAGACAAGATTATAATAAGCTCACCCTTTTTTTTGTAGCTCCTCGCACTCTGCACTAATCTTCGCCTACGCGCGCCAATTTTCGTCGCGCAAAAAAATCGAAGCGCGAACCATAAAACAACAGTGATCAAATCACTCAACACACTCACCGCTATCAGCACAACCCACCACATGTCCGATTACAAAAGAGCCAAAATCCTGAGGACATCCTCGCAATCTTCCCTCGACTTTGTGCCCGCTATCAACGACGACTTGTTGAAGCTCCACCCATCGTCCATCGTCAGTGGAAACTCTAATGAGAATGGGCTCGTGAACATTTCCTTGAAGAAGGTGACGGCAGTAAACTTGACCAAAAACTATAACCACCTCCTAGAGCTTGTCAATAGCGCCGCGAGTGACACCCGCACGGCCGCGGAGGCCATCATATTGGACGAGCGTCCCGCGCTCCATTCCCAGCTCGCGGCGGAGTTGCGCGAGGCGGTCGCGTACGAGGCCCTGTCCATAAAGCAGTTGCAGGCGACTCTTGCGGAAACCAGTGATACCGATGCTTTGTTAAAGGAGTTGTCTGGCGAGTTTGAAATGGACTTTGCGGCGTTAAAGCAAAGAGATCCAGCTGTGGATGAGATCTACGAGAAGTGTGGCCAGTTGGTCTACTTGCAAGAAGCGGCCTATAGAGATGTTTCTGGAGAGGTAAAGTTGAAAGTGGTGGTCTCAGAAAAGCCTGCTGACTGGGATGAGAAGAACAAGGCTAGGTTGGAGAGATTGCGAGAGGAAAAGCAAACAGCGCTGATTCAAGTGGCACCTGAGGCAGCCCCTGAAGCCCTGGAGACAGAGCAGACAAAGCCAGAGATGATGGAGGTGGATATCAGTGAAGTGGCAATTCCACAATTGCCAGAGGTGGAAAAAGAGTGAGAGATACAGACGTGGTTGTTTCCGTGATTGGATCGAATGTGGACTGATACAACAATGTAATATAGAGATCTGTAAAGTCAGATTTTTGTAGAGATGTGTTTATATATAAAAGCAATGGGCGAAAAAAGACGCTTAGGTGAGCCTACTCATATAACAGTGCCTCATCTAATTAAAGGTGCCGGGTAAATCTATGCCTATATAATGTGCCATCTAATTAAAAGGACAGACTTATGCCTCAAGATCAAGGGGGCGCGGTTGTTAAAATCGGAGTTTAAGCATAACAAAAGGAGGCATTGGTACTGCTTCTCACACTATAGTACAAGCTGAACTGAAGCTTTAAATGGGGGCATCCATATCGGCGATTGAGGAATTGTCACGGTGGTGAATTCATGGTCGTTTACTGGCTATAATAAAAAATGATAGATAACTTTCTGGTATGGGCTTCGCCATTGAATACGAATTCTGATAAGCACGTACTCTAGAGTTAGACGGCTTAGATATATTCAGGCCTGCGCAGTCCTCGTTGGATACGATAGAAACCACGACGAAGCAACCCTCTAATGATCCGCATCTTGGACTACTTAGTATTGCTTCGAACCTATTTCAAAACCTTATACCGGACGTATGACATATTATTTATACGGTTAAACCTAGTTTGAGTGGACGTTGGTTAAGCTTGTTTGCTAGCCGCACTTTACGTCATCGAATTACCGATCGTGTGCGCGCCAACGGAGATTGCGCGCCTGCACTTCCCCTCAGGGGATATATAAACGTAGGGAGTGACATGATAAGACAACGCCACCCAACAAACCCCCCCTTCAAACACCAAACAAGCTACAACCACAAATAATTCGCAATGAGGTAAGTACCCTACTAGCCCATCCCAATCGCTACTAACAGCCTAGCTCGCCAAAACGCCGGATCGAATCAGACGTCATGAAATTGTGAGTACCCTCTCCCTATTGTCTATGCCTAGTACTAACGTCCAGATTGATGAGTGACTACGAGGTGAACTTGGTTAACGACAGCATGCAGGAGTTCTACGTCAACTTCCCCGGGCCTAAGGACACGCCGTTCGAGGGCGGTTCCTGGAAGGTGCGGGTCGAGTTGCCGGATCAATATCCATACAAGTCGCCGTCGATCGGTTTCACAAACAAGATTTTCCACCCAAACATCGATGAGACGTCAGGGTCTGTCTGTTTAGATGTGATAAACCAGACATGGTCGCCGATGTTTGATATTTTCAACGTTTTCGAGACATTTTTGCCCCAGTTGTTGATCTACCCCAACGCGGCTGATCCTTTGAACGGCGACGCCTCTGTTTTGTTCAATAAGGATATTCAAGCGTATAATGAGAAGGTCAAGGACTATGTGAAGAAGTACGCTACCAACGTGTCGATGGATGAAGAGGAAGACAACGCCGACGACGATGGCGAATTGAGCGACGTGGGAAGTTTTGATTCCGATGAAGACATGGAAGATGATGAGGTGGCTGGCCACTTGGATATGTAATATCAGTGTTGAATATATCGCTATGATTTATTACAATGTTATGGACGTGAACTAGAAAGAATGGCCTGTGTAAGGCAAAAGCACTGGGAATTTTGTCGAAAGAGCAAATGTTTTTGATAGTGAGTTATAAATTGGGAGCGTGAAGTGGAGAGGAGCTTTTTCCGGTAGTAAGGTTACTCGAATGGACAGGAAGAATTCTTTGTTGTAAGCTTACCGCATAGAATAAGTTTGAAAACTTTGATATCAATGTCCCATTAAAAAGTCAACGCTTGGATGCCATCTGGACGACAGCTCTAGTCACAAGATGCTCCACCATATGGTACCTCCTTTAACAACTCTGACTGAGGGTAGTGTTTCTGGGGCCCTGTGGGTATCAGGGAGTCTTAGAGCGTATTATATTAATGTTGACATATAAAGTGCTCGAGGCCTGCCAGTCTGGTGATTTTCCAAATGTTTCTCTCCAGATCTCAAACTCCCCGGGTATAGCCAACAGTCTGAGCGAAACATTGATATTTGTTTCAAGATATTTCTAGAGTAGAAATCAAAGGCTCACTACCTGTAGTTTTAGTTTTTAAATCATTATATTCTTTGCCGGGTGCTTTCTCCTCGCTGTATATCTCAGCGTGGCTGATTAGTGTAACGTACTCTACGGCAAACATTCATTTTTCTACCTATCAGTCACATGGGTGTTGTAAACTGATAGCCTATACCTCTTGCCTGTAAATTTCACCTCCCCGCTTTCTTGAACATCGGAATTATTCGGCTACTCTACCCCGCAAAGAAAGCTGACCTGAGCTCAAATTCTGCAGCGTTGAAAATTGCAACGGATTGAATGTATTTTAGGCTGGTTATCTCACCTTAGAGACGTCGTATCTGAGACTAAACTAATCCAGAGGAGAAACAAGAATGCATCTTAAACCCCATGCTGCATAAACGATGAACAAAGCTTTGTTCATGAGTTATGAATTGCAGCGTTCCTCCATATTCCGAAGGGTGCCGTATAGCCGACTCTTCGCCACTTAGCCCAGAAAGGAAGTTTTTTTTTTTCAGGGTAAACCGGTTACAAAAACAGTCCTGTTTACCAGTATTCAGCTATTAGATACACACATGTTCAAACTTTGACATACAGCGCGATGTTATAATCTGATCAAAGTGAAAGAATCTAGGCCTGCATACCCACCACTAAAAATTCCGTAGTTAACGCCGAATGTTAGGCTCGGCCCCCGACGGCAATACCAGTGAATGTCCATGAAAAATCACGCTGTTTGTGGGTGAAGTAATGACGGCAGTCCATTCAGTTGCCCTCAATCCTATATATCCTGCCCCTATCTTGATCATTGTGGCGTACAAGGTTTTAGAAACCAAGAGACCGAATCCTTGCTGGCCATAACCTCCAAATAGGCACCTTCTTCCAGAAGGCCTTCGTGCTATTTTGCATGTTCCGTTTCATTGTTATATCCGGGATCGACATACCTCCACTGCCGTAGCATCCATGGATGTATCGTATATTGTTCATGCAAGCGTTGGGTGTGTCACTAAGCTATGCATATAAAACGTGGGAGGGTTTTTGGTGGTGCTGTTGGAGGCAGGACACCGGCAGATTAGTGAGTATTTGCCTCCGTGTGCCTTGCCAGGGGAAGAGGCACACCCTGTCAATCCCTAGGACAATACCCTAAAGGAGTGCCCGGCCGGTGTTACACTCGTTCCAGCGTGAAACAAATCAAGTTGGCAGATGTCTTGTAAATCACACACGTTGGAAGGCGATTCACATTCCGAATTATGCCCGGTCTGTAATCTCCGGACATCTTGTAATAACTCCTTATGCCCAACTTTCGAGTTCACTAGTGTATGTTTCATTCCTTAACCGTACACGTAAGTGATATCCGTATCCTCCCTGGTATTGCATCTGCACAAAGGCTGACGGCCGGAAATAATGAAATTCCTGGTAAGGAGGAGTTCGTTCTATCGAATAAATATGGCATAGTCACGGATTCAATGCAGATTCACGGCATTCGAACTTTCTATACAGCTTCGTTCCAAACATACGGAATATGCGTACAATGGCAACCTATTGCTATAATTTTTCATCCTGCCCTCGGTACCCTATAATCCACCGTGCTATGTGAGATTGAAAGAAGTTTAGAGAAATATATCGATATATATGTGTTCGTACTTTGGCGATAGTTAGTTTAGAAATGCGGAAAATTTCAATTAATGGACACAAGCACGTGCTTATATATGTATATATGAATATGTTTGTACCTGATATACAAGTCACGTGATGTTACATTTCCGTGAGATATGGAAGGCCCAACAACCTAGGCCCGAAAACATCACACATGCATAGCTACGTATGTTTTACGGCGGCTTATTTCTATCAACTATATTAACAAACATCGTTGGACTCTCAAACAGGTGCGTGATCTCACGGTGCGTTGACTTGTCTCACAGCCCCATATGGAATGCATATGCATGTATGCAATACACGTATACTCCCCTACATATGCATGATGTCACACGGGTGTATACAAGACATCCGGATACAATAAGAAGCTAACCGGGACAACCTGGTTGAAGAAACGGCTCTCAGTGTTGATGTCAAATTTGCGTAGAATTTCTTTTGGTATATGCTCAGTATTCGATAGTTTTGGCACAATTAGCACGCTATTGAAAATAAAGTTCTGTGCGGAGATTAAAATAGCCACGTGAAACAATCTCCAGAGTCATACCTTAGCCTGACTCTGAAACGGCATGTGATTCTATGAATCCCAACAACTTGCCCTCTTTTCTGCAACTTTGACCATTACAAAGTTATACGGACCTCCCGGATGCTTCCTCCACCATGCCGATACTCCTGCCGAAGACTGCAGCATTTATGGTTAGCTCTGGAAGAGCACGGTACAGCATTGTCTCGAAGTAGATTGCACTAAATGATTTGTAGCGCAGCCTTTTGTTGGTTGGGGTAGGCCGATAGAGCGAATCTCTCTTTCCATGCATAAAGAACTTCTACAAGCATATACATGCCCAACAATCTATCTTATAAACGGTGCTACCTCGGCCCATGGACCTGCGGAGCGAAATACGTCAACAAGGGGTATGAAGCTTCTATAGCCCGATGCTCCGTTTATTCTAACATTCCACTAGCGTGGGCTAGGTCTGGCATCGAGTTGCCGAAGACTTCCGAGAATTTTCAGTAATAGCCCAACACAAGCCACATGGTCTATAGCAAGGAAAAACGAGTATAGTTCATTTTGAATAGGAGTAAGATTTCCGTTTTTATTTTTCTCTGGCAGGCATTCTATGCATTATTGATGAGAGGAACCGGTATTTGACCAGGCTGTAGTGTGGCGGCTAGAAACAACCAGAATCCTCGAAGCCTCCATGTTTACCACCATGCACGGTTAGGTCGTTCGTAATTGTACTGCATACGTATCGGTTAATCCCTCCATTTACTCGACGGTCATTCTACATACCTTTTTCGTATTAGCGCCTAATCATGCAGCATGCTGAATTCCACGTAGAGGCAGCCTGCATCCAGGAATATCTAGACGATGGAGGTCATTTTGACGATGCTAATTGAGCGGCATCTCCCTTGTATTAGGACGTTAACAATGCATGTTCTATGACACCTGCGGACTATATGTCCGTTAAATTCCTCGTTAAGTCCACATCTACTGCACTCACCCATACTGACATGCTTCGTAGGTTAGACCCATACGGCCCACAGCCGTGAACTCCGCCACGCGAGGTCGAACTGGAGGGGGAGCTTTGACCGGCGCCACTCGCTGCTTTTTAATCATACACAGAGCAGAAACAAGCCTCTTTATTGCTCCCACAATGCCAACCATCTTTAGGGCCGAGTCAGCTTTAGAACAAGGAACGGTTGGTGGGAAACGGGTGCTGACGTAAGTAGACGTGGAGAAACAACAGGGACGGCCATATGCAGGTATTTCTCTGACATACGGCACGCATGAAGAAAAGTCTAGAACGTCGATACGTGAGGGGAGTAAATAAGGGGAGGCTCAGCTCTGCAGCCTCGTAATCCCACATGAACTGTGGGGAGATACAACGGAGGAAGGTTTCGATCGAATGGCTGGACACAACGGCAATTAATTCCTTCATGCATCAGCTCTCTTTCTAAGTCACACATTCCACCATAGTATCCCTGGGGATACTGTTAGTATATGACATGTGAGTTCGTCATGAGCTTGAACTTTAAACGGCCCGTGCATGCGACGCACTGCTGCTGTAAGCGTCGGGTTCCAAACCTGTATATTCCTGCAGTCCCAAGCGTACAATTTCACTTAGGACGGGTGTGGCCTCACCCTGGTTAGGGATAGAGTGCATATGCATATCCTGCACTATCCCTCATTTCACCTACACATAATACCCTACCCGTGCCAATTTCGGAACGGTCTAGAAGGGTTAAGGTTGAATGGGGTGACTTAATATTTAAACCAACCCACATCCTCCCGTTCCGTCTTGCTCCACCTTGACCAACTACACTACGATACACTGAGCTTTAGCCTGAGACGTCACATTCATCCGTGCCTGCGATACCGTCCATCTTACTATTACAGAGAGAGTATCCCGTTTCTAGCTCCAGAATTACCACTTTCAAATACCATGCCATACGTTAAGGAATCCACCAAGTGGCACGCATACCAGTTTTGCGACCCCTTCGCTGCCGGCAGCTTCATCGTGTGCAACAAGATCACCAAAATATTTTGCCAGCCGGACTGCGACCAGCATCCGATCACTAATTTGAAGTCGGAGATTAAGTTCACGAGTACGCCCATGGAGGCTCGCAATATGGGCTACGAGGCTTGCCAGTACTGCAACCCGGACAATTTGCCGTCGACTGATGTTGAGTTGTTGATCAAAGTGGTGGGAATCATTAACCTGTCTATTGGTTTTGTCGCACCGTTGATATGCGAGAACGAGGAGGATAATAACTCACAAATCATCCAGAACATCCACAAGGATACTGAACTTCCAACCAAGAGACGGTCGTCTGTACCGCTCATCAATGACGATGGCTCTGTCAAGAGCTTTGACTCCGCTTTATCGAAAAATGATTCCGACCATTACAAGTTGGTGGACTTGGCGTGTCGCCATTTGGCTCTTGCCGCTGCCAATAACGTGTTTGGCAAGGAAGAGGATCCTACCTCGCCTTCGGACTCCAAGAGAAGAAGAAGAGGCGGTGTGCTTGGATTCAAGGAGTTGGCCGCCAAGTCCAAGTTGTCGGCCTGGCACTTTCACCGAGTGTTCAAGTCGGTGACGAACTTGACTCCGAAGGCGTACGGTGACAAGTGCTGGGACTACTTGAAGAGCTACCAGGAGAACATTGCCAGTGGTGGCGATGGGTCCAACCTTGCCTTGCCTGCCCCGGCGCCCGCTCCAAAGGCGCCCGTTTCCAGAAAGAGAAGCGTTGCCGCGGGCGGGGCCTCCAAGAAGAGAAAGCAGTCCAAGGCGGTAGCTCCGGAGGCGGAGTTGTTGAACATCCAGCAGGTGTCGGAAGGCACGCACAACTTGTCTGCTGTGAGGCCGGAGTATGCATTTCCATCGAGAATGCCTTCGACCATGAACATTTCTGAGGCCTACCAGCCGCTTTTCATGGAGAACGGCATTGCCACACCTTCGAGTTCGGAACAGTTTGACCTCAATCTCAACTGCTTGCCCATGACAACGCCTGTGGCGGCCTTTGACTCGTTCACCCAGTCACCCATGGACGATTTGTTTGAGGCCTCCGAGTTTTTTAACGAGCAGATGTTCTACACCACTAGCGCTGCCGGTTTCAGTGCCCATACCCGCAGCGAGTCGGCGCCAGAGCTTGCGTTGAATTTTTCCTTGTTTGATCCTTCCTCTGCCATGATGAGTCTCGACCCAGTGGCTGAGACCGCCAACTACGAGGCTTTATACTCTGACACGGCACTCGACAATGTCAGCTTGCACGAGACGTTGGCGCACATGCCTCAGACCGCGCATATGCACCCGGAGTTGACACGGTTAAACACTGAGTTGCGCGTGGTGAGTAACTATAATATGCCATAACTTTCATCTATACATGCCTTGGCCGCTAGAGCTGGGCCTACATTTTCAGGGGGTTGTTTGTTTTCTTTCGTTTCATTCGTTTTTTCTTTTGGTGTCTGTTTATAGTAAGCTATCATTTCTTATGTTTGAATTCAGTCGTAGAATACTTTTGTAATGGCCCACACCGCTTGTTTAAGGCTTGTTTTCCGTGACAGGCCACTGGGATTTGCCCTTGTTTGTGCCGTCAGAAACCATGTGTATATCAATGTATTGATCGGTGGTGCGAACTATGGGCATAGACGTATAAGTACTTACTGACTTCTCAGAGTTGGAATGATTGATTGTCGAACTTGGAATGTCTCCACTTTACGCCAGTATCCGTTACGATGGAAATCCCTGCTACGTTGGAAATCTCTTTGTTACTTTGAAAATCCTTCCGGGTACTGCACACCCCATTTTTGGAAAGGAAATTTTGTTTGATGGCACGACTCGGCTGATCTTTTAAATACCCAGTCAAGTGCCTTGGTAAAACCGAAGCGGCACTGGCACTATGCCTCACAGTGAGAGCTCAGCACGCCACTGTGAAACACGCGTGAAATATAGCCTTAGGCCTAGCTAGCGGTGGTGTAAGCAAGATAGCTTAGCACATGCCTGGATTAACCCCTCAGTTGGGGCTTACGAAAGCTCCGGATTAATTAGCGACATGGCCTTATAACCTCGTATGTTGGCCAGGCCGCATGAGTTTAACAGTGAACGGCGGTCGGTATACCGTGCGGAAATAGCGACCAGGGCCTTCGAGGATACGTACAGGAGTTGAAAGTATTAATCCTATTGCACGAGTGTCTCCCTTTATTTTATTTTTTCCTGTTGCCTTTTGTAGCTTCCTCTATGACGCACGGTGGCGATCACCTACCGTCCAGAGTCTACAAGTTGTACTACAGCCCAAGCTAGAGGGGCCTTAGAGATCGGCACTCACCGGAGTTCCGTTCGCCGTTAGCTTTGTGCAGCATAGCGATCTCTCGTATCATTGGGCCTCGGTGCATCTCTGACATGTCATTAAGGCTGGTCACGAGTGGAGCCGCCATAAGCTACTCAAGGTTCAAGGTCTGTTTGTCCTTCTACTAATTACGTGTACGGAGAAACGCATGACGTCTAGCTACGGTTTGAGCGCACAGCCAACCTTAATTAGGGGGCAGAGGGGGGAGGAGCCCCCTGATAACTGGAGTACTAACGATTCAGAATTTCTCACACTGCAGCCGAATCTGGGGCGATTAATGGGGTTTAAGCCGGTTGGGCTAATACGGGGAATCGGAGTATGCGCAGCGTGTAACTTCACATATGCGGTTATGTCACTATGCAACTTGCCATTCAGGTAATCTTAAGCCTGGACTGAAGTTCATTGCAAAGAATTCATACCTAAGCCTTCTATGGGGAAGAAAACACCTGGAGAGCATTGACACGCTGATGGTAATATGCTTTCTGGTCACGTACGTATACAGAGGGCATACCCATACTCTGTAATCCTTGGTGATTTCCGAACCTAGCCCTCTCAATTCAAGAGAGATCTGTCCGGACAGACTGCAGATCAAACTGGAAGAATCCCTACAGTTTTGTCCCAAACCAGCGCTTACGACCCATGACTTTCGGTACCGTTACATCAGTGACAGAACAGTCCCCTCATCCGTCTTGGATTCGACTATGCTGTTTAATTGGCTCATGTCATAAGTTAAGGACTACACTTTCCGTTTGTGTACGCCCCGTAGAGAGATTAGCGGTGGTGCATGCGTATCGAAATTATCGCCACTCGAACCCAGACATGGTCAAGGGTTATCGGTAGCAGCTGGGTATGACACTCAGAGACGATGAATGCTAAACAGCTGTATAAAAATTAAGAAGGTCAGCAGGACCAAAAAGTTTAGAAACATTGGCCTTATTATTTTAATCCGGAACGTTACTTACACAGACAGTTGGTTAGGCTTGATCTCTCCTGAGTATCCTGGGTATACCAACACCTACCTTTAATGGTACGATTTTGTTCTCCAGTTTTTTCGGCTGTGAATTACTGAAAGCGGATTCCAACTCCTTGGAAAATTAGTGATTTGCGTTGCATCGACTAACGTATGATTAAGGTGTGGAATGACGTCGGCATGGCTATATGCAGAACCTGCCACATGCCTGGCTAAGTATATGGTAATGTTACAGGACCTGAAACAATTAGTTGGACGCACCATTATATCGAAGCAAAGCTTAGATGAAGCTAGGGTTGCGGAAGCATTCTCGGTGATGGTATTCTTGCTTTGCGGTTATGGGCCTAACCGATATTTTCTTCTAATCCTCGGAGCTTGTAAAAATTGAAAGGTTGGCTGGAAGTTATAAATCAGGGATTGGTAGGGTGATTGCGCTGCAGAAATAATTCCCACCCCTGCATTTCCGGATATTGTCACACCAGCTAAAACAGCTCGTAAATCAGAGATTGGCGAGGGATAAATTGGCTGCATGTCTGAGTTGGCCCACCCTTCCGTACAATCTAAAACATGATGACATTAAATAAGGAGTGGTATTGCACGTGAAAAGCCTCACTTCCAAGGTCTAGATTCTAGGTCCCTGTTAGGAGCAGCTTTCATACAAGCTCTATTCTAATACGTACGGGGGCTTATCGGACTCCTTAGGCAAGGGATTTGGCCCGTATCCAAGCCCCATGAAGAAGTTCTGCAAGAAGATACCAAAGATGATGGCGCCAATGATCCCCAAGGAGAATTTAAGCTGACTAGGCCCCGAGGCAACGCTGGCAGCCAACCCCGCGGGCAATTTCACCACACTAATTGTGTTGGCAGCGGAGGTGCTGGCCAAGTACTGACCGGAAGGCGAAAAAACCACCTTGGTGATGGCAAAAGCATGCACAGTTTTGAAAAGATGGATAGTTCGTAAAGTGGTGACATCCAACAAAAACACGGAAGAGTCGCTCCCCGAAAAGGCAACCAACCCTTCATCAAGGGAAACCGCCATCGAGGTCAAGCCTCTGACCTTTTTGGACACCACCAACCGCCTCAAGACGGACTCTTGGGGAATGGAAATCTGGAACAACAACACGCCACCATTGTTTTTGGCCGAGGCACCCACGAGAAGCATCTCGTCATCTATGAATCTGACCTTGGTCAACGAATCCTTGCCGAAATTTTCGAGTTTGAAAGTTGGCTTCCCGATGGAAGCTGCCACGATTGTAAGGGTTTTGCTGGTGACAATCGCCACACTTTTTCCGTCGGGCCCAAAGCTAATGTCTTTGACATCACTCTCCGCCTTGTATTCATATGTCTTGGTGAACCCCCTTTCAGTGCTCTTCAAAAAGGTCACGATTCCTGACTCGTCTGACATACAGATCGCGGCGTACACGCCGTCCAGAGACACCACGGTGTGTTTCTGGTACTCACTGGAGTCCTTGCTTTCAGATACCTGAAGCGCCAGGCCAAATACCCACTGATCCTTTGTGTAGCTGTACATTCTCACGTGCTTATTTTCGCCCCGGGTAATGCTTTTGGACGACTGGTTGACCCCCAAGAGCACCGTGTCTCCACCGGCCGCCAAGCTCATCGCGGAGTCCTCCTCGTCAGAGAGCTTCACTTCGCTCTGCACCTTCAATGGCTCGTCAGCCGAAAAGTCAATCGTCACAGCGGAGAGCTTGTTGGGAATTCCATGGGCGCCCTCGCCACCACCGCCGGCCACCGCAAGCATAGCGTCCGAGATAAAGCCAGCGCCGTAGATCGGATAGCCCACATCCAAGGTGCGTGATTCGAATTTCATAATATATCGACGTGTTCTAAGAATGTATGGGTGTGTAGATTAGTATGCGAAGGGCTGTCAAGAAGAGATTAAAATTTTCCGGTCCTTATCAGTTAGCTGCCGCACAAACAGTTGGTTAGCACGTGACAGCCCTTAATGGCGCACTGTCTCGGCAGAGGTTCAGCCGTTGCCGAGAGCACCGCCACCACTAACGACTCGGGTCCGTGTACGGGGGGGGCGAAAACGGTACGGCCTTGAAATTACTGGTTTGCCCAAAAGCCACTTTACCCAATCCATGAGTAAGAATGTAGTGAGACGGCTGAAAGCCACAAAAAAGGACAAAACGTTAAACGCATGGAGAACACTTAGAACGAACATCTGCCCTTTGCGCTCCATCCTTGGTAAGAAAAAAAGACTGTCCTGTGTCACCATGTGGACCGGAACCATTATATTCCCTTTTGTCCCGCCTATTGTGTTCTAGGGACTGGTTCGATCTACGATTATGCAATGATGCACGTGATAATATTTGGATAGGCTGGGAGAGTATGTCTCAAAAGGAGTTGTGGGGAATAGAGAGGAGTCCTCCAAATACCGCTTCCCTTACCAAAATAGCATTCCCCTTCTGCACCATTCTGGGGTCTCTCCGTGCGATTTTCAGTTATGGTTGAGTTCGTAAATGCCACTCCGGGGCCTTTCGGACTTCTGCAGTCATATCACTGTGCAGCTGCATTCCAACTTTCAGAGGTCTATGACGTACCTTCACGTCGCGCCCGCTGAGACTTGCCTACACACGTCATAGTGACAATCTGCGACTCGAAAAACCTTATGTCTCCAAGGCAAGTCGAGTCTGCTTAACAATAATCCTCCGGGTCTGTGGCGGCCCCATGAGGTCATCGAGAAAGTGTGTTTCGCCATCCTGATAGCCTCTGGCACTGATTCGGTAAATGATCCGAGGTTATAGGACTCCCCTGCCAATAAGACTAATGAAAATAACTATTGACTTGGTCCCATAAGAATTTCTCCAGCGGACCTCCACGCAGCAAATGTACTGGGAGTTTCGGCTTTTCTTTGTGCAAGGGTCTTGTTTACCGACCTTCACTAAGTACACTCCCAAGCACCTAAGCCACTTGGTCTGTCTATGCCCAACCATTCTCGACCCCGTCACTGGGGATAAAGGTGTGACGCAGGCTTTGTTGAAACTTAGGGTTTGACTCTTCTCTGAAATATCCCACTCGGACCTGAACTGTAATGCTGCATGCATATGTTTGCTCTTGCCCTGCACAAACGCACTGTCTATCGTTATTGTTTTCGTGCGCATCTTCTGCGTCTTATCTCCAGAACCCGGATGTACTATCTGACATATATCAACTAAATGGAATGTCAGTATGTCATTTTGCAAGAGGCTACAACACACAAGGAGCTATACTAAGACTATGACCGAGGTGGCTGGAGCGGAATATAAGTGATATAGATGGGATAAAAAGCGATAGAAATTTATGAGCTAGTATTTATTATCCAGATCTATCTTGCAAGTGGGTTATATCCATAGAATTCTAAATAAAAACATCTGTGCTGGGGGGAATAAAATCTCCAAAGTAAATCACCAGTGAAGTCATTACTGAGAAATCACATGTTGGCGTTATCTAGACCAGTCTTGCGGCCCTTTCAAATGGTGTCTAATTTCCTGCTCGTCGTATTCACTAGCATGCTGGTTGTTTACCGGATCCGCCGCCGGATAGATATCCTCGTCAAGCTGGTTCAGCTCCAAGTCCTGGAGTTCAGTTTCACTTTCTGGCCAACGTGGAGTAACCACATATCGTCTTATGATTTCCTCATTGTCATTCTCCACAATGATCTCATTTCCTACCTTATAGGCGGTCAAGACCTGCTTGTCAATATTGATCCACTTCAGACGGTTGTTCCGCTCATCCACATTCACATCGTGGTGGGGAGCGCTGTCTTCAATGTGGAGGAGCCGTCTCAACGTATTTAAAATCGTAGGCGCTGCTTCTTCCTGGATGTAGAACTCGTCAATAACCTCACCGTTTCGGTCCTCTACTACCACGGAATTGCCCTGGACATAGATGTTCTCCGGTCTGCGGATGTGACCTTCATCGTCGTACAAAAGCTTTACCGCCTCACCCACTGGAATTAGCTGCAGGGCCCTGAAGGGATCGTTCCTGCTCGAGCGCTGTTGTCGGTTAACTCTCTCAACACCGCTGGCCGTAACCGTTGGGGTGGTGGTGCCGCTTGGAGATTCCAGCTGCGGGTTTTTGACGGCAAACCTCATGTGCTTGACATTGTCCTTGAGGGTCATCACCGTCACTGACGAACCGTGGACTATCACGGAGCACACAACCAAGAAGGTCACTACCGGCCAGATCACCCTCATTAGGTAGGCATGGGGGTTGTCGGGAATCTCAGCGGTCGGGGTCTCCTCGGAGGTGTATGGCTTTTCCAAGGCTGATAAAGCAATCATCGAGCAAAAGAGACCGCCCACACCGATGGGACCGAAATGGCCGCAGAAAAAGGCCTCCTTCCAGCTGCGCAAGTCGGGTGTAATCGGCTTGATAGCCAAAAATATAGGAATCCGCTTTAGAAAGATCGCCACAAGACCAAGCAACACCAATCTCCAGCACTCGAGCCCAAGCTCGGCGTTGTTGAAGTCTGTCCAGGGAATGGAGGCCCCGAAGTACATAAAGTAGCCCATATTGAGCAAAAGGTCCACAATGTTGGACAAATTCGACTCCTCCGTCTTGCGTGCGAACCACCCGTCCCACGCAAAGGCAGCACCCGCAGCAAAGGCCACTAACAAGTCATCGACGCCCAATATGGAGCCAAAGCCGGTGCACATAAGCGACAACAAGATGTAGAACACGAGGAACGACTCTCGGTCAATCAAGTTCTTCTTTTCGCAGAACTTGATCAACTGTCTTCCTCCATATCCAATAAGTACCCCGAGGATGACCCCGAACACACACTCGTACAATACAGCCACGCAGAACCAGTTTTTGATAATCTCTCCCGTGTGGCCGTAGCGCAACACCAACTGGGACGCGAGAAGCACAAACGGAAAGGCCATCCCGTCGTTAGCCCCAGATTCAGCCGAGAGCAAGTTTCTCAAGTGTGCTGGAACTCTCTGGCCAAATTTCCCCTTTCCGACAATGGCAGCGGCCAAAACGGGATCGGTGGCAGTGATACAGCCACTGATGAGCAAAGCATCGGCAAAGTTCAAGCGGGCAAAGAGCACCCAGATAAAAAGTGCCATGATCAACCACCCGAACGTCATGCCAAAGAATAAGCAGAGCATGACAGAGAGGCAGTGCTTCTTCATGTACTTTTTGGGCAATTCGACGGATACGGCAAAAATCTGGATGATCAACACTATCCGCGACACCTCCTGGGTGATGTAGTTGAAATTTCCCCAACCGGTCGGAGAAAACCAGTTGAGTGAATGGGGGCCAACAATGATGCCTGCTAGTGTGGAAGCGGTGGCTTCACCGATAAAGAGTTTCTCCTTGAGGAAGAGCGAGAACGTAGCAAAGAGGGTGGTGCAAACGCCGATTATTGCATAAGCAACATGCACCTTGTCAACTTCCAACTGATCCCACACTGTCATGCTGCAAGAGGGGTGTAATCGGCTTAAGTCTTGGTATATGCTGGCTTTTTTTTTTTTTTTTTTGGTCTTGGAAGTGGGAGGGCCAAGAAAAAGTGCCATTTTCCGAAATGGGTCTACCCGAAGGGTGGAAATTGGGTGGAAATTGGGTGGAAATTTTTACGGCGCTGCATGCCCGCAGAAAGTGCGGCTTTCCGTAATGGGCTGTAGGGGGGATCATACCTGGATAAACTGTCAATACCTCATCAGTATCGCCTCACTAAAAATATACCCAGGTTTGTGTAGGTTAAAGTTACGGTTGAGACAGTTTGATGTAGATTGATCAGGTTCTTATGAGAGAAAATATCTACTTGACCCGTTCGTTTCCAAGGTGTGGCTATGGTATAGGTCACGGGCGGAAGTCCTAAACGCCATTCTCTAAAACTATACGGAGGGACTTTGATTGTCCATCTCCACAAAAATCCTATGTTGCTATTAGGAAGATGAAACCCCTACATATTCCGGGTTAATTAACCCAAAGCCAATAAGTTGAAACGAAACAGCCGCTTCTTTGGGAGAGACTCAGGTCAAGCTTAAACGAGTTCCCGTTGAGAGTCAAAATTAACGGTATTGGAGTGAATTTGCAACCAAAAAGGGCTATAAAAAAGAGATATACGAACGGAGGATGGGGTAGAATGGGTTTCATAACTTTGGGAAGCTTGTCACACTTGGGAGTCATCTGCATTATGACGTACTGCCACGATGCAAAGACGTAGTCTAAACATTTTAGCCGCGTCACCCAGTAAGACGGAAGGGGTCGGTGCACATAGAAGAGGGTTCCCTCGAGGTATGCATTCACAAGGAGCTTTGTCGGGATTTTAAAGTCTCTGCGTTGTAAATTTAACAAGCGTGGATACACTGTGTGTGCTCTTCTAATTAGGAACCGCCCCAATACATACCGATATCGGGCGTTCTCTGCAACATCCAAAAATAATAACAGGAAAACCAAGTAGATTATACACTAATTACCGTGAGATTAGGTACATGAATCAAAATGACAGCATCAAAAGATAATGGACGTGGCAAAGAAAACAATGGCCGTGACAGTTTTCCAAGGCATGGCCCTTTATGGAACGTACACCTTGCTAAACCCGTTAACATCTCTGCGACAGCAGACGCACTTGTCGAAATCTCTGAGCGACAAACTAGCCCGACACCCGTCGCAAATGGCAAAGCATTTGCAGGGCCAGAAGATGATATCACGGTAATTCGATTGGCACACCACACAGCTGAGATTTAAAGTTATATCTTCGTCTTCTTCTGCCATCTTCCGAGTATCACTCAACTGCCGTTTCTCCTGGATGACGCTGAGGAGGGTATATGCGTCCTTGTCTCTGCCACCATTGGCGGAAAAGGGCTCATCCGACAGGCTCGTTTGCACAAGCTGGTTGAAACGTGATCGGGTTAGCGGGAGGTTGGGCTGCCGATTGGAGAGGTGCAACTTTAAATAAGCTGGATGGTCCGAGTGCTCTGACAGGTCGGAGGAGTTCATTAAGAGATGGAGCACTTCTCGCGGACTAATTACCTCATTCACAAGATCTTCTTCCGAGTCGTTTGCAACACCCCCAGTTTGTAGAGAGACATCAATATGGCCGGTAGTGTAGCCAGGTTCCACTTCACTGTCGCTGGAAAGGTCTTCCCACGCGTAAAAATCTTCGGATGTATCCACCTCGTTAAAGTCCCCCAGAGTCAACAACCTGACATAGTCCTGGGCCAAATCCTCCTCGCTGATATCGTCAGTTATGTACGCATTCCTTTTATCGTCTTTTCGGCCCGTTCCCTCTTCCAACTCTGGGTACATTTTGACCAAAAACTCAGGCGCGGATTTGGACCGCAACGATTTGAGCAACTGGTAGAACAAGCGTAACGTGCGGATTAAATGAAACTGGCGATTGAAGAAACTCGAGTTTGTTTCTGTCAGAGAGAATAACTCCTCAACAGGGTCGACAAACGGGTCGGGAGAGGTTTTTTTCTCCTGAGTGGAGGTGATGATCACATCCAATGGAAAGTCAACGGCATGGGCATAGCCCACCCTCCCCTCTTGCGCCAGTCTGGCCATCTCGTCGATAAACGTTTCGCTGCGGTAGGTCAACATCTGCGAACGCGCCACGTGCTTCAATTTGGCAGCGGAGATACTGGCCATGGCGCTGATGTTGGCTAAAGACGTGTAGAAATCGTCTGACATTTTTACCGCCTGCGGATCGTCCACATTGTAGATGTTCCAGATGCTCAAGTCGGCGAATCGCGCCTGTGTAAACGTGCACGTCATAAGGGAGATGGCCCCACAGACAACTACCACCACTGCCATAATTAAATGCGGAAGGTATGCCACGATGATAATGTGTGGTAGGTCGAAAATGGACTTTGTAAAAAACTTGTGCCCAAAGTAGACGAGGAAGCTGGAGCCGATAAGAGTGGACGGAACCAACCGGTATTCCTTTGCCACGCGCGGCCAGCAACCCAAGAGCTGGATGCTCAACTGGCTCACAAGCGACGTGAGAATGATCACAAGCACATCCGTGTTGGGATACTTGTGCAAGCTCGCCTCCTGGAATACCAAAGAGAGCTCGAAGAGCGTAAGTCCCGTCTCGGTGTTTGGCACGCGGACGCTGCTAGCAACGGAAATGAACACCTCCAAGTACTGCGACCAACAGATGGAGAGATACAACGGCCAGAAAAAGTCAGTGGTGGGTCCTCCGGGTCTGAAGTCGTGTTTCGGCACCATCATGCCTTTCAGAGGCTCGAACGGATGCATATAAGACGAATTTCCGTAACTCAGCCCGTCGTAGTCAAACATGGTAACCGGTTGTAGCACTCGACCCCACCCGGGCGAGTAGAACTTGAGGGCTATTAATAAGTTGTTCAAACAGAAGATTAGAGGCACGATCGCTAGTATGCGGAGAACACAGAGACTGCCTCTGGGGAGCTTCCGGTGGTCCCTTGTGGACGCAAAAACCGTCGTTCGGTTGATGACTATTGCCATAATCATACAGAGGAATGCGTAGGACGAGATGCAATAGTAGAGAAAACCGTAGAATGAAGATTGCTCGGGAACAGCTGCGGGTCCTGGCAGGGCTCCGGACGTGAGTTGTGTGGGGTTGGGTGGACCAGAGCCGAATAATGGCCGTTCATTCAATGTCTGCTGGGAGTTCTGGTGCAAAATGGAGTAGACCTCCTGAAACACACGGATAAGCCTCCATGACAGGGTGCTCTTAAACGAGGCGGCAGCAACGTTAGTGGCATTCGCCGATCCGTTCATCATGAGCCAGAGGTGTCTAACTGTGTCTTTTGGTGTATGTACCTCTGAGCGGGTATGCAAGTGTGCCAAATAATCCTCTGGATACCACAGGGTTTAGAGCTAAGGTCCGGTGATCTTATCAAATCTCTCCCTTGTTTAACAATCGCGCACATGACAAGGTCCAAAACGGGATATAGGACTTTACTGCCTAATCCGGATGTCTGACTATAACCACGAGATTTGTCCTGCACGTGCAATACCGCCAGAACATCAACCCGCACACTTCCCGAAGGATCCCTGGAAGTACCGCTGTCGGGCGGAAACGGTTAGAAATGGAGGGGATGCAGCAGTCCTCATCACGTGGCGCTAGGGATATTCTTACCCGCCAAGGACATTCTATCCGCTAGGGACATTCTACCCGCCGGCGGTATGATCCTTCTGGATAGTATGTAGTCATAAATAAATAAATAAAAATACATGTAAAAAAAAAAAAGCTCGCCCCCAATCTGCAACGGGTCCCTTTTTGGTTGGAGCTTCGTGGAACTACAACTCCGAGGATGTCTAGTTCCCCTTAAGACGCGCGCTTTTGTCAACTTCTCCAGCCTCCAGAAGGAATGTGTGGGGCAACCTTGGCGTTTTCAAAGAGAGGCTGCACGAGGGGCTGGCAATATCCATCGCTTCACACCCCTATTATGCGCACGACAGTAAAAGCTAAAGTGCCATTGGTTTGGGTGGCCAGTTCTAGATTTGTGGAAAATGCCCCTCGCCGGGTGTGGTGGAACGGATGTTCCGTGCGGCATCAAAGAGCGGAGTAGGCTACGCGGGTACAGTGCTATGACGGTACCCCCTTTCGTGACCCCTCCTCCGCATCGGGCGGAAAAATTCACGCATAGATATAGTCGTATCACAAACTTTGAGACACCACGAGACGTGAATGTATTACCGAGGCTGGAGAAATTTTCCAAGATTTTATTTTCTATAAATACTTGCTTCATCGCACCCGTTTACACCCCCCCACATCTCAGATAACTATAGAAAATCCACCCTTTTTCCCACATCATAATGTCAAGCTCCTTCGCCAATATCACAACCTTACCACCAGACCCATTGTTCGGGCTTTCGGCCCGTTTCAAGGCAGATGACAGATCGAGTAAGGTTGACTTGGGGATCGGTGCCTACAGAGACAACAGCGGTAAGCCATGGATCTTGCCGGCCGTCAAGTTGGCCGAAAAGAAGTTGCAGAGCGACAACACCTACAACCATGAGTACTTGCCAATTTCTGGACATCAACCTTTCACATCCGCCGCCGCCAAGGTAATTTTGGGTAGTGACAGCGCCGTCATCAGGGATGACGCCGTAGTCTCGATCCAATCGCTTTCGGGAACTGGTGCCTTGCACGTTGCTGCCTCGTTCTTGAACAAGTTCTACACCGCTGGTGAAAACGAAGCGGCCAGAAAAACCATCTACATCTCGAATCCTACCTGGGCCAACCACGTACAGATTTTCGAGTCGGTGGGCATGAAAACCGCCCAGTATCCGTACTGGGACGCAGACACCAAATCTCTTGACTTGAAGGGCTTCTTGGCCGCCATTGAGGCCGCCCCACGTGGCTCTATCTTCTTGCTCCACGCATGTGCTCACAATCCCACCGGCTTGGACCCTACGCAGGCGCAGTGGAAGCAGATTATCAAGGCTATCAACGATAGGGGCCACTTGCCAATCTTTGACTCGGCCTACCAGGGTTTTGCGTCCGGGTCCTTGGAAGCCGATTCCTGGGCCGTGCGCTACGCTATCGCCGAGCAGAGCAAGACTCAACAGCCGATCTTCATTTGCCAGTCGTTTGCGAAGAACGTCGGCATGTACGGTGAAAGAGCCGGTGTCATCCACGTGATTTCCCCGGATTTCAAGAACAAAAATGCCTTCCAGGCGGTCTCCACCAACTTGCAGAAGATCATCAGATCTGAGCTCTCGAACCCGCCAGCCTACGGTGCCAAGGTGGTTGCTACTGTCTTGAACTCCCCGGAGTTGTATAAACAATGGGAACAGGACTTGGTCACCATGTCCAGCCGTATTTCACTGATGAGAGCTAGCTTGAAGCTGGCGTTGGATAAGTTGGAAGGTCAAACCGGAGGCAACTCCAACTGGGAACACATTGTATCCCAGCAGGGGATGTTTTCCTTCACCGGGTTAAGCGCCTTACAGGTTTCTAGAATGGAGAAGGAGCACGCCGTGTACTTGGTCAGCTCCGGGAGAATCTCCATGGCCGGATTGAACGAGGACAATGTCGAGTACGTGGCGAAGGCCATCCACGAGGTTGTCGGCCACACCTACAGCGAGACCAGAGCGGTAATTTAGCCTAAATAATACACATATTTTACTGAAAACTGTTGTAAGTCAGGTAATCATGATATAAAATTGTTGAGATATAGAGTCGACAATTTGTAAGGCGTGGCTATATTGATTTGTCATGAATATGCGCCACATCCAATTTAAGGTTTTCGGGGGCTGGTGCTGAATGGCTGGGAAGGTCACGAACTACAGTACTAAGGGGTGGCCTAACCGAGAACCCTACGCCCGGGTAGAAAAAGGTGCCTAAACTTTCCGGATACGGGTATGCCTCATAGGCTGGTTCCAGTGGGCGCAAACACCAGCCTGCACGGCGCCACAGAACTTATTGTGGCTCTTGGGCAGAGTGCCACTGAATGGCACGGCGATATAGTGCTTGGAAGAGACTAACGCAAGTGAACCGAATAGTTCTCCTGTGTATTAGGGTAACAAGGTCATTACTCTCCAAAGCAAGCCACACTGCCAGCACCCAAGAACCGAAAGGAGGTTTAAATTCCTATCTCAAAGGCAAATCGTTTCGAATATTTTCTTGTTCGAGTTATTGGTCGACGCATTTATGTATTAGAAGGCGGGAGGATATCCGGGACATCGATTTTAAAGTGTCACAAGGGCGTGCGCCTTGCTTTTTTCAGAACGAGGTCATTTCTGCTGGGCCTACCTTGCCTCAGTTATGTTGTTCACCCCGCCTGGTTCAGCAAAACAAATAGAAATGTGTCAAACCATGTCAACGTCACGAATATGCACTAGTAATGTTTGTGGGGGAAAGGTACGTTACGCGCTTACAAGGTTGCCGCGGGAGCGCCGGGGAGTGATCACGACCGCCCTGGTGAGGGAAAGAGATAGAGAGTGAAATGTATGCGTGTTGCACTACCTACCAGAAGCAGAATTCTTCTCGTCCTACTCTGAACTAGTGCACATCCATTTACACACCAGAAGTGTTTGGTATACGGAGGGGTCATAAAATGTATCCTTGACACGCTTACCGTTTAATGCCTTTCGTCGGTTCTTACGCTTATATCTTGGATCTCTACGCCACAGTTTGAAGACGGGCATGACTCGGCGTGGTGTCACTTTGACATGTTTAACCTTAATTACTTGTGCTAACCGCGGGTAGCTCGCCCCTCGTCGTTTCTTTTTCTTGTCTAGGCGCAGGTTTTCCGATATCTCACAGTGTGAATACGCACAAAACGCACTGAGAACGGCACTCGACACAGAGATGCGCTCGTTTCACGGGCTCGCGCTTAAAGTTCCGCACCTTGCCCGCACGAGTTTCTTTTTTCCACCAGTGATCCCGTCACGCATTATCTAACAAGAAAAAAAAAGCATGCCAGGCAAAATCTTCCTACTGTATAAAACCAACTCGGCCTCTCTCTGCCTACTCTGGTAGCTTTCAACCTTTTCTGTCACTCACGCTTACTGATTATAACGAAATACCCTTATCTGCATAGTAATCTTCTAGTAATACCCTGCCCGAGATTGCTTAATTCTAATACCCTCCATACTCGTACTTCAAAGAACGGACGTCTATACCCACAACCCCCAGTTCATATTTTGCCCCCTTTCTCAATTTAATGAACCAACTGATTGCTTTCGAACACCCAGCCCAAGCAACCCCAGTTCTTTACAACGATAGCAAGAATATCCCCCATCTCGTCGCCGCTCCTGATGCTGCCCAGCTCCCTTTAGAAATCATCAAGAATATTGTCGACTTGGTCTACTATGACAACGAAAATGCTACATCTATCATTACCAACTTGGAGAGCTTTGCGAAGTCTATCCTTCCCTTGAACAAGGCCATGCACGGGATGTCTGTCAAGCTCTTGTATCAGTATGCGAACTTCACCCGTCCACAATCCTTTGACAAGTTCTTGCACACCTTGGTAGCCTCCCCATACTTGGGCCAGTTTGTCGAAGTCATTGACTTTCAGGAGTTCACCTCCGTAGGCTTGGGGAGAACCAACCGCATGATGCAAGAGATCCAAATGGTCACTTCCGACACCATTCACGCCTGCTTGACCGAGACCCCTAACTTGAGGGAGTTCTTGGCGAGTGAGTCCATCCAGGACGACATGGATGCACGGTTGTTGACGTTCTTGTTCAACAGCTTGCCGACGTTAGAGACTGTGGATTTCTGCGGCGCCAACAGTGACAAGTTTGCGCGCGCCTTCCAGGATATGACCATCGGTGATGCCGCTCCAACGGCGAACTTGCGCAACGTGTCCTTCCATGACTGCACCAACTTGTCCGTAGACGTGTTTACCAAAATCTTGCCTCGCTTGACTAACGTTTCCAAGTTGGACTTGTCTCACACCCAGGTCACCTCCAAGATCTTGGTGAATTGCATGCCGTTGACCGCCAAGTTGACCCACTTGTCTTTGGCGCGCTGCTGCAAGGTTACCACTAACGACTTGATGCAATTCTTGATGTACCACCCGTCCATCAGGAACTCCGGCGGTGCTCTCAAGTGGCTCAACTTGCAGGTTGACTCATCCGTGGTTGCTCCGTTCACCGCTGAGCAGTTGCACGAAGTGTTGCGGGGCTTGAATGCGCCAAACTTGGAGTACTTGAACTTGGGCGGCTTGCCAATCGATGCCACCACGCTTGCCATCGTCAAGAAGCAGTTCCCGAAGTTGCAGTCTGTCACCTTGGCTTTTGCGAAGGACATCACTCTTGCCGATGTGGTGGAATTTTTAAAGGGCAAAGAGTCCCAGATCAAGCTCATCAACTTGTTAGGGGTTGCCAAGTTCAACCGCTACACCATCAGCCACTTGATGCAGCAGCAAGCAGCCAGCTTCCCTGCATTAGAGTCGATCGAGTTCGACGCCGAAGTGTTACAAACTTTGGCCTATGAGGCCTATCAGACCGTGTCGATCACCTCTTGCATCCCCGCCACCGAAAGCTCTCCGGCCGTCTTTTCCAAAAAGGTCTGGAAATTTTTCGACAACCAAGGTAGAAGAGGCTGGTTGAACTTATTGAAGCCGGACGCCAGCGGCTCCGACTACGTGGACTTGGCCAAGTTCTCCGGCGGTACCTCCTTGGTGCGCTATGACATGAAGACCGGAAAGAAGATCGTGACCAAGGTGGAAGTACCGGAGTTTCTCCAGTACGCCTCCCGGAAAATCAACTGTTCTAAAGGTGCTTTCAACAAAAGTAGGGGAAACGAGTTCCACAAGAACCAGATGGAACGCGGGATCTACAAGTACTACTCGTTGAACGTCAAATAATCAGTCCCGCATTCTTTCCTCATAATTATAATTACGAATTTTGTCTTGCTTTTGTTTTTTTCGGGGTTTTTGTTTTTTTAAGGGTTTTGTTTTGTGTATATCCCCTTTTGCTAAATAGTCATTCGCATATTAAGATAAGTGTAGAGCTTACAGAACATGGTGCATACTGGTACAGATCTCGGAGACCACTTACGCGATATGGGTGAGGCTGCTATCCTATCGATATCCACATTGACAGTCAGACTCTGCATCGGTTAGAGGTAATTCCCGGCAAGTGAAAATTTATTAGATATCCTGGTCAGCAAATACGCAAAGTGGCATAGCGGTGTAGTAGAGGTATTGTTGCTTATGTAATCAAAGCCAGTTAGGCCCTTTGCCCCGCATCAGCGAATCTTATCGTAACCCAAGTTGCTGCATCCATCCAGAACCAACTGTCGGGGTCCGCTCGTTCTACTCTGATCAATCAATAAAATATATTCTGTATTCCATCTATTATTTACCCATCTCTGCTATATTCTAGATCTGCGCCTGTGATACAAGATCCTAAACTGTTCCCTATCCCAGCTCACCGATTTTCCACCTTGTCCCCGCTTCAAGTCCTTAACTGGCCCCCATCAGCTCTGTACCCATGGCAAGCGTAAAAGCCGGCTCCGAAGATAGTCAATCAGCCCTCCTGGCAGCTCTCGATTCTGCAAAGCGTTCCACCATGCTTCCGATTAGGGCCTTCGACCTCCACGAAACCGCGACAGACGACATGGACACCATGCTCAACCACATTGTGTTAAACTACTTGATCATCGAGGGGCACGCCCATGCTATAGAAAGCTTCGGACAGGAACTAGGATTGGAACTAGGAAGCTACATGACTACGGATCTCGCCTTGGACGAAGACGCACAGGTGGAGGATGAACCCCAGATTGCCTACAAAAATGTGAACTTGTTTGAAATCGCCCAAGCCAATCAGCAGATGGCCATGCAAGACGAGTATATGAAAGGGTACGAGAAGTTCTTCCTGGAATCTGCTACGGCGGACTGCCCGGTGGATGAGACCGAGGAATGGGTGTTGAAAAACCCAAAGTTAATCTACGGTCTTCAAACGATCCATAAGCGCAACCTCATTAAATCGTCTATTCTCGAAGGGCAGATACCACAGGCTATTGGCTTTTTAAAGCGGTGGTTTCCGCAAATTCTTGACCACGGAGACTACTTGGTATTCCAGTTGTTGAAGCTCAACGTTATTGAGATAATCCGGTCTCGCCAGATGCCGGTAGACGGGCCCAGCGATGCGGAAGAGCAGGTGTTTTTGAACGAGATTTTGGCGTACGTGAAGGATAACCTATTGAATAGGGTCAAATACAATGAAGACTACTTCAAGGAGTTGGAATTGACCATGGCCTTGCTCTGTTTCAATGATTTGTCTCCAGAGGCTGTTAGCAACCCAGAAACCTCCCAGCTTCCTGCCGAACTAGTCCAATTGTTTGACTTGCGGTTGAGAAGCACTTTGGCTACGGACATCAACAAGGCAATTCTTTCTCACAGCAATACCAGCATCGAGGATTGCGATTTCAGCCCGGCGTCACAGTTGTTCACTGGGATGGCATCGAGCGGTACAAGAGGGAAACCAAGGCAGAAAGGCGAGCCGGCTAGGCCAGTTTCGCGGGTGAGTGATAACGAGTCCAAGTTGGCAAAGTTGCTAAAGTTGTTTGAATGGACGAGTAATCTCATGGAGCAGAGTAAAAAGTGAGAACTGGAAGATTCGAACGGTACTGCTTATATAGTCTGATTTGTGCCTCTACAGGTAATCCTTAGATCAATGAAAACGTGCGTTCCGTGATATATCTAGTAGGTAATGGATAGTTCGTCGGTCGAGAGAATACATTTATCGGTTGACAAACAGAAGAAGAGGAGGAGTAGAGGTTCTTATGACTGAGAAAGGTAGGATGCCGAAAGGCGGCACAATCTGTAGCTAGAATATCCTACGTTCCGAGGTGAAAGGATATCAGCTGACAACATCCTCATAATTCAGTAGCACCTTTAATACACATTCCCTTGGTGGTAGTTAAAGACTGTTCGTTGCTTCAATCTCAATAAATGCCAGGATTCGGTTACCAGTCTCGATGCCGAGAATGCATAAATATTCCCCATCCTGATCAACGGAAAACTCTTTGCCATTTTTGAACACCCTAACACTACTGGCGCTGGCACGTTCCAACGATTCCAAGTGGCCTTCTTTAACTGATATCCCCTTGATAAGTAGCAATATCTTTCCTCTTAAGTGGTCCAATTTGGAGCCGTATCCAAATTCGGGGTCGTCGTTGTGCTTCAGATCAAAATCCTCGGGGCCAAACTCAATGTTGTACCGGATGGGCCGGGGGAAGGCACAGATCGCTTTGTATTGGGGTGTCTTGGTGTTCTTTGACAACAGCGCCAATTGCAAGCCTTTGTCCGATGGCGTCTGTACCACATTGACATCCACGTACAAATGGGCACAGTGCACTGGAAGCTCCCTGAAGATCTCTTTCGCATGGTATTCCCACCAGTCTAGCCTAAGACCGATGCTATAGATAGTTTGGTAAACGAGCACTACCGTAAAGGTTGTGAGCACCACCAATGTGATGTATTTACCCGTAAAGGTATCAGTGTGGGCGGAAAGGATTGCATTGCGGGAGAATTGAGCCGTGACAAGGGCGTCAAACTTCCAGAAGTACTGGGTTAGGATATCTATTGTGAACATTTTTGTAGAAGGTGTGATTACCGCGAATGGTTTACTCTCCCGAGGAATTGGTGTTTAAATGTAAAGCAGAAACCACCGACTTTTCACTCGAAAGCCGTGGGATCGTTACATGTCAAGCGTATAAAATATTGCACGATATTTCCGCCGCACCTGTCGTATAGAGTTTAAAGGCGATGACACCGTTATGAGCTGATAGCGCTATCCTGAAGATTAAAACGCATATGGAACAGCTATGCTTTTGATATAAAGCTATTCAACTTAGATTCAAGTGGCATTTGTAAGAAAATAATCGTAAACGGCTACTGTTAGCACTACAGCCCATGTTCTAAAGCCAATATCCACCTCTTATAGCACTCTAATCCTTCATACGATAACTGTAGATACCTGGGTTCAAATTTGAGGCTGCAAATATAACTTTATTTGCCGGAATACTGTCTTTAAATCGTGGGTTTCTTCCAGTATCATTCCCCCCAATGTACGGCCAGTGTCAGACTATCGGCATCACGTTTCTCCGGCACACAGGCATTGGATTTCTCTACGTTGCACGGTATATATGGCACATCCTAGATTCACCGTACACTACACACACTGTATCTATCAAAATGGCTGGTGCATCTGACAAAAAGTTGGCGGTCGCCAACACCCAGACGTTAAAGAGCGTACACACCGTGTCCTTAGCGATCAATGTGCTTGCACTCCTCGTTTTGTTTGTCTTCCACAGACCGGGGTCCAAGAAGCCGTTTATTTTCTTCAGTTTGCCGTTGGTCGGCGCTGAGTATGCCATTGAGAGGTTTGGCCGTCCAAAGTACGATGGGAAGGTGGTTGTGCTGGCGGGTGCTGATTTGACCCAGCAGGGTGTCACCGAATGGTTGTTTGACATTGTCTACTTCACGTTGGCCTTGGACGTGTTGATGATCCTTTTCGGCTCCAACAAGGTCTGGTGGTTGTGGTTGGCCATTCCCGGGTACGCCGGCTACAAGTCCTTCGGATTTTTAAAGGGCCTTAAGGAGATGTTCATGGGCAGCTCCAGCGGAAAGAAGGCTGCAGAAGGCGCCAAGGTCGAGCCTACCAAGAGTAAAAGGCAGGCCAAGATGGAAGCCAGAAGCCAAAGGGCCGAAAAAGGGTCCCAGCAGGCTCGCTACAGATAGTCTTTATAATAAATAACTGCATAGTATCTATCACAATAAAACGCACTACACAGCCAGGTTTTATAATCCATGCAGGCAAACACATAGAAAGGCAGCTAGCTTCCGAACCGCCTCCATACAGTAGAAACATAGCCTCTTTCGATTTGCCAGTGCTCTTAATCTACGCACCCATAGTGGATTTTTGTTAGACTACTTGGATCAGGCGTGGTGCCTGTAGATTAAAACCGCCAGTACGCAGTGCCATCCAAGAAAATGGCACAAGCCGATAACCTCCAGGCTGAGCCCCTACAATCTTGGCTTCCTGCTCGAAAAAAAAACCACAGGCTGGGTCTATCGGTGTGGTGACCAGAGTCCGAGCACTGCCGGCAAGCGCGCAGCAGGCGCAGTTCCTGCCCAATGCGGCAACATTTTGCCCACGCTACCCTCGACGCCACCCCCCGGATCGGTACATACCGGGGTTACCCGCCTGGATTACATAAGAAAATCCCTCCCTCCGACGCGTCAGTGCCCCCGATAAAGTGGACAGCACATGCGTCTCGCCCCTATCAAGCTCGATCCCGGCCGATCAGCAGTCCAATTCGCACTCCCTGCCGGCCAGCCCTTTTGTTGGAAAAGCTCACCTCCCGACGAAATTCCTATCGCTGCGCGTGTTCGGTTTTGCTATTTTAGCGCTTGCTCTCTTCCTCGTTGTTTACAATTGGCTCCTCCCACTATATATATCTATAGATAAACATAAGACAAAATGGACGGTGGTATGTATATAAGACAACTCTGAGAATCTTGTTGGTTTGATCCGTTTGTTGTTTTGGCCCAGGTTACTGTCAACGGGTGATCCTGTCAATCGCCCCCATCTCAGCATTCTGCAATCGCCACCCAAAAGATTGCCACCATAACCCCCAATGCAGTTGCTGTTTGATTGATTGCATCATCATTGATGGATATCGGATCTTGGAAGACGGGGCATTGGCTCCAGCCATCAATCCACTAATCGATCGGCCGGCATGAGCTCTCATCTTCCACACATACTAACGCCCCTCTAGAAGAAGTTGCTGCTTTAGTTATTGATAACGGTTCCGGTATGTGCAAAGCCGGTTTCGCCGGTGATGACGCTCCAAGAGCCGTCTTCCCATCCATCGTTGGTAGACCAAGACACCAAGGTATCATGGTCGGGATGAACCAGAAGGACTCCTACGTTGGTGACGAAGCCCAGTCCAAGAGAGGTATCTTGACCTTGCGTTACCCAATTGAGCACGGTATCGTGACCAACTGGGACGACATGGAAAAGATCTGGCACCACACCTTCTACAACGAGTTGCGTGTTGCCCCAGAAGAGCACCCAGTCTTGTTGACCGAGGCCCCAATGAACCCTAAGTCCAACAGAGAAAAGATGACCCAGATCATGTTTGAAACCTTCAACGTTCCGGCCTTCTACGTCAACATCCAGGCCGTTTTGTCCTTGTATTCTTCCGGTCGTACCACCGGTATTGTCTTGGACTCTGGTGACGGTGTCACCCACGTCGTGCCAATCTACTCCGGTTTTGCTTTGCCACACGCCATCTTGCGTATCGACCTTGCCGGCCGTGACTTGACCGACTACTTGATGAAGATGTTGTCCGAACGTGGTTACACATTCTCCACCACCGCCGAACGTGAAATCGTTCGTGACATCAAGGAGAAGTTGTGCTACGTCGCTCACGACTTTGACCAGGAATTGCAGACCTCCGCCCAGTCCTCTGCCATTGAAAAGTCCTACGAATTGCCAGATGGCCAGGTTATCACCATCGGTAACGAACGTTTCAGAGCCCCAGAAGCCATCTTCCACCCATCCCTCCTCGGCTTGGAAGCTGCTGGTATCGACCAGACTACTTACAACTCCATCATGAAGTGTGATGTTGATGTCAGAAAGGAGTTGTACGGTAACATCGTCATGTCTGGTGGTACCACCATGTTCCCAGGTATCGCCGAGCGTATGCAGAAGGAAATCACCGCCTTGGCCCCATCCTCCATGAAGGTCAAGATCATTGCCCCACCTGAGAGAAAGTACTCTGTCTGGATTGGTGGTTCCATTTTGGCTTCTTTGTCCACCTTCCAACAGATGTGGATCTCCAAGCAGGAATACGATGAATCTGGTCCTTCTATTGTCCACCACAAGTGTTTCTAAGTTAGCTTGTTATTTCCGTTGCTATTTGTTTTCAAGCTAGCATGGAAACCGCTGTCTTAGACTCATAAACCCTTGTGTAGTCACCAGAAAACTTTAGTTCTATAAACGGGGCAGGTGGTAGAAATGTTGCTTAGCGCTGCATAACTGGCGCCTGTTCTCTTTTTCTTCCTCTAACCAGGCGTATATGTATCTTATATATATATATCTCTATTCTTGCTTAAAAAAAAATATTATCACATAATTTGTAGCTGTTGCAAAGGGGCCATGAAAGGAATCAAGGGCCGGGGACAAGGTCACAATGGGTGTCAGTTGTAAGCTCGCGTTCTTCATGGCTTACAATGTCTCAATAACGAAGAGCGTGCCAAACAAGTGGGTGTATTAGATAGGCATGGAAATTATAAAGCTATTTGAGACACCGTCTCAGGGGTATAGCCGCTATTCAACTTAGAGTGGAAGGCCCCGAGTCGAATTCACTGTTGGATGGTACTTGAAATTTAACAGGATAAACCCTCTTGTTTTACCCCTATGAAGTAGTTTAAAATTCATGTTGCATTACTGGGTACACTCAAAATCTAGCGGGCTGGCAATCACATACGGTCTCTAGCCAGCAAGGTATGAATGACAGGCTGTATAAGGCTATAGATAACCTAACAGTGTTGCTTTCCTTGCTTGCAATCCCGGTTAATGGTTTAACCGGAGGGGCTGCTTATTTTGGCAACAGCTAGTAATTATCTGCGGCCAAATACCCGGGTGCCTCTAGGACTTACGCCTTTTCCACTTGCGCAGAGACATTCCTACTTCACCAAAGGCCCCGAACTCAGGACCCGCTCCGAGTTATATCACTCTTGGTGAGCTTGGTCTTTTAAGATAATAAGAACCATAGTCGACGGCTGGATACCAACGGTACACAAATAGCTCCTTCCACAGGTCCATCTCTAAAATAAGAGCCTTTCTTCGTTTTAAAAGTATGCCAGATAATGTCCAGTATACCTTCCCCGATACCCCCCTAACAATAGTCTGAAACCCCCCACGGGTACATGCTTGTGTACTGGATTTGAGAACGCCAGAGCATAAAAAGCTATGCCGTACGGGTGGCGCCACTTTTAATAGTTTCGAATTACACGACAGTTTGGATAATGATGCATATGGCGAAGAGGCTTAACTACCCGTTTGCAATTTTGATATGAACAAAACCACTTGTGCATGAAAAAGTCATACCACTTTTTAGAGATACGCGCAGAGCTATTTCGATATGCGTAACTCCACTGCAGTCCATGGCAAGCATCATGAATTTTATGTGCTAGTTTGGCAGTATAGTTGATGATTAAATGAATCAATTGCCTCTCTTCAATGATTATTGCCATTTTAGCGGAGAGCTTCGTGCACAGTGCGAGTCAAATTCGACCTTCCTTTATGTCAGATAGCACCGTTTATGCGGTCGAAACAACCCGACCACTCCGGTCAGGTTTAGCTGTCTGCTCGTAGGTAACGATTGAATCCAGTGTATGGATATCTATATTCCATAATTCCTGCACTATGCAAATCGACTGCATACCTCCAACATTAGTCATTTATAGATAAATCGCCAATCCACAGGTTTCTTTGTCACATTAGCTCCTCGCAAAATTTCACTCGATATATAAAACCGCCCTCAGCCCGGTCTTGAGCTGCGGTTATAGATACTCCGATTATTATTTCCTGAAACCATCCACCTTACACCTCAAACCCTATCTATCACTGTATTAAATAATACGCAATGGCCTTACGAAACTACATGTACCTGAAGCACAAGGACGCTACCGTCTACAAAATTGCCAGTGAAGACGATTTCACACCGTTGCAAGGAAGTACGCACTCACGGCTCCCTACTTCAATTAAAAGGATCACAACCCCTGAGATTACTGAACACAATGCTGCCGTGGACAAGATCGCCAAAGATATAAAGAAATATAACTTGGAAGTCGAAGAAACAAAGTAAAACCGAAACCAGCGGCTTACGTTACCTAATGAGCACCAGCTTTCAGCCCACCCGCACCGGTGGTGAGATGGTTATATGCATTTGTTGCCAGAATTCTGTGGCACGATATTGACGAGAATTGCTGAAACTATCCATGGCTAGTTCCATTGCCGTCAATACCACTGACCGGGATCAGGCCATCTTCTACATATGAAATCGCTGTATCGCGTGCATTGTACCCCGTAAGAGGATTTCCGTTGCTTCCGGCGAAGTAACTATATAGTATACAAAAGATATCTTTGTCAACTGACACCCCTCTTTCAGATGGTTAATCCAGACGGGTTCTTATAATGACAAATGTTGCTCTCCCCATCAGCTATCGCGTAAATACTAGATTGGAGTCCCGCACCCTTCAGCCAAAAACTGACCGACTTGTGCAGACTAATCAACGCACTGTCTAATGTGATGGATTACTTTTGGACAAAGTTAATATGAAGAAAGGAGAACATAAGGGTTTCCAGAAACGGGCGGACATCGACGTGCTTTTATAGCTCCCTCTCACATATGCGCGTCAAAGACGGGTAACGCGTGGAAAATTTTGCTTTCTCGAAAACGGTGAGGGCTGCATGTAGCAGAAATTTTGTCAGGGCACGAGCTCTTGCATATGCAGAGTTAAGCACCAGAAAGTATACCAAGGTTACCTGGTTGACTGTTCACCACCCTGTACAACCCCACAGTGCTATAATGGAGAAAACTATCTCAGATAATCCTAGATACCAGAACATTCACCTCCCCGTACAAACCAGAGCCGCCACTTATTCACCCTACATCGTACAAACCCATAGGAAAAGATAACCCAAGGCATATACTAATATCTTATCACCTATTCTTCCTGGAGCATCTTCGCATATGCAACTCTGAATTCTTTCTGTAGCATACATCTAGTGTTCAAACATGACTTCAAATTCCATAAAACATAAAAACCTTAGAGCTCTAACTTAGGAGTCTTTCCCTTGACGCGCCCGATGACGGAACTGGCAGCGTACTTCGGAATGACACGGTCTTCGTGCAACATCGCAAACACCTCGGTGGCATCCATGCCGGCAAAGTTGATAATTGACTGCTCACCGCCCGGGTGGTCAGCCAAGAAGCCGGTGCAGTCCAATACACAGTCCTTCACAATGACCCAGCAGTCCCCCGCGGTGTTGTGCTTGGCAACCTCGGCCAAGGTGTACTCCTTCGCTGGGATCTTGAACGCCTTGACCACCGGCTTCTTCACTGGCGCCTTCTTGGCCGAGGCCTTGGCAGGAGCTTTAACTGTCTTAGCTGGGGTCTCAACGGGCGATGTCACCTCGCCATTACCCCAGTCAATCGTGACTCTGTCCGGTACATTTGGATCCAAGTGGATACTGATCTGCTTCAATCTCTGCTGTGCGGTGGAAACAGGTGCCACCGACAAGGTCTGCAACAAGTGGTTGGTGGCGGCATCAGCAGCGACTCTACCGTAAACCACACATCCGAGCAAGGAAGAGCCTCCCAATCGGTTGTGCCCGTGAATCCCACCAGCCAACTCACCCGCGGCATAGAGACCCTCGATGACCTTGTTCTTGGCATCCAAAACCTCAGACTTCAGGTTAATCTTGACCCCACCCATGGTGAAGTGCAAAACTCTGGTGACAAAAGACACATGGAAGTCGTCGTCTACGGCAAGAGGGGTGGATGGGAAAAACTGCTTGCCAAACGGATCCTTGGCCTTTCCCTCGGCGTACCGATTGTACTTGGACATTTCCTCCTTCAATACGCTGAGCTCGATGCCCATCTCCTTGGCAATGTCGGCTGCCTTCTGGGGCTTCATCAATCCGCGGTGGGTGTAGTGTTTGACATGGAAGGCCAAGTTGTTGGCGGCCTTAGAGTTTAAGATCAATCTGATCGGGCCCTTGACCTTGGTCATTTCTCCAGAAACGTAGTCTCTGGTGCCCAACTCGTCGCAGAAGCGGCGCCCCGTGGAGTCAATCATGAACCCCCCCTCGCCGCGCAAGGCCTCTGCACCCAAGAACAAGTAGCGCGGCAACTTTGCACTGGCCCCGCCAATCTTGGTGGGCGGGGAGTCGATCTGGAGAAGCCCGGTAGGATGCACCTGGACCTTGTCCATGTCGATGCCTACCCCGCCGTTCTGCAAGATGATCTTCTGACCGTCACCAGTGGCATGCGTCCCGTTAGTCGACGGAAGGTCGATGATGTCTGGTCTGTACTGCTTCAACAAAGACGTCTTGGTAAAATCCGCGGCGTAGCCACCGGTCGCCATAATCACAGGCCCGCTCAACAGCTGTGTCTTTTTGTCCTGGACATACTTGACCCCTGTAGTCTTGGCTCCCTGTTTGAGCAAGTTGGTGGCCTCAGCCTTTTTAATTAACGCGACCCTTTCTGGCTCATCCTCCGCCAACTGCTCCAATTTCTCCATCAACGCATAGGTGATGGCCATGCCGGGAAACTTGGAGTCCTTGCCTCTGTGCGTTCTCGGTTGCGAATGGCCGCCCAATCTCGACACAAGCGTCAAGTCAAGCCCGAACACCTCCTGCAACCAGTGCACCGCATCCGCAGAGTTGTACGTCAAGACCTTGATCAATTCAGGGTTGGCTCTGTCCTTCGCCGTCTTCATGGTGTCTTCATAGAATTGCTGGACTGAGTCCGCAAGCTTCAAATCGATCTGCGTTCTGGTCAAGGCCCCGTTGATCCCAGAGGTTGCCTTGGTGGAATTGCCCCCGAAAAATGACTGTTTGTCAATGAGCACTACGTTGCTCCCGTTGAGGTACGCCTGGTGTGCCGCGGACAACCCCGCGAGCCCACCCCCGACGACGATAATAGGTCTGGATGGAAGTTCTGGCATAATAATTTGAATGGTAGATTGATGGTGTCAGTTGTGATATTTTATCGGTAGTAAGGAAGAAAAGAGTGTTTAGTGCGGACACGGATACTTATAAAGTTAGTCACGGCATGGCAAAGTGGAAAGATATCCGAGAGCCGCACGGGTTTCTGTGGGGAGCCCCAGAAAAGTCCGTCGGGCCGCGAAAGAGTGCGCGCGTGCTAGCCACTGAGGGGAAACGGATTACTACTCCGGGCTGTCGTGCAGGAAGAAAGGTCAAATGCACACACTCTCATTAATGGGGGTTCAGACGGCACCGAAGATCATCTAAGGTTGTCCGTCAGATCCCATCAGAGGAAAAAAGAATGCGCCAGCCCGGAATCGAACCGGGGGCCCAACGATGGCAACGTTGGATTTTACCACTAAACCACTGGCGCTTGTACTTGTAAGTGTCAGGGTTCCAGCGCCTGTTGGTATTCCAGTCGGGGGGTTGTAATCAGTCATTGATTCACAAGTTACTTATCGTGATCTTCCACAAAAATAAAGATAATATTAAAACCAAGATCATTCTTAGATCTGGAAAACTACTTCCTTATATAGCTTTCTTCGGTGCCTCATTTGCTTTATGCGACAGGATTAGTTTCAGATACTCATTATCAAACAATCCTAGTAGCCTCAACTGGAACCTCATAAGGTTCCTGAAACAACTCTCTAACTCTGACAGTAAGTTTTGGAGTTAATGGTCAGGTAGGTCTAACTGTAGTGGTCCCTGTTAGCAGACCCCAATGCTTTCGAAATCAGTGGACAATAAGATGGGTGTTAGTAGTAACTTGGTTGTGGGCTAGCCGAAAGAGCTATCTAGGCCGAAGAGTGCAAGTGCTGTGTAACAGCTCTCCCGAAAGGGAAGATTACGAGGTGTATGGATGGTGAATTCAGTTACACGGTAATCTAACTCCATATTCAATGCATAATTGTACCTCATGACGGAGAAGCTCAGTGCCTCCTGGTAAGTCAGTATTCTAATCATAAATATCTGAGAGCTGGACCATTACCCCATTTATCGATTTTTCAGCTTCATCCCATCGTTCCTATGGGTTAATCGTGTTTCTCCCCAGGTATCGATTCTTTTAACGTTGCTCACTTGGTGATATTTTTTTGTTTACTCAGAAATTATATACCTTTGAATAACAGCGCAAGGAATGAATGGAATTCCTCAAGATGTATCGCATGGGGATAATCCAAATTGCTGGGTTAGACTCAAATTCTCCAGTCAACAGCGATCTCGAAGTCATGTTTCCAGTATCGTATAGCTCATAGTTAGTGTATTCAGGGCCGGGTACCTCTAGACAAGCTATGCCCATATAGCTAATTCGAGGTGTTTCATTATCAATAGTTGTGGGGATTTTCGATTTGATTCCTCCTGAGAACTGATAGGTTTATATCTCTACTTGATTATCGGGCCCTTCACCTTATAACACTGTACCTCCCATGGCACGCACCCTTTACAACCCTTGACGTTATTCGGGTCCCCCTCTTTCTGTCCGGCGACACCTATAGACATCTGATTTGGCATCACATCTGCTGGCATCTATTTAATATTACTCTAGGTCTACCCAAAGCGTACATAAAGAAAACGGGATGATTCCCGGGCTAGAGCACCTCATCGATCACCACCTTCTTGTTGTTCAACTGGTTGACGTCAATACAACTTCCCAAACGGCTCAACTCCTTTCCTAGACCGTACAACTCGTTGATGGCGTACTCGTTCTTAAGCAACTTATCCAAGCTGTCGACGGACTTTGTGGGGTCCTGGTTAGCCTTGATCACCTCCAACATCTTCTTCAAGATGTTGTTGAAGTTGGAGAACTGCTGGTCGAAGATGGAGTATACAAAGACGTTGCGGAAGGTCAAGTTCAGCGACTGGTTCTGAAAAATCGCAGACGTAGTATTGAGCTGCTGGTTGTAATGCTTCATCAACTTGTTGTATATGAAGTTGATCTGGATGATAGAGTCACAGATGGGCTGTGAGGTGATCAAGAGGTTGAGCAAGAAGCGGCCCTTTTTCAAGTAGTCTTTGGAGTTGTTCAAGAAGTCGTCATAGAAGAGTTGGATCATGATGAGGTTGAGCTTGTTGATCTCGTCGATCAACAGCCGGATCTGTGCCATGAATTCGTTCAAGTCGACGTTAGTCTTGCCCTCGTCCTCGGTGCCGGGCTCCAGTCCGTCGAGCTGCGAGCTGAGGTTGTTTTCATGACGCATCTTCATGATGCTAAGATAGTAATTCTTCAAGACCCAGAGCACCTGGTCGTTGATACGCTCCATAAACGGCTGGATCTCGAGCGAAATGTGCAACATCACCATGAGATTTTTGTTGACGAGCTTCTTGGACGCCTTCTTGGAGTCCTCCTTATAGTCGCCGCGCGCGATGATGCGCATCTCCTGTTGGTACTCCTCGTACGACAATTGCTGCCGCTTTGTACGCTTTACCACCTCGAATGCAGCGTACGCGGGCGTCTGCGCGCGTACCACCGCAAGGAACTGCTCGTTTTCGTCGTACACGCGGTTGTTGAACTCACTCAAGATGCGGTAAAAGTTTTTCAACGCCTCCGCACTGGATAGATCCTCCACAGAGCTGGGGCAGTAGCTGAGCACCTTTGCAATCGCCTTGAAGTTGTTGAACGCCGTTTGAAAGTGTCCCAATAGCGCGTCGATGTTGAGGCTCTTCAACACCGACCGGTGCGTAATAAGGTTTTTATTGATAAACTGCGTGGTAAACTTGCTCACCCACACGTGGCACTTTGTCAATATCACGCAGATATGGTCGTTGATCTGCGTGAGGATGTCTTTGAGCTCCACCAAATCGGGCAACGTCTTGAACCGGTATCTGACTTTCGCCATGATGAGTCCCGCGTTCGTCAATTGGTTGAAGTATGTATTGAATTCCGCTAGCATCGCTTCCTGGCTCGCGAGCGATGCATCCACTGTTGGTGCAAACCCCGAAAGGTCGCTCAAGTTCAAGGGCTGGATCAACCGCACGTACATCTCATTGTACTCCGCAAACGTGCTGATGAGGCGCAACTCCGTCACAAAAAAGTTGGACGTTTCGTCACGCAACGTGTCCTGGAGTAGGTTGATTTCTGAATAGTTCTCCATGGTTGGTAGAAATTCTCTGGGAAAGCTTCAAATGGACACAAAGCTCTTAAGCGCCTGCCTTTTTTTTCATGCTCGTGCCGAAACAAGTTTCCCAATCGGGCAACAACCGATACGCGCAGAGGCAGACCATTATCGGATATTAGTCAGCGGAGCGAGAACCCGAGTAATAGACATTAATCCATTTGGATTTTTGCGATTCATTTCGGATCTCTTTATCGGACTTTGGGTTTATGGCGTCATTGCTGTGTATTTGAGAGCTTTATTGGATACTTTCCGATCGCCCCATATGCACACGATCACAGCCAAGTTTGGCAAGCACTAAAAAGCAGTGCGGCGTGGTCACGGTGCGAATATTCAGGGAGAGAAATATATGTACATGAACATCTAATACATAATTTGTATATTCGGTATCAATATAAATGCGTGATGTTGAACTATTATTGTATGGGTGAATAACTATATAATTATTTGGATAAAGGTGATATTTATATCTAATCACTTGGTTCAAAAAATTGCATTCATATATTTTAGAAACGAGAATATATGTACATATGTAATTTTAGAAACGAGAATATAAGTACGTATGTAATTTCAGCGACGATAATTATAAAATCAATACATTTATAATTATAATTCATATTACCAGATAACATTAAACCCGAAAGATTTGGGAATGAAAATCATACCAATGTTCTAGATTACTATTTCCTCCAGTTAATCCATTTCCGTCGCCAACAAAGCAGCCTTTTCAATTATATTCCCAAGCTAACCCCACACTCAACACAATCTTTCTAGGTCTACACTTTGATTCCAACATGTTTAAATTTCGCCCCTCGCGAATTTTACAACCACAGCAATACACTTTCATTTATGACATATTCGTATTGATATATACAGGCATAACATTGCAGACACCTGTGGGACATAGAAGGGAAATATGACGGTAAACAGTAAGAAAAGCCCCAGTCACAAAAAAAAAATAACAACACACGATCCAGCAGCAAGCAGGAGAGATTAGAGAAACCATAAACCAAAACTATTCAACATCCAAATCAAAGTCTAGGAACACCCTGCTGATGTCAATACCCCGGAGAAGTACCGCCAACGGACTCTGACCATAATCGATTCCGTTCAAGCGCCTGTAGTCGCCCACGCTGCTGCAGCGAGGCTTGTTCCCTCGGAGGGGCCTGCGCTTAGTCACACGCAATGCCGAGATCGGAGCCAATAGTTCGTCACTGTTTATTAGCTTTGTTCGTGGCAGGCTTTCCTCCTCAGAAGGAGACTCCGACTGGTCCTCAAACGACGAATTGGCGAGACTGCTCACATCCATATGGTTGCCCTCGGCGTCGATGATCGACACGCTCTTCTTGGCCCGGAGACCCTGCAATGAGCGGCGACGCTGCACGTTCTGGATCACAGAAACCGACCGCAAGATGCGTTTGTTGCGCAACACTTGTTTAGAGCTGTGGATCAACTTGGCGTCGGAGTACTCAATCTGCCCGAGACGGGGTAAGGCGGTGCCCTTGGCCCACTTGGCGTCGGTGAAGGTCACACTGCCGGGATCCATCTTCTGGAGCTCGAAGCCGATAAATGACATGAGTTTCTCGTTCTGCAACTTGACAGACTGCAATTCAAATTTCAACTTGGTGATCTCCTGTCTAGCTTCGTCCAACGGTGGATTGGTCTCACCGTGAGAGCTGACCCGACTGTGAGAGCCGCTGTGGGGCAAGCGGTCCAGAGCGGCCCTGCTGGCCACAGACGAGGCATGTGACCGTTGGGACATTGCTGGCGACATGCGTACCGACTCGTTAGACGAGTTACGCTGGAACGGAGACGGCTCAAACTCCACCTGGATGGGAATAATATCCGTACTCATGGTGCGGGAGTGGCGCTTCTGGTGACTGAAAAAGGTTTCGGGGGAGCTCTTGGAGGGCGAAGCATTGCTGGAGGTGTTTAACTTCATGGACCGCAAGTTGCAGTCGATCTCCAACGGTACAATCTTGGTGTGGTGTGGCGTGGAGGCGGAGAGAATGCGAGGGCTTTGGCTTGACTTTTTCGGACTGGGGAACATGAACCTGTTTTGGTTCAACCCGGGAGAACCGAGGTTAGCTAGCGCCTCCAGTAGATCGTCTTCGTTCTGTTCATCAATGGTTTCCACCGAGACGTTTGCCTTGCGAGATATACTGCTCAATTCGTCAGCCAAGCTGGTGAAGCGGAATGTCTCGCTGCCTGAATCGCTGGAATCTGTGAAACTGTTGTCTTTTACCAAGCTGTCGTCGGAGCAGCGGCGTTGCACGTTAGGGTAGCTCGACCCGTCTGGAAGGTCGTAGTCCAACCCACCAAGAATGTTCCCACGGACTTTGTCCTGGATACCCTCTCTGAAGTCCCTTCGGAAGTCGCCATCCAGATCCGAATCCTCGATATCATCGATGTTGACGATCGAATGAAGGCACTGCTCGTTCAACTCTTCATACTTCTCCTGTAGCTCGCTGAAGGCGCGCAACAACCGTGCATTTTCCGCCCCCAAGGTCTCAATCTGGCCGATCAAAATGGACTTGGCATTCATCTCGTACTCGTAGTTGGTCTCCGACACCTTGTGTAGTCTTTGGAGCTTGGTGTACTCTTTCTCCATCGCCGCAAACTGATCCAGCGGCGGTACTGGCCCTGACAACTGTTCGATGATGTTCTCATTCTCTTTGACGATGCGCTGAAGCGAGCTGATTTTGGCCTCGAGCATCATCTGAACCTCGCGGGCCCGGTTGCCCTCCTTGAGCATATTGTCTTTTTCGTGCGCCAACGTCTCGCTGAGCTTCTTATTCAACTTGGCGAGCTCACTGAACTTAGATGCCAGCGCTAGCAACGTTTGGTCCTTTTCCAACAACTCAAACTCGAGCTTTTCCTGGTCCTGGATGATGCGTGAGTTTTTGATCAACTGATCGGCATAAAGACGTTCCAATTTGCCATAATCCTCCTTCAAGATGTCAAAATTGCTATCCGCATCGGGTGTATTGTAGAGATCTTGGCCCATTCTTTTGTACGCCCTTTGGAGCGATCTGGGTCTATGAGGCGTGAACGAGTCCTGGGGTAGTGGGGTGGTTGTATTGCAAGTTTGTTTTTTCGGGGTGAGAAGCCGCCGGGGGCTGCCATCAAGAATCTCGTTTTCTTTGTCCATTGCCCCTACCGATTCATTCAACAAACTGCTCTGGGAAGTTGTGTAGATGTAACCTAGTTGGACGAATGCGAGGAGTAATGCAGTGGTAATCTTGGAGGGAAGGGGGGTTCAAGAGCGAAGCTGCTTGAAACCAATGCAAAATATGCGAATGGGGATAAAGTCAATTATCAATGCAAAACCGTTTATACGGAGACTGTTTGGTATAGGATCGCTAGAAACCGGTGGAGTAACAATTTAAGAGTTACGCGTGGATATAGCGGAGTAAAAAAAAAAAAAAACGACTGGTCTGATATTGTCAATTCCTGGCGTGGTATTGCGGGTGTCTTCGTATGTACCTTAAGGTCGTAGTGGCACCTTACAACGGAGATTCCGAGTTGTGTGTAAACAATGGAAAAATACGATTTTGTGAAAATGCCCCCGATCCGCCCGTCTAACAAAAACAGCAGTGTATGCACCTGGCTGCGGGTCACCACTGCACAATAGTCAGCGCTTCTAAAATGCATTCTGGTGCCTGTTGGAGGGCATATTTCCTTCAATATACCGGTATAAACTCCGTTAATAAAATGCATATCGAGTAAAATATCAATTATCTCTGTTATGGCTAAGAAGCCTTTGTGTGGCACTACTGGGAGCAGCTACTTTTGTCCTGGCCATGTTGCACGCTGACTACCCGTACGGTGGGACGCATACGTATGCACATACACCAGGCTACTATTTGGATCTTTCCGGATCTGGCCAAGTGCACGTGATCATATATCCCGCTTTAGACGACAGGTACATGAAGACTCCCTGCGGCTCAGCCAGGATACCTGTATGAGAGATTGTCGGTATGCAGGACACGGAATGGATGCTAAATATTTCAATCACGTATGATAGAACAAGTCTTGGACGGACATAACTTCAATATGACTGCTCCAATTTTATCGTATTTACAAGCAGCCAATAAAACGCTTGCTGCCACGCTTGCGTCCAAGGGTAGATTGAGAATCGTCTCTGGAAACCAGTCCGCCGGTACGTGCTGAGCTCCAACTCGTAACTATGTTCGGCACCCAATAATGGATGGATCCAAGGGATATTGACCTGGCAAATAGCCGATGGTTTCCCTTCCTTTGAGTGCTGCAAGTACACAAAACTGGATACTAATTTCTAGATCTCGATTCTGTGGTTTCAGCCATCACCTACGCCTACTTCCACCATGTCGCACACCCCACCATCCCCATCATCCCCTTGATCAACATCCCGCGTGCGGACTTGAACTTGAGGAAGGATATTGTGTATGCATTGGGCAAGCAAGCCATCACCGTCGATTTGTTGTACTTTGTGGAGGATTTCCACAAGATTGACCCCACTTTGATCGACTTGGTGCTTGTAGACCACTGTGCGCCCCAGGGCGACTTGAGACACTTTACCAACGTCATTTCCATCATCGACCACCACGATGATGAGAATATGTTTCTTGATGCCCAGCCACGAATCATCGAAAAGAGTGGCAGCTGTTCGTGCCTTGTGTTTAATTACTGGTACGATGTGTTGACCAAAGGAAGCGTGAGCACCGCTGTATTTGCTGACGTGATGGACATTCTTGTGGCACCACTTCTTACCGATACGGGAAACATGAGTAACAAGGTGGAACCGGCTGATATTGCCGCTTTTGACAAGTACTCGGCCATTGCTCCGTTCCTAAACTTTGCCGCGTACGCCGACGAGCTCAAGCAGCAGAAGAAGGATCTTTCGGGATTGACGTTGAGCGAAATTTTGCGCAAGGACTACAAAGCGTACGAGTTTCAGACCGCGTCTGATGGGATCAAAACTGTAGGGATCTCTTCCATGCCCAAGTCCTTCAGCTACTTCTTCAAGAACTTCTCCACTATCGAGGCTGAGGTCAAGGAATGGGGCGTACATCAGAAGTTGGACTTGGTGTGCATGATGGCTAGTGATAAGAAGGTGGAGTTTGTGAGACAGATTGCTTTTTACGACTTCGTGGATGATGTATTGTCTGATAAGATTGCTGGCTTGTTGAGGCAGGAGTTGCAGTTGGAATCATTGGATACCTCTAAAAGCAATGAGGTGTTTAAAACCTTAAAATTTTACAAACAGTTGAACGTTGCTGCCAGCAGAAAGCAGGTTGCCCCCGCCATGAAGGAGGCAGTTCTGAGGCTCTAAGGGAAAACTCGCAAACTTTACAAAGACAATGGCCTCAGGTGATTCCTCTAGATTGTATTTTATTCTATAACATTTGGTTCTTTTAGTTATACCCCGGGGATGTTTACATAGAGAGCTGGCCCAAAATAAGGGAGAGCCCCATCTTCAAGTACTCGAAAGCGATTAATCTGATATCAAGAACATTCTCGACAAGGCTCCGTATGAGTTCGGTATGATTACCTACTTTTCCGATAGGTAGCTGACGTTCCAGCCCATAAACTGGTCTTGGCACTGGGGCAAGTTTTCATGGACATCATCCAATGTTTCCACAAGAGACTTGTACACTACCTCGCTCAACCCAATTACCTCAAGCCCATCCCTTCTGCGCTCTATTTCCTCTCTGTAGCCATCGCCAGGACGCATGTACATGATCTTCAAGCAGTTAGTCAACTCTCTGCCCGAAAGCGTAAGATTGATACCAACATTGAACACCCACACAAGCATTTCCGACTCTTCAGACTCGTTCTTCACCTGGTACACCCGGGAGGCCTGGGAGTTGATCGCATCTAACATGACGCCATACGCGTGATAGTACGGGAGATACATCTCTTCAGACCCTTTTACCACAAGTATGAGGTTCCACTTAAAGAGTTTTACCAAGAGATCGTCGTCCATATTCCCTAATTCATATGCGCAAGCAGTGCATTGGGCTGCGTCCCCCACGACAGTAATGCTGGGGAAGTCGTCGGCGTTTGTGAGGAGGTAGTAAGAGCCAATGATAACCCCATTGGCTCGGGGTCTGAGTTTGGTGTACCGATTGGCTGTACCGTGGATTTCACCCGTTTCGGGCTTGTGGCAGTGCCAGAAGTCCATCATCTCCAGCCACAATTCGGAGGGCAGGTCGTGAAACGCCGTAACCTGGGTATCTATCAAAATTGTCGCGTTGCACTTTCCACAGTTGAATGTGAACCCCAGCTTGGAACCGGATAATTTTGCTTTGATATCCTTTGTGGACCATTTGACATGGTCGGTGGCCATGGTCATGGAGAAGTTGGCCGATCGGTCGAAGTACTTACTGTCTTCCACTGTGGCGGCAGCGGGTAGTTTTATTGAGTATAAAAGGTCGTTGTGCACATCTTTCCTGATTAGGCTCAACACTGGGAGATTTTCCATCGCCGGGTGGGGGAGGCTGAGCTGGTACGTTGTTTCCGCATCTGAGGTGAGATCGCCGAAAGTGACGGAGCAGACAGTGGGCGAGGCCATTACTGCTTGGGTGGGGATATAGCTTGCATCGGTGATTTCGATATTCACGGTTATAGATTTCAACCGAGGCAAGAACTCAGCCGAGTATTTGATAGGCAGCGCGTAGGTCATGTTGGTGGAAAGAATAGTGGTATTAGAGATGCGAGGCGAAGTTTTATATGTAGGAAAACGTGCATGCAGATGGCGAGGCAAAAAGCGGTTGCATAGTGATAATTTGATATTCGTCCATAACTTATATAAATCGTGGCTTTGCATTTAATATAAAAAAAATAAACCTTTGAAGGATCGGCAATTTATAAGAAAAATTATATTCAACCAATCCGGTAGTGGGACATAATATTGACAATACGCGTACAATTTTAGCTTCTTCTAACCTGATTATCATTCGAGCGTCTTTCCAGAGCCCAATCCTCTAGAATTCGGCTAATTGAAGTTATATATATATATTTGAAGCATATTTCAGAAACCTACGACCAGACTCACACAATCATTAGTAGAGACTAATTGATCTCTGAAACGCAACGGCTAATTATCGTAACCGGATACAAGTACAGGAATGTACCAGCTTAGTTACTGTGAAAATACCACCTCATACCGCAAACAAAAATAAATTAAAACGGAACATGATATTTCATTTTGAAACACCTGATGACTTGGCGTGCCCGTTTCCTTGCTAGCGATCTCCAGTACATCCTGCATACAACTTCACAACACTGTCTTTAGAGATTTAACCTTCCCTCGAGCGATCTTCATCCAAACCACTTCAAAAACCACGATGGTATGTCACAGGGAATAGCCAAAAGTTCAAACCACTAACCCTTAGTCATCATTCACGCCGATAAATATCAGTGAGGACGGGCTCGCGTTGGACGCCGAGGAACACACGCGCGAGTTGCAGGTGGAGGAGGCCTTCAAGATCTTCCAAAGCGCGCTCAAGCACCAGAAAGACCGGCTGTTTGAGCTTGCCGAAGCCGAATACAAACGTCTCTTCAAATTGGATGTGATCACAAAAGATGGTAACGCCCCGCCATCGCCAACCGTCGAGACCCTCCGCTACTTGGCGTACCGGAACCGCGGCGTGCTCCGGTTCGAGAGGCTAGCGCACTCCCACGAGAGTCTAGACAATGATGAGGTGTACACCGAGTTCTATGTGTGCATGTCTGATATGCTAACGGCGCTAGGCCATGGAGAAGGTGATACACTCTTGACGGAGCTTCTCTACAGCATCCTGTCATATTTCGGATTGACGCGGCTCACGCGGTTGATTCTCGAGTACGAATTAACCAAGACAGACGATGACGACATAGTTATCCACCGTGGGTCGTTTGTGATGCCGCACCTCTCGCGCGTGCTTCAGAAAAAGAAGATGATATTAATGGAGTTGGGCGATGAGGTCTCACTCCAGAACGACGAGTTTTTGGCCAAAATAGATGTTTCCCAGACAAAGCAAGCAGAAGTCGCGTTGTTCCAGAAGCTCAGCTATTTGGCACCGGTCAAGGCCGAGATCGAGGAAAACAGACGGGAGGCCAGCACTCCAACGGTTGCCCGGATAGAGTTGAAACGGTTGAGCTGGGCCACAGTGATCGCGCAGCTTCTTGATACGATGCCGAAACCACCGAAGCTGAAGTATGTACAGGATCCGTATGCCCTCACCACCGACACCTTGGAGATTATCCGCTTTGCGATGCCGAAAGGCGACGAGGTTGAAATGGAGGAAGAAGAAGAGGAAGAGGAAGAAGAAGAAGAACCGGAGGTGGTGGAGATTGAAGTCAGTGTTGAGCCCACCTTTGAGTCCTTTGATGCCCAGCAAACACGGAAGGAAACCCCAGACCGTGACGAGGATATGGAAGACAAAGAGCAGACTAACGGTATCCCTGAGTCCAATATTGCCGTTGACCAGGAAGTCTCACAGCCCGAAGCGGAGGTTACGTCGGCCGTCAAAGACGATGGAAAGTCAACTACGGACCGAAACGTCCCACAGAGAGCGTCGAAGCGGAAAGCGGCTGCTACCATCGTTGCCGACGCCAGGGTCCCCACCATTGACGACTTTTCCGAGTCCTTGACGTTCCTTAAGGCGTTGAACAACTTTCTTGCGTTGCGCACCGTCGAATTTCAAGACGTCATAACTCCCTTCGTCACCAACCCCCTGTTATTGGACCCGTTCATCGCGGACTTTGTCACCACGCTTTCAACCTGGTCAATCCAGGAATCCGAATTTTTGCTCCAGGAATCCCAGGGAAAGAGTAACTATGACTTGCCGTTGATGGAGATCCTCAACTCCACCGCCTTGAGTGATTCCTACATCCAACCCCCGGATCTTGATACCATTATGAGTGCCACCGAGTTGGAGAGTGTCATCCGCGATATCAACTCCAATGGATTGCATCTCCACCAGGTGCGACTCCTCTTTCTCGAAAAGCTTCTTGAAACCAGCGATGTCTGTTTGATCACCGATTCGAAATGGAGTCCTGAGATGCTAAAGGCCGTGCGGAAGATGGCGGAGGCGAGCGATATTTCCATGTACACTGACATGAATGCTCTTTTGGTAGCCCAGGACGAGGAAAAAATGCACCAGAAGCTCACCGTCGCAGTATCTCTTTGCGAAATCCTCTCTGACCACTATATTTCCTTGTTCAAGCGGATGAAGAGCTTGAGACTGCAGCCAAAGAACCGCAAGGCCGTTGCCGCCTTACAGATCGAGCTCGATGCCACCGCCAAACGACTCGAACGGTGGAAGTACTTGTGCCACGACTTTCTCTGCTGTTTGACGGTGACCGACAAACTCCGGTTCCGGCTCGAGTGGGCCACCGTCTCCCTCCACCAGCAGTCGGATTTCAAGAACAACGCTACGGCCATGGAAGAGTCCTTGAAACGGTTTCTAGACAAGGCCGCCGCCTCTCCGGTGGACATTCCCTACACCAACTACCCTAACATTCCGCGATTGAACTCCCAGACGGTGAGTGACCAGTTGTCAAAGATCAACATCTTGAGTACGTTTTCGAAGATTCTCGATGCCGAAACCTCCAAGGGGGACGAAACAATCGGGCTTTTGGAATCCGTTTTGATGCCATCAGAAGACGACGTGTTGACCGAAGAGCAGCTCTCGATGGACTCATTTGTAAAAAACTCTTCGATGGAGTTGCAGCTCCGCTTGTGGCAGATCTTGCTCAACTACTACGAAATCCACGGATTTCTCTCCAAGTACCAGGTTGGGTTCGAAAGCGCCATCCTGATTCTCCTTCATGAGGTGACTTCGGCGAAATACGTCTCCCAAACGTTCCCCCAGAGACAGCAAATCCTTCTTCGAATTATCGGGTTCTTCAACGAATACGCCAGAAACTTTATTACCCTATTGAAGCATCAAGCGACAAATTTAACGTCGCTGGGCAAGGAACACAACGCCGAAAAGTTGAACGAATTGGTTCAATTTTTGCGCTTGTTCTACACTTATGCCCTTCACATCGACCACTGCGAGATTTCAACCACCACGCCTGTCTCTTCCAAGTCCCCCAAAGCCAGCGCTGTGCTCAAGGACGTTTTGGTCAATACCTTCACTTTGGTGTTCCTATACTACGTGTCAGAGCTTCCCGCTGACGACCGCTACCCAGAGATTATTAACGATCTTCTGAGCATTGTGCACGTGCAGCTAGGAGCCCGAAGCTGCTGTGATGCCTCCGAGGGCGTGTTTTTGGAGATGTCATTGGAGTTGTTACTCAAGTTGAAGTGGCCTGATTCGGTTTGCGACGTGTCTCAGATCGTCTCGTGTCGCTATCATCACACCGTTTCGATTGAGAACTTTACCCCCTTTGAGCACGACACGGCACCCGAGGAATTGACGCTAGCCTCCGCCGTTCCGTTAGCTGAGTACCTCTTGCCGTTTTGTTTTGCCAAGAACCCCATGTTCCAGCAGCCGAAAAACGATTTCAAACCGCTCCTCGACGCTTTGCTTGATCTCACAGAGAAGGTCGAGGACGATGCGGATCCGTTGCCTCGGAACGAAGCAATCTTGGAAGCCTACTTGGAGACGCCTCTCTCGAACCGCCTCTTCCGCGAGTCGTTCTACGGGCTTTTGGACATGAACTTCTCGCTGTTCAGACCCTCAAAGTACCTTGCGTTGGCCAAGACCGGGTTGTTCTACATCCAGGGAGTGAATGCGCTTGCCTTGTTCAAGATTCGGAAGCGGTCGATGCAGAGCCGAACCGTGGAGTTGGACTTTGTCATCCGAATGTTCCAGACAGACTTGTTCTACGGCAGTGGGAGGGTCGAGTCGTGGGTCCTTTTGGCCCAGTCGTATGGGTTCCTTGTGGAAGATGACCTTATTTGGACCTCAGATAAGTTGAACAGTGACCGTAAACAGGGTATCGCCTTGGTCCAGCGAAAGACGCTTCTTTGCTATCTCATGGGTGTGAGTCAGTTTGTCCAGCTCTCGGATCTTTCCAAGGAGTCTCGGAAGGTGGCAGCGGTGCTCTGGTCTAACTTTCTGAAAGAGCTTTACAACGCCACGATGCCACCGATGTCGCGACTCAGCTTTGAAGTGGTGTCGACTCCCAAGTTTGTCAAGAAGAGCCGAGGGGCCAGCTACGAGAAGAGGTTCCAGGGAAGTCCGATGAGCCGGGAGACCCTCTACAACACGATCAAACTTGCGTTGAAGTTTGCCATCGAGATGAATGTCCGCGACTGGACGAACCACTTCTACTACTCAAAGATTCTCTCCAAGCTTGTGTGCGACCCGAAGATAGTGTTGAAACTGTTGCTTCAGGCTTGTGAATGCGCGCGCAAGAGCGGCAGCAACAGCGATCCGATTTCGGAGCCGCACTACCGGTTGGTTTCCCAGATCTACAAGTATGTGAGAGCGGGAAAGATATCCGTTCAGACAGGGTTGAAGTACCTCAACCTGAATCCAGTTACCAATGTGACGGTCATAGAGATCGATGGTACTCCTTTGGACCCAGACTATCCCCAATTCATCCAGTTTATCATTTCGTCATTGAAAAAGGTGGTGAACTACGATAAAAAGCGCTGGCAGCACCGTCCACGCTTCCGCCTTGCCAAAATTTATTACGAGGAGCTCCACGACCTCGATAGTGCGTATGAAGAAATTCTGACGGTCGTGTCGTTGAAGCAGACCACCAAGAATTTGGTCAATATCTGGAAGCCGGACAACGAGAGGCCGGGGAAGCATTTCCAATACGCAGCAGAGTATGCCCTCTTCTTTGTGAACTTACTAATCGAGAAGAAGGATCTCTCTAGCCTTTGTGTATTTTACCGAAAGTTGAGAAAGTCCCACGCTGCAATGCTTAACATTGTGGCGGTCTGGGAGGTTACCACCGCTGCCTTGTGCTCCATGTTTAGACATAATTTGGAGATTCCTGAAGGCTTCTCTGAACAAGCCGCACAATCGCTCAGGTTCAGTGAATTCACAGAGTACGCGAAGGACCTTCATTCGTTGTTCCAGGCCCGAAAGACGCTTCCGCTGCAGGATGAGGAGATTATGTGCTTCTTATACGAGGTTTCCGAAATCAGGCGGTTGAACAACGGCTTTGGCAGCTCCACTATTATCGATGATCTCTTTGTGTCGATGTTCCTTCTGCTCTATATGCGGTACTTGCCTGTGTTGATAGCTGGTAGAGAACCGGTGGTTGTGGATATGCTGAAGAAGCAGCCGAGAATCACCAGGCGGGAGCTTTTACCGCGGATTGTTGAGCTCGTCAGAGCGGTAGAGAAGGAGGTCTTGGTGATTGAGAAGGATAAGGGGGATACAATTTTTGTCTGGAAGAATCACAACGAGGTTATTGAGACCGAGGACGAGCCAGTACCGGTATTGAACGTCAGCCAGGCAAGTCAAGATGTACAGACGGGTACCCAGATTGAATCAGGGGATACAGAACTGAGGGGGGTAACCACAGACAATAAGGAAGAGTCCTCGTTCAAACCAGATCTACATGATGTGGAATTACTGGCGGAGGTTGAAAGAGAGTTTGTGATAGTATCTCCAGAGAGTTCACAACAGTCCCAACCTCTTACAACAGCTCCCAACGAGCAGCAGACAGATGTGGTTTTGGGGATGAAAATTTCTCCTACAACCACGCCGAAACGTGAATCCTCGGTATTAGACGATGCCGACTCTCTTGTGCAGCTACCGGTGGTCAAGACTCCATCCCGACCAACAATCATGGAGCCAGAAACTCCAGTGTTTTTCACCCCGTTGGGAAATACCGCTCCTATCTCGTCGCGCAGCAGAAGAAGATCTTCGTCTAGCTCCGCTCTTACCAAAAGACTGAAAATTATGTTCGAAGGCGAGTCTTTGATACCATCAGCGTACCTGATTTCCAGAAAAATCAGCTACGGTGACCACAAGATGGAAAACCCCGAAGAAAAGGAAGCGGGTGATGCTGACAGTGATAGAGTAGCACATGAAGGTTCCGATGACAAAGATCAGTTTGTCACTCCTGTTTCGTCCCCCAGTCAGGCATAAGTGGTGATCATATAATTAGACTAATTGATGATTTTTTGTGTAGCGAATATTTTTTAAACCAGTTATTTTATTCGACCAGAGTGTGGGAGCAGACTTTCAGGTGGGTATGTACGTTCGAGATTCAACGATTGAGCATAATTCAATAATCCCTGAAGCACCTTTTACTTCCCAGATTCCAATAGTGTATGTCCAATTTAGAGCGGTATTCTAAATATACTTCACTCCTGGAATTCCAAGGCGCCTCATAGTGGGTATGCGTTTGAGGGAGTCCGCTATAACTCAACATGGCTCCCTTCTCACCAATAATTAAATCTGACATACACTCTTACTCTGCTTGGAATTTAACCTCGCTACTCTGAATATACAATTACCCATACTTCGAATACCAAAGTAAAAGGTTTGGCCTTGAGTCTTGCTTTATAGATACAAATTCTGAGCCTCAGCCGTTCACCTTTCGGAAAAAAAGCCTTAGCTGACTTTCCGTTTACAGCACATGCGATTAAGCCGTGGGCACGTGAGGGAAAAAAGCTGGCCTAGAGCGCGCCGAAAAGCGGGCCGAAAAATTCCAGAGATGAGAAGTTGATACGACGATGGGCCCAGGAGGAACCGGCGCATTGCGCCGAGAATTTACCAATTCTATAAACTTCAAGATCAAAGAGGGTAGTAACGGAGGTTTTATTACTTGGGGGAGGATAGTATATAACTACGCAGGTCTGATTGTGCAGACGAAACGTTAACTCTATAAAATGCACAGATAAGACCTTACGGCATTTTGCAACCGAAGGATAGACAAAGAAAACTACTTTTTGGGCAATTGGCTGGAAAGTGGTATATAGACGGGTAATGAGTTCATGTTGAAAGTTGTTGCTCAGACTGGTGCCTGCATTGCCATATCGCGGGGTTTAAACAACGAAAGGTAGTACGAGGAGCGGAGAGGATAGGCACCCTTTTACCATATACGTAATATATTGAGCATGCCTGTACATATCCTTAATACTACATAATAAGCTCTCTGTTGGTATAACCAAGCGCTGATAAGAGGCCATTGATTTGCAACCACTGATAAGAAAAAAGAAACGCGCAATCGTCAATCGGTTTAAAGTTTATTTCCGCATGCTTAATTATACAGTTACGCCGCACCGTACCGGCCTTGCATATGCCTGGTTTTTAATTAAAGGTATGCATAAACCACTAAGCAGAAGGCTGAGAAAGATTGAATTGTAAAACCTTGTCGACATAGAACGATCAAGACTATAACACAGAGCCGGTTTTCAGTGTACTTAATGCTCGTGGCGCATCCGCCGATGCTGCCGCGCTGAGACTTTACCATTTATCAGAAACTACCGCTTAACATACAGATGAAACTAAAAATATCAATAGCCAGGGCTTATTGTCAAGGATCGACTACGTAAAGTCACATGTCAGCACATATACTATACTGTAAAGGTGCCTTTTACGGCGGTGCTTATCAGAGACAATCCGGAAGCAGCTGGTATTGCGGCTTCCAGGGCGTTTATCTCTATATACCAGTAGTAAGGCGGATATCCCATGCCGCATCGAGGTCCGGATACCCTTTAGTGTCTACGCAATCTGAATGTACAGGGGAGAATATACGAGGTAATGTCTATCTATAGCCAGAACCTAATTAGAAGGCTATCAGATACCTACGCTTTTACAAGATACACAATCTGTTATCAATCACATTAGAGAATGAAGTGAGCCTTTTGATAAGAGTCAATTGAACTGGAAAAGATTCAATCAACATTACAATATAAATAATAGGTCCGTTTCCGGTTCGAGTTATCACTTAGACATGAGTATCTCATTATACGCGCAGTTAGTGTCTTCCGCTTATCTGAGCCTCCATCTTAACCGAACCTCCATCTGAATATATAAAAACACCAGTATGTCTGATGCGTACGTTCCTCTTTCACAGGGAGTTGGATACGGCGTTGTTGTGGGTCTTGGCGCTGCCTTTGCCATTGGGATGATTCTCACCACCTCCGTCCTCCGTCGCTACCAGCGAGAAATCATCACCGCCGAAGAGTTTGCGACCGCTGGTAGGTCCGTCAAAACCGGCTTGATTTCTGCCGCAGTTGTCTCTTCTTGGACTTGGGCTGCCACATTACTCCAATCCACCTCCCAGGCCTACAAAAATGGTGTTTCCGGTCCATTCTTTTACGCCGCCGGTGCCACTGTCCAAATCGTCCTCTTTGCCTGTCTCGCAATCAAGGCAAAGCAAAAGGCTCCACAGGCCCACACCTATTTGGAAATCGTCAAGGCCCGCTACGGGGTGGCTGCCCACTCCGTGTACATGTTCTTTGGGCTTGCTACCAACATCCTAGTGACAGCCATGCTTCTTACAGGTGGCTCGGCGGTGGTTAACGACCTCACAGGAATGCACGTTGTTGCGGCCTGTTTCCTTTTACCCCTCGGAACGGTGGTCTACACCCTTTTTGGGGGTATCAAGGCTACTTTTCTTACCGATTACGTTCACACCGTCATCATCGTGGTGATTATCCTCATTTTCGCCTTCACAACCTACGCCACCAACAACGTCCTAGGCTCTCCTAGCGTGGTCTACGACAAGCTTGTCGCCTTGGCGTCGGAGACCCCGGTTGTGGGCAATGCCGAAGGCTCTTACCTCACCTTGAAGTCTCGCTCTGGGGGGATTTTCTTTGTAATCAACATTGTGGGTAATTTCGGTACCGTCTTCTTGGACAACGGTTACTGGAACAAAGCCATCGCCTCTTCCCCAGCGTCAGCCTTGCCCGGTTATGTGCTTGGTGGGCTTGCGTGGTTTGCGGTTCCATTCTTGACTGCCACTACAATGGGCCTTGCGGGCTTGTGTCTTGAGAGTGATCCTTCCTGGCCAACCTACCCAAACAGGTTGACTCCTGACCAGGTCTCTGCCGGTTTGGTGCTTCCTAACGCCGCGGTCGCTCTTCTCGGTAAGGGTGGGGCTGTATGCTCTTTGCTTCTCATTTTTATGGCTGTTACCTCCGCCATGTCCGCGGAACTCATTGCTGTGTCTTCGATTTTCACTTATGATATCTACAGACCATACGTGAACCCAAACGCCTCGGGTAAGCGTCTTATAATGATCTCCCATGCCTCTGTGGTTGGCTTTGCGCTTATCATGGCCGCTTTCTCCACTGGATTGTACTATGCTGGAGTCTCTATGGGGTACTTGTATGAGCTTATGGGGACCATCATTGGTGGTGCCGTCTTACCAGCGGCATTGACGTTGCTCTGGGGCAAACAAAATGCCATTTCGGTCATTGTGGCCCCTATTGGCTCCACCCTACTTGCGATTATGGCATGGTTGGTGTGCACCAAGGCCAAGTTTAAGTGGATCTCCGTGGACAACACCTTCGAGGACGATGCTATGCTCACCGGTAACCTTGTGGCGTTGTTGACACCATGTATATTGGTTCCAATCCTCACGTATTCCTGTGGTCCTCAGAACTTTGACTGGAACATCTTGAAGAATATCAAACGTGTGGATGAGACTACCGAGATCATCGAGGCAACCGAAAAGTACAACAGCCCAGACGTTGAGGCTAGTGCCGAAAATAATTCTGACCACTCGACTGCCGAAGTGAAGACGGAGTTGGAAACCCACGCCGAGGATTTACACCCGGTGAAGTCGGTGCTTGGGAACATCGCATTGGATGTCGCCGTCACCAGAGTCGACGAAATCGCCAAGGAAGAAGCCCTTCTCAAACGCTCAGCGAAGATTGCCGGGATAATCTGCATCACATTAACCCTCTGTCTCTTGATTCTTTGGCCAATGCCGATGTACGGCACTGGCTACGTGTTTTCCAAGAAGTTCTTCACCGGCTGGGTTTGCGTGGGGATCATCTGGATCTTCTTCACGGCCGGTATGGTTTGTGTATACCCGATCTACGAGGCCAGACACGGGATATTCACACTGGCCAGGGGTATATACTGGGACTTGACGGGTCAGAGCTGGAAATTGAGAGCGTGGCAGACCGAGCATCCGGAGGAGTTGCATGTGGTCAAGTCTCAGATCGAGACAGAGTTACATCGCGAAGGCGGCGAGATGACTTTGATGCAGAGACTCGCAGAGTAATTTTTGGAATAATACAGGCTTAATTTGAGCTAAAGCGTAGTTGAGTAGGGATTTTGCGTACGTTATATAACCTTTGCCACGGTGCTTCAGCTTTCGTCTACGGAAGCTTGTTATCCCAGAATCCGGGACCCGGCAAGAATTCGCCAAAGTGGTGGGGAGATAGGCTCACGATTACATGCACGGGACTAAAACGATCAAATACTCCAAACAGAGCTAAAACCAGTTATTCCAAGAGTCTAAAAGGTTATCCGACCTGGTTCCAGCCGAGAAATAAAGTTACCAAGCGATCTAAGAATGCAAGGAATTAATCTGGGGTGTCAGGGAAAACGCATCTACCGTTTACCCCTATGCAAGGGATGGTCACATGACTGTTCTGATGAGAAATGAAGGAAAAGTATCCGAATCTAGAACTAACGGGCCGAAACGGGAAAAACGGCGATGAGAGATTATATTTTGTAGTCGTTGCGTATGAGCTTAACCGTCGATCGGGTCAAATTCCAATAAAAGGGCCGTATTCGCAGTCAGTTGTCCGACGGCATACGGAACTGTGGGGTAATTTCCACCAGTGTGAATTTCCAAGGAAGCATAAACGGAATCCAAACCAGCGAAAAAAGGGATTTCTTACTTAGAATCCCTAAATATCAATCAGTAAATGTGACTTTACTTTACATTGGTAGTGCTCATTGTAATTATGTTAATAAACGGGTAATGAATAGGTGATAAAACCATGAACTACAAAAAGAAAATCGCTATGACACCAATTAGTGTCAAGCGTCCCCGCTTATCTGGTTCCGTTTTGGGATGCGGTAAACCCCGGGCCCTTATCTACACACGATCGCTATCGGATTGTACCGTTAAGGTTCCTGCACGCTTGATAGGATAACGTTTCGGCCAAGCCAAAGCTTATACGGTGATCTACTACTGGCATACTACAATCTGGGCATGCTCACCTGAACCACCTTCATAAAGTTGTACTTGTAGAGACATAGAGCAATTTAATTTACCCTATATAGGCGGGCTATTCCTCAACCCAGTGCCATTTATGTGCCACGGACATTAAAGAACTCCTCCAAGTGCACACGTGACTGCCTCATGCTTCCCCATGCTCATTGGCCGATCATTCTCGGCGTGATGCGGCGTCCTGCATGGAGCAAAATCTTTTTACTCCATGCAGGATGCAAAACCGAGATTTCAGATAACGTTAGAGGCTGTTGATAGCGATAGACGCCAGACAAGGGACTAATTTATATCTCAAGCCATTATTGACTAGTTATGAATATATAAACGCTAGTACCCCCGGGGCTACTATTCTCACAGACGTCGCCAAACACTGAACTGCCTCGACCTAACCTAGCGTTGCTCGCCGCATTTTATCGTTGACACCTTGCTATTTATTTTATTTTACACAACAGCCAGACTTGTTTGTTCGTCTTTATCTGAAAACTGATCTCAGATATCCTTCTCCAAATAACCAGCCTCTGGCCTACCTTTGACTGATGGTTTCTACTTCCGGCTGGACCGTGCCCCAGTGGCGCCAATACCACGCGGCCGCTACGCCCGCCGAATCGCTCGCGACGCTTGTTGCGCTTGTTGCACGCGAACAGGTTGCTCCCTCGGACCCTGCATGGATTTCGCTCGCATCGCCTGAAGAGCTCGCACACCAGTTCCGCGTGTTGTGCGCGCGGCCTGCGGCTGCCCTGCTCCCACTCTACGGTGTGCCCGTCGCCGTCAAAGACAATATCGACGCGCGCGGCTTCGCCACCACCGCCGCGTGCCCCTCATTTGCGTACACCCCTACGGAGGACTCTGCGGTCGTCGCGCGCCTCCGTGCGGCCGGCGCCATTATCGTCGGAAAGACCAACATGGACCAGTTTGCAACCGGTCTTGTCGGCACCCGTAGCCCGTACGGGCGCACGCCGTGTGCGTTCTCCGCCGAACACGTTTCTGGTGGGTCCTCTGCGGGCTCCGGCGTGGTTGTCGCGCGCGGAACTGTGCCGCTTGCGCTCGGCACCGATACCGCGGGCTCGGGACGCGTGCCCGCAATGCTCAACAACGTGATCGGGCTCAAGCCTTCATTAGGTGTGTTTTCATGCGCGGGAGTAGTGCCCGCATGCAAATCGCTCGACTGTGTGTCAGTGTTTTCGTTGACGGTTGGCGATGCGCAGGCCGCGATGAGCGTGTTGGCGCACGCCGAGACTGACCCGCGCGATCCGTATGCGCGCGTCATGCCGCGTGCGCCGCTTCGCGAGTTTGCGCCCAACCGCAAGCTCGTCGTAGCCGTGCCGACCGCCTTGGAGTTCTACGGCGAGGCGCACAATCCACGCCTTTTCCATGCGGCCGTCGAGACGCTTCAGGGTATGACAGACGCCGAGGTCGTCTATAGAGACATTGCTCCGTTGTTGGAACTTGCCAAGTGCTTGTATGATGGGCCGTGGGTCGCAGAGCGTTGGACTGCGACGCGCGCATTCCTTGCAACGAACCCGCCAGCTGCGGACCTCGACCCCACTGTGCTCGGCATTGTCAAGAGCGGCGAACCAATCACGGCGACCGCCGCGTTCGAGGGTGAGTACAAACGCCGCACCATCTTGCGCCGCGTCGAGGCGTTGCTCGCGAACGTGGACGTGTTGGTGGTGCCGACCGCGCCACTCAACCCAACCATGGCCGCGGTCGCGGCCGAACCTGTTGCGGTCAACTCGCGCCAGGGAACCTACACAAACTTTTGCAACCTCGCGGACATGGCGGCCGTCGCGGTTCCTTCAGGCTTTCGTCCCGACGGCTTGCCGTTTGGGATCACGTTCGTCGGCGCAAAGTTCACCGACTACGCATTGCTCGACGTGGCGCAGAAGTTCCTCGCAGCGCATCTCCCTGAGCGCCTCCTCGGTGCGACACAGCAGCGTGTGGGTTCTGGTGACGTGCTCGACCGCACATTGCCTGAGCCTGACATGGACGCGTGCATCGAGCTTGCAGTAGTTGGCGCGCACTTATCTGGCCTTCCGCTCAACTGGCAGTTGCGCCAGTGCCAGGCGGTGCTCCGCCGTGCGACCACCACCAGTGCGTGCTACCGCCTCTATGCATTGCCACAGAACGGGCCTGTCGCGAAGCCGGGCTTGCGCCGCGTCACGGAAGACGGTGCAGAGATTGCCGTCGAAGTGTACGCGATGCCGCGTGTACATTTCGGTGACTTCCTCGCGATGGTCCCGGAGCCGCTTGCGATTGGCTCGTGCGAGCTCGCTGACGGTACCTGGGTCAAGGGCTTTGTGTGTGAGGAGTCTGGGTACGCTTCTGGCGCCACTGACATTACCTCCTTTGGCGGCTGGCGCGCGTACCAGCAGCATAAGCGTGCAGCGAAGCCGTTCGAGTGTGTGTTGGTTGCCAACCGTGGTGAGATCGCCGTGCGCATGATTAAGACGCTCAAGAAGATGGGGATCCGCTCAGTCGCCGTATATTCCGACCCGGATAAGCACGCGCAGCACGTGCACGACGCGGACGTAGCGATTGCGCTCGGTGGCATCACCGCCGCGGACACGTACCTCGACCCATCCAAAATCCTCGCAGCCGCTGCTGAGACCGGGGCGCAGGCGATTCTTCCGGGCTACGGCTTTTTGTCAGAGAATGCGGATTTTGCGGATATGTGCGCCACGCACGGCGTGGTATTTGTGGGGCCCTCGGGCGATGCGATGCGCGCGTTGGGGTTGAAACACTCTGCGCGTGCGCTCGCCGAAGCTGCGGGTGTGCCACTTGTTCCTGGCTCTGGACTCGTTCCTGACGCTGCGAGCGCCGCTACCGCCGCGGCAAGCCTCGGCTACCCTGTCATGGTCAAGTCGACTGCGGGTGGTGGTGGTATCGGGCTCCAGCGCGTAGACTCTGCGGCAGATATCGAGCGCGTTTTTGCGACGGTGCTGCACCAGGGCCAGGCGTACTTCGGCGACAGCGGCGTTTTTATCGAGTGCTTTGTCACGGACGCGCGCCACGTGGAGGTACAAATCGTTGCTGATGGCCGTGGTGGCGCTCTCGCGGTGGGGGAGCGTGACTGCTCGTTGCAGCGCCGTAACCAGAAGGTGATCGAGGAAACACCCGCGCCACGCCTCCCGGAGGTGACACGCGCGGCGATGTGCGCGGCTGCGACCAGTCTTGCAGCATCCATGCGCTACAAGGGTGCGGGCACCGTTGAGTTCATTTACGACGCTGCGCGCGACGCGTTCTACTTCCTCGAGGTCAACGCACGCTTGCAGGTCGAGCACCCCGTCACGGAGATGTGCACGGGTGTAGACCTTGTTGAGTGGATGTTGATGATCGCGGCTGACACGCCGCCGGATCTTTCGGTACCGGTTATCGCGCGCGGCGCGTCTATGGAGGCGCGTATTTACGCGGAGAACCCCGTCAAGGGCTTCTCACCTTCGCCCGGCCAGCTCACCGAGGTGAAATTCCCCGCCTGGGCGCGTGTCGACACCTGGGTCTCTGCCGGTACCGTTGTGTCGTCCGAGTACGACCCGACGCTTGCGAAGGTCATTGTGCACGGGCGTGATCGTGCGGAAGCGCTTGCGAAGCTCTGCCGCGCACTCGACGAGACGGTGATCTTTGGCTGCACGACCAACCTTGACTACCTCCGCCTGATCGCGCGCTCTGAGATGTTTGCAGACGCGCGTGTTGCGACCAGCGTGCTTGACTCGTACGACTATACGCCACCAGCGGTGGAGGTGGTTGCGCCGGGCGCATACACCACCGTTCAGGACTACCCAGGTCGTACAGGGTATTGGCACGTCGGGGTCCCACCGTCGGGGCCAATGGACGACTACGCATTCCGCATGGCAAACCGCGCAGTTGGTAATGCACGCGGCGCTCCCGGGATTGAGATTACGCTCGCCGGGCCAACTCTTCGCTTCCACGCGGATGCTGTCGTCGCGCTTGCAGGTGATGCGACTGCAACGCTCAATGGTACGCAGATCGACCTCTGGGCGCCGGTGCACGTTGCGCGCGGCGACACCTTGGCCGTGGGTAAGCTCACATCGGGCTGCCGTGCGTATCTCGCGGTGCGCGGGGGACTCGAGGTCGGCGAGTATCTCGGCTCGCGCTCGACCTTTGCGCTCGGCAACCTCGGTGGGCACAACGGGCGCGTATTGAAGGTGGGTGACGTGCTCTTTGTCGGGCAGCCGCGTGCGGGGTGCACGTTGCCAGCACCGGAAACCGTGCCACGTGCCGTGCCGCGCCTGTTGGTGCCAACGTTCACGCGCGAATGGACTGTCGCGGTCACCTGTGGCCCTCACGGTTCGCCAGACTTTTTCACGCGCGAGTCCGTCGTAGCCTTCTTCGCGGCCACCTGGAAGGTGCACTACAACTCGAACCGCTTCGGGGTGCGCCTCGTAGGGCCTAAGCCGGTGTGGGCACGCGCAGACGGTGGCGAAGCGGGGCTCCATCCCTCGAACGCGCACGACTACGTGTACTCTCTCGGCGCGATCAACTTTACCGGCGATGAGCCGGTGATCTTGACATGCGACGGCCCTTCGCTCGGCGGGTTTGTGTGCCAGGCGGTTGTGGCGCAGGCGGAGATGTGGAAGATCGGGCAGGTCAAGCCGGGCGATGCAATCACGTTTGTGCCAGTAAGCTTCGATGCCGCGCGGACACTCAAGGAGGCGCAAGATGCGGCGGTCGCGTCTTTCGACGGCCCTCTCCCGGCCATCTCCTCCATCTTACCTGAGCTCCAAGATCCGGTTTTAAAGACCCTCAAGGCGGGCGAGGCGCCATCCGTGGTATATCGCCAGGCGGGTGACCGCTACGTGTTAGTGGAGTACGGTGCGAACTTGATGGATCTTAACGTTGCATACCGTGTGAACCAGCTTGTGGAGAAGGTGCAGTCTGACCAGACGGTGGGGATCGTTGAGATGAGTCGCGGGGTTCGCTCGGTGTTGGTGGAGTTTGCAGGGGTGACGCAGGCGGAGGTGGTGGCGACGCTCGTTGCGTACGAGTGCGAGATTCCATTTGCGCGCGACTGGACGGTACCATCGCGCGTAATCCGCCTCCCGATGGCGTTCGAGGATAAGAAGACGCTCGACGCGGTCACGCGCTACGCGGAGACCATCCGTGCGGACGCGCCGTGGTTGCCGAACAATGTGGACTTTGTCGCACAGATCAACGGCGTGGACCGTACGGAGATCCGCGACATGCTCTACGCCGCGCGTTTCCTCGTGCTTGGGCTCGGGGACGTGTTCCTTGGCGCACCTGTTGCGGTGCCATTGGACCCGCGCCACCGTTACCTCGGCACCAAGTACAACCCGTCACGCACATACACCCCTAATGGTACAGTGGGTATCGGTGGGATGTACATGTGTATCTACACCATGGAGTCACCTGGCGGGTACCAGCTCGTGGGGCGCACGATTCCGATCTGGGACAAGCTTGCGTTGGGCAGCCACACGAACGGTCAGCCGTGGTTGTTGACTCCGTTTGACCAAGTCGAGTTCTATCCGGTTAGTGAGGCTGAGATTGATGTGATGTATGAGGAAGCCCAGGCGGGGCGTTTCGTTGTTGATGTGGTGGAATCCGTGTTTGACCACGGGAAGTACCTCCAGTGGACGGATGCGAACGCGGAGAGCATCAAGGAGTTCCAGGACAACCAGGGCGGTGAGAAACTCGAGGACTTTACGCGTTTGATCCAGGTGTCGAATGCCGAGTTGGAGCGCGCGCCTGCACGCATGGATGACGGGGAAAAGTTTTCTGAGAATGCCGAGCGGGTTTACTCTGAGTACTCGGGGCGCTTCTGGAAGCCGTTGGTCGCGGTAGGCGATGTTGTGGTGGCAGGCCAGGCCTTGGTGGTGGTAGAGGCAATGAAGACGGAAATGGTGGTGAGCGCGCAAACCGGAGGGAAGGTGGTGAAGATTGTGCATGTCAACGGAGATATGGTTGATTCGGGGGATGTAGTGGCTATCATTGAGAGTAGTGAATGTGAGATCACTGCGTTGGCAAAGGAGACGAGCCATTTACTGGTTGTGTGCTAGACAAGCTTAGAGATTTAAGAGCCTCATCTTCCCTTTCGTGTCTGTATATTAATTTATTTCAATTTATTAAAACTAGTGGAAGGGAAAGTTAAGAGTAATTGGCAGGCGAAGCTTATGATTAGAGGATTGGGTGGAACCGGCAGCACGTCCTAAAACGGTTTAATTTCGTATTCCCTGGAATATTATCAGAGCAAGGGTGTTCTAAACGGCCATATACATGCATTTGTAAGTTAATGTACTTGCCTATTGTGATCAACAAAGTCTGTTTGAGCTCTCTTGCTTCCCGTTTATACCTATGGAACGGCCAGGCTAGTAAGGTGAAGCAAATACCCATATCTAGGCTTCAAATCAGAGCTGTATCACGACAACTATATGGCAAAGCGATAGTAAGGCAGAGGACACCTATTTTAGCGATACTAGCAATGGTAGATGCAATTTTGTTATTATTGAGGAGTTGGACTATAAAGCGACACCAGTAAATCGTTTTGTAGTATGACCTGATACAGAGAAATCAGTCTGTGGTGTAACTTATAGAGCAATAGCCATGATAGCTCTTGTTTCAAACTAATCGCTAGAAATTAGGGATCAGGATATAAATTATAATCCCGTTTATTCAACTGTTGTTGACCTACACTTCCAACATATCTTCACCATACGCTGCTTGTATACTTCCCTGGTTCTGCATGGGCTAAATATCTTCACGATCACGTGTCATATATCACGTGTAACCAGCAAAGCCGTTTACTTTGACAATACTTTAAGGCTCCAAGTTGCTCCAAGACATCCTCGCACTCTCCACATCCAATGAATACAATGAGCGATACTGAGCAGAAACTTTGCTTAGCTGTATCCTGGCTTGCCTCACAGCTGCTTACCGATGACATTGCTACCGCCATTGCCTCGTCGCAGCTTTCCGATGACACCCTTGCCGTCATATTAGCCACTCTTCTCGTGATGATCCCGGAATTTTCCGATGCCGATGCAGTTACTGGGCTAGTAAACACCATTTTGAGTCCAAGTAATACCGACTATGTCGATACAGAGGAAGCTTTGGGCATGTTGATCACCAGACACCCCGAGCTCTCCACGGTTTGCGGCTCTCACACCTACTCCCGATTCAACGCTCTCAGAACCTATGTTACCGCTGAGGCGGAGCTTCTAAAGCTCAGTTCCAGTCCCTCGTCGGCTGGCTTTGCCAAAGCGTACATTAGGAAGAATAACCTTCTTGTGCACGATCTCCGATTCAGCACGTTTGCCGTCCCCCAGCTGGAGTTTGACACCTGGCAGCAAGGGATCGTGGCTCCGTTGACGTGGTTACAACAGCTTTCCAGCAACATCTCGCTAGTGGAATTTGAATCCTTATCTGAATCCGACGCGTTCGACTACCTCGTTTCGTTTGTCACCGAAGCAAACGTGGATGCCGTCTGTGAGAATGTCTTGAACCCGTACTTGCGATACACAACCTACCAGATTCTCATCAACTGGTTGTTTCAGCAGGAGCGTTCAACCAGTTCCCTAGAGACCAAGTATCATATTCTCAAATCGTTGGTGGTGTTCTTTGCAACACGACTTCTGCTGGAAGACTTGGAGAAGTTGGTGAACGTGTTTTTGAGCCTTTGTTACTGCTGTCCGAGTGTGTCGTTGCCAATATTCCTTTCCATCAAGGAGACATTGGCGGTGTTGAGCGATCTCAATTTGCCACAGGGCAAGCCTGGCTTCGAAACTTCTCAGACCCTTGAGAACGCAACGGTGTTTGACTTCTCCCAGCTAGGCATCTGCCAGCCGACCAAGGTGTCTATCAAGCACCTCTCCACAGTGATCGAGACAGCTGAACAGCTCTATCTGAACAACCTCTCCTTTATGGACATCCTCCACCTCAGCTCTGCCACTGCGGAGCAACAGATGCTCCAGTTAGAGACTCTATTTTCGCGTACCGTACCGCAAATCACCTCTGCCAAAGACTGGACTGCGTTTGTCAGCTCTACTTACAGGTTATATTCACATTCCCAGATCTTCAGCCAGATCAAGAGGGAGGATTTCAACTGGTATGTTTTTCAGACCCTCGTGACCCACCAGCAATACACCGTGCTTGAAGCTTCCAGAAGCAGCATAGCCCAACTAGGTGAGCTTGATTCGCAAAGGGTGTCAAAGGAATTGGCCTCTAGGTTTTGGTTAGAAGTGGAGCAAGCCACCAATTTGAACTCTTCGTTGTCGCATCTTTCCAGCGCGAAGCTCATTCTACGCTTGATGGGCGACGAGTACCCTCATTGCAAAAGCGCCATGACAGTTTTCGACACCCTCAAAAATTTCAAGTTCCACTTGGAGAAAAACGTCCCTGTGACCCCCTACGCGCTATTGAAACAGATCCGCGCCAACTACTTTGTAGTGTTGGAAAGGATCTTGGAGCTTAATAGCAAATCTTACTACGCCCCCGAGAAGTTAAAGAGACTCTCGTATGAAATGGATGCCATCAGCGTAAACCATCGCACGACCGTGGAGCAGGACTTGCGGCTGATGACGCTCTGTGCAGAGTCCGCATTGGCCGACGACAACTTCAAGTACGCGTACAACTTTGCCACCAAGCTTTTGAAAGAACACTCCAAGGAAGAGCTCCATCCGTTCTGGCTCACCTTTTACCAGGTGGGCAGATATACATCCCCGTCATGGAGCGAGGAAGTTCGCGAGATCTGGCAGCAGCAATTAGAGGTGCTCTCGCAGACCTTGCTCTTGCTTCCTGACAACCAGTTGGAGATTAAAAAGTTGGTGTTGGACCAGTGGTATACGTTGAACGCGCGGTTGCGGGAAACCGGCCAGAATCTCAGTTTAAATGAAGAGAGAGCCGAAAAGGGCCTTGAGAAACGCTTTACCGCTGCGCTTGCGTCAGGGGTCAAGGAGCTAGGGATCGACCGTAAGCACGCACTCCAGGCAGCCAATGACACTACCGAGAAGGTGTCGAATCTCTTGGTGAGTGGACTTGGCTGGGCGATTGGTGCTACTCCTCCGGCATAAGCCAACGAATGAACTCAAGACGGAGTTGTCCTGATTGGTGATAAAGTGGTATGTTTAACGGAGGGTGTGTGTGTCTGCATTCAGCATGTAGTAACAAGCAGCTTACCACACCCGATAAGGGCTAAGAACGTTATTTTCGCATAATATTCTCTTATACCCTCCTAGTCCCATTGCAATAAGAGATCTTGGTCCAAAAACATTTACATCTGTCGAATATCGTTGAGTCGGATTCTCAGGTGGTTCGAGGAAGGATTTTTTGAGAATAAAAAACCAGCTAAGGTCTATATAAATCAAAATTCACATTAGGGCTCTGAGAAGCACTGTATAACATCTGATTCATATGCATATATCTCGAATTCTTCCGGTTAGCCACCTTGTGCAAGAGCTAGCTTTAATGCCTTGGTATCTTTGAGAACGAGAGCCCATCTGATCGGTTCTCAAAGTACTGCCTACCTACATCCCAGTAAATTGAAATTAGCCCCCTATCAGACATCCTTATAGCCTAAATATACATCTCTACCTTAATAATAGCCCAGTTGGTAGTAGCTGCCCTTCTTGGCCATTCTCTCTGCAGCCTCTCGCTTCTTCTGCAACGCCTCCTGAGCCATTCGCGCGCGGTTCTGGCGCTTCTCCAGTTCGCTAAGATGTGCGGATGCACGGTAGCTAGGATCCCTTGGGTCCTGGGGATCAAAGAGGCTATACTCCTCCTTTACCTCGCTCCCTAGTTTCTTCACGCCCTCTATAGCCTCTTCGGCACTCACAAGTGTTTCGTAGAAGCGGCTCACCTCCCGATGGATCTTCACCTTAGTGGGATCAAAGTTCAACACTTGCAATGAGGTTCTGGAGACGGCACGCGACAACGCCACGTAGGCCTGGCCGACCTCAAACGTCCTGCGAAGATCCACCTTCAACTTTGGAATGGTCTGGCCCTGGGATTTGTGGATCGACAAGGACCACGCGAGAATAAGCGGTACCTGGCGACGGTACACCAACTTCTTGCCGTTGTCATCGTCGACCGACCACTCCTCGTACTCTACAAGCACGTCTCGGGTGGTGCCGTCCGTACAGGAAAACCGCACGAGCGGAAGCTTCTGTCTGTGGGAGGCGGTGTAGATGTCTTTGATCAACGCGCATTTGCGCTCTATGGCTTCGAGCTCCAGGCTCATCAACCCCTCCTTGGCTATATGCTTGGTGAAATCAAACACACTGTCGTCAAGGGGATCATACACAGGCACTTCCTGTGACACCGGCAAGAGCTGGGACGACGACAACGCCTCCAAGGCTTCACGGCGCACCTGCTCTGCTTTTTCTGCCTCTCGTTTCACAATGGTAAGCTTCTTCTTGAGCAACTTCTCATCGGCCACGTCGAATGGGTTCTGCTCCACGTCTCGGTAGCACATGTACGTTTCGCGGTCGACAAACTCAATAACCTTGCCGAGAGAGCCGTTCACAAGCGTCTCGTCGATATTCTTGATCATCATCACCTGCGCGTGTTTCTTCAATGTCAACTTTTCCGGCGCAAGAAAGTTGGTCAACGCCTTCATACGCTGCGGCTGGGGCATGCTGCCACCGTCGTGGGAATGAAAGTCCACCTTGTTCCCGGGAAGCTTTCCCAAGCGTAAGAGGTTCGCCCGTTCGACTTCCAGGCGCGTGGGGAAGAGCTCAGCTGGCTCGATCCCGTCATCAGTGCGCAACGGCCGGCTAAGCGAGTTGAACCGGGTGCGTGTGCGTTCCGAAATCTGCCCTTTCCGCATCTCGTTCAACATCTCCACAAAGTCCATATCGCCCTTCTGTCTGAACACTTCCTGCAACACAATCGTGTGGTCGATGCATACAGGCCACATTTGTGACTGGAACGCAAACGGCGTAGGGTTATCCGGGTCTTTTGACACCGGCGGAAGTTGGTAGAAGTCGCCGCAAAAGATGAGCTGGATACCCCCGAACGGCTCCTGGTTTTTGCGCACACCCTTGGCGATGTAGTCAAGCTTGTCGAGTAAGTCGCCGTCAATCATGGAGATTTCGTCGATAATGAGCAACTTGCAGAGCCGCCACTTTAACGAGTTCTTTTTGTTCGTGCGCACCTTCTTACACAACTTTTCCGCCGGCCCCTCACCCAAACCCACTCCCGCGAAGGAGTGGAGGGTACAGCCGCCAATGTTCACGGCCGCCAAGCCCGTGGATGCCGTCACCGCTACAGCGCCCTCATCTTTGTGGATCGCGCGCATCGCCTTAATGAGCGACTTCAACAAGATGGACTTACCCGTACCGGCTGACCCGGTGTAGAACAAGCTGACGCCTTGCTTGGCGAGATTGATCACGTGCTGTTGCTCTTTGGAAAGACAGAACGGCTGCACCGTCTTGGGGTTTGCGGGCATGTTCTCTTTAGTGACTGATACCAGCGCCAGGTCATCGGAAACGGTGGGAGGGCGCTGTGTGGCGAGCTCAATCGTGTTGTGGTAGGACTTTCGCGCGGCCACCGCGGAACTAGACGAGGAGGTCGTGATGGGACGTTTGAAAAGAGGCTGGGGATTTGGGTTGGTGCCAAAACCCAGAGTGCGCGTCAGAGGTAGATGACTGACAGACGCAGGTTGCGACGTCGTATTAACAAGTAGTTTGGGCTGCAGTGTCTGACTGGCAGGCTGGCCCTCCTCAACTAGTACCGAACCACCCTGGCTACTCACTTGACCAATCGATGCTCTGAGTTCTCTGGTCTTGCGCAGCGGGCTCTGGTCGAACAGAGACTGAGATAAATGCTCCTTGTAGTTGGCCATTCTCCACTCCTTGACGTTTTCTGGAGTTTCTGGAATGTTTCTCCGCTTGTACAAGGTTTCCGTCCGGTGCCAGGACGGCGACGAGCTGATACTGGTGTTTTGAGAGCTGTGCACCTTTATTGGGGAAGGGCAGCTATCTGCCCGCCCAGCCTTCACGTGCAGAGTGGCAGTCTGACTTCCTGGCAAAGAAACCGCTCCCAGCTCACGGTTATGTGGCATACAGGGGGTCATAGCCGGCGTGGGGGAAGATGGAAAATTTGCGTGATTTTCTCTTTGAGAAAAATAAGGACTGACTCTTATAGCAGCACACATATCCCTTTGTAGGGGCGTTGGGCTAAAATTCAAGACGGGGGTCGCTCTCAGCGAGGCGGTCGTATCCAGGCCGTTGCTCTGAGACTGTTTCGCGATATCCATCCCCTGGTGGAGCTGGGCACTGAGGACATTCATAGATCCAGAGAGTTGAGACGAGATCTGTTGAGCGGAGTCAGTACGGTCAAGGTCCAGATCTAATGCCAATGCTGACATGGATTCCACGCTGTCGGATATCTCTGGCGAGACACTTCTCGTTGGATTCTCTAATTCTCTGATTGGCCTCAGCAACGTCACATCTAGATCACCCAAGGCGTGATCTTGGCTGCGCTGGGGGCTCTCCAGCATCTTTGTAAACATGTTCATCGCAAAGCCGTTCACTGGGGAGCTGGGGAAGTTCGAGCATACTGAATCGTTCCTCAACGGTGAAGCCTTTGTCGGGGACGATGGTTTCTCTAGGATCCGCTTCATCTCTTCCTCGTCAATACTCCCAAACGACAGACTCCGGTTAAAGGTAAAGGACGAAAGGAGCGGTTTTTGCAGGTGTGGCGAGGTTCGGAAGTCGCCCCTTTCATCGGGCCAGGACGAAAACACCTGCGTGTTTTCTTTCCACGTAAGGGTCTGGGATTGCTCTTGTTTCACAAGAGGGGGTGACTTAATCTGGGTAACGACCTTATCCATTTGCAGCCTGACTCTTTCTTCCTTCGCTTCGGCCCATGAGAAGTCTTCATCGCTGAACGTGACGTCTGCTAGCAATTCAGCATTGGTGATGGCCGTGCCGTGGAACTTTTTCGGGGATAAGCTGAGCTTTTGGTCCATTCCGATAGCGTAACTCTGGATACACAAAAGGGACCTTGGGTATATTCTTCGCCCACTCGATATGGTCACAGCAAGCATCAACGGTGTCTATTCTATACCGTATCGCGCTGTGAATTATCAAATAGCAGCAAATACGACGGAGTTGTATCAAGTCAGCTAACGGACTGGTGGGGTGTGTTATTAAGCTTCAGCTAAGCACTGGCTAATGGAGTGTAGATATCTGGCAACAACCTCTGTATTGCCACACAATTTGAGTAAATTTTTCCGCGCACGCGCACGCGTAAATGATGCGTCAATTTTATCACCTGAAATAAGATCAGAGTACAGTGGAAGACAATGACAGTTACAGAGCTTGTGTGGAATCAGATCAAGATTTCCGAAAGGGTATGTAAAGAGGATACAAAAATAAAATGAGTGGGAATGGATGAGGTTTGGTGAGTGTCGCGTTGACTCCAGATCAGTTGGCGTAAGTTTAACCAGAATGACTTTGGCAATGTTATCAGACAATTTCACCCAATGTTAGCCGGTGTTAAATCCAAGTGTTAAAGCTTGGACTATCGCAATTGTCAGCCCCCAATGCTATGATTGGGTGAAACGCGAAAGGTGTACCCTAGGAACGAATCAGGACTGAGGTAAAAGTTGTCATCTAGGGGCCGGTTCTCCCCTAGAGGACTCAGATTTCACAGAGCTCGGGTTGTTAGATGCTGAAGATTAAACCTTGATACCTGTTTAAAGTCACCTTTGGTCTCCCTACTCCATATGAGCTCTCTGGGTCGCTGAAACACCAACTGCGGATTGGCCCTGAGGTTCTAAGACCATTGTCGACCTTTTTTCCTCCCACTTCAGACAGCCTCTGTCTCTTCAAGCTCATACTAACACCCACAGGAAGTTTCCCTCGCAAAGGTTTTGCGCTGCGGCCAAGCGTTCAGGTACGTCCTATCCTAAGATTGAATCTTCTTAATACTAACCCCCTAGATGGAAAAATATTGACGGCATCTGGTCGTGTGCTTTGGCTAACCGCGTAGTATTTCTCCGCCAGGTGCCAGAGGGCATCTTCTATTCCTCTCTTGGGGGCACAGAGGATTCCACGCTTGCATTTCTCGAGGATTACCTTCAGCTCTCCGTCTCTGCTAAAGCCTTGTACGAGCAGTGGTCGCAGGTCGATGCACACTTCTTGAAAAAACAGCAAGACCTCCAAGGCATTCGTATTTTGCGCCAGGATCCGTGGGAGTGCCTTGTCTCCTTTATCTGCTCGTCCAATAATAATGTCAAGCGGATCTCCCAGATGTGCGACAACTTGTGTATCCACTACGGCGACTACGTGGCTTCTTACAACGGGACAAAGTACTTTACGTTTCCTCCGCCGGCGAAGCTCGTGGCCCCCAGCATCGAGGCAGAGCTTCGCGCGCTCGGGTTCGGCTACCGCGCAAAGTACATCGAGAAGACCGCACTATTGGTGCATCTGAGTTCAACCGGCGTAGCAGACTTGCACGCGTTGCGCGCGGCAGATTATGATACCGCACGCGCTGCGCTCTTGCAATTCACCGGTGTTGGACCCAAGGTTGCCGACTGCGTCGCCTTGATGGCGCTCGATAAGCATGGTGTGGTTCCTGTGGACACCCATGTGTATCAGATTGCCAAGCGCGATTACAAATTCAAGGGAAAGGGTGAAACCGTCACGCCCCAGATCAACAAGGCGGTAGGCGACTTTTTCCGTGATTTGTGGGGCGAGTATGCTGGCTGGGCCCATAGTGTGTTGTTCACTGCGGAATTGAAGGACTTGGGGAATGGGGTTAATGTAAAGGCGGGTGAGGCGGTAAAGAGTACCAAGGTAAAAAAGGAGGAAACTTTCGAGGCTGTGAAAGCAGAGGTAACTGAGGTAAAGATCGAAACTGAGGACTCTGAGGGAATAGACATGACCATCCAGCGAGCAATGGATGCTCTGGTGAAGGTCGAGGAGATGGAGAGGCTTGAGGAGACATTATACTCGGCCACCGGGCGTCCGTTGAGAAAGAGGAGACAGATTTAACTTTAGTAGAGCCAAGAGGGTGTATAGTATATCGATATGAAGGGTAGTGATGGAATATAAAATGTTGTGTGATAAGGCCTTAAAGTTAAAGACAGTTGGATTTTAGTTGTGGGTGTTGCCGTAGATTGTAAAACTAGATGTCTCTAATTTATTTCTAGATGTCTCTAATGTATTCCTAAATGCCTTTCTAATGTATTTTTGTATTACGCTAGTCATTACTAGAATTCTACTTTGACCTACTGACTGTATTGTTACTTTGAGGAGTAAGTAGAGAATTGCAAAACGTAGATGAAAAATTCTTAGTCGAGTACATTTATTTCAATATATTTGCAGTGTTGTTTAAGGAAGTTCCGAAATACCTCATAACTATAGTACTACTTTGGAAAACTCCCATACTACATTCATTATATGTATTCGGTGCCCACACCAGTAGTTGCCAGTATGTCAGCCTCAGTCCTCCTACTTCTCCGATGCGCTTTTTTATAAAACGATGAAAGATTAATCGCCCGCCAGGGCGAATGTTTCCTCTGTGTCTTTGGAGTGGTAGGTCTGGGGCTCATACGGGGTAGTATCACCCTTTATAAAGACACAAGCCAGCTAACGGCCACTATCCGCGCTGATACCAGATTAATCGCGGAATGTTAGACTTCATTTATATGTTTTTGCAATGAGTATGGATTGCCAGTGTTTTATATTACTCACCGCTAGCTTTACAACGAGTACACCCATTAGATCTTAACCGAGACGGAATCCTAGTCTGCTATCCTACGCTCAGGAATCTGAAACTATTTATTGTGATATGTACAAGTCAGGGTTTAATTTTGTGGCGCGGTAGCAATAACCTCTTCCTCGGCGGCCTTCAAATTCTTGAAGAATTTGTAGATAATCTCACGCTCTCTGATCTCCTCGACCGGCGCGGTCATCTCGGTTCTCTTCTCCTGTAACTGCTGGAACGCTTCCTCCATCTTGGTCACAGGGTTGATAAAGAAGATGTACGACTCCCAGATGTCTCGCAACGGCAACTGCTGTTGTAACTCCTCAGACACCTCCTTAGCGTACTTAGCAGCCTTCAAGCCACCCACGTACTTAATCCCGGCGACAAAGCCGTCCGAGAGGTCTCTATCAATGTCCACCTCATCGAGGTCGGTCTTGATCCCGAACAACGCGGTCTGCAATCTGGCCAATTTAGTCTCGGCCTCGAGGTTCTGGGAGGCACTCTGTACGTATTCAGCAGAAAATTCAGCGAGGTACACGTCCTGCTCGGCTGCAAAGCCTTCCTTACCAGCCTCGAAAGCATGATGGCGCTCGCTCAACACATGTCTGATCTTCCACATGGACTCTCTGATTTTGTCGGACTGGGAGATCAAGTGGTTGTAAGAGTGGCCGTCAGCTCTCCCGATCTGGATTTCACGCGCCAACACGTTTCTCTCCCTGAGGCAGATGTACCAGAGCGAGTGGAGGTCGTCGAAAGACTTGCGACGCAACTCGGGCACCGTCCACGGGCGACCCAAGGTTGACTGAACGTCTTCATCGGTTCTGATAAACTTTTTTTCCGAAAAGAACTGCCACAACGGGTGGTCCTCGCGCACCCTCACGTTCTTTATAGTCGGCACGATCGGCTCCTTCAACGGAACGTCCGCGCGAATTCTTCTGAGCCCGGTTGTGGTGGTGGAAAACGCAGCGGTGCGCATAGGCATGGCAACGACGGCTCTGGTGGTGGACAACGTGGCGGACAACATGACGTGGTGAGGTGGTGTGGAGTTCAATCAAGATAAGTTGATTCTATCATAGCGGCCTAAATTTTTCAGGGCAGCAGCAGAGCGGCGGGCCATATCCGACGTAATGTTCGCGAACCTATAGACCGGTGACGAGAGTTTCTGCTACGGTTAACGGGTCATTTATTTTACAAGGACGAGGTATTTGGGGGTATTGAGCCCATCGGTGAAAAATCAGAGTTTCAATTTAATAGGGTAATGCAAAATGTAGGGGGCTTGGTGTCTGAGGTAGGTTCAAGCTAATGCTTGTACCACGGGCAGTGCCAAATTTCGAAACTAATTACACACTTGTGCACTTGGTATATCTGCATAGGTGATTAAATGCATTTTCATTGATTGAAATCCTGGGTGAGAATTTGCTTGAGTGCCAACGATCGGGTCCAAAAAAAAAAGCCTCAGCTGAGATTAATGCCAGTGAATTCTAAGACCTGGTAGACCACTATACGCTTTAAGAAACTAATCTCTATGGTTTACAAAAAGAGCTGTGTTCGAGCAGGTAACGACAATGCACGGTAACACATGTAGAAGCCTGCAAATCGTAAATCTCAACTCTTCCGGGTGTCTGGTTAAGCTCTAACTATCTATCCAATGCTATATGACTAAAGATTTATTATTGAGTAATTTGTTAAAAAAAGCCCCTGTCTACAGATGATTTGCCTTGCCCGCATGTATATCCTGTATCTGACCCGTACTCCATCCGACCAGAAATTTCAGGTTTCTAGATGTGAAAAAATATCTTCACAGCTCCATCTTACCAATTAGATTACATCCCATGTCAAAGTCCCAAACAATCGCTTTGGCATTTGACGTCAAGATCGACCAGTACGATCCGTCATCCAACTCGTACTTCGAGACGCGAAACCAGCTCTATCAGCTTACGAATGATTTGCTCGACGGCAACTTTGCCGGCCACACGGTAGAGGAGCTCACGGCGTTACAGGAAAAGTACGACCACCTTTCGCAGCTATACTACACCCATTTGCAGCACTCACGGTTGGAGTATATCAACAACCAGTACCAGAAGGCGGAGCTCCAAAAGAAGATTGAGCAGCAGGACGCAATCAACGACGCACAGAAGCAGCATACTGACCGTTTACGGGAGGCGATTAGACAAAATAAGCTCTTGAAGGGCGAGATTATTAAAAAAGACGTTGCTATCAAGCAGTTTCAGAAGGAAAGCTGTGAATTATCTGAGCTGGAGGTGAAGGAGTTGTTCCTGGATGTTGGGTTCCTTTCCCGAGAGGATATCTTGAAGAATGCGACGAAAGTAGGTGAGAAGGACAGGACCCCAGAAGCCCCAGAGGATGAGGATACAGCGATGGAAACTGAGAATGAGGCCGAGGCCCGCTACCGTTTCACCAAGATCAAAACAGATGTGTCGACCAGCGAAAGCAAACTCACAAACAAGTGGATCACCCAAGAGATCAAGGAAATGCAGGTTAATACCATGGATCTTAAGGAGAAGTGGCAGAAGATGGTGGAGCGGTTTGAAAAAACGGCCAACGTGTGGAACGAAGATGAGTAAGGGATTTGGGCAGAAACAAAAAGGGTAGTGTCGCAAGTGAAACCGCTCACGTTTTGTATCGTTATTAAAGGATATTTGTCTACGGTAAGCTGGGAGCTACGGTCTGTCGCCGTTTTGTATAGTATAATGAAAGAACTAGGGTAGGTTACCGGGATAAATAGAACCCAAATGAACTTAGAAGAATCTGAGAATGCCGCGGTTCATTTAGGATATATGTATATAGAGATTATCAATAATTTCTGTCGGTTTAGGAACCAGAATGAAACTTGGAAGAGAAAGGGCTTGTGATGTAGTACATACAAAACACTTCCAGCACAAGACTCCACGATACAAGCGAATCATAAACATGGCGTTTTTCACCTTGATTATGCGTATTTTCTCAAATCCTATTACTATCTCTCTTCTTACCTTAAATTGAATTTTCTAGATTCTTTTTAAACAATTCATCCCCTAATTGCATTCAATTTCAGCTCTCCTATACACAATACTTGGTCGTGCCTGCACCATTGTCACTTCTAAACTCACCTTCTACTCCGATAAAGAAAGTAACGCTTGGCATATTCCGCTTCACTTTTGTCACCATCCATCTATCATACCATGTCCGAATCAGACTATTCTGCCGAACCGCTCGACCTCATCAAGTTGAACTTGGATGAACAGGTGTACATTAAGTTGAGAGGTGCTAGAGAAATGGTGGGCAAGTTGCAAGCCTACGATTCGCACTGCAACATGGTGTTGAGTGACGCCACCGAAACGATTTTTGAGGTTAAAGACAATGAAGCCAATACCAGAAGCGTGTCCAAGAAATCCGAAATGATCTTTGTCAGAGGCGACTCTGTGATCTTGGTGACTAATCCTTAATTAGAGGTGAACGATTCCCCCGTCCGGGGTGACGGGTCGAAACCGAATACCTAGTGATGCTCTGGTTTGAAGCGTTGCACCTCCCGTGGTGCCTGTATATTATCTAAAAAGCGGTGGTGAGGATGGGTTAACCGCATTATCTCTGTATAGAAAGTCTTACATCTGACATCTCGAATAGTATGTAGTAAATTTAGAATGTGTGTCCAGGGAGGCAAGCTAATCCCTGTTTCAGTAGCGGACCTCTTGTAGTTTATTTTAACCAGTGATACGATTCATGGTTTCGGATATTTGAGATAATAGTGTTCAACCCATCTCGGTGACACTCCGGTAGTTTCGAGGTGCTTATTTGAATGAAAGTTAATTTAAGTTATATTAGGTTCATCCATAGATTGTAGCAACACGATCAATGACTACTGTTGGTTAGGCACGCGGCAGCCAAAGATAAGCTGAGCACTGTACATCACGTTATCCCGAATACACTATAAAACTTTGGGCTTTTTTTTACCCCTATCAAGTGACGTCGACGGTGAATCCTCTACCAACTATTCTTCAATAAATTTATACTTATCTGAACCTATACTTATTTGTCCTCCACACGGTATCACGTACCCCTCGATGACTACCCCGGGCGCCTGCCTCGTGGCAGAAATTTATTCCGATCGTCCAAATACGGAAAACCGCTGCAAGCCAAATTCTTTTCAGTCAAGTTGCCAATCGCAAAAGCTTGTACCTGATCCCAGGCCTGATAAAACTCCAGAATCGAGTTTACATACTTAAAAATTACACCCACTGTTATTGTGAAAGAAAAAAAAGTTGACTGTCTGGCAGCTATAGAATCCGCTCAGAGGCACAGACATCTCCACTCTTAAGGGCACAGACTCATTCCATGGTCCTTGACATGTCGAAGAAAATCCCCGAACGCCGGACCAAGCCATGTCAACACTGCAAAAAGTCAAAGGTTAAGTGTGTCTATGCAGATACGCTTCCATGTGAGAGATGTCTTAAGAACAAGCTCGAATGCTCGTTTGACGGCCCCATCTCAGACAGCCATGGCGTGAACCTCCCGCTGATCAGTAACTTGAGTCTACCGCTGCTCCCTCATACGTTTCATTTCCCGAGCACACTTCTGCCACCGGTCAAAACACCAACGCCAGTGCAGATGCAAGGCCAGCCAAGCCTGGTCTTGATGTCCAACCAAAACCTGATTCTGATTCCCACTCAGCGAAATCTGGTTCTGATTCCCACTCAGCAGAATCCGGGCTTGAAATCGAACCAGGTCCAGCCAAATCTGATCTCCCTTCCCCCCAGCCGAAATTCCTCCCTTCCTTCTTCTCGAAATCATTCCATCCAAAATCACCTCCCTCACATCCCAGTCCCTCTTACAACCCCCCATCCAACACCTCTCCCAAACTCTCTCCCAAATTCCCTCCAACATGCCCTTCCATCCCAGAGGGTGCCCGCGTACGACTCCGATGTATGGAAACACGAAGTTGAACGAAAGTTGGACACGTTTAACGACAAAATCGACGACTTGGTTGGTATCATCCGGTTACAACAGCAACAGATGGCTCTGTTCCAGGCAGAGCAGCAGCGGATCTCGTTAGAGACAGTTGACCAGCCACGTTTGTCTCCCAAACGCCGACTCGAGCCCCAGCCCACCCTCACAGAAGAGGAGGAAGCCAGTATCGATACGCTTTTCTCCAAGTTCTCGGCCATGAACAAGAAAAAACGCAAAATCTCTAATGGAAACGCGATAAAGGCTGACGTAGACCTCGAACCGGGGTTGCTCAAGCTTCTGGAGGCCCAAGAGCTCTTCACCTTCTTTGATAAACACATTACCCCCCAGCTTTTCGGTTTCCAAATCCGTAATTATGCCGGCCGTACGGCAATCCTAGATACCTGGGACAGCTGTCCGTTGCTCATTGTCTCAATCTGCTACATTGCATCGATCCACCACCCGAGCTTGTCCTCCCGTTCCTGCGGATTGCTCGCAAAGCTTGAAATATTAGCTGGCCGCTTAATGTACGAGATGCCCACGCTGGAGGTGAACATCTTTGACACGATTCTCGCGTTGTGTTTATCGAGCTTTTGGCTCTCGCAGAAGCGGATGTTTGTCGGAATTGCGTTGCAATTGGCGAACCTCATGGAGCTCAATGTGAACACGACAGACGGAGGCACGTCTTTTCCCGGGATCTCAAAAATTCTCCCGGGAAAGCGCCTGAACGGGGCACGGATCACCAAGAAAGACAAGCTTAAGTTGTGGTACTTGCTCTACATCTTGGACGGCCACCAGAGCTTGATGACCCACAAACAGCCATTAATCGACTCAAACGATTTGACCTTGATGGGCAGCCAGAATCTCTTACTCAGCAGTACGGAGACCCAGATAGAAGAAAACACGACGGAAAACACAAGAGTCGAGGCGAGTGATGCGTACTTCGACCTTCGCTTGGTCTCTCAAGTGGAATACAACCAAGCGATCCATTCCATCTTCACCAAGAAGGGTCGCACTTCCTGGAACCATCTCCTCGACCCCGCAAAGTTTGGCTTTCCCGCGCGCTCCAATTTAGACCTTGACGCATGGATGGTCAAGTGGACGGTTGATCTCAAATCAAATTCCTCTGGCCATGTGTGGTCGTCCAAGTCCACGTTGTTGTACTACCATTTTGCCAAGATGTACATCAATTCGCCCGACTTCCAAGAGGAGACGAGTCCAAACCCCGACACTTTGCTCAAGGCGGATGATTCGGATGACGAAGAGGACATGCTCATAGGCTTCAATTCGGGTATCAGCAAAGAAACCGCGTCCGAGCTCGGCGAACATATTTCTCTTTCTTCGGCTAAGCTAGTCATTAACACCGTGTGCGGTGACAAAGACATTCTGACAGCACTAAAGTACGTGCCAGTGCACATCTACGTGATGGTGTACTACGCAGCGTCGCTTCTCCTCAACCCTTCGGCTGAGCAGAAGGAGAAGCTCATCCTGAGTGAGACGGAACAGCAGGAGTACTTCCAGAGCTTAAAGTCGATTAAGCTCTTGCTCAAGGTCATGGAGCAGAACCAGCCAGTGGATGAAGCCTTGGGGAAGCAGTTGGTAGACACCCTTCAAGACTTGTTCAACAACCGCATGGTGGAGCTAGAAAAGCAGTTGATGGACCATGCTAACTCGGCCAAGGTGGAGGAGATAATTAGTGATAACGACTTCAGCGACCATGATGTGAAGCTGAAGATTGTGGCATGGCCGGGATACGACCACGGGCATCCATAATGCATGAGCAGCCTACCCTATACTGTGGGCTAAATTAGCCTTCAAACACCTATGCCTAAGTCCTTATAAGGTTATAAAGATTTTATTTCGGGATTCATCTTGTGTGAGTAATCCAGTCCAATGTTTTACGGCTATTCGATGGCGTTGGTCTGTCTGCACACACAACTACAATATTATACGAGTTGGTACAGAAACTGCGTCATAATATTTTTCGATTTTATTCCTAACCGACTCAAATTCTCTTTGATTGTTTATCGTCTGGAATATTATCAAATCTTAAAGATATTTATGATATGCCCAGATACTTTTGTAAAGGTTGTCCAACATTCGATTTGGGGCCGTCCGGACACAGTAGCACTCTTTTACGAGTTATGGTTTTATCCGATAAATCTATCCTGTTTATACCCTATTCTTGTAAACACTAATATTGCAATTTTACTAAGAATGTGCTTCCTTTGATTAATCTGGGTCCTTCCAAATGTTATGGTCTCACAACCTAGTTGGCAGCTGCATCATGCGTTTGTGACATGGGGCTGCAGATGCTGACTATAAATGCACAATTCCAGCAAATTATTCAAGCCCCAATCCACATTCCTAGCTTAATCACCCAATGATTAACAAGATAAGCCTTCCACCTATCCGGCCGGAGAGCCTTAACTTCAAGTGGGCAGACGTCAAGCGGACAGTGGTGAGGGTAAGTACTTGCGTATGCACGTCACAAGGCATACTGACAACATTTAGGCCCCGCAGATTGTCAGACACCGTGCGAATGTGGGGATCCACACGGTCGACGATGACTACGACTACTATCAGGCGCAGTTGACTGAGCTCGAGCGGAGATTGGTGTGCTTGGAGAAAACCACCCTTAAGTACAGCGAGAGCATCCAAGCTCTCCTGACATCCTCTGTTGCCATCGGTCAGCAGTTTAAGCAGGTGTTTAGTTCAGACTTGGGCCGTGTTTCGGAGGCGCACCCAAGATCTCCAATACCGGACGAGCTGTACCAGTTATTCGCGTCGGCTGACAGGTATATAGACGGGGTAAGCCACATGGAACCGAAGCTCGCTCAGGAGCTTGAAGCATGGGTCGGACAGGTACAGTTGTCTATCCAGAAGTGTCTTGCGTTGATAAAGCCCATCAAGAAATACACCCAGGCGAGGAACAATTTCTTGGTGGATTTGGACCGCTACACCAACTACCACGAATCGGTGAAGAAAAAAAAGGAGTTAAGCACCAAACAGCACCAGTCCATGATCAGTAACGAGCGCAAAATGGAGGTTTCCCAGAGCAAGTACGAAAACGTGAATAACATGTTGAAGAAGGAATTACCCATTTTTTTTGAGCTTGTGAAGCAATTCATTGCGCCCATCTTTACCGTGACGTACTTTCTCCAGTTGACAATCGTTTACCAGATTAACACCAACCTCCACTCGATTAAGGACGATTTCAACATTGACATGGAAGAGCTACTAGGCGATGAAAGTTATGCGAATTTGGTCATGTACCATGAATTCAAGTATGCTGGAGCCAATGATATTATCAAAAACCTTTCAATTGTGAACTTTCACGAAACATTTTTGAACGATTTAGCGGGTATCAGTCCTCGTAGTCCTTTTTGTGGTATGCCAGTAAAAGCTGAATCGCCAGCCAGTCTGGAAGAGTATTGTGTGGCTGTTTACTCCTTCAGGGCAATAGAGCCAAGCGACATCTCTCTTAAGGTGGGTGATGTGATAAAAATTTTGGACAGGTCGGGGGAATGGTGGACTGGTGAACTTCAGGGCCAGCGAGGGAGTTTTCCCGGTAACTACGTAAAGCTGATGTAGTATCAACACACGTAATAATAAATCGATCTTGCTGGTTATAACTAATTATCGGTAAAGGTGGTTACAAGTCTCAACAGCTTTCTCAATAGTTGCCCCTAAGCCATCCCACGTGCAACTTTTCCTCAGTCAAAGTAGAGTATAAGAGGTAGGTCAATGATACCGTTAATCCCTGGGGATTGTTCCGTTGGCCCTCCTCGCTTAGTCCATTCTGACTTGGTCTACCATCTCCGGAATCGGTATAACTTAAACCGTGTGCTGGCAATGACGTCAACTTATATTACTAAACCCCCTACGTGGAAAAAGGTATCCTATGTATATCAATTAGTGAAGACAAAATAAACCAATAGAAAGTCTACTGGTGATGCAAAAACAGAATATAATCAAATTCACCCAATCAAGTCGCTAAGTTGGGGTTGATAACCCGAGTTTGGAAGTTTACAGCACACGCCCCACTGCAAAACTTACGCTTGATAGGAATATCCGCCTGTTCCAAGATTTCCCACCATTCCATCACCTCCGCAACGGGCTCAATTGTCAACTTCTCACATTCCCCACATGTTGCCCCATCAAAGGCAGTGGCATAGGCCTTCACAACCCTGTTCTCAAGCGTTCTGCCTAGCCCAGAGTGCCACTGCTCAAACTCTCGCTTCATGGGCATGTACTTCACCATGGACCTCAATGCAAGCTCTGAAAGCTTGGGAACCATTGACCGAAACCCCTCGACCTCAGTGCTCGCCATCAACGCGGACAACGAGGATGAGGCCCGGGAAAATGTATTCCAGTGCAACTGCGTGACGTACTGACGACGCTTGTGCGGAAGCACTGAATCGGGCAGGACATGGGTGATGGCAATGGCATACTCCGGTACAGGGAGAAGCTTGTAGTTGGGTCTGACGGTGAACGTGTCCAAGTTGTTCAAATGCAAAATGTTGTGCGGAAGGAAGGACAATTTGTTGTGGATGAGCGAGAGGTAGGTCAAGCCGGTGAGCTTGCTGATGTTCCCGGGAATTTCGTAGAGCAAGTTGGAGCGCAAACTAAGCACTTTCAAGTGTTTTCCAGCTTTGAATAGCTTTGAGTTAACCGTCCGCAAGCGGTTTTTAGGAAAGTGGAGCTGCACCTCGGTTCCCTCCACCACGGCCCCTACGTCGGCAATGTTATCCGGGATTTCCGTCAAACCGAGCGAGTCAAAGTTAAAGTTCAACTGCTTGCTACCTGCGAATAGTGTGTTATCAATAAGCTCTCTTGCCACCTCTAGGGGATTCTTCTTTGTGTGTATGCTCTGGCTGAAGATGTCCGGCTCGGACGATTGAAAGTGCCTGTGCTTGATCTTGACGCCACCAAAGCGATCCCAATCCATTGAAACGGAGTTATCGTCCGAAGAAATGGCTTTGAAGGGATACTGTGTCACTCCATCGTGCTCAGAGGTGGGAACCACCGTCTGCTGGCTCAAAAACGCGTCGTCCACAGCCATGGGATCCTCAACCACAAAAGTTTCGTCCATGAAGTCGTCGCTGAAATCGTCGACATACCGTGGGGGAGAAGAAGGCGGGGGTTGTTGGGCCAATAGATCGTCTTCGTTTTCATCAAAGTCTCTGGTAAACGTGTCGCTGGAACTCATACTGAATCCCGTGGTATCCTGCTTCCGCTTCGCGGGCTTCTGGTACTTCTGGGAATGGAATGAATTGTCACTGCTAAAGGCAGAACTGTTTCCCTCCATCCGCTTTCGCTTCAAGGCGTTGTCTTGGGTGCTTCCACGGGTGTGGAAGAAGCTTCGGGCGTTTTCGTCAATCACCGACCTCTCCCGGGGCACAGTGGACAAATTCACACGGTCATTACCGGTGTTGTTGTTGAACGCGAGCGGTAGCAATCCTCTCTGGTTCATGATGCGGTATATGGGGGAGGAGTGTAAGGGGAAGTACCCAGTATTATTATGCTGGGGCTTATATACATCGTGTGTTTTCTCCTTGTGACCTTAAATCATGCATGTCAATTGGACACGAAAGCGAGCCTCGAAGGAGAGCTGCGTGCGTTTTAGCGAGCGCGTTTTTAGCTGTTATCGGAGATTGGCGTGGATTGTTACATGAGACAATGCCGGCTAAGTATCAGTCCCTAACTTTGGGAGTACTTGAATCAACTTGACGATAGTATGCAGCGTGTTATATTTATCGGTCATATTTTGTCTCACAATGCTGTTATTCTCTCTGTACTTATTCTGTAGAAACAACAACTACTGAAATGATTCATGTGTAAGAGGACTAAAAAAATTGAATATAGTTTGGGTGATGAACAAAGATCTGTGGCTCCTAACATTCCTTATTGAAACTCCTGTTAGCAACACCTGTTTTGTTTATCCCGTCTGATTACATCCCCCTACACGATTTAGCAGTTGATCTTTAGTTCTAATAGTGTGCAACCGTGTAAATATTACAAAAACGTAACATCAAGGTCTGCGTCTATATAACATATGAGTCCCCAGCAATAACTAAGGATTGAGCCGGCTGTATCTAAATGAACACAGCACATTAAAATCTCAGTCCAAGAAAAAACTTAGTTGATAATCAGATGAAGAGGTTGAATAGATGGGGAAAGGAGCTTTATAGGTTAATATCCTATAGCCTGAATGGTTTGTGGATATATGGATGCAACAGAGGTATCACTGACTCGCAATATTAACTGGTACTCATACCTCAATGCTGGAGGTATCCATTTTTGCTAAGCCGTTGGTAAAATGGGCATTACCTTACGAACAAAATTGCCATGGAGGAGATCTGCATTTATGTAATACCCTCACATTTTAAGAAGATGCATAATTACAAAGCTCACCAATGTTGGTAAAGTTATCGCAATCAATGGGTACTGGATCATCAACATCACCGCCAGACAATCTAACTGCAAATGATCATCTGGATCGATGTTTGTGTAAGTCGCGGTAATAAAAACCAAGCTTATAGCGTTTGGCAATCCCCACGCAAGAATGCAGATAAAGCGCAACATTTTGACATCACTGCCAAACCGGCCAATGCTGTACAACCACCCTGTAATCAAAATCCCAATAATTGGTAAAATAACCAATCTTACAAGAGAGAGTGAAAAGGCAGTCCACAAGAACCCTTCCGGTATGGACGTGATCGATACCCGGGATATGGTTCCCTCTAAGACAATGAGACCCAAAGGGATGCACGCCCCCACGTACCCCGTAAAATCCATGACAAAGCTCAAAGCTGGATTTCCATAGGGGGCAGCTGGTAGTGATACCTGGGAGATGGAATTTTGGATAAATAGCGCTCGGACCCACGGAATCATGGATATGGTGATGCTGGCTATCAACGAGATTGATGTTGGCATTAGGAAGTTCTCAAACAACCGTTTCAAGAATGTAGAATCTCTTTGGTCATACCAGTGCTTGAAAGCGTTCGGCTTTGTCTGAAGCTGGGTCTCATACGGAGGCTGGCTTACTTCATAGTTCACATGGATCGAACGTTCAACCGGCAATGAAAGTATCTTTCAACCGTGAAATGGGCTAGTTCTGGCTCTAAATTCCCATGCTTCCTTTTGAGGACTTTCTGGGATAACTTCTCGCTCTCTAATGACACCGAAATTTCCAAGTTTTCGTCCCGAGACATATCTCTTTCTTCGTCGTTCGGCATAATCTGATCTCTGAAGTCGTGCTCAACCAAGCGATAACCACCCAAGTTGAATTGATAAAAGATAAATGCCGCAAAGAAAATACAGATGTAGGCAATTCCACTGTCAACCTCCTTCTGTGAGAAGACAACACCGCTATTCAACGCTTGCACATACACGATAGGCAAGTCAGCAATGTTTGGGAAGATTCCTACCGCAAATAGACCCCCTGTCCATCTTTTGAGAGACTTGGTAGCCTTACCCACAAGAAAGCTCAAAAGGCCCCCAGTGGAGACGATTACGGTCGCGAGGAAGAAAATGATCCCGATGGTCTTGATAGAGGAGGTGGTAATACTGGTGATTATCTTGTTGAAAATCAAACACGGGATGATGATTGTGATAATGACATCCGAGAGGTTCTTGGATGTCTCTACCGTAAGGACTTTTCGCTTGCTTAGGATAACGCCGGTTCCCATGAGCAAGTAGATTTCGAACATCGGTTTCACCGCTGTGTATATGACGCTGCTCAAAGTGACTTCGGACATTGGTATACATGCAAATTATTGAGTGAGGGTCGCATCGGCTGTCTGTCTCTTTGGTCTGAGGAAAGTGTGCATATATAGTGAAAATTCCTGTATCAACGGGATATGCATGCAGCTTAGACCCTGGCGCACTCTACCACAACGGAAAGGTGGTACACACTCGGCACCATTGTATGGTTGAAACCGCGAAAAAAAGGAGGAGATAGCATGGTTCGACTGAGGAGTACTCCATATAATCCAATGAAAGCTTCTACCACGCTTCTACCACGCTTCATCAAAGTGACACAACTCGGAACGTCTACCGAGGTTAGATGAATATGTGTATGTATACCCCCACGGCGAAAATCCTCCCCCACCGCTTATCATGTACACCCCCACGCATACAAATTTCCCCGCGTAAAGATGTTTCCAGGACACCGGGCCAAGTTAAATATATAGAGCCCACTTTATAGCTTATGCAATATGTAACTCATAATATTATGTAGTAGAGCGGGCCATTACTTACGGTCTCTGAAAGCAATTTGGTGTCTCTATAAGTTCTTGAGGTTATTATGGGATTTATCCCCTGCAAGAATGTTTGCTCATGTACAACGCATATGCACATTGAATGATCAAATGTTACACCCCCCGGCTTTCTCATATCTTGAGAAGGTGTTTAATAATGAAACTGACTAGTGTTGGCAACGTTATCGCCATCATTGGGTATTGCACAAGTAACATCACGGCTAAACAGTCCATCTGTAAGTGATCCTCCGAGTCGAGACACGTGTAAAACGCGGTGACGTACACCAAGCTTGTAGAGTTTGGCAATCCCCAGGCAATTATGGATATGAATCTCAACATCTTACTGTCGTTGCTAAACCAGCCGATAGTGTACAATCTCTCACTGATCAAAACACCGAAAACAGGTAAAATGACCAATCTTACGAGTGAGAGGGAAACGGCAGTCCACATGAACCCTTTGGGAATCGACCTGACGGACAACCGAGAAATGGTTGCACCTAAGATTATAAGGCCAAACGGAATGCATGCACCAACATAGTCTGTAAAATCCATGATGAAGCTCAACGGTGGATTGCCATCGGGGGCAGCTGGTAATGTAACCAGCGAAATAGAGTTCTGGATAAATAGCGCCCTAACCCACGGGATCATGGATATGACGATGCTGATGATCAACGACATTGACGTTGGCTTCAAAAAGTTTTCGAAAATTTGCCTCAAGAAGGCAAACTTTCTCAAGCGGAGCCAGCTCTTAATGGTCTTGGAACTCAGCGGTTTGGCCATGGACTGCACATCGTAAGGTGTGTGGTCCGAAGTCACTCGCCCCAAATTGAGGGACTCTTGGATCGACTGTGGAACAGGGTACCCGTTTTCAACGTAAATGTCATGGTGCACCTCGCTTGGTGGCTGAAAGTTTTCGCTGTATCCCTCGGAGGAAGTGTGTGATGCCGCCTCGCTCTCGGCAGAAACGGTTGGAGACAAGTTTACATTCTTCTCATTAGAGATTAGCCGTGAGCTTTCTTGCTTGTTTTCTTCGTCCCTCTGCTTAATCTGATCTCTGAAATCATATTCAACCAACCGATAACCACCCAAGTTAAACTGGTAGAAAATCTGAACGGCAAAGAAAATGCAAATGTAAGCCACACCCCTATCCACCTCCTCTTGTGAGAAAATCACCCCGTTGTTTAACGCCTGCACGTACACAATGGGCAAATCGGAAATGTTGGGAAAGAACCCAACCGCAAGTAACCCGCCGATCCATCGTTTAGGTGACCTGGTAATTTTGGCAACAGCATAGCTGAGGAGCCCACCCATTGCGAAAAGCACGGTTCCTAGAAGGAAAATGATACCGATGATTTTGATGGAGGAGGTGGTGATACTGGTGATGACCTTATTGAAAATCAAGCATGGAAGGATAAGCGTCATCACGATATCCGAAATGTTCTTGCTTGTTTCCACAGTGAGGATTTGCTTCTTTGCTAGGAAGAAGCCGGCTCCCATGATCAAATAGATCTTGAACATTGGCTTCACCGCGGTGTATATTACACTTCCTAGCGTGACCTCAGTGCTGGACATTGATAATAGTTATTTTTGAGAGGACCCAGGGTGGTTTTGATAATCTTACCAGCGTATGAGTTTGCAAGCTTAATCTCAAATGATTGGACGCGTAATTGGAACAACTATAGAAGAAAACGAGTGCTGATTTTGAAAAACTCTAGCCGCGGGGGGTGGCTATACTTATACAACCTGCTTTTATCGAGAGGAATAAGTTTGACATGTACCCCCACGCGTTTATGCATGCGTCTCCCCCGCGCCACACGTTAACTGGAGCATGCTACGCCGTTCCGCTACCCCCGTTAAGAGCCACATAAGCCTCAGAGTGTTAGTTTCGAAGCGGCGCGGGATTTTAAGTTCCGCTCTGAGATAGGTATCTTATACCGCTGGTTAGATGGTGGCATCTCAATTTCTTGTCTTCCCAGGTATAACCGAATGCGATCAAATTTGGAACCTTGGTAGTATCTTTAAATCCTCTACAGGCTTGTTGACCGAGCGTAAATTCCGTGTAGGATTCCATTCCAACTAAGTGATTATGTCAGCACATTGCAATGCCGCCGATGCTCCAATTCTAATGCGTATTCTTGTTGCCTACAACCTAACACAAGTCTGCTGTTTTATCATAGCACCGTCTGCTTAGACAACGACAGCTCCCTGACTATGTTGAAAGAGCAATAGAAATTATCGATACCCCTCTGACAAGTCAAAGGCAACACACCAACAGTAAATCTGAGTTTTTGACTTAAGTTATAATCGGAAGCTTAAGCACGCGGCATACAACATTTCACTTGTGATGTAATGTAAACGCGTACATTTTATGATGCAATGTGGATGTATGCTTTTGCCATAGCAAAATGAGGCTGGTTCACTGGGCGTCTAATCAAACCTTCGACTCTGCTATAAATACTGTATGGATGCCTACTTTATATTGAACACAAAGCTAATCTCAATCATCTTTTTTATTAAGTATGAGTGAAAAGAGAGAAATATCAGACCGTTTGATGATAATAGGGGCGGTGACTCTAACCTCTATTGTGCTCTTTGTGGTATGCACCCTCCCAGGGGTCATCTTCATGGCATTTTTTAATGTCAAATTTGTTAAGCCTTCCAACCGCTGGAACTTTCTCGCTATACAAAAGCGCTCTTGGTGGAGCTCCCCCGTTCAGCCACACTTCAAAGATGAAGAGAGTGTACTTTACGCTGTGCACCACGACGACGGCCTGATACATGTCCGATACAATCCGTCGCCAAATGTAATCCCGGGAGACGACACTAAATCCTCAGAGGAAGTTCCCAGAGTATGAGACTTCTACTCCGTTCCTTTGTAGCTTCTCCAGCGCTCCATGGTACTCATAGCAGCTTTCCAGTTCTTTGTGACACTTTCCAACTCCGTCTTCAAGCTCTCGATTTCTTCATTCATCAATACTTTGTCGTTTTTATCAAAATTGCCCAACTTTTCGTTAAATATAGTTTGTAGGCGGATAGTTATCGAGTCGGAAGCAGTCTTGAACTCCTCCATCTCCTCAATCATTTCGTCTAAGGTCTTTGTAGGATCTTTCTGGCGGCGTCCAGCCTCAAGAGCTTCGTCTGCCTGCAAGTACGTGGCGATATCCGGTAACTTGTCAATAATCCGGTTGTTGGTTACTAGCAAGTCCACATCCTGGAAGTAGCGGCTCAACGATTTGTTGAACCTCAAGAACTGTGAATTTTCCGAGAGCAAGTTGGTAATCAAGTTTGCCAAGTCTACCATCATCTTCTTAAACTCCTCGTTCACAAACGTACTGCGGCCATCATCCAGCGATCCATCAGCCGAGTGCAGCCTCTGGACCTGCTGCTCGTAATTGAAATTGATCAACGACGGATTGTTTCCGTAGATCACGGACCCTGTTAGCGGTGAAGAGGCGATATTTGCATTTCGTGACGCAGTCAACCGTCTGTCTAGTAACTTGTCTTGCATTGTGGTCAACTCTACGTCCTTCCTCCTCACCTCGTTGTCGTACTTGGCCTTCAAGGCGGTGCTGAAGTTTTTCAACTGTTTGACCTCCTTCAAGGTAGCGCTATGCAAGGTCTCGAGTCGCTTGATGGTGGTCTGTTGGGATTTGGTGTGGCACGTAACTTCCCCCAAATCTGTTGTTTGTTGATCGATCTTCCGGTTTAGCTGGTCAATTCTGTTCTTCATCTCTTTCTTCTCTTGCTCGTGTTCATTAAGAGCTTTGAGGAAGGCTTCTTTTTGGTGTTTAGTTTCATCGATTTGCTGTAGCAAGGAATGGATCACGTTAATCACATTCTTGTCGTTGTTGTATATTCTCCTGGTGATCTGGAGGTCGAAGGTGTCATCCTGGCTATCTTCCGCGAGCTCTGGTGAGTCAACTTTTTCTTCAAGGAAAGGATTATCCTCCCCCACTGAAACGGGATTCTGCTTCTTTCTCTTGCGGGTACTGCCACCCTTCTGGCCTTCCAGTAGGGATTCCCAGTCAATAGAGTTGAAGAGCAACTTTTCAGGAAACCCTTTATTCAGGAGATTGGCATTGATCAACTGCGAAGCATTCGCCACTGATTTGATATCGTTTTCTGTGACAGGCATGGAGAGGTTTTGAGACAAGGATTGTTGGGCTTTGGTGTATGGGGGAATCACCAATACCTTTCCATAGAAATTTGAAAACTGTAAACAAACCATGCAAGATGTCACGTGCAAAAGTCGCGTACAAACTCACCCAAGAGAAAGGTTGTGGCTCAGTATTCTAGATTAACTCGGGCGATAAATATAATCTGCTTACTTGATTGCCTACACCTACGGTGAAATGTCGAAAGAACAGATGTATGAAAATATAGGAGGGGGGAGATAAAAGGAGCGTGGGCTAAAAGGCACAGCGAAAATAAGAGCACGGAGCCGAACTAAGAGCAGTTATATAGCACACGATACCCCACTGTTTCCTATCCCAGCACGACACTCCTTTCGTTTAATAAACTGAAAGTTTTTGTATGTTAATTTTAATTGTTGGGGAAGGGATGTGAGTTAGACCCTACGCACAATTTAGTGGTGTGGTTCTTCTTCTGGGAGGTCTTCCAAAACGAAGAACTCTTCCAAGGTTTCAGCGGCACCGGCAGAAGCGGCCTTGACTTCAGCGGAACCAACTTCGACAGCAGCAGTTTCGTATTCAGCGACATCGTTGGCACCTTCAACAGCCGGGGCCTTTGGGGCGACTGGGGTGGACCATGGCTTGACAGCGCCTTCGGAGTGGGAGGCGGTCAATGGGGTTGGCTTGAAGGCCTTCAATTCCTTGACGTACAATTCAGACACCAAGTTGGCTCTGGAGACGGTGGCGGAGAAAGCTCTAGTTTGAACCAAAACACGCTAGAAGGGTTAGTATGTGCTTATAGGTACAGAAAGCTGCGGAATGATATCTCATCGTGGCCTCGCAGATTCCGGAGGAAAGATTGTAGCCTCAGGTTTGCGGAGAGAGATTAAGCCGTGAAAAATCCTTGAAACGTCCTACTGTGGGTAGAGGTGGACATTTTGGTAAGTTTGTGGTGACTGGAATTGGGGGATACATGTTGGGTGTAGAAAGCTTGGTATCTTAATAGGGACTGTTCGGGATGGTGGTTTATGTCGAAATGACGGGTACATTCCGGGAGATTGACTCCTCTTTGGAGCACACGTTTAACAGGATTCTTCCAACGGCTTTCTCGGATCGTTCACGGATGGCTTCACTAACGGAGAGAGGCGCACGCTTGAGAACACCAGCATACGGGTGTACATACGGTGGATTGTCTGAAAACTTGAGAGAACATCTTTGTATATAGTCGATTGTTTGGTACAAAGTAGAATAAACCGGATAACGTATACTATTCAACCGTTTTAGCCACTGTTCATCGAGCGTCGTAGGGGGAGGTTTTTCGGATTTGGAGAGTCGAGAATTGTAAACCGCTGGTTACGGAACCCTGGCGGATTCAGACTCTTTCCATTGGGCAACAGGCGCGAAAACGGACGGTGTACGCACGTCTTTTGCGTCTTCGGAGGCCTGTAGGGGTGGTACGGACAACGGAAATACGCAAGAGTCCGCCCAAACAGTGAAAAGAGGTTGCTTGTGTAAGAAGTCAAGTCACATACTGCCATAGTTCAAATATCTGAGTATAGCGGCGTTTTTTATTCTGGTAGTGACCCCTTTGTGAATGCCTGGCCTATTACTCGCGACCCCAATTGCACGCATACGATATATCCTGTAGGTAGATTATCCTGGGCATATATTTTCCAACTGCATATCACAAGGACATTGACACGCTTGCAACCTGACAGTTTACAAGAATATTCCCCGGAAAGCAGTCTTCTGAGAGAATTTAAGACGGATAATCCCATATCCTATACGATCATGCCAAAATACTACTGTGATTACTGCAAATGTACGTTCATTATACCGTATTACAATCTCCGTTTGTGAAAGATGAATACTAATCCCTTTTAGCATATCTTACTCACGACTCTATGAGTGTGAGAAAGTCACATTTGATCGGTAAGAACCATATCAAGTATTACTGTGACTACTACGAAGAGCAGGCCAAAAAGTTGGGCATCTGGGAACCAAACGAGTTGGCGTACGAAATCAATCTAAGCACGTTAAACCAGGGCGCGCCCGGTACGATACCAGAGGCTCGCGATGACGAGATTGCGGGTTTCAACGAAAACTCCCAAGACGAAGAGAAAGAGGTTTTGGATGGTAGTTACCGGATGAAGAAAGAGTTTTCCTTGCCGCCACCGCCGGCCTTACAGACCTTCCCACATCCACCGCCATCGGTGTTCTACATTAAGCAAGAATACAAAAAGAGTATTCTCAAAGTCATTACCCAATAACTGAGGGGGTAATCTTATGAACCACATCATGGCAGGAGGATGCCCGGAGGGGTGCCACACATTACCAGTCGAGCGGCATCGGGTTCTCCCAGTTTTAGCTGGCGTGCCTCCTGTCGCAGGCTATATACAGCATAGCTTTTTCGGGTGATAGTCACACTAGTATAGCCATACTAAAGTGTGCACTACGATACTCCAGTGTCTTCCAGCGTCCCAATCAACTTGCGCTTGGTGCTTTTACATCAGTCCCCAAATCCCCACCACTGGATAGTAGGCTTAATCTATGCTCTATAAAAAAAGAATACGTAGTACTCTATGTTGGATATATCGAGGGCCTGACCTAGTTTTGTCATACACGTGACTGTGCGTCGAACCTACTGGAAACGCATTTCTTTTTTTTCACGCTTTTTTTTTCCTGTAGCAAAGTTGTTGTTGATTTCAGTTTGCGAGGTCGTGATCCAACCACCAAAAAAATTTCAGGCGCTCGGTATTTATAGGCGCTCCCTAAATTTAGCGAATCGCACAACATTGCGTCACTTCTTTTAATCGATTATCAACTAATATTAGCAAAAATGGCCCAAGAAGTCCCAACTTTTAAGTTAGTCCTCGTCGGTGACGGTGGTACCGGTAAGGTATGTGCTTTTTGTGTTCGATTGTGGTAATTCATCTGATTGTTGACAGTGTTGATGTTTTTTTTTGTTTTGGCGCAACGAAATGGCAGTTTTGCCGCCATGGCTCTTCTTGTCTCACCTCACAATGGATGCAATCGACCAGCCTAATGGATGATTGGTTGTATAGATACCTCTGTCCACTGCCCCTGAATTGATACTAACCCGTTTAGACCACCTTCGTCAAGCGTCACATCACCGGTGAATTTGAAAAGAAGTACATCGCCACCTTGGGTGTCGAAGTTCACCCATTGGCTTTCCACACCAACTACGGTGAAATTAAGTTCGATGTCTGGGACACCGCTGGCCAAGAAAAGTTCGGTGGCTTGCGTGATGGTTACTACATCAACGGTCAGTGTGGTATCATTATGTTCGACGTTACTTCCCGTATCACCTACAAGAACGTGCCAAACTGGCACAGAGACTTGGTCAGAGTCTGTGAAAACATTCCAATCGTCCTCTGTGGTAACAAGGTTGATGTCAAGGAACGTAAGGTCAAGGCCAAGACCATCACTTTCCACAGAAAGAAGAACTTGCAGTACTACGACATCTCTGCCAAGTCCAACTACAACTTCGAGAAGCCTTTCTTGTGGTTGGCCAGAAAGTTGGCTGGTAACCCGCAATTGGAATTCGTTGCTGCCCCAGCCTTGGCCCCACCAGAGGTCCAGGTCGACGCCGAGTTAATGTTGAAGTACCAGCAGGAAATGGAGGCCGCCACCGCCTTGCCATTGCCAGATGAGGATGATGCCGATTTGTAAGTTATCTCTGCGTTTTATCTATATATCACCATCTAAAAGAATTTTAAGTTTACAATCAAATAAATGTAGCTGTAATCCAGATGGGAATGGTCCATGATTGTACTTTCCTTCGTATTGAGCTATACGTTGCCATTGACTCTCAATTCCTGCTTGCAACCTCCAATGGTGAAATTTCAAGAGTTACCGATCCACGTAAAGCAAAGAGCATTTCTTATCAGCACTCCAGCGTATATATACTACTATTTGTGACCCTGTGATATTTAAGTAAGCTAGGCATTGCGAACCAGGATCCAAGCTGTGATTACCCCGCTCTAATCGTACGCCATACAAGCAATGTTTGAAGGTAGAAGTCGGCTAGTCGAGCGACGTTTCAGGGGCAGCCCTGGGACGTATACAAGACACACTCTTGTCATCACACAAGCACCCAGGTTGGGGCTCACGGTGGGAAAATTGTTAATTGAATTCTGAACTACTTTCTATCCGAGTTCAGTTCTGAATTGACTTGTAAATATAAAAATCTCAAAAACCTGACAAGTGGTAGCATTCCTCCGCTAGAGTAGTGTCCTGACCATCACTAATGCCACGTCTGCCCGGCATGTAATATGATCCGGCGTGTACCATCTCAGACTATATGTATAGGAGCGAAAGGCTCTAGTATTAAGCACAAGCCACCCTCATACACTGATATTAAAATGACCGCTTTTGAGCTCCCAATGACGTATGATGCGTCGACAAAGAAGATCTCCTTCGACCCTGCGCAGCAGTACGAGGACGATGACGAGGAGTTCTTGGACAGAGTTAAGCTCGAGATCAAGCAGCTCAATGTGTTGGTGGACGACATCGTGTCCCATGGCTCGCTTCCAACGCCGCCTACCCCGGACACTACGAACAAACAGTTGACCACCTTGATCAAGAAGATGTACGACGGTGGGGTCAAATCCTTCAAGGCGGAAAAGTACCCCGACGCAGTCAAACAGTTCTCCTTAGGGATCGAGATGGTGTCCAGACGTGCCAAGTTTGAGAGCTTCCAGCAAACGTTGCCGGAACTCAACTTGTTCTTGATGAGCAGAACTGATTCTTACTTGAAGACGAAGGAGTATTTGAAGGCATTCAACGACGCGGACCTTTTGTTGAGCATTGTGCCAAACGTGCCAGAAAACTACTTGAGAAAAGGCGTGGCGTGCTATTTCTTGGGCAACTACGAAGCATCCAAGGCTGAGTACGAGAGGGGGTTAGCGTTCGATCCGAAGAATGTGAGATTGCAGAACGAATTGAAGGTGGTTATCGAGCATCTCAAGACTGAGAACGGGGAGCTTTAGGAAACTTCTGTGTATATTATGCGTATAATTGATTTATGTGAGCATGCAAAAGGTGGTTCAACCCAATATATGAAAGATAGGTTTTAGTTTATAGAAAGCGTAGTTGGATAATTAAGGCGACTATACTGATAAACGAGATTCATTATTCAGATCTGGACAAAAATGCAATGCGCTGCCTGTGGACGTTACTATACTTTAAAGGCTAGTGATACTTGAAATGTGGGATTCTTTAAAGAGGGCTTGTAGCTAGCATACGATAAATTAATTAATTCACTTTGTTCATCTAGAAGGGAATAGATGATTCCTTCAAACCCTCGCATTCACCTTAAAGCGATCCCAAAATTGTTAATTCTTTGATTTTGACAATCAGAGTTTAAGTGATTCAAGTATAAAATTATGGTGGCCATCTTATTCTGTATATGGGTCCACTCGTAGGGTGGGGATTAATAGAGTGGCGTAAGACAATGCGATGGAAATATACGTACAAGTCGCCGCACACACTTGGACGATCCCATAGATCGCCACCAATAAATTCAAAGCTTTTGACTATTTCAAATTATAGCTCTAGGAAATTTAAATTGCGGTTTTTTTTTCCCCGCTAAACTATCATATCCATACTTTCTTCTCAGATCTCTTTATATAAATTGAAAGACCAGCCCGTCAAACATCTGTAGTTGTGTCCGTCTCCGCTTAAACGCGTTAACGCTTTCAACCCGCGTTTTATCCGGCGATTTACATGCCTAAAAATAAAATCCGCTCAGTGTTAAATCAATAGCACACCATAGAAGTCTAACACCAGCACCCCGAGACCTTCCCATCCATGTTCGTGCCAGATAAGGGAGAGATATTCCTATCGTCGTCAGAGGAAGATGAGATTGTGGTACTAGACTCGGAGGGCAAGCTACCAAAAGCCAACACCTCGTTTACAAGCTCACCAAACCTCAGAAATGGTACCGGGACCCCTGAAAGGTCTCAGAAGACCAATATCCCAGACTTTTTTTCCCCCTCGCGACTTGACAGCTTGGTACCCCGCAAACGCCCGAAGTATACCCACCCGGAGATCCACGCGGTGATTGAGTTGGACTCATCGTCAGACGAAGAGACGTTCTCAGTGCCCATACCAAAGGCACCCGTTTTGCAAACAACCCCGCGCCTATCTCCATCGGTAGTCCCTCCCACGGCCGATCGCTATACAAGCCCTTTTTTTGCCAGTGAAGTGAGACCGTCCTTCGCAGAGCCGGAGATGCAAACAGGCAGCTCCAGCGATTTTGCGAGAAATGGAAATACTCAGAATGGGCGAAATGGACATGCTCAGAATGAGCGAAATGAAAGTGCTCAGAATGAACGAAATGGACATGCTCAGTATTCTCACACTCAGAATGCACAAAGTGCTGAAAATGAACAAAATCACCAAAACGGGCACAGTGGCAATACTCAAAAGTCTCAAGACAGTGGCAATGGCCCAAACGGATATTCCCGGCCCTATGCGGGCCAGCCTATTCCCCAGAATACCATCTCGCTCAATGCCACTTCACGTAAACCCAACACTGCTGCAAAAGCGTCCTCTTTCGTCAAAAGCTTCATGGCACCCAGCACGGTCGTCCAGATCGACTCCGACAGCGACGACGAGATCGAAATCCTCGAGGTCCGTGAATCCACCAAACCACTAAACGTCTACCCCGCAAGCAATCAGTTCCCTGTCAATAAGGCACCCTATAACGGACAACCTCCCGTGAACCATCCAGTGCCGGTACATCATCATGACGGATCAGCCGCGTCGCTCACAACCATGGAGCGCTTGCGCGGTCAGCAGACGGCTACCCGCACGCAGGCTCTCATGAAGCACTTGGAAACCATCCGCGGCGGCTTGGCTAGCAGCGCTGCAAAAATCAGCCGGTTCGCGTCAGAGGCAACGCAAGCAACCAACCAGAAATCGCGCGTGTTGACCGAGATGGCAAAGCTTACGGCAGCGTTGAACGTGGTGCACGACGCTGCAAAGTACACGGCGTTGAAGCGTCACCACGACACGTACAAAGATATCCTCGACACGTGTGACCGCACGATCAAGCAGCACAACCGCACGGTCCAGGAAACTACCCACCAGTTGGAGAGCTTGAAACTCGCGTACAACAGCGGGCTCTCACAGCTCCACGCGGTGGACCCTGAGGCGAGCCGTGCATTTGCCGCGCGCGTGCCGGCGCCCAGGGCGGACCCAGGGTATGCGCCGAACATCTACAATACCGCACTAACGGACGAGGACCAGAACTTGGAGGAGTTGATCAATAACATGCGGCCGGACGAGGAGATTGACGCGGAATCGGTGGCGACCCCAGCTGCGCTCACGATTTCTCTCCTTCCGCACCAACGCAAGGGCCTCGCATGGCTCCAGCAGATGGAGGCGAAACCGTCAAACAAGGGCGGCATCCTCGCGGACGACATGGGGCTTGGGAAGACGGTCCAAGCGCTTGCGCTCATTCTCTCGCGGGCGCTGGAGGACCGCAAACGGAAGACCACGTTGGTGGTAGCACCTGTGGCGTTGCTCAAACAGTGGGAGGCTGAAATCGGGTCCAAAGTCAAGCCCGAGCACCGCTTGAGTGTGGCGATATATCAGGCGGGCAAGAAGCTCAAGAGCTTCGGACACTTGGCCAGGCACGACGTGGTGTTGGTGTCGTACGGGACTCTCAGTTCCGAGATGAAGAAGCACTACAAGCGCGTGTTGGCGGAACTTGATAAAGAGCGGGGCAGTGATTTACCGGGAGATGACGAGGGGGGGGATGAAGGTTACGTCTCGCCGTTCTTTGCGCGCAACGCAGTGTTCCACCGAGTCATTCTCGACGAGGCGCAGTGGATTAAGAACAAGAAGACGCTCGCATCGCGGTCGTGTGCGATGGTCAAGGCGAGTTTCCGGTGGTGTCTCTCGGGAACGCCGATGCAGAACGGGGTGATCGAGTTGTACCCGTTGATCCGGTTCCTCAAGATCCGCCCGTACTGTGTGGAGACACGCTTCCGTGCCGACATTGCGGTGCCCATCAAGAATCAGAGTGGCAACTACGGCCGCGACGATACCGACCAGGCGATGAACCGATTGAGAGCACTACTTGCCGCGCTTCTTCTCAGACGGACAAAGACGTCCAAGATCGACGGAAAGCCCATCTTGAGCTTGCCGGAGAAACACGTTGCGATGGACAAGGTGGTTATGGTGGCAGAAGAAGACGCGTTCTACAAGGCGTTGGAGGACCAGACGGCCAAGAAGGCCCAGCAGTTGCTCCAGCAAAAGGGCGTAGGTACCTTCCTGAGCATCTTTACGCTCCTCTTGCGGCTCCGTCAGGCATGCTGCCACAGCTACCTCGTGGAGTTGGGCATCCGCAATGCCAAGGAGCAGGCGGGTGAAACTGCGTGGAAGGGCCAGTACGAAGATGTCATAAAGCTCGATGGGCAGGTCCAACGGAGGGTCCGAGAGGAGGTCGAGCGTGAGGAGACGTACAGCTGCGCGATCTGCTACGAGCCGCCAGAAAGCATGGAGGAAGTGGTGTTGCTCTCACCGTGCGGACACCTTCTCTGCCGCGAGTGTGTCCCATCGTTTTTTGACAGGTTTGCGGAGAACGAGGCGCCCGAGGGGAAGCGCGTCGCAAAGTGCTATGCATGCCAGAGGAACGCGATGGAGGCACATTGTATTGGGTATGGGATGTTTGAAAAGGTGTGGGTGCTAGGCTGGGCGCGCGATCGCGTCGTGGCGCACTACACGGCCGCGTCACCACGCCCCAAGTCCCGTGACCAACAGGTGCTGGAGTTGATCCGCGAGAGCGGCGGCGAATTCACGCCGCTGGCCAAGATGGACCAGGCGGTGACATTGGTGGAGGAGATCTTGGCCAAGGATCCGCTGGAGAAGATCATCATCTTCTCACAGTTCACGTTGCTCTTCAACTTGCTCAAGTTGGTGTTAGACGCCAAGGGGATTCAGTTTTTGCGCTACGACGGGAGCATGAGCGGGGATGAGCGGAATAACACGATTGGACGGTTTTACAACGAGCCTGAACGTAGTGTGCTCTTGCTCTCGCTAAAGGCCGGGAACGTGGGGTTGACCTTGACGTGTGCAAATCATGTCATTATCATGGACCCGTTCTGGAACCCGTTCGTGGAGGAACAGGCGATGGACAGGGCCCATCGCATTGGTCAGCACAAAGAGGTGTTTGTGCACCGCTTGTTGATCAGCGACACGGTCGAGGATAGAATCATGAAGTTGCAGGAGACGAAAAAGGAGTTGGTGGAGAGCGCGTTGGACGAGAAGGGCATGAAAGTGGCTGGGAGCTTGGGCAGACAAGAGTTGGGGTTCTTGTTTGGGCTCAACAAGTTGCGGTGATCACTGCAGAGCAGCGTGAATCTCTCAAGGGCATTACCATACTTTTGTCAGCAAGTGTGGTACTACTCATTGAGATAACTTCATATATTAAGAGCCCATGAGCTAGAGCAGATACCATACAGACCTGTGTTTGAGCTTCTCCGTTGCGATAGTGGTTTTACAATATTTCACTGACGCTCTGATAACCGTTAGCTCCTCCCTATGGTTACGCTGATCCAATAATCCGTGAGAATCTCTGGAATGTCGAATTTTCTCACGAACGGGTTTCCCTTAAACCCTTGATGCTCCAATAACTGGTTTGGGGATGTGTCTCACGGTCTTTCTGCTTTAAGGGCCTTAAGCGATATCAGCGTCATTTTAGGTGGTTTGGTGGCTGAATCCTTATGATCTGAGAATAAATGGGCAACGGGGTAACTGAAAATCCATGGAATTTGGCTCTGCAAGGTTTTCCTGCGCTTCCTTTCCGCTCAGAGTCTCCGGGACATATTTCGAGATACATAAACGTTGGTGCTCAACGAGTATTATAAATAAGTCAATGATAAGATATTATATAGAGCAGAGCTAGGAGCTTGAAATATTGGAAGGTACTCTTCGGTATACCTACCACGTTGAGGATCTATCCAAATGACACACTTACAGAAGAAATGGCTAGGTCATCAGTGCGCTACACTCTAATGGTTTTTCGAAATACAAAAATTGCAGTACATACACAAGTACATAATGAAAGGTGAGAAAAAGGTAGGAGACAAGTCTCCATGAAGCAATGACCCTGTGGGTGCATCGTGATTTTTTTTATGAAAAGTGAAAGCGGGGCTTCAAGAGCTATCAAACATGATATAGCGCCGATTATCCGTGACGAGTATTTGATCGCATGAACCATCCTAGTTGTATTGATCCTCGGAAGCTCACATTTCACCAAAGCCGCTGATCATGCCCTTGGTGGAGAAGCCACCCTCCTTCATGGCCAACTCGTAATAGCCGTAGATGGTGGTGACCGCCAACAAGATGGAGGTACCGGAACCCAAGGTCCCCAACAAGTCACAAGCAACGGACAAGGCACCGATGGTAGCACCACCGAAGGCGGCGGCGGTAGGAATGACCTTCTTCAACTCTCTGTAGACAGAGGTTTCTCTGTGACCGACAAGGACCAAGCCCTGCTCCTTGAACTGCTTAGCGACGTCTCTTGGAGAGGTCCCAGAGATTTCAATCCACGTCTTGGAAAAGACGGCACAGGCAGTCAAGACGAACACCACGTAGATGACAAGCTTGATAGGGTCCAACACAGCCTCAGTGAAGGAAATTGGAGGCTGGATATAATAGGCGATACCGGAGGCAGCAAATAACTGATGGGAACCCGGACGGGACTCCCAGGTCCCCAACAACTTGATGATTGGAGAGGATGGGAAACCCGAAAAGAGTATCTGGGAAATGATGAAGTAGTTGGAGGTTAAGGCGGACTGCAACATGATTGGCACGTTGGAGGTGTAGAACAATCTGATTGGGTACAAGCCGTTGGAGCCTCTGGATCTGGTGGACTTGACTGGTAACTCCAATCTGAAGCCCTGCAAGTAGATGACGGTGAAGAAGACAACCAAGGTGGAGAGTAACTGGAACATGTTAGGCAAGTTTGGTCTGTAGAAGGCCCGGATCAAGCCTCTCTTCTTGTCCTTGGAGGAGAAGAGATAGTGGAACAAGGCAATGACAGCACCGTCAAACTCGGTACCTCTACCGGTGTTCTGGGTGGTTGGCGCAAAAGCCTTCCAGAAGATCTGCTCGGCGACGTTGGTGGCGGTGAACAAGGAGATACCCGAGCCCAAACCGTAACCCTTCTGCAACAACTCGTCCAAGAGAATAACGACAGTCGCGGCAAAAACCAACTGGAGAATCAACAACAAGCACACACCGGTGCCTAAGTCCGATGGTGGACCGTACATACCGGTTAACACGTAGACGGTAGCCTGGCCGATAGACAACAAAATGGCAAACAACTTCTGGGCAGTCTGGAACTGCTCACGATCCTGCTTGTTCTCCATGTTGATGTTGATCAACTTGGTACCCTGCAACAACTGGAAAACCATCCCGGAAGACACGATTGGCGAGACACCCAACTCCATCAAGGTCCCTCTGTTGGAGGCCAACATCATTCTGAGCCAGAAGAGAGGGTCGGAAGAGTCAGAGGAGACGATCCCATAGAGCGGAATCTCAGACATGACGAGGAAGATCAACAAGGTGACACCAGTCCACATCAACCGCTGGTTGAAGGCGACCTTTCTCTCAGGCGCAATCACCTCTGGGAGGAAGGGCTCGAAAGGCTTGACAAGGTCCAAAACACGGAAGCCAGACATTGTATAGTTAGAAGATGGGGCAATTGAGCAAGAGGATGTATACGGCGTTAATAACCAGCAATAAGGTGTATAGAGATTCAAACTTGGCGAAAGAGGAAGTGGGAGAAGATATACTGTGGGTGGATTTTTCAAAAGCCACGCATCAGTTTGGGACTGTACATTAGAGGGCTTCGTGGCAGGCGTATACCCTGTCATGCGCTTATGTCAGCATACGTGAACAAGTGTTTCGTGTCCTTAAGGAGTTCTAGAGGCACTTAAGTCAGCAGCAGGCGATGAGACGCGTCAGGCGGAAATACATAGATAGTCTATACTGTCGTGAGGAGATCAAATACAGGGCTCTATTCCACTAGACGTTTCCAGAAAAGGAAATATATCTGTGGCATAGTATTATGTGCGAAATCACGATTCTGCCAGTTCCTCTCAATTCAATTGGTAAGGAGCTCACTAATTGAGCTATAGGACTATCAGACGACTTTTGTGAAATCTTGGTTAAGCTTCTACGATGGCTGCCCGAAGATAAGATAAAGATGGTAGAAAATAAGGCCCGTACGTAAAAGTCTTTTTTTTTAGCAATCGATCTAAATGCCTATATGGTGGTGAAGAGATCCCCCAGAGAGCTGAGGCTGATGGGTCTGTGGATATAAAAGTCAAAGGTATCTATTAGCCTCGTAAACTAGGAAACATGTGTGTAAGACACGATCCAAACAAGAGGAGAAAGCACCTGTATAACAGGCGTATGGGCTCTACAGAGAGAGCATAACAATGCTACAACGAAGAGTACCTGTGGCCGAAGGCACCGATCAATAGTGTGGTGTCTTTGGGGATTTCTAAGAGCCCTATCCGACCCCAGGCGGTGATGGGCGTACCATATGCAGCCTATAACACGCCTGCAATAGAGGCTAAGCCTGCGAGCATAAATTCCAACACTCCAACATTGATGAGCAGGTGGTAACGTAGGATTGAGTTCGTAATAGATCTAGGAATCTCTGTGCAATGACTACCACCTTATGTGACGACACCATGCATATTTATACCTCGTACCAATCTCAGAGTATTGTTGGCATGCAAGTGTTAGCCCTCCGTAACGGTTCCCCCACCACGGAGAGGCTATCAACGCTCTAGGAAGCTATCTGCACAATGTCCAATATTTTTGCCCGACAATTAAGGGTAGAATAAGGCTGTTTATAGATGCACAGGCCGATGGAACTGAGACCATCTCAATGTACATGGCCTTATGTTTTTAGTAGCCATCCACTCGCGTAGCTATGACACTCCCCTCCCAGTGAATTAATTTCTAGATGCGGCTGACAGATCGAAAAATTGTCCCCTACTACCGGCCCATAGTTCCGCTTTCATTTCTTAATATACTAGTATACACGCTTACTGACCGTGGACAAAGTTCAACAACTTTTCAACTTCACCCTTGGAACCCAACCAGATACCAGATCTATCGTGGATAGCCTTTGGCACGATTTCCAAGATTCTCTCACCCTTGTCGTTGACGGCCATACCGCCAGCCTGCTCCAACAAGAAGGCCATTGGGAAGCACTCGTATAAGATTCTCAACTTCCCGTTCTTGGACTTGGAGTCAGCTGGGTAGCCGAAAATACCACCGTATAATAAGGTTCTGTGGATGTCTGCAACCATGGAACCAATGTACCTGGCGGAGTATGGCTTGTTGTTCTCCGGTTGTGGCTTCTTCAAGGACTCAATGTACTGAACAACCTTTTCGCTCCAGTAGTAGGAGTTACCCTCATTGACAGAGTAAATGGCTCTGGTATGTGGAATGGTCAACTTTGGCTGGGTCAAGATGAACTCGCCCAACTGGGTGTCCAAAGTGAATCCGTTAACACCATGGCCGGAGGTCAAAACCAAGTGGGTGGAGGCACCGTACATGGTGTAACCGGCACAGACCATCTCGGTACCGGCTCTCAAGACGTCCTTGATGGAACCGGAAGAGTTGGCGTCCAAACGGTAGATACCGAAGATGGTACCGACAGAGACACCGGCGTCCAAATTGGAAGACCCATCGATAGGGTCGTTACAAACAGCATATCTGCCGTTGCTGTTTTCAAAGACAATCAAGTCTTCTTGTTCCTCGGAAACGAGAACCTTGACGTTGCCGGAAGCCTTCATGGCGTTGATGAAGATCTCGTCACCAATGACATCCAACTTCTTCTGGTCATCGCCGGTAGAGTTCTGGGCACCGGCCAAACCGACCAAGTTAATCAACTCGGCTCTTCTGATGGTGTGTGCAATGAATTTAAAGGCAAACTGCAACGAGTTCAACAAAAGAGAGAGCTCACCAGTGGCGGCTGGGCTGACTCTTTCCTGCTCGGTCAAAATGAATCTCGACAAGGTGATGATGTCTGTGTTGAATTGTTCGTCTGACATTGTGAAATATATGTATAAGGTGCGGGAAAAAAATGGAAAAGAAAAGATACACAGAGTGTGAAAAATAGCGGAATGTTGGTATATTTATATAAAAGCCAGTTGAAGCAACCCCTTCCGGATTTCCAGAAACACTAAGCTTAGACCGACGTAACGTCCGGGGTATCGCCCAAGGACTACCGCGTTTGTATGACATATGACACCCCGTACCGTAAGTCTCCGGGTGAGGTATCCGCACGACGAATTACAAAAAAACGACAATACAACCCCAACCACTCATAAATCCTCGACCAGATCATTTTCTGTTTTTATTTTCTGGTAATTAATACGTTGGGTGTAGTATTTGAGTAAAACCGCCGTCCAGGTGCGGATATTCTATCGGCTCTACGCACGGTTTCTAACGGCCCAAAAAAAAAACCTTCTGTGCCATGACAAAGCTCGCAGCGCGCCTCCAGTCGGACTTTGCTCACTGTAGCCGAATACTAAAGCCTATGTTTATCTGCTTCTCGCTCCATTGAGGATTCCAGAGCTGTATCATTAGTGGTCACCAACTTTAAGATACCCGGTACTCTCTTGAGTGAACTCAGGTACTCTTTCGGGTGAATTTTTGGTGTGCCTAGTAAAGAGGGGGTGGACCGGGGGTTGTACCTCCACTGTGTTAATGGCAGGAGCGTTCCACTCCGAGAAGAATCACGTGCGCATATCTCTCCCCCGCGCTACTCTTTGTGGGTGAGTTCTACACCCGGGAAAAATCCCCTTACCAGCGTGCCGGTATTATGACGGCACATTCACTCTCCATGAGAGTTTAGGGTTTCAGATCGCTTGGGGGTACAACTCTATATATATTCAATTGGCTACGTACACTAAATCGACATAAACATGGCATTTGTAAATTTTCCATCTGCGAGCGTAACTAGCTGTTTATCATCTCGTGAAAGCGGTCCCGGGTATCTTTGAGAGGGTGTGAAGCCATTCCGTGTTTCCCGGGACTTTTCGGGTGTCGAACTTCATCTGCATGCATACCGTGCTGCATATATTCCTGCTCGCTACATCTTTCCCGCTATTCCGTTTCCCTCTTTTTGACCCAGCTGGTATAACGGTGTAAATTGTGTCGCCCTCCTTTCCAGTTTACGGTTAAATAGTGCATGGAACCGTGGAGATAACCGACATTTCTGGGTGTACTGGGCAGTAAAACTTAGGTTTATATCTACCGTCTTTTATAGAAAATCTACTAGGCAAAGGCTACTCCTGTTTTCGGGGTTTAAAGGCATTGTCGGGTGTTTATTATAGAGTGCCGGGCATGTTTGCCCTTACAGCTGGAGACTTAATTCCGACGTCTTGAATACCTGACACTCATGCCTTTACTCAAATGGCACCCAAGGGGATCAAAATTGATGCCCATAGGGCTTTTTTTTGCATCAAGCCTTACAAAGCATTTATATAGGTGAGTGAGACACTTGAGGTATCCCGATCATCACTTGAATCCTTTCCGGGGCATACCTCTATTCTTGTACACTGTCAGTAAGGCAAACTTATCCGAGGTATGAGAATCCCACCAAAGCTTCGAATTCTTATCCACATGTCGATTGTAGTTTATGGCTATGCAAATTTGGTTTCAATTCATTTCCTCATCGGACGAAACAATAGTTGCTTTTTTTTGTTACTCTGTAACGGATTTACTCTTACACAGATCTGGATGCAGCGCTACAATAACACCCCTTGCATGCAGAGTCTACAGGTGAAGGGTTGCCCGCTCTTTAATACCAGTCCTTTAGCTATTCAGCCACCTTATCGTATTATCTAAGCTGTCTAGCTCACTTTGTCTTCAAAAACCAGATCTCATAACCCCTCATTTCCATGGCTCCCACAGCGCTATCCAGCCGGTATTTCACCAGCCTCGCCGAACTCAATGAGTGGTACAACAACTATTCACCCGTCACCAACCGTCATACCAACCCTGAGGAGAAGCTCCGATGTGCAAGAGAACCCTTGCACCGATATATATCCCCGCCTATCAAACCTGCCGTTCCTCCTCATAGCCCGCTCACCGACAGAGCCTTGGACCACACGATGAAGCTCATGGTGTGCCACGATTTCCGAGGTGGATACCAGTCCAACGAAGATGACAACCCCCTCGGCTACTTTCCTCACCCCTCAGGTAATCGTTACTTCCTTCAGTTTCCCTCACTCGTGGATAGCTTCGTCTACTTTTCACACCAGCGCGTCAGCGTGCCTCCGTTTCTGTGGATCAACAGCTGCCATAAACAGGGTATTTCCTGTATGGGAACCATCATCATGGAAGGTGACCATGGCACAGGACCTTTAGAACTAGAAGAGCTAGTTGGGAGAAACTCCCAGGCAGAATTCCGTTACGTAAATGTTCTCACCAGTCTTGCACGCTTTTATGGCTTTGACGGATGGTTGCTCAACGTAGAGACCGTTTTCCCCAACCTGGGTCACATCAAAGATTTGATACCCTTTGTCGAGCTGCTCAAACTGGCGCTCCACGCTGCCAACCCAGCTTGGAAGTTGGTCTGGTACGATTCGTACCAGGTGAAGAAAAACCGCGTGTCGTACGTGAACGGTTTGAGCTGGGACAACTACGACTTCATGAAGGCTGCTGATTGGTTTTTCACTAATTACTGGTGGAGTGACGCTCACTTGGTGGAAAATATCCGGATCTCAGGGCTTGCGGGGGTACAGAAATCGGTTTACGTAGGCTGTGATGTCTGGGGCAGAGGCGAAAGAACCCACCTAGGAGGGGAGGGGGGATACAACACGTGTCAAGGTTTACGCTCAATCAAGCAGTATATGACCAACGGTGTATTGTTTGCACCTGCGTGGACCTACGAGGCCTTGGGTGAGGACCAGTTTGCAAAGAATGACCGGCAATTCTGGATCGGTTTGGGAAAAGAAGACGGTGGAGAGAAAACGGAGATCGAGAGTGTTTCGACATACGCCACATTGAAATATACACCGGTGTTTGAGCTAACCCCTGGTGATACCAAACCAGAGTTTTTGTGCTATACAAACTTCAGCCAGGGTGGTGGGAGTCTGTTCAGCTGCCAGGGCATCAAAGTCTTTTGGGAACCATGGGTCAACGGCAGCTTTCAATTTGACGTTCCGCTCGTGTGTTTCAAAAATACGGGATTGGCCTCAGCCCTGGGAAAGGCTCGACTTGGCGGCACCTTGGCTATGGCTCTTGAAAACAATGACGCCTTTCATGGTGGGAATTGTGTAAAGATCACCTCTCATGGCTCCACACCTACTCCTCTTAACCTATTCAGGTTTAATAGCGATTGCTTGCAGCCGAATATTGATGTCACAGTCCACTTCAAGTATCCCTCAAAAGTGCTGGGTAATTTCCAAGTTGAATTGAGATACCTCTTAGAAAGACGAGTGAGATCCATTTCTCCCGTCTTGACGGGTGTCTTGATAGTTCCCCTCATTCCAGATACTGATAACGAAGGTTGGCAGGAAATTCATGTCAAATTTCCTACTCCGTACAGATCCCGGTTTGAGTATTGCGTGTTGCAAGAATGTGCCATCAACTACGTGGAGGAGTCTGATGGGGATGAGTGGGTGCTTGTATCTGGTGCTAATAGTGAATGTCTCATTGGGGACATTTCCATCCTGTCGGTTTCCGACGACACATACACCAAGATGAACTCCCTCGATCCAGTTTCCGAGGTGAGAATGCTTCTAAGACACGGTTCTACAATTATTGAATGGGATGAAAACTTGGACTTGGTTCTTTACTGGTGCGTGTACCTTGATGGAAAGTTCAAGGGGACGGCCCATAGTCCGATATGGTATGTAACTGGTGAACCTGGGACTGTCAGAATTGACACGGTAACACGTTTTGGCGTTGTTGTTACAGGTAAAATATCCATTGTGGATTAACGTGTGATATCATAGAGAATGTGATCTATAATATATATTGTTTCAGTTTTTATATATTTCTTGGTTATCACAGTTTTATTCTACTCTGTGAATGCTTAGTGGATGCAATGGATATTAAGACCTTAAAAGAATATATATATTACCCTTGGTCTTTTCGTATTTTATGCATATTCCATCCCGCCTAAAATCCCGTGTTTCTAGTTCACATCTTATCTAATCGTTTTAGCGCACCTCCCGATCAGGCAGTATTGCAAACAGGAGAATTTTTCCGCCGACTTTTCGCGGTGCGGCTCTGTTTCCCCTCGAGCTTTTTGGTGGAAATGCCTCTGAGTTTTCATCCACGTAAATGCACGAGATAAAAGCCGGTTCACACACATTGCCACTTTACTCCATACCCTCTAAACCTATCTATACCAATATGACCGGAGAAGCCTGGCTATTCATTCTTGCAGTTATTGTCAATGCTGCCAACTTGTTCTTCCAAGTGTTCTTCACCATCATGTACTCCGATCTTGAGTGCGATTACATCAACCCAATTGAGTTGTGCAACAAGTTGAACTACTACATCCTCCCAGAAGCCGCTTTGCACGGGATCATCACTGTTTTGTTCTTGATTAACGGGTACTGGTTCACTTTCTTGTTGAACTTGCCTTTGGCCGCCTACAACGTCAACAAGGTTATCAAGAAGAACCACTTGTTGGATGCCACCGAGATTTTCAGAACCTTGTCTAAGCACAAGAAGGAGAGTTTCGTCAAGTTGGCCTTCCACTTGGTCTTGTTCTTCTTCTACTTGTACAGAATGATTGTCGCCTTGGTTGCCGATGCCTAAATCTGAGCCGCTAGCCGTCGGAGAGGGTGTTTGCTTTGCAGCTGACGGGCGCACCAGACAAATAAGCTATGGACAGATCACGGAAGATAGTCTTCTTTCCTCAGGGCGAATCTAAAACATTCCCCACTGGTTTTATGCCATTTCTTTTACTCAAACACCAAACAGGAAACACATTGGATGTGCCTTCAACAGTATCTCAACATACTTTAATTTCTTCCTTTATCTTATACTTCCAATAAATCCATACATTGTATTAGCTAATTTAAGTTCAATCTTCGGATAAAGACCGAGTGGATGTAGAGTAAGGACAGTGTGAATCTGAGGGTTATGACTAAGATCTCTCGACGCAAGTCCAGCACACCCCGTCAACAGTGCTCCTGTCACCTTCCAACCCCTCAAAATTAAGGGGCATAACGTGGGCGTCCTTACCGTATCTAAAAACAATCTGCCAATCTTTCTGGGGGTCAAGCCAGGCTCTGACAGCAGAAAGCGGCTGCTGCAATCCAGGCCGTTTGTTATAAACCAACCCTTGAATCCAGTTCCCCAAGCGGATGATCATTCCTTCCCATTCAGTATCCTCGCTGGCCGCAATTTGCAATACCCCACAGTATTCTGGAACCTCAAACAGCGTCCGCTTTTCCTTTTCCACCTCTCTGATGAACCCAAAGTTGTACGGAGTGGTGTTACAGGAATCAAGCGACCGCCACACTTCTATGTATGGCTCGATTATCCCAGACTTGTCGTTGAACATCTTTCCTACTTCCTTCCTGTCGCCGTCTCCGTTATCCGAAAACTCGCCCAAGTCCTGATCGTTAGTTTCTGGCGCTGGTAAACCCTTCCTCCGCGCCTCAATCTGCTTGAATATTGTCTTGGAATCCACAAGGTGGTGGAAGATGGTGCGACTTGGCCCCGCGTCCTCTTCTCGGCCAGTCATGGCCCAGTCGATTGGAAAGTCTGGGTTTGGGGCAAGGGACAGAGGGCTAAAGGGACGCAAATCTACAAATAATCCCTTCTTGTGGGAAGTCATCACCACTGTAGATGTGTTTTCCGACGGCTTATTGTCTGACCACTTGATCGAAATTCGGGTAGAGAAGACCATGGCGTTTGTGATAGCTAGGATGAAGTAGTTGTGTAGCAGTGGGAGTATTAAAGTAGCTGGGAGGTGGATACAATATACAGAGCGTATGAGCTGGATATGTTGACAGGTGCTATCTGTGGGGAAATGGGCGTCACCTTGTATCTAACGGCATGTATCCTGAATCCCGATTAGGCGGTTACTTCCACTCCAGTGTCGGTAATCCCCGCATTATATTGGAGGTCAGAGCCTTACGTCTAGCCGGAGCGCATATCCGCATACAAGAACTGGAGATGACACGCGGAGGCTAACACTGAAAGGTCACGGTGTGTTTTGTGCATGACACTCAATAGCAAGGTATATGTCGTTGATTTTTCAGTAGTATCAGTAAAATGTGTTTTCTTTTGGTACGTTCGATTTAATCCGTATATTTAGCTGAGCTTATAGATATATTTACACGCGCGGAGCTAAAACTTTATCAACTTCATAGCTCTAAGGAATTTAAAATGTGCCTTATGTAAAAAATACTAGCTATCCGTTAGATATGATATTAGCAAATATGCATATATGTACATATAAATGCTCACAGAAAATTTTCAGTAGAGAAATAACTAGGTCTTACATATGAATCATACATCTATATTGATATAAATATGAATTATACATCTATATTAGTATGGATATAAATCCTCATATATACAAATATAAAAGATACGAAATAAAACACGAAACAGAACAAAAAACGAGTGTACACTTTTTAATACCGCTTTCCAGAAAAAAACGAAGTAAAGCAGAGCCATTTGTGGGTAGGAAATATAAATATAAGTGGTTAAACAGAGAGTAGACCATGAAGGCTACGGAGACAAGAACTGAAGCAACAAAACAATACTGAGGGTGAAAAGCAAATCAACAATAATGGACATCAGAACGGTAACCAAATAAGCTTTTGGAACGAACAGGGGAAACAACAGTGGAATAAGAGAACCACAGCTTTAGATAGAATCCAATTGGCCTCTAGAGGCTGCCTGGTACATCTCCTTCAACTTGGACGAGCCACCAGAACCGTCAGTGGCATCCACTTGCTGCTGTAATAAAGCCGACTGAGAAACCACGTTAGCACCTAAGCCATTGGAGCCGCTGACAGCAGACGTCTGGGAGGCACCGGAAGAAGTGGAAGAAGCCGAGTCGTTTTTGCGATTTCTCAAGTGCAAGTCGCCACCTTGGCCCAATAACTCCGGAGGAATGTGCTGGGGCTGCGCAGAGGTATCGGCCAGATAGCCATCTGTCAGGGGGGCATCCATGTTCAAACGTTGCATTCCTTGATCGAGCGCATTCATATCTCCCCGACCATGAAAACGATTCCCCATCATGCCTCCAGACTGGTCATGGGCAGGCAGAGGGAACGGAGGGGGCGCGTGGAATCCTCCCTGGAAGTTGGAGGCATTGGTCTGTGGGTCTCCTGGCATCATCATCATGCCCATCTGCAGATCGAAAGGTGGGGCGTGACTGGCACCCGGGTTACCATTGCTACCAAACTGCTGTGGTTGGTTCATAAAGTGCGGAGGCATCTGATTCGGGTGAGGGTTGCCAGCCATATTGCCGTTGTGCTGGGATCTTCCCCACGACAACCTGATTCTGGAACCACTAATGGCAAAGCCCTGCATGCCCGCAATGGCTCGTTCGGCATCTTCTCTTTGACCGAACCTGACAAACCCACAGCCCTTCCCCGGGGGAATCTTGACGTGGAGAATGTGACCAAACGGCTGGAACAACTGAAGCAAGGTCTGCTCGGGTACTCCTGAGGTCAAGCCACCCACAAACACGGTGGTGTTTGTTGGGTCGGTAAACGCCTGCGCAGCCATGGATTTTGGCGCCTGTGGGGGCATGGATGGGTTACCAGAATTGGCCTCCCCGGCGCCGCTAGCTTGCTGGGGATAGAACGGCATTGGAGGCTGTTGTGGCGAAATCCCATGGTACCCTGGAGCTGGGGCCATGCCTGGCGGAAGCATGTAGTTTTCGTAACCTCCATGGGCAGGCATCCCAAGTGGATGGCTTGGAATCCGGGCATGCGGTGGGACGGCATGGCTCATCATCAAGCCATTGGCAGCAGAAGGAGAGCTATTAGAGGCAATGTTCCTAGGCGTGGCAAAAGCAACACGTAAAGGCCGGCCGGACAACCAAACGCCCTGCATTTCAGCTACGGCTTGTGATCTTTCAAACTCGTTGGAGAAGCGGACAAAGCCAAAACATCTCGAGGAGCCGGAAACAGGATCGGTCATCACTCTCACTGTCTTGATTGACTGATATTTTGTCTGGAAAAGCGCCAAGAGGTGTGCCTCGGTTGTTTGAGGGGAAAGATCACCCACGAAAAGAGAGTACTCTGGGGACTGTGAGATCGGGGAAGATAGGGTGGCACCTGCAGCCCAATTCAATCTAAAAGCCTTAAAGTTGCCACTGTCGCTTCCCGAATGGTCTGAACCATCGCTGGCGTTGGGAATGGGGGAGCCGTTTAAGGACAAGGCGTATTGGGCGTCGTCAAAGCTGTCGAATTCCACAAAGCAGTACCCGGAGTGAGGCGTGAAGTTCGGGTCGCCCTGATGGCTGCCTCTTTTGACACGGATAAGTTTGACCAATACGTTCTTACCCACGTTATTCCAGATCTGGCCTACGGATTCCTCGGTCGCCCATGGGTCCAAATCACCCATCCACAAAGTGCGGGGCTTGACGGAGGAGTTGACAAACGACTCGTTAGGGGGCTGCGGAATGGGAAAGTTCGAGGCCAACTCTGTGGGATGGTTGGCACCGAGCGCCTGCATCGGCGGCGCAAAGCCGGACTGCTCAGGATGGACTCCAGTGAAGGACATGAGGACAACGAATGGGGGGAGGCAAAATCTAATAGAAATCAGAACGAGAAAAACAAAACAAAGCCAGAAGCTGAAAGGTAGGACACTGGCTTAAGATGTATATTTGTAAATGTGGATCAATTGTTAGAGCAATAGTCAAATAAGAGGATCAAACAGTGAAATTCTTTTTCGAGGGGGAGGGGTTTATGGACCGAGTCTCGATGCAACAGTATTTGTGGTTTCTCTAGAAATAGACAGAGACGGCAACTGCAAAGCGTCAATTGATGTATGGATCAAAGAACTATGGTTTCTGGAGGCGTTTGGCTGTGTGTAGTGTTCCTCAGGAGTTCTGACGGTTTATACGAGAGGCAATAAGGAGGATGATATACACGTAGTGCGGTGGATATCCCGAATTATGCGCAGCCTGGTTACTTGGGGTTTAATACAAGAGAAAACGGAGATGTAAGAGGAAAGCTTGAAGAAATATCGTGGAGAGGTGCTTATACGGCAAGAATTTTGTTAGTGAAAAGTGCGATTGCTCTATAGACGTCAAAGCTGAAAAAACTGTACGCAGTCAATCGTAAGGCGATGCGATACAGGCTCCGCACATTTGCCGCTGCATGGACGCGCGAGTTACCTATTACGTCATGTGTATAGTTAAACCATCCTAAAAACCGCTAGCCCGCACATAGTGATATTATATTTCCCAATCGTGGGAATAGCAAATACGCCACAGTCGAACCTACACGTTTAAACGGTGTATTAGACTCCCGTTCTGGGCGACGGAAATCAATTTGAGTATGACCAAATGTTGCTTCACGTAATTCCGCAGTCGATTAGACATGCAGCGTGGATCGCATGGAACCCCCCCAATGATCTAGACGGGCGATTGAGGGTTATGAGCGATAGTTTAGAGTTCCCAAGAATACACCAGCTGTTTCTCATTTGGATAAAGAAAGAATGAGCTGGACGGGCTCAAAGTTCCACGGTTAGGTTGGTGAATAGCGGGGACTCTTTATATATTCCGCCATCGTTTTAGCTGCTTTTAGTTTTCAGCGAGGTATACGGCCGGGTAACGCACGACGAGGCGCCTGGCAATCTACTTTTCGTTGCGCGGTTGTTTACATCACGTGAATTTATTATCATTTTATGGTGTATGAAAACATCACTCCAGAACTAAGAGTTATAGCACTATCCACACCCGGCTACTATACCTATTTTTATCGCTAGAACTATACCACTAGTGCTTACAATGGTGAATGACAAGGATGTTAGGCGGGAGGCCAGAAAAAGGGGAGCAGCGTATGTATCTTTTCAGAGAATGATTGAGCACGAATACTAACAGTTGTTTGGATTGCGGAAAATCCAGCACGAGGATATAGTTATTGCTACACCAAACCAAACAAGCGGAAACTCGCGAACAAGCTCCATCAGAAGAACACGGAGCACACCGACCCAACTCGACCGGGACAAGCACAACGATGACGACGACTATTTACACATAGGACCTGCGTCAGCCCGGCTGACTAGAAAAAAGACAGGAAAGAACGTGATACCACCGAATCGCGAAGAAATCGGTAGCCTTGAGGTTACCCCGCCGTCGTTGAAGAGGGGCAGGGGTCGGCCCCGCAAAATCTCTCTTTTGCCGCAGGGAGCTGTCAAATCTGGGGGTAAAGAGACTCCGGGTGGCTCTTCCACTCATACCTCCACCTCTAGATCTGGCCATAAGGCCAATGGTATAGACCAGGTTCTTGGACAGTCCAAGAAGACCAACTCCTTGATGAGCCCTCTCAACAGATACGTGGCACCAGACTTGCCCAGACTTCGCAATTCCGATATAGCTAATGCCCCACCCCTACAACCATTTGCTCTCAACGAGCAAACCACGTTGGTGCACAAGTCCCCTTCACCCATCTCCGAGTACCCCAAAGGAGTTCCGCCACGTCTGACCAAGAAAAATATCAATTCTACCAAGGAAAACGTCAGTTCCTCCAAGAACATTAATGCTTCCAAGAAAAACCCTCAGGCTGCCAACCGACAGTTGCTATCCTTAAATTCCTTCATTAAGACCCGTACTAAAGATGACAGCCCCGCAAGGAGACGACTGATTGCCCGAGAGCAATTGTTAACCGCCAGAAGGGGGGCAGGGAAGGCCAACTCGGCGGAATCCGCGATAAAAGAGCAAATGCCGGTCCTGTTAGAAACTACAGGGCGTGGGGAAAAGAGAAGGAGACTACTGGTGAAACCTGCCAAACCCGATTATATCCTGCTGATAGATGCTTTCCTAGATTCTGATTCTGAGTATGACTCGAAGGAGATGACGCCAGCTAATGCGAGACCCCAGGAACTTGAACTTAACGATAGCTTTGACGATGAGGAGTATCATAATTCCCAGGGAGAGGAGACTGAACGACATGCAAGCGGCCTTCCCGAGAAGAAAGATGCGCGCCGACAAAAGGTATTGGTCAATAAGGCCATCTCCAAACCAGTACAGTCTTCCAAAACATATGCCACTGGGCGCGCAAAACGACAAGCGACAAAACAGCCAAGGACGGTGGCAGAACCTGGGAGCGATAATGATGACAAAGACGCTGATTATTCTATTGACGAGACCAAAACTCCCTCTGAATCTCTCAGTCAACGAATCTTGCGTAATTCGCGGAGTAAGAGACACACCTCACTCGAAGTCAAAGTGAAGAGACTCGAAGTTGCAGCCGAGGAATCACCCGCTCCGGAAGGGTTGCGTTCATCACAGCTACACATGCACAAGGTGACTACATTAGACGTTTTGTCCCAGTTGATTGACGAATTCCTCACGTTAGAGGCACCTAAACATTCCAAGTCTTCAAGAACATCTGTTGCCACAGCGATAAAGCCTGCCGACCAACACGCTCTCTTAACAAACTATAAGCACCTCATCAACGGTCACTTCGGCAAATTACTTGACACCCTTCTCTCAACCGACGCAACTACGAAGAAGATCCGCGAATTGGCTATCAAGAAGAAGGAATTGCGCGGTGGGTTGCTAGACATTAAGAAGCGCAGAGCGGAAATTGTCTCGCGCACCGAATTAGCCCGTGAACAGTATGCCGCTGCCGAGCGCAACTACCGGGAAATGAATCTGGCAAATTCTTTTTTCAAAAGCTTGCATCCCGAGACCGACGAAGTTATGGCTGAACAGAATGAGCCAGCGGAGGAACCAGAGAGCGCGGAGGTTCCAACACAAGTCGACCAGGAAACCAGCAGCGGACTGGGAGTGGAAAAGGAGCCACCAGCTCCAGACGTGTCCATCGGGCTTGATGACACACTCCAGTCTGAAAGACCGGAGTCCAGCCCAATGGTGACCCAAAGTGAGGGAGAAACTGCGGCTCGATCCTCACCGATTCCGGCCTCTATCACCACGTCCACGGTTCAGGAGGAAGAAGCTTTTATTGTTCCGGTGGAGTTTACCACGATAGCGACAACTTCTGAGCCACTTCTAGGTGAGTATACCGTATTAGGCACAAGCTCTGGGTCACAACTCGCTTCCTGCTCGCTGTCGGTATCTCTTTTAGAGTTGGAGCGGAGACTTAACAAGTTGGACAGAGTCATCAACCCCCATTACGGACTTTATCAAAAACTCGTCAGGTTGAACGAAATGTTGAAAGAAATCGATGCCGCCTTATAGTACCAGCAATGCTGTCTCTAAGTCAATTGAAATTCCCTGTGGGGGTAAACCAGCGCATGGTCTGTAGTATCAATTAATATCAATAGGCACCGAAGGATAATAGTTCGCCTGCTGCAGTTGGTGTAATAAAGCCATTTTAAACGAATCATCTAAATTGGTTTCCAAGTGCTTGATTGTTTCGGCATGCACACCAAAGGTTTCGTCATACAACAGAATTTCCATAGTAGCACATGAGTCACTGTAGCTTCCGTCTCCCAGTGGGTTGGGGTAATTTTGGACAAGCTTGTGCATTGTTCTAGGAATATGGGCAGCTAGCTCTTCCTCCAAGCCCGGGAGAGTATCCGCCTTTAACCTCTTGGATGATTGCAGAGTGGACTCAGACTTATCACGCTTAGACGATAGTAAGGGCGTGCCACTATTGGCCAATTCCTCTTTGATCTGTACCAAATCAATTTGAAACTGGCGTTGGTGTATTTCCCTAAACCGTAAATACGCCTGTTGTTCTTCAGTCAACAGAGTGGATGCATCTATTCCTTTGACTTCCTCAACAGCTTGGGTTTTTTCCTCAATCTCGAAGTCAATATCGTTTATATCGATTTCCACCTCTGACGTGACGGGTGGTTTAGGCAAGTGGTTATCCCAGAATTCCTGAATATCCTCGATTGTTATTAGCACTGGTTTGCTCATATTACTAGGGGATACAGAGATTGATTTAAGAGATACCCACATTCGGTCTGGGGACTTCTGGTTGTAGTTCTACGTCAGGTCGAAACGTTAGGCATGATACGTATCACATATTTTTTGATCGAATTTATGTACAGGATATACATAAACCACCATGCCAGTTGGTGAGGCCATTCATTTGAGTTAATCCGTGTGCAGTCTCACGTCGGAAAAATCGTGAACGGCCCCCAATAGGCTATGGTCTGGATTATCTGCCACACATCACAAATCGGAGATAATATTCATGGTAAGAGGATGCCAGCCTTACGGTGATATGCTGGTACCTGCTCTCGGGATATATGAGAATTCTGGCTCTACTATTAGTGCTGCCTGAGCTTGAAATGGTGGGAAATATCTCACTCCTTAATAACGTGTTGCGCACCCTTCCTTATACGTCTCCGGTTATGGTCAGATAATCATGTACGGCAATAATGCCTTGCAACTCAGAAGTACGTGCATCCATCAGGAATACATACTGCTATGATATTTTCCCGGTTGCATCAAGACATAATAAGGCAGCAAATATTCTTCTCCCGCTATCCTCTATATACTCATCGGGTTGATATCCGGTTCGGTTTGCCTTTCAAACCCGAATTGGCCCAATTAGAGTAGTTTCAGGAAAATTTCTTCGCTTGAGGTCGGGTAACTATGCATGAAATGCATAAACGTTCCATAACCAGCCTTTTAGACGCATCTTAGTTACCAGGCGCCTTGTCTCACAGCCTGCAGATTTTCTTGCAAGGCCAAGAGTTTCTGGCACGGCGCTCACCTGCTTCTGTTCTCCAAGAGTAGTTCTTTAGCATCCTCTAAGAGAGAGAAAAAATTCTGCATTATATTAAAAGACCTCTTTGGCCTATACGGTGAAGGGGCTTATGTCCAGTTCTGGCTCAGCTATGTGAACATGGATAGTTAATGTTTAGAAGTGCATGCCCTGCCACTCCTGGATAATGCGTATCGCAGATCTCTCTGAAACAGGACGTAATTATTATCTAGCGGCGGTTATGGACGTATGACATACCCCATTTCTTACATATGGACACCGCCCTATGGAGGTTTTTCGATTGCTCGGTCGGGTAGGATACTAACCTGGGTTTGGATAAATTTTCTCGTGCCAGAGTTAACATTATACCCCGTCAGTCGACTAAGTTAAACTATAACTGGATAGGAGCTCGAACACGGAGCAAAGTACTCATTAGCTAACTTTATTAAGGAAACGTGCGTCATTTGTATAGTGCAGTTATTCAGCGTTATTAGACGACGCGGTCATAGAATTTCGACTAAGAAGCGGCTGAAAATGTCTACGGGCTTGGCGTGGAGTTACAGAAGTGCCTGTACCCAACACATTCCGTCTCATCAGTCATGGCCGGCCTCATGGGCTAAGCTAAGAAAGATAAAGTCTGAACTAAGAATTTTGGTATATATATATTTTTTTTAAAAAAAGATGCCTGATAAGAATAAATTTGAAAAGAATAAGTTTGAAAAAAATAAGCTCGGAAAGAATAAGCTCGAAAAGAATAAGCTCGACTTGCAAAGCAACACCATAATAGGAATCCTCACTTGGACTATGCCACTACTAAGGTTCCTAGAATGGTTTGAACTAAAACTATTGTTGACTATCATACGACACGGAAAGTCATACTTCCCCTTTAGAGTGTAGTGCTATATGAAAACTTAGAAGGGACACATGCTCAAGCTCGGAGTTGCACACCTACCCGTGTACCGACCATTCCTTTGACATTTACTTCCAACTGATTGCTTGTACGGAGATCCTACCGTAATCCCTGAACGCATAAACTATACCCAGTCAAACTCGGACGCCGGGCAGGAATTGATCAACCCTCCAAGAACCTACTGCCGATAAAATCTAGAAAAGACACGTGAAATCGTAGGACCTGGAACGCGCTTACCGAACCCCTTGCGTAGTGCAATTACATAAACTTCTGCGCACCTTTGCACGACGCATGTACCTAGAACCACCTTGACTGGCACAGATCGCACCACATACACGGACCTACTATCTTCAGGCGATACTATGCTAGACATTTCCCAGAAGAGCGAATAATAGAGAGGGCCTTTGGGAACCATAGTGTATGCCACTCCCAGTGCGGAAGCGCCCTGTCCCTAAATAGTCGATTTCGCGATCTCGGTTGGCGGACTAGAGGCACGAAAGCCAACAGGCCACGTACACTAATTGTATTATGTACAGGATAAATTAGTGCATGAGCCTATCCCCTACTGCATCACTGGCAATAGAGCGCAAAATAGCTGCCCCGTAACCCGAACAGAAAAGGACACTAGCCCGCATCTCTTCTGGTTTTATGCACGCAAGTCACCTACGAAAGTCGGCCTATGCACCTCGTGGAAGTTGCAGGCTGCAGTTCTTTCACCAAATTTCTTTTTATTCTGCCTTATGCGCCCACAGTACGCGTAAACATAGCGTCTAATAATACATAAACAGTTTCTGGTCGACGTGTTTCTTCCACGGTGTATTACTGCGAGGCTGGGCTCTGTGAAATTTCGTATATAATAAACTCCCGTTCTCACTCTTCCGACTTCTGTTCCCTTTGCCTTTTCTTTCTTTGACTGTATATTTGTTTATCTTTAAACCTTTACATTCCTTTTACGCATACCCATACAATGAAGGCTCTTATTTTAGTTGGTGGTTACGGTACTCGTTTGAGACCATTGACCTTAACCGTCCCAAAGCCGTTGATCGAGTTCGGTAACCGTCCTATGATCTTGCACCAGGTCGAGGCCTTGGCTGCTGCCGGTGTCACTGACATCGTTCTTGCCGTCAACTACAGACCAGAGGTGATGGTTGCCACCTTAAAGAAGTACGAAGCAGAATACGGCGTCAACATCACCTTCTCCGTTGAGGAAGAGCCACTTGGTACCGCCGGTCCATTGAAGTTGGCGGAAGAGATCTTGAAGAAGGACGACTCTCCGTTCTTCGTCTTGAACTCGGACGTCATCTGCGAGTACCCATTCGCTGAGTTGGCTGCTTTCCATACTGCCCACGGTGGTGCTGGTACTATCGTCGCTACCAAGGTTGACGAACCATCTAAGTACGGTGTTATTGTCCACGACATTTCCACTCCAAACTTGATCGACAGATTCGTCGAGAAGCCAAAGGAGTTTGTTGGTAACAGAATTAACGCCGGTATCTACATCTTGAACCCATCCGTCATTGACTTGATCGAGGCCAAGCCAACTTCCATTGAAAAGGAAACCTTCCCACAATTGGTCGAAAAGAGATCGTTGTACTCTTTCGACTTGGAAGGCTACTGGATGGATGTTGGTCAGCCAAAGGATTTCTTGGCCGGTTCCGCCTTGTACTTGGCCGCTTTGACCAAGAAGAAGTCTGCCAAGTTGGCCTCTCTCACCGAAGAATACGTTAACGTTGGTAACGTCATGGTCGATGCCACTGCCAAGATCGGTAAGGGTGCCAAGATTGGTCCAAACGTCGTTATTGGTCCTAACGTGGTTGTCGGTGAAGGTGCCAGAATCGTCGGCTCCGTCATCATGGCTAACTCTATCATTAAGGAGCACGCTTTGGTCAAGAACACCATTGTTGGTTGGAACTCCGAGGTCGGCAGATGGGCCAGATTGGAGGGCTTCACCGTCTTGGCTGACGATGTCAAGGTCAAGGATGAAATCTACGTCAACGGTGGTAAGGTCTTGCCTCACAAGACCATCTCTGCGAACGTTGAGAAGGAGTCCATTATTATGTAAGATCATAATACTCTTCGCGCAAGCCTTTATGTAATATCACCCCCCTTTTCGCTTCTAAGTTTTAGCACTTGTAATGTGAAGCTACTTTTAATATAGATTTGAATAATTTGAATTGTTTTGGAGAAATACGTACAAGTCTGAAAATTAGACCAATCTACTGAACTTCTCAATGGCTCGATCTCTGGTGTCTTTGCTCAACGGCTTGGTTGGGGAGAGATATTGCAACATCAAGAACTTACCCACGGATGGTTCCAAGACCTGGCCCATCTCGAGGTTCTCAAAAGTGTCCGCCTTGCCGGCTTCGCCAGCAATTCTCTTTTGGTATTGCACCTTCAAGGCGCCGGTGGCCAATCTTTCGATGAGCAAGACGTGGTTCTTAGGCACCGAACCCTTTCTGGCGCCGAAAATCGCGCGGAGCTGACCCAAACCCTCGGAAACCACATCGTTCGACTTTTTAACCGCCGGGTGTGCCAAGATGGACTTCACCAAACCGTCCCTTAAGTGGTTGAAGTCGGTGTTTCTGACAGGAACAATACGCACAGCGAATCTGATACCAGCATCTAAGAGCTTTTCAGTCAAGTCGTTGGAGTGGGCTGGGTCCAACAAAATCGCGGCCATTTTCTGGCTGTTGGTCTTGGAGGCATCTGAGTTCAAAGAGGCTAACAATTCTGGAGTACAGACCTTTGGGATCAACGGCAAGTCCGCCTCGGCGATGTAGATACCTAAGGCGTAGACCTTAAAGTTGAGAAAGGTTACCATTCTGGTGCCATACGCCACTAGCTTGAAATCGGTAGATAACGGAGCGGAGAGCTCTTGCGGGAAGGGCGAAACGGAGTTTTCCACATCAACGTCATAAAGGTTGGCAGCCGAGGCGTCAGAGGATACGATTCTGATATCGCGGGCCTTTTCCGTCTTGAGTGTGTTCCAGGAGTAGAAAATACCCCCGGCAAGGGCCACACCGACCGAAATCTTCCAGAACGGTGTACGTTTGTGGGCGGTTTCCGTCGCTGCGCGGAACGACTTGGCATAGGTACGCTGTACCACAAGAGACTGTCTAGAGAGGAGACTCGATCTCACTCTTAATAATCTTGCTGAGGGTTGAAACATGGCGTGTAGGATAAATAGGCATGGAGGAAAGTGAGGCAGTAATGGCAGGCCATGAGATTGCCTTGAAGTAGGTTGCAACGCTATTCCGGCATACAAAGACGTCCCTATTGAACTACTCTCGGGAGAAAACTCGGATGAGGAGCCAGGTTAGTGCCACTTACGCTATTTATAGAATATATTATACTTCAAAGATTGACAATAAAATTCTTTGTTACATACACACGACTGGTCGCACGATTCCTAGCCCAATTTCTTAAGGACTCTGCTAGTTTGTACAGAACCTTCCGAACGTTGTCTCAAGGCCCGTCCGATGGCAGCCTTCAGGTGGCCACGGGACCCGGAATCGTTGATCTGAATTACGGAAAATGCACTAGCCAACTTGTCGTTACCGGTTTCAGTGCCGGCCAGCGCCAATTGGGCCATCTTATAGATGGCTTCTTGCTGCTCAATCTGCTTAGACAACTGTCGGACGTCCTCAAACTTGGCCCTGGCAGCACTCGTGACTTCGCGCACCGCGGTCTTGAGTCTTTCAAAGCCAGCGGTGGTGTCACTGGTGTCACTATTTTGTCCAAAACGGGATCTCGATTTCAAGATGGTCAAGATCTCTTGAGCCTTGAGTAGCTGCTCTTCCACAGACATGGTCTTAGCACGGAGCTGCTTTTGCATACTGCTATTATCAAAGTCCAACAGGCGTTGCTTGAACAAGTGAGAGCTCTTGTCCCAGTGCAACAACATACTTTCTAGTTTGGAGGCTCTTTCGTCTACTTCCACCAAACTGGCCTTGACTCTGTCGGTGGAATCACTCAAGGATTCGAACTTGGTTTGAACTGACGCGAAGAAGCCAGCTTGGTCTTCAACGATCGCCTTGACCGTTTTAGCCTCCCCCAACTTCCAATATGAGGCATAGTTGATCGAAGCCCAGGTGTGGATAAGACTATCGTCCAAATGTTCCGCCAAGTAATCAGCAATTTGCTCCACGTTAGCTTGCAAAACATCCACTTGCGAGGCGGTGGAGTAATAGAGCTCTTCGAGAATACGCACGAGTGGAGCAGAAGACAACTTCGGGTGCTTTACTGAGCCTAACTGAAGGTACTGTGGAACTTGTGGGGGCACCCTGAATTGTGACTGGTACACCTCTTCGTCATCAAACGATTGGACCGGGATAGAGAGACGCGGAATTTCATCGGTCTGAATCGACATCTCACGGGTAACTGGTCTAGGAATTTGCATCTCCTGGTCACGGGTAAAAGGAGCGGTTTGGATAGCATAATCGTGGGTCTCAACACTGCTCTGGGTTTGTGCATCCTTTACGTCTCCAGCCCGGGCCAATTCGGCTTTCTTCACTGGTGGGGGCTTGTCAGAAGCATCCCCTTGCTTGGTATCAGTATCAAAATCGTCATCCTTTTCCTTTTTAATATCCACTTCTGAAGCATCGCTTTGATCTTCCTCTGAGAATTCCAAGCCAGAAGCATTATCAGACCCTTCAGAAGTACCAATTTCTTCAGCAGCCCATCTACCTGTCAGCTTATCGGTGCTCGTAAACACCTGAGACTCCTCTGTTTGTGTAGACGAAATACCTGGCTTAGCGGCGGAGATGGAGCTCGACTCTACGAGCTCGAACAGACTCTCTGATTTGAGCTTACTCTTTTCAAGAACCTTGGAAATGACATTGTCATCACTACCATCAGAGATAGCATCCTCGTCAGAAGAATCTATCTTGTCATGGTTGGCAGGTTTGCTCTCAGTCTGGAACTTCGCAAATGGGCTTGCGCCAGTAGAGCCCCAGGTACTGGAAAGAGGGCTATCATCGCTGGCACCAAAAAGAGGTGTTGGGTTGCTTAGACCGGGACCGTCTGACTTTTTGGAGAGGCTGCTAAATGGAGATTCAGTGGCGGAGGCACCAGCACCAAAGATCGGAGTGGACTTGGCAGCCAAAGCCTTGAAGGGTGAGTCACCAGAGACTGCAGTTACAAAAGGCAGGGCGGAAGTCTGAGCGGCGGAACCAGGCGCACCAAAGGCTGCGAAACCAGACGTTCCAAAACCAGTAGGCTTGGACGAACCAACAGCAGTGGATTGACCGAATACTGGGTTTGGTGCAAGAGTGGAGGCTTCGCTGGAGATAGCTTCCGGCTCAGATGGGGTGCTGAAGGACGATTGGCCAAAAGCTGGCTTGGCAGAAGTCAGCCCAAAAGCCGATTGACCAAAAGCTGGCGTGGGAGTTGGTTGACCGAAAGTGGATTGGCCAAAAGCTGGTGTGGTAGTTGGTTGACCGAAAGTCGATTGACCAAAAGCTGGTATGGAAGTAGGTTGACCGAAAGCCGATTGACCAAAAGCTGGTGTGGAAGTAGGTTGACCGAAAGCCGATTGACCAAATGCTGGCTTATCAGAAGTCAGCCCAAAAGAAGATTGGCCAAAAGCCGGAGTGGAACTTCCAAATATAGACTTTGGCTTCTCTTCAGCCTTTGAATCTTGACTAGAGACAGTATTTTCTGTTTTGGCCGTGCTACCGAAGGGAGAACTTGATTCACCAAACGGATTCGCCTTAACCTCTGAACCCAGGCTGTCGAAAATACCCCCCGTCGCAGCCTTTCCAGTCCCTCCGAGGTTCAAATCAGCAAATCGAGTTTCTTCTTCGCTTCTAAGAGTGATAGCTGAAGCATCGATCTTGATTTCGGGACTGCGCACGGCACTGGCGTAGACCTGTTTCACTAGTTCCATGCTATTTGACAACGAGACATCTTTCAGCTTTACAGCTTCAACGTAGAAAATATCCCAACCAATCAACCTACCAGAGTTGGTCAAGAGCCAGAGTTTAGGTAATGGATCACTCTCACTGATACGGTCGCAGGGTTGGACAACCTGATCAGTCCCTCTCAAGTCTAAAAACATACCCAACGGGCTTTCATCGTCGTCCAAATCGTCATTGAATGGAAGTTGGGCTCGATTGGAATCGGCCCCTGGAGTTATGACCGATTCACAGGCCAAGGCGGAAATTTCGGCAGAAAAGGCAGATGCTACAATTACCAACGGGGAAATAGCAGGATCGTTCGAAGAGGACCAGTTGTGTAATGTAGTCGAGTAAAACTGCTGGCACCTGGATGTCTGGCAGAATGCAGGGCAGATGTCATCCACTTCCTTCACTTCTACACTGCTAGCAGCGTTTTGAACCCAGTAGTTTTTGACTTCAGGCACTTCATCATCAGCCGGTACAAGAATAGCATCGTTGGTTGAGTCGGAATAGCTGAGAAGCCAGCTGTCTTCTGAGAGCCAATCAATGTGTAACGGGTCCTCGTCTTCCAAGCCCTCTGGTTTTTCCAACGTGACAACAGCAACATTGGGAGTTTCGATCTTTACGATGGAAATCTGCTGTGTTTCGGCAGACCCGACAGCCAACCTGTCGCCCTTTGGTGACCACGCAAAGCAGCTCACGTTATCTTTGATTTCCTTGACTGTGCCGGATTTCGTATTCACCAAAAGCAACTCGTTGTCGGTGGTCAACAACAAGGCCATATGGCCATTAGCAGGACAGTTGGAAAATTCTCTTACTTCCGAATCTAGCTGATTGTTGAGAGCTAGCTGCTCTACGGTGAGGGAGGCCAAATCGCTGATATAGCCAATCTGCTGCTCGGAACCGGTAAACAACAAGGTCGAATCGTCTGCGGTAAAGGCAATCTGGGTAACTGGGTACGGTAACGTAATGTGGTTGAACTTTGTGTAAGCCAATTCTTGGCTAGTATCGTCATTCTCTGCATCACTGAAGGCAAGCTCTTCGCTCTCCTTAGCCAAACTATGGAGCTTGTCTAGCTTATCTAGCACCAAAATGTTTCCGTCAGATATCGCAAAATAGCCCTTGATGTTTGCTATGGCGGCGAGCTTCAATGAGGACTCGGGGAAAGACTCGATTGGCTCAAAAAATTTGATTCCATCTGGAACGAAGGCTCTGAAGCCAAAATCCTTAACTTGTTAGCTTGGATGGGAGTGTAATATTAAAGGTACATACTTCAGAGTGATTGTGCTCAAGAAACTCCATTCCAATGCAGTTCTCGATTTATAATCTCTGGAGGCGATGGATTAGCAACAACAATAAGCGGCAACCTTTAACGTCGGTAAAAGGGTACATAATTTTTTGAGCTCGCGATTCAACACACGTGACCCATAATACAAATGCATCAAGGAGATGCGGCGCATACACGGGCAGTATGCCGTTAAAGATAAGGGCTACTCATTTGGGAAATCAAATAAATTCAAAAGTTTCCGTACTATGTGCCATTCCAAAGTCAATACTTCTTAACTTTCTAACTAATAGTTTAAATTCCCATGTAATGTGTTTTATAAAGGTTATAGCAACTTTGGCTTGTAACTTTCCAGAAACCGAGATTCATAATCTAGTTCCATGATTAGATAACCTGTGTCTCCTACTCACGTGGAAGACCAAAATTCTTTGATGCCAGTATTTCACCACTGACCGTGCCCACTCCTGCTCCTCACATATCTACTTTTCCATATTATCCACAGAAGGAAGCCCATATCCTCTCAACCTAAGCCAGGCCGTGCCATCGTTGCTGATACTATCTGGACTCACCACCTTGATCAACTCTCCCTTCAACAACTGAAGAAGTAGTTTATTCAGTACAAGTTCGCTGGGGTCTATCGGCAAGTCCTGCACCTCATTACCCGTGTGGCTAGATGTCATATTGTTCAACAAAGACTCAATTAGCTGTAGACTTTCAAGGAGCGAGCTCTTGGACAGGGTGCCCTGTGAAGCATTTAGATAGGAACTCACCAATACCTTCAAGTACTTCATGAGCTTGGTCTCTCTCTGCTTTTCTTTGCTAACCAAATCATCGATTTTGTCGGTTGTGTCCTGTATGGTTGATTCTGTTTGCAACCCGCGTATTCCACTCCTCAACTCACGCTCCAAGGACTCGAGACTGTGACTTATGTGCTTCTCACTCTCTACCTTCTCTTCTAGCCGCATCAACTCGGCATCAGTCTCGCTGATAAGCCGTGCAGACTGTACGAGATGATCACTTAGCATGATGTCGATTTTGGAGGAGTTCATCAAGTACGCGTCGGACCGCTCAGGGGTGTATGGGATGCGCGCTGCCGCCTCAGAGTAGCCTTTGACCAAGCGCTTTAGGTCATCATAAGTGGCATCCTGGAGGTCTTGGAGGGATCTTTCCTGGCCTGAAGATAGGTTGGTCACATTTTCGGCAGCTTGGGCAAGGAACCGGGCTTTCGCTTCCAAGTCATTCTGGATATCATTCTTAAACTCTTGGTCCCTCAGGCAGTCAGTCTGAGACAGTAACAAAGAGTCCCCGGTGCGTAGAAGTTTGAGAAGCTCTTCTCTTCTAGAGCTATTACCGCCGGATTGCATTGTGGATTTATATTGGAGGATAGTCGGGTAAGATATATATTTTAGGAATAGACATAAGTGAATGCGATTGTTTACAGTTTATGTGCCGGATCTCAATGTGACAGTAACAAACTCTCAACTAGGTATAAATATAGGGATTGGATAAACATATGGGGATTGGGTAAATATTTGCGAATCTGGTAAACATATAGAGATTGGGTAAAAATATGGAAATTAGCCGGGTATAAATATAATGATCTTGCCGACATCTGATTGAAATTCATTCATTCATTATGTTCTATATACAGTATTATAGGACGATACCCTATCAACTCAAATGGTTCAATACAAGTAAAACCGCCACGCAAGATAAATCGTAAACTCGTTTCAAAAATCGAATACACTGGCCATGTTCGTACCGTCAGACATCAAGAGTGCTTGCTAGCCTACCTATTGTTGATTTTGCAATTGCTGGACAACCCTGATGTTGGTGTCCAAGAATCTGTTGACACAATTAGCCAAGCAGTTTTCTTCCTGAACAGACAAATCACCGGAGAAAATTGGGCCCTTATTAGTGACACAGGTCTTGAAGCACAAGTTGGTGAACTGATGAATGGACATCTGGACCTTGGACTTGGAGTTTTCGGCTTCGACAAATTTCATCAACTCCTGTCTGGAGCTATCGTCTAAGGAGTTCAAAACTTGTTGGTTTAATTCAGCCATCTTGATGTGTGTGGGTTTAGCCAGAGAGAGAACGCAGGCTCGCTCTCTTCGGGTCCAGATATATCAAAAGGTTTGGTGCATGGAAAATTCGAAGTATATTCAGGAGACAGTCGTTGACTACCGTATTCGGTAGGAATATACAATTGCCTAATGTGTGCCGCAAGTGCATGCAAATCTTGATGAATGAGCTTGTCTAAGACCTTTTACAATTAATATCACTTATATAATATACGACGGTAAAACATACAGCACTAGTTCAAACCGAGAGTTTTCTTATCCACACTACCGGGTTATTTCCGCCTTTAAGCTGCTAAACCGCAAACCTTATGTCTCGCAAAATAATACTCCTTATCTCTAATCCTGTCGAGGAATTGTATTTTCCGTATCTCTATAGACACCGATAATTTACTCTATTCCAACGTTTGAATATCCTTGCTGATGGAATTATCACACTGTAAGCTCAAACCAGCGGCGCGCATTCCCCTCCAGAGAACCTGACTTCGTTCCGCGTTCGATTCGTACAACCATCCAGAAGAAACCGTATCCCCTGAGCTGTTGCCCAACTCAGCCATAATAACTCCCATGAGCGAATCACCAGCACCGGTGACATTTTTGATGTTCTCTACTGATTTTGGAATAGGAAAGTGCTGCACTAAAACGCCCATCCTGCCCCCTCCATCGAGCAACGTGCCCTTGGACACAGCAGTGAAGGATGGCTTGTACGTCTCCTGATCGTTTCCATCATGGGGAAACCTGTTAACATGAGATTCGTATATGTCGGCATTCTGAGTGATATTGATCATTAAGACCCCATCAGCCCCATTTTTCACGGCCAAGCTGGGGATATAGGGAAGGATCGACAAGGCTTGCTGGATGATTCCCAACTTCAACGCCTTACGTAACGAGGTGTTTCCATGCCCCATCAGTGTTAACACTTCTCTAAACTGAGAATTGACTCCTAGGGCATCTAGGACCGGAAACCATCTCTCAAGGTCATCAAACTTCCCCTGCTCTTTCATAGCTGCGTGCATGTTTGCAAGCTCACCATACGTTGGGGTACTCAAGTTCACAGAATGCAGCGGAAACACCCCCAATTCCAGCTTCGCTAGTCTTTTGCACTTCTCAGAACTGGTTGGCTCAAAAACAACACCTATCTTTTTTCCTAGGCCCAATTCGGCATTAATGTCCCTAGTGGCCAGGATTAACTCATTCATAGTATCCTCGCTGAGATTGGCGTCGAAAAGAAGCCATTTGGGCTGCGACTTCACAATCTGCTCTCTCAAATGCTTCACGGGAATCTTTTCAATAATCGACATGTCAGCACAGGCAACAATCAACTCTCCAGAGTCCTTATGCATCGAAACATACTGTGCCGTCCTTTGATCTGGTTTGCTAGACACGTAGACACCGGAGTTATCAAGGCCCTCGGCGGTTAAACTTTGGAGTAACGACATTCCAACCGCATCCTGGCCCACAATGCTAACAAGGCGGATTTCATCTCTGCCTTTCTTTGCGTACTTTCGAGAGGCGAAACTGGCCGCAAGAGCAACATTGTGGCCGACGCCCCCAACCGAGGTGGTAATGGAACCGGGATTAGAGTCACCCGAGTTGTCAGTCAGCAACGCAGAAATGGTATCCTGGGCTAAAGACCCAATTACGAGGGACTTTATCGACTTTTTCTCTAGTTTTGAAGGTTTGGCATTGATGGCGTTTTCTTTGGTGAGGGTGGTTGAAAAATTAGTCGAAGGGGTAAATGTCATTTCAGAAATCGTCTCCTAATATTGTTAGTACTTCCAGAGTCTTTTACTGCTGTCTTACACCATGTAACTGCAAAAGACATTTTATCAACGGTTAAATACGTACACCTCGTAAGCTGGCAACCTCCTTGGCGATACCCGCGGCAACAATGGCGTTGTTCTTGACAAACTCAATATTGGTCTTGACACTCTTGCCCCCACTCTTTTTGGCGACCGTGCTCAACAAGAACGGCGTGATGTCCTTACCCTTAATTCCAAGACTCAATGCTTCTTTGACGGCCGCGTCGATGACTGCGTTTATCGAGTTGTCCAATGCAATCTCCGCTGGGGGAGGAACGCAGAAAATCTGCCCCGAGTTCAATCTCATAAGTTCGGAGTAGTGGATTATGGAAGCAGCCTGCGCAACAGATTGGAAGTTGTATGGTGATTTGATCCCACTGTCAGTGACGAAGAAGCCTGGGACGTTGGTGCCCTCCTTGCCCATCGTAGACACCAATACCCCTTTTGTTTCCAAATATTCCATGGTTTTTTCAATATCCAAGATGGACTTCGGTCCGGAACACACGACAGCCACGGCTGTTCTGGCAAATTCGTCCAAATCGGCACTGATATCCATGGTGATCTCCGCGCCTCGGTGCACGCCGCCCAAGCCACCGGTAGCAAATACTTTGATGCCTGCCAATTCCGCCAAGATCATGGTGGTGGCAATGGTGGTACCACCGTTTAAGCCATTGGCCATTGTAACAGCCACGTCTCTGCGCGAAACCTTGTTGACCTTCTGGGCTTCTCCGAGCTGTTGCACCTCACTTTCATTCAAGCCGACACACGGTACCCCGTCAAGAAACGCACACGTGGCAGGAATAGCGCCGTTGTCTCTGATCAATTTCTCAACCGATAAAGCCATATCAACGTTTTGGGGGAAGGGAAGACCATGGGAGATGATGGTGGATTCCAAGGCCACAACCGGTTTGTTGGATGCAATGGCGTCGCGCACCTCTGGAGACACTCTTACTGGCGACTTTGCGACAGAAGCGAAGTTTCTCTTTGAGAGACTTCTGCAGGTGGAACTGAACATTTCACTCTGGTTATGGGCTTCTGCAGGCAGATGATTTGATTTTCTTGAATGAGCTACTTCTAAACCACCTGGAAAAGAGAGTCCACTTTTCTGCATCTCCGCGTTTACTTCCTTTTTCGGACACCTACCGGGTAACCCGAAAGAGTCTAATTTATAAAAATATGAATCCCAGCACAGTCATACACCCGGAAATAACCGATATTTTAGCGTGATTTTCGCATTTATCAGAAAATATTGACTGAAGATATCCGAGAAAGGTGAGAGCTAGGTTTGATACAGAGCTTGGGAAAGTTGAAATGTCAAATCTAGCTCATAATTATTTTTTAACCGTGTTAAACAAGCCTAGTTTAGAACGAACTATCAAGAAAAAACAGGCTAAAGTTATATACTAAATACAATATGCTTTTTTTTTTTTTTTTTTTTTTTACCTCTGGAGCCGATACCATTAAGTGGAAGCTTACTCTCGTTTTTAGTTCGGATGCTCTTTCTCCAGAGAATAGACTAAATTATTTTCGCCCGCACCCGAACTCTCTTCAAACCTGAAGGCACCCAGTATATAGCTTAACATTATTTATCATCCGGGCTTTTTCGTTTTTGTATTCTTCCACAGGTTTCGTTTTTGTATTCTCCCACAAGTCTCGTTTTAGACCTGGAACAGACCTGGTGTACCGAGCCGCACCTCTCTCGCGGTAAGAGGGATCTCAATCTGTTCCATGCAGCTAAGCAAGTGTTGGGCCGGGAACGACCCCGCCCTAGGCTTATTGTTCCCCGCGGAATCCTTAACAAATACGTCAAATCCGTGTACATTTCTGTTCCGCTTGCATTTAACCAACTTTCATGAATGTGTCTACTCTTCGGAACTAGAGCCAACCCTCTATTGGTGGGCTTTCGCCAATTCCACACCCACTTGTCGTATCCGACAGCACAGGGGACGCTCCGATTGAATCTTTTGAAAACGGCATACATTTACGGCCACTACTCCTCACGGGTGAACCGCCTCTACAACGAAGACCGCTACTCCGCATGCATCCTCGACCTCCCCATGCAGCTAAGATCGCCGTTAAGCGACGAGGCAGAACATGTTACCCGGAAGGTGTTCAACTTCAACATCTTTGACGGCCACGGGGGCGACGAATGTTCATCCTACCTCACAGACCACTTGCCAACCACGGTGGAAACTATAGACTTGTCACCAGAGCACCGAGAAAAACTTATACTCGACTACTCCAAGAATGTGGGAGGTTACTGGAAGATGTGGTACCGCAAGCGACAAGAGCGGTTTGAGACGATGATCGAAAAAGCCAAGGAAGACCCGCTCTACGCCACTGTAAGAGACCCAAACGCGAAATTCTACATGGATGACTTGCAATTCCGGTTACCATTATCGTTTTTGCAGACGGACTACGACTTTTTCAGCACCATCGATAAGGCTGGTTCCACCTGTACGTCGCTCTACATCCATAACATCCTTCCGCAACCCAAGTCCACGGCCCCGCCAAAGTACCATTTCGATAAGGGATCCGTGTCGAAATTGACCATCGCGCACATAGGAGACACCAAGGCCCTCTTATGCACATCTTCAGGCGAGGCCCATGCATTAACCCAGCCGCACCATCCGTCCAATCCACTGGAGTCGCGGAGATTGAACCTGTCACTCATCATGCAAGATTCTTTCGGCGAGTCGCGGTATCTCAACTTTGCCAACACCCGTGCGTTTGGCGACATCGGAGGCAAGACATCGGGCATCGCGGCCGAGCCGGAGATCTCCACGCTTCTCTTGGGTGATGCTGCAATGCTCGCCTCGCACGGCCTCCGTGGGGCGGCGAAAGATGTCGGAGCCAGTGCACGGTTTCTCGTCTTAGTCTGTGACGGGGTCACGGATATTCTCTCAGACCAGGAAATCGTGGACATTATCATGAACCACGTCAACAACAGGGGAATACAGGATGCCACGCCGCAGCAGTGTGCTATGGAGGTGATCAAATTCGTGGAGGCAGCTGGTGGGGATGACAACGCGACATGTCTGATTGTGCGGTTGGGGGGCTGGGGTGAGTGGCCTGTACTAGATAGAACTGGTTCTGCCCGCGAGGCAAAGCTCAAGAGTGCGGTGAGTTCAAGAGACCGACACTAGGGCCGCGTACTGTTAATATCGGAAGTAAGATAATTGGCCCTTCAGTGGTGGTTTATATATTGCACTAGCCCGAAAGTGTCATGCTGTGTATGTCCTACACCCGACTCTAGGTAACCTACATATAGCTGCATTATTGAATGCCGAGTACCAGGTCTTTCACGGGGTATGTCAAGCATTATGAGCTTAAACGATAGCCCGCCTAATCCAAGGACAGGAAGGTATTACCAAATAAAGCTATTTCGGAAGTTTAATTACGATATGTTGGCAGATTTGATTCTATGAGTACCCAAATCACCATATAATTTATAAACTTACGTGAAATCTGATGATTGATTAATTGGTCTCTGTGCGAGAGGTGTATATACAAAGTGGGGGAGCTCTCTAGCTCTAGACGATAATCGCTAACGTTTCTCTATAAGTCTGAGACTAGAAAACACCCGAATAGACAAATCTTCCAAAAGTTCGAGTAAGCCTTCCAGATAGAATCGGATAGAGATCTCCAAAACAGTTATTTGTTCTTGGTCTGAGTGTACTTGAAGCTCTTTCTGGTTGGGGCGAACTCGCCCAACTTGTGGCCGATCATCTCATCGGTGATTTCAAACGCCACGTACTCCTTCCCGTTGTGGACCTGAAACTTGACGCCCACAAACTGTGGCAAGATGGTGCAGTTTCTGGAGTTGGTCCTGATCGGCGCACCTGTCTTTAACGCATCGGCAATAGGCAAAGGAACAATGTGAGGACCTTTCCAGGCAGAACGGGCCAAGGCAACGAAAGAAGCTCTCATTATGTGTAGTTTAGAGGTTGGTTAGAGTCGTAAAGGTTCTCCATCGTCAGGTATAGCTCTGATATGTGGAAAAAAAAGCTACCGTGGATTATATAAGCAGTGGTTATGTACAGGTCAATCTGCCCATGCAGGTCAGTGCTATATGGCTGATCTCTATAACGCAGTTATTCGTCTCTTTTATTTCAAATATAATTTACAAAGGATATGCCTCATCCAAAGATCGAACCCAACGGCTCGTTGATGCTCGCATGGCAGGTTAAGAACCGCCACGTACTCGTCGTCGGAGGCGGGGAGGTTGCGGCATCGCGGGTGTATCACTTGCTCAACGCTAACGCCAAGGTAACACTTATTGCACCGGAAATCGTCTCCCAAGAGTTGCAATTCCGAATTGACAACGGAGATCTCCACAAAGTTTGTGTAAGAGACTACCGGACCGCCGATTTGACCATGTACGAAGGGGAGGCGGTGATTCCAGACCTTGACAACTTGCTGGACCCGGACTACGCTTACATCGATGACTTGGTGCAATCGCGCCGCTTCGCGCTTGTACTTGTAGCGATCAATGACCACGTGCTCTCACGCCAGATCTACTACCAGGCGAAATACCTTGGGCTTATGGCAAACATCGCAGACATTCCGCCGTTGTGCGACTACTACTTCGGGGCCATCGTAAGACGTGGGTTCCTACAGGTGATGATCAGCACAAACGGCAGGTCGCCACGGATGGCACATTTGATCAGAAACTTGATCATCGAGAAGTGCGGCTTTGACGATCCCGAGTTTAAGATCGACGAAATTGTCGAGAATATTGGTAAGCTCCGAGCGATGTTGAGAAAGAAGGTGGACGGTATGGACGAAACGAGCATCAATAGCCGCATGGAGTGGATCAAGAGTGTCACGGATATGTATTCGTTGCACCAATGGAGCGCGGTGGGGGAAGAGCATCTCAAGGAGATCTTGGATTATTATCCAGAGCAGCCGCCTGTGGATCTCCTCAGCCAAGTGTCCCCACCGGATCTCTCCAAGTTATCCTTTGAGGTTTCTTAGTTATACCTAAGAGTCGGATATATAGTTCTGACCGCTCCCACGAAACAAACCTCAGAAGCATTTCTTTCAGGTGATTAATCCACTCTTCAATCCCAATGTTCGTTGTTATACGGAACTTGCCAGTCCCTCTCAGAGTTTTATCATGCTCAGAAATGTTCATTCATGCTTTTTCAGCATTTACAGTTCGTGCATTAGGGAAGGTTTTCGAAGTAGAAATATATAGCTAAATCTACTCCTGTGCTGAAAGTAGGAGTAGCGCCAGGATCCTGCTAACCAAGTCGACGCAGAGCTAGAGTCATAACTCTAGACTTTACCAATATTCTTCGATTGGGCTATGACGGTTTTTTTTGGTATAATAAAGACTACAAATATATCAAAAGGTAGACCCAAATCCTTCTATGACACTATATATATACCTATCAAGTTTTGGTTGGAAACCATCAATTCAAACCGCCTGGACTTGATTTCAAAGGCATACCGAGGATTTAACCCTTCAACACCATGCCAACACGGTTCATACACGAAACAGAACCCCAAAGAACGATCAAGCTAATCCTGGAGAGGTTTGTAAAACCTCTTGGTCTCCTCTAGAGTGTATACACACCACGGTAATCCCAATATTCTTAGTGGATCGAAATCATGTGAGCACCACCTGGGTTGAGAGGAGCTGACGTAAAGATAAATCATACACGATATTGTTCACCTTCTTCAAGTTGTACTTGAGAGCGTCATACTTGCGTCTGAGGCCATCATTCTTCAAATCCAAGAGCTCAAACCCGGACTGCAAGAACAGAATGAGTTTGGCGTTGATCAAGCTCAAGGTGTACTGGAACTTTGCGTGCGTTCCGCTGCCGATCGAAATCTGAATAATGGATTGCGTGCAGTAGTGGACCAAGTCGTCGGAGAGTCTCAATAAACACATTAAGTAGTCGTTGTAGTTGACGGATTCGATGTCTAGAATTCGCGCCACCTCCTCAGGCGCCAAAATGAGACCAATATCGGTATCAGATATAATTGGCTGGCTGATTGACGCAACCTCTTCTTTAAAAATATCCGCGATACGGGTCAAGTACCGGTTGAGCATCAAAACGTAGATCGCATCTTCATTGATCCGGCGCACAATTCGCTCTTTAACGTGCTTGTGTGCGCTGCTGGCTGCCGCCGCCCGCGGAACGCGGGTGACCTTATCAAGCAGCTCGTGGTAGATTACACGGGTCTTAGCATTGGTGTCGGCATAGACCCCGCTGTTGATAACCTTGTGTAACTCCATCGGTTGCGTCTGGAACAAGCTACCGCTGAGGTAGAATTTCTTGAGGGAAGACAACGCCACGGAGATTTCGTCCTCCACCGCATTGAGCTCGTCCTTGATCTGAGACCTGGAAAGTTAGTTTTTGCTCGTTTGAGGTACGGCGTACGTTGTACATACTCAGAATTGATCTGGAGTTGGATTTCCTGGAAAATTTCGCTCAAGTCGCTCATGATGGGAAGCTTCTTGCGGATAAAGAGATATCATAAAGGCTATTGAAACTATGCATACGATTTGGAAAAGTACGCATATAGGAATATGTCCGGCAGATAGCACTACGAACTTTGATCTCTTTGGCAGTTATGGATCGTAATACGGATAGCCCTGCCTGGGTGATTTAAACCACGGACTCGCCTGCTTCTTACCATTATCAGAGGTAGTTACATATAAAGATGAGTAAATAATGCGTAAAAATATATCCTTTATAAATTACTTGTCCTACCCCAGCTAAATCTACAATACTATTGATTAATTGCACCTTGTCCATCCACCCATATATTATGGAGCATAGCTAATTACGCGCAGACAGTATCGATACCAAAATTAATAAACGTGTAAACTTCTATAAATTTTGGATAATATCCCCTTAGTTAATGACTTTTAATCGGTTGTCTAGAAAACATGTAGGCCACTTACCAATTAGAGTCTAATTTGATCGAGGTAATTATGCAAACCATCCTCGAAACACCGGTTAAAAAACCACCAACCCCCTTTTCATCCAGGAGAGCTTCCACACAGCGAGAATTATCACAGCGCTCACTGCAAAACACACCGTAGTCATGCTGAAGAATGGTGAGAGACAGTGACCCAACTCCGTGGCATTCACCTGGCAGTACTTGTCGTAACGCTGGGCGTAGAGGAGGTTGAAGGTGACACTGGCGATGGCAGGGGCCACCATAAAGCTGCCCCAGGTGGAGCCCATCATGTCAATGCCCCACACAGAGGCCACAACGGTAGGGTACAACGTGAAGATCCCGCCGTATGAGGCCCCAACAAGCATCGAAACCAAGTTGAAGAACGCTGGCGGTCTAAGTAAGGCGAGATAGTGGTTAGAGTCCATCAACAAGTACTGCGAGACACCCGCGATGGCCACGCACCCGATCAAGAGATATACCCGACAGAAACCGAAGCGGCTGGCCGCATAGTCCGACACCCCGCCCATGATCAAGCGCGACAACGTGGACGACGTAGAGTGCAACGAAAGCTGGTCAGGAACCAGGAGCGAGTAGTGGGTCAAGCCAGGATACGCCGCGTACACGGTTTTGAGCATGGACGACATGTTGTTGAGGTACATCTCCTCGGGACCCAAGTTCAAAAAGAGTGACACCAATAACAACCACGCGGTCTTGTCACGGAGAAAGTCGCGGAAGCGGCGCGTGGTGGACTTTCTCGACGCATTTGGCTCCTCGTCGTTGGTCAAGAGAGGGGACGCTTCGTCAAATACAACGGCACGCTCGATCGCCACGATACTGGCGGAAACCCAGTTGAACAAGCCCACAAAGAAGTACATCACGGTGAGCGACATAAACACACGGTAGAGGTCCAAGATGTCTTCATCAGAGGTTGTGACGGCCGTTTGGTTTCGGAAGTATGCCAGCTTCAAGAACTGCGCGCCCATGAGCGCTGAGAGACCGTAGCAGGTCACAGGGGCGGATATGGCCATGCCCTTGAGGTTGGGGTAGATCTTGGCGCACGTAAGCAACGAAGAAAAGTAAAGGGATGAGGTTCCGCAGCCGATGCAGGCAAAGGCGAAACACATGTACCAGTAGCTCCACTCGTGCTTGTAGGCCATGGCTAAGAGGAAGTAGTTTGGCACAAACATGATGAGTGAGAGCGTGGAAAGGATTACCGGGCCATGTTTGTCAGCCAAGTGGCCTAGGAGTGGCAAAAATAGGTACATCCCCAAGGCGGAGCAGGAGGCGATGGTGTTAATGTTGACCAGTGTGTAGTGCAACGTGTGCGTGAGCGACGGCGAAAAAAGCGAGAAGAGGAGGATGGAGCCAGCCGAGAGGCACGATACCAAGGCAAGCGCAAAGGCAAGTTTTTTCAAGGTTGGCTGCGAGAAGTTTGTATTGAGATACTGGCGGATGTGGTGTGTGAGCCATGCTTCCACGGAGGATAGATTGGTCATGTGGAGAAGAAGCGAAAGTGTAGCTAGGAGGAGGGGGAATGCAAGGAATGAGAATGCAGGGAAATGAGGAGTTTAGAGCTGCAATACAGAAGGTATTTGTGCTAATATTCTGTCTCTTTGTCGAGTCAAGCAGGTGGTGTGATGAATATTGCTCTAGTTATGGTGATAGCAAACCATTGCCTGCCGCCGATGGCACAGAGTTCTGCCTCGAATGTACCTGCAGCGAAGAATTACGAGACGCTCGCCAATGCTTTCTACATCTCAGGTTGGACAATGTTTCTCTTTTACATGAAGGAATTAGGGCATATTGCATAGAATGAACGATGGAATAATAACATTAAGAATAGGATAAGAATTCATTTGGATAAACGACATAGTTTGAGGTTGGATGAATATGAATTGGAATTAGCCAGTATTAGCAACTCATACCTGGAGGATTCCGGATCTAGACCAGTGGGTCTGGTTCTGGAGATGTGCCAAGTGACAAACCCAGACGCGGGGTTGTAAATCTGACTTGGGTAGGATGTTAATTTGGTAAAGCTATATATAAGTAGTGGAAATAAAACGACCGAGCGTGTGTAGGAACCAAATTCCACTATTAAATAATGTGCAAATGTTGGTATACAGGGGTTACTATGAGCGTTGATGGCACGGAAGATGAATTTCGGGCCTAAGAATAATATTATACTTTATCAGTTAAAAATGATATTCTAGTGCACTGAGAATAACCAGTATATAGAGATAAAGGGGTGAGTTTCGGGTTTGTAGATATCGGCTATTGGCCTCAAAAATGGAGCCTAATGGTTACAGCTTAACGCTGGGCTGGCGATAAAACGAGATATATTCCGTAAAAAAACTAAAAAGAAATATTGGAGGCTAAAATTAATCCCAAATTTTCCTGAATTAAGCGGTTAACCCAAGCACGGCTTATTCCAACATAGTCCTCTGATAGGCGGACGAACCCATAATAACAGCCTACGCCTGCTGCCATACTTTGGTCATCTAAATAAAAACGGGAAAAATTAAAGGACGTCAGTCAAACAACCCACGGGGTTTCTTCACATGTTGGGTGGGCCCCAAAGAATCCGCAAGAGGCTCCTCAACCTCGGGCGTAAGGAGTCGGCGTTTTGGTGCCTTTGGTTTTGGGGGCTCTGGTAAGGTCTCTCCCTTTTTCGCTTTACCTCTAGCCCGCAAGTGCAACGGGGTCTGGATGAAGCTCTCATCTCTCGTGGAGGGTACAGAAACAGGTGTCTCATCCCACCCAATCGTCGCCAGGATTTGCGGTCCGGTGGAACGTGTACTGGGCACCGGAGCTATTTCTAGCGGTGCATCCACGGGCCTTTGGGTTAGTGAGGCTGCACCCTCTTGCGAAGCATCTTCAGGCACAAACAAGGCATGACTTTCGTGGTAATTACTGACCATATTTCGGTGGTTATCTGTGTCACCAATGCTACTTCGGGTGTCCGGATCAGTCGGAACCACGAGATTATTTGGTTCAATCACATATGGTCTTGCTTGGTGGATCTTCCCGACATTCCTTTGAATCTGTGTGGCTGAATACATTGCCTGTTCAATCGTAACGGCCGGGGCGACAGGAATGACGGGCGTGTACGTCTTGGGCAACAGTCCCCGCTCACCATCCGTGATCAACACAAACGCCACGGTTACCTTGCTCAACTTTTGCGTCTCGAAGAGAATGGGGTTGCCAGGGACGCTAGTAAAGAGCACCTCGAGGTAGTTTTCCGCAGAATTGGGACTCAGTTCTGCGGCGCTGGTTCCGCCCTTAGTTCCGAGTGGTGCTATACATATGCTCATGAATGTCTTGAAGTCTTTTAGTCTGAACGTTGCACTGGCTGGACTGAGCTCTGCTCCAGTTTCTGACCCGGTCTCTAGCCACTGATTACAGTTATGATCCATCAATCCTTCTAAGCCGGTCGCCATGGTGGTGCTCATCGGCTGCTTCAAATACTCGCGTTCCTTCATGACGGCCTTGGTGAAGCCATACAAAGACAACTTGGCACCATGGAGGCCGCCGCTGGGCGTCGTAAGCTCAAGCCGGAAGTCCTCCGTCGACGGTGGAATCAAGTCGAGAAAGTGTTTCGGGAACGCTGGCTCCATCTTTATGTAGTGGATCATTTCTCGGGAGGAAGGCACCCCCAGTTCCTTCTGGTTTGCGTACCTGTCGCGGTAAAGCCGTTGAACGTTTAACGTGAAGCTGTTTTGAACGGGTGTGAAGAACCACGAGTACTGCCGGCGGATGAGATTCTTCCCCTTTATTTCACATCGAAGGCGGCTAGACCGGAATTCAACCTGCAATAGAAGGTAATCGATCTCGGTATCGAGCTTCTTGAACACGATACAGAGATTTTTGGCGTACACCGTAAAGTTGAAGCTGGGGAGCTTGTTCTCGGTCTCGAAACCGCTGTCCACACCGGGCGCGCCGCTGGCGCCCACAAAGCTCATGTCGTACTTTTTAAAAAAACTGCGATCAAACTGGATCTCCGCATAGGATGTTTGGGTGAGGTTGATGGCGGAGAGAGCCATGCCCTTCTCCGACACTGAGAACATGATCGACTCGCTGATCGTCGCAAGCGCTGCGAGCGACCGCGCCCACATCTGCTTATGGCAATTCTCAATCACCGCCAGAAACGACATAAGAGCATGGTGTTAGAGATAGAGCATAGTGGCGAAATAGGCCGTGTTATAGTGGCGCGGTGCGTTTTGCGAGCGGCACAAAGCCGCACGAAAACATTGGGGTTGATATCGATACCAGGAAAGAAACCGCGGTGCTTTCCGAGTGGTGTATTGAACTGAGGAAATACTCCAAATTCATTCATCCGCTCTGGCTCTCACTACATATAATTATAATACAAGTAGTTTATTAACAATCCCATAAGAAAGACGCAAGAGATCAACAATGCGACAAAAATTGAAAGCAACCTGAATTTACTCCTCCTCGGAACTTTCATCCGAGCTGTCGTCATCCGACGACGAGTCTGCAGCCTGGCCGACCTTGTCGAACTGCTGCAACGTCTTACGCAAGTCCTCGATCTTTTTCGAGTTCTCCGCCTCGGTCAACACCTTCTTTTTCTTCCCCCCGCTCATGGAACCGCGTCTGCCATTGGCAGCCACCTTCTTCTTGAACACATAGTTGTACATCTTTAACAACGTGCCGTTATCGAGCTGGTCCATGTCAAGCTCAATCTCCTCCTGGCCATTATTGTTCAAGTCCGGAATGCTCTCGCGAATCAACTGGATCACGTACTGCAACTTCTTCTCGGACAACTCGCCCATCTTGTCGCTCAACTCCTTCTTCATCTCGTACGTCATATCGCGGTCGGTTACGGACGAACTTCTCTTCTTCTTCTTCTTCTTGTTTTTGCGCTTAGCCAACTTCTGCTTCAAGATGCGCTCGTACAACTCCTTCTTCTTCAACTCAAGCTCAAGCGCCATCTTCTCCACCTTCGTCTTCATCTTGTCCAACTGTGCCTCCAAGAACTCGATTTCCGTGTTGGTCAACATCGACTCGTCAATCTCGTCGCCCGACTCGTCGGTCTCCTCATCGGAACCCGGTGGTGATGAAACCGGCGCCGGCTTCTCCTCCCACTTCTTGTCGAAGATGGCCTCCAACCGGTGCCCCATCATGTTCACGGGGGTGCCTTCTGGGTTGTAGATATAGCAGTTCTGGAACACCAACCGCACGTCCGCCTCGAAGTCGCCCGCGGTCTCGTACTCGTTATTCTGCAACTTCGTCTGCACGGTCGACAAGTCCATCGGCACCTTCACCACGTCAAAGTAATCCGGACACCCCAACACCGCGGGGTTTACCGGTTCCAAGAACGGGTAGCTGAAGGACTCGTACTTCTTGCTCAAAAGGTCCTTGAGCACCTGGCCGCAGAACCGCAACTCCGCGACATACTTTTTCTTCCGCGGACGATTGTCGTACGGCATGTCCTTTGGCTTCGGCGGATGAATCTCCCTCTTCGGCCTCCCCCCTTCGCTGGCGTCGCGTCTGATCACAGGCACCTCGGCCGTGGACTTGCTGCGCGCGCCCTTGCCACCGCGCCCTGGCGCGTTTGCACCGTTAACCGGCGCCTTTGCAGCAGGTAACTCCCGTGGAGGCATGTGGAGCATATGCTTTTCGAAGCTAGCCTGGATGTTTCGGGCCATTTGGGCGATCCCGGAGTCGGAGCCGTTGAATTTCGTACAGTTGGCCACCATGAGGTTGAAGTCCAGGGCCAATTGCTCTGGCTCCTCGTAGGCATTGGCGGTGATCTTCTTTTCCATGGTTGACAAGTCCATGGGATGCGGGATGTAGTTGTAGTAGAAGGGAATGCCCAACTTGACAATGTCGACAGGCAACAAAAATGGACCGGCGTCTTTCAACCGTCTGATCGCCTTGATCGTGGTGAGGGCGTGCTTTGCCTGGTGTTTGGGCATGGGGTTGGCAGGCAAATTGTTCAAGTCTGGCTCAGCCGGAGGCTTCGGCGCCGGTTCTGTCGGTGGCTCAATCACCGCCACCACGGGATCCTCGCTTACCGTCACGACGGGCTCCTCTGCATCTTCCATCGGGGCATCGCCATTGGCTTCGGTCTTCTTGTCTTCGGCCTTGGCTTTCTTGTCATCGTGAGAATCTGCGCCATCAATCTCGGCGTCGGCAGCTCGCTTGGGTTCAGCAGCGGGTGTGTGGGGTTGGAGCTCTTCGGTTGACATGTGGAGTGGTTCTTAATATAATACAGTATTATTAGAGTAAATACAAGAGACTATGGGATATTTCCGGATCGGGAAGTATGGAAGATTGTGGGAGCACGTGACTGGATGTCCTGTATGTTTCTTTTTTTTGCTTTTTTTCCAACTTTTCGAAAAACTGCGAAAAAATTTCTCCGCTTATACCGGATTACGAAATGTTATTTTCACAAATGTGGGCATCGCAGTGAATTTATATGACCCCGCCGCTCAGCGTGCGTGCCCAGCGTTACACTTCTGCGCCGATAATTTACAGACCTCACACCGCGTCGAAATATATGCACGAACACGCCTAGATGGTCTCATCTACAAATGCCAAATAGGAGGGGCAAAATATTTATTGCTTAGTTCTCGGAATAAACCCATCCTGGAAGAAGATGGTGAATATCATCTGGAAAGCTTGGTTGTGTGGGGGAAGATATTAAAGATAGGATGGTCACCCAAGAGCATCCGACACCGCGGGAGATTTTGCCCTCGGAAAATTTTACATCTGTATAGAGCAGAAAACGTTCGCAGTATCATCAAGCGCGTCATGCGGGTAACCCCAGACCAGAAGTTACGGCGGAGGCTCATCGCGCCAGCCACTTTTGGCGCAGTATGTATGCAGGCTGGTTCAGCATGTTTACCGTCCGACCCGATCAAATATTGTCAATCAGGGGCTGGCTTCGGTGCCTCCTAAAGATATGTGACCTTAAAGCAGGATGGAAGTGGATTTGTAAGCAATGGTATTGAGGCCAGCTGCCGTTGGTAGGGACGGATCTGTAATACGGGGCGCTAGGTATTGTTGGAAGTTACCTATTATGCAACGGTACATACGACGGAGGAGGTGGTTGTTGAGCTTCAATTCAGATATGAATTGGTGTTTCCTTCAGGGACATCAGAATGATATTGAGAGCCTTTACAATGTGTGGCAAGGTGGTGCATAAGGGAGGAGTTGCGTGGCTGGGTAGAGCGGCGATCTTCCCCTCGCAATGAGATTAAAACTTAGACGCGTAGCTAGCCCCAACTGAGCGACTAACTTGACGATAAAATCAAATATTTTCCCGGGTCAAACCGAAAGAAAACCCAGGGATTGAATGGGATAGGAGCGCGGTTAGATGAAAATGCCAGACCAACCGCCAGGTCAGGGACTAGAAGAGCAAGGCCTGAGTGGCATGGGTCATGTATGGTCCCTCACCGAAAAAAAAACTTTGAAATCGGGGGGTTTAGCCTTATAACCTTGCAAATTGAAACCTCAGAAAGGTTTCAACAAGAGTAGAGGCATTGATAAAGATTAACAATTGTCTGGCTTACTGGTGCCACCAGATCCAGGATACGAACCAGATAGATACTGCCTGTAAGGTGCGTGCTCCAACCAGCCACTGGTGAAAATCAACTGAGCCTAAAATTTGAAGCGTGACAGAAAGCTCTACTCACTCCCTTAACGTCTCCACTCATTCACTGCTACTCCTGCCGTATTCGTTGAGTCCCCCGCGTTTAGCTTTCTGTCGTTTTACTCCACTGCTACCCCATCAGACTAGGAACCACCCGCGACTTCAGAGCATACAATGTCGTTGGAGGAGAACAAAAAACGTATCGCCGAGTCTGCCACAGATGACTCACCCAAGCGAAGAAGAAGGGCGTTGGATGAGCTAAGCGAAGAAGGTCCCTTGACGCAAAAGGATGTGATTTACTTCCAGAAGGAAGCTATCTGGCGACAGATGAACCATTACAAGCAAAAGTCTGTCCAGCTCAACGACCGAGTCAACAGATACGCCAAACAGTGCAAGGTCAATGAGGCCCGTGCTGCTATTTTGAATGCATGGTACGACGAACTTGTATTGTTGCTTAAAGCCAAAGTTGGCACCGTCTCGGATGTGAATCAAGATCTCTTGGCTGACTTGCCGGAGGGAGATGAAGAAGCCAACGAGGTGCTACAGCAGAGACGATCCCAGCTTCTAGAGTTGTTGACCCCGGTGTTGCTGTCCCATTCCGGTCTGTCGAATTCCATGATGGAGAAGAAGCTAGAGGTGTTGATCAAGGACCTCTCCACTCTCAAAGCACAGAAACTGAGCGTTGCCAAGGAAAATGAGTTGCTAAACGGCACAATCACCAAGTTGAACCAAGACCTCGAGGACCTTATCAAACACCAGGAACGATTGTCTTCCAAGACTCTTAATAGAATCAGCGAATCTCACGGTAGAGATTCTGAGTCTACTCAGAGCGACGCAAATGGCTCCAAGCCCGACACCTCCAAGCCCGACGCCTCCAAGCCTGCTCAAAGTGGTGCCGAAACCCCAGGAGCTGAGACCGTTCCAGCTATCAACAACGAGGAGCTTGAGCAGCTTACCATCCAGCTCAACGAGCATAAGGCCCTCAACACAAGTTTGCAAAAGCAACTTAACGACCAATTGAGCAGTATCACCGCCATTACCAATGAAAATAAGCAGTTGCAACTCAAAATTGCGGACCCTTCCGACGATGACATTACAAAGACAGGCATTTTTCAAACTTTACAGAAGCAGGTTGCCGTCACGAGCGCTGCGTCCGTCGAAACCCGCGATATCAACGAGTCCCTCATCAAGGAGATCCAGGGGTTAGAGAGCGAAAGATCCAAGTTCAGAACAGACCTAAGGGCTGTGATGGAGAAGGAGCTACGCGAGATGAAGGAATCGATGGGGAAGAGCGACACTGACTTGACCAGAATCAGAACCATAAGGGATGACTTGTTGGCACAGATCGCAATCTTGAAGGCGAACAAGACAAACAAAGAAGTCATGGAGGGCTACAATACCGTGATCGAAGCGCAAAAGACACGCATAGCCGAGCTTGAAGCCAACCCGAACGTGTACCGCAAAGAGCTCTTGCAAAAGTTGGACCCTGTGGATGAGTCCGTTACCAGAGAGCTGTTAATTCTGAAGAACAACCTCCTTGTGGCTGAGTTGAAGGAATTGGAGGTTGCCTTCAAGAATGTGCATAGTTTATCTCTCAAGAAGATTGCCTCCTTAGCCGATGCCGACTCCATGGTTAACAAGCTCAATGTGGAAAAGTCCAAGGCCGATCAGAAATACTTTTCGGCGATGCGAGCTAAGGATGCGCTATCCAGCGAGAATAAAACCCTTAAGCAACAGATTAGTGCCACCAGAGATTTTATCACCCAGTTGAAGGAGATTGAGAAGGCTCACCTATTGAAGATTGAGTTGTTAGAGGCCACAAACAAAGACTTGAAGGCGACCTACCGTAACTCTGTCGAGGACGCTATTGCAAAGGATCACAAGTTGACGGCCAGCCATGCCAAGACTTCCGAGTTGGCTGCAAAGTACAAAGACTTGCAGATCAGGCAGCTTGCGGAGGGTGACAAGTCTATCCGTGAACTTCAGTTGAAAAATGAGTTGGAAAACGAAGCGGCCAAGTTGAAGTCAAAGGTCTCTTCGTTGGAGTCCTTGCTTAGCAAGTACAAGGCCCATGTATCCAACAGTGCTTCTGGGATCCCCTTTGATGAGGATCAGAAGACCGTCGAGGCGTTAAGAGCGTTGGCTAAGTGCTCAGTATGCTCCAAAAACTGGAAGGATACGGCCATCACCGTGTGTGGGCATGTCTTCTGCAGCGAGTGCGCCGATGATAGAATCAAGTCCAGAATGAGAAAGTGCCCGTCGTGCAATAAGCAGTTTTCTGTGAACGACTTGTTGACCATTCATTTGTGACCACCGTCAGACTTTCTTTTCACATTTCCCCTCTTTTCCATTTGTCTTTGTCATTCTTATCTCACCTTTTTTTTTTCGGCTCGTTTCATTTGTATTATTCCCTTGTATAGTCTTTAGGTTTTCCTTCATAAACTACATCACCCATGACGCTATTACTTCGAATGCAAGTATCATATTTATTTTGTATTTCTGGATGCTTTTTCGTCAGCCTCTTGCTGGGTCTGCGCGCATTTACGGTATTCGATTAGAATGGAGATTTCAAGGCCCAGGCGCCTTTGACCTTACCCGGTGGGGTCTTAAACTCGGTATACTTCTTTTTGAAGTTTCTAACAAATCTAGGGTCCCATAACTCACTGGCAATACCCAAATCCTTGCAGCACCTCATCAACGCATTACTCTTGCAGCCCTCGGTGGCAGTGATCATTTGTTGTTCGTTGAAGAAATCCTGTTCACCTCTGGCGACCGCCACAAGTCTGCCATGGCATACCAACCCGTACTCTCTGGTCAAGCTGCGGCCGGTGGTGATGGTGGCGGAACGGGGGACCAAACCCCAGCCGCCTGGGCCGAAGGCTCTGTTCAAAATACGCCTGTACTTGATTTCTGGCAAATAAATGATTCCATCAGGCTTAATTTCGATGTCTGAAGGAACAACCGGTGCAAGCAAGACATCCGCCACCTTGTCAGGAAATGCTTCAGTGCCGATACCGTGGAACGACGTGGCCCAGTTCACGGTCTGGCCTCCCTGGGTAGACGTGTACTGCAGCGGGTCGAAGTCGTCGAGCTTGTTCGGTAAAGATTCTTCTAACGTGGAATTGTTCAACAACGCATTCGAAGTTGCGGAGCTGGCTGGTGCGACCTTTCTCGCGTAAGCCGGCTTGGCAATAGTCGCCTCCGTTTTCTTCGCAGCTGGAATTGAGTTGTAGAGCCTGCCGGTTATTCTCCCGGAAAGTGCTGGTCTGAGGGTCTTTGAAAACATAGTAAAGGTGGCGGCTGGTACAAAATAACGGGTTATATTTTAAGCAGTAATTTTTATGGCGGTGGTAAATGCGGCTCACCTCAGGCCTGGATAAAATTAACTGCCAGACTGAAGACACCAGTTCCGGCTAACAGATATAATCAGGTAGAATAGTAATTAACTGCTTTAATAATTAGCTATTTTAACAACGGAGGTAATAGATCGAAAAAAAAAACTCTGATTGATTATTGTGAAACCCTCAGATCCATATATTGCCCTCTAAAAGATAAACTTACTCATTGTATCACGTGATAATAGGACCTTCCTGCTCTCAAACGCGTAAACACAGAAAAATACGCGTTGGGTTGTAAAACTTTTAATCCGTAGCGTGCTAATTGCCTTTCTACACTCACACTGCTATGAATTTCGAAGATTTGGAGACTTTATGGGACAGGCAGGAGGAAGCCGAGGAAGTTCCAGCGCCCGAAACGACCGGTACCACTAATCCCGATCATACGGCAGACGACTTGTTAGGGTTGAACACTGACATCAAAATCATTAACAGGACAAAGCGGGTAAAGTTGGACAATTCAAAGCTTCTTGATGACGACGTGAAAGGGTTAAACTACATTCGCAAAAACTACAGAAAAATCAAGCTCACCTCGCGGAAATCCTCGCACAAGACGGTCACCCGAAAGAGCATCCAGGAAACCCCCGAATACATCAACTTGACCAGGCTACTAAACTTTTACCAGATTTGGGCCCACCAGTTGTTCCCAAGGGCAAACTTTACTGAGTTTATCGAAACCTTACAAACTACCGATAAGGCAAACTACAAGTTGAGGGAAACTAGACAGAGCTGGTTGGATTTTGAGGCTGACGGTGGGTTCAAGGGCATCACGCGAGACGACGGTGACATGTATCTTTTTAGAGATATCGACGGAGGACTCAGCGATACAGAATTCACAACGCCAGCCCAGACAAAGGTCTCTGCCATCGCCGAGTCTGTGGTTCCAGGATCAAACAGCTTGTTCGTGGGGGATGATAGTGATGAGGAGTTGTACCACACCGCCCAGACCGCCACCATCAACCCAGAGGCTGCCAAAGAAGCTGCGTCGGCTGCAGTGCCGTCGGTAACCAATATCTTAGGTGAAAATGGACTTTCAGTCGATGCTGACGAGTTTGACGATTGGAGTGATTCCTTAATGGACGAGTTCGACGCCAACTCCACAAATATCGCTACGGTGATGGCCAGTCCACCAGGGGCCCAGGAGATGGCGGAAGTTGAAGCGGAAATGAACGCCAAAGAGGGAGATTTCGACGACGAAATGGATGTGCTCAGGGAAATGGGAATGTAAGGAATAAATAACGAAATTGGAGTTTATTTTGTACTTGGAGTGATTAACCAGATGTCCTACTGCCATATTGGAACCAAAGCGAGTACAGCTATTGTCAAGCAAAAAGATATGGACGAGTCAGGAGTCGAACCCGAGACCTTTCACATGCTAAGCGAACGCGCTACCAACTACGCCACACGCCCTATCAATATTGCAATAACCATAGGCTACTGCTTTGTCGGCAAAGCTATAAATCGGCTTGTTTTAATCTCTAGATTGGCTTTCCACTACCTAGTAAGCATCCAACGCAGATTTCTGTCGTTTTCTCATGATACACCAGACTTTTACGACCAAAGGAATCAACGGATGAAACAAAAACTCCGCATCAAATTTATATGTCTAGGTTAAAGGTCGCCTACGTTCTGAACGTAAGCTTGTAAGAGCCCGCTGATGGTCTCGTTCCCGTAGAAGTGAGGCAAGAAATCTTTTTTCACTTGTCCGACCGTCAACTCGGCAAGAGCCCAGAGTATATATGGCTGGATAAAGTCATAGAACACAACATCGACGGTATCGTCGCCAGACAATTGTTTCGCAACGGCGACGTTCGGAATCGGAAACTCGATCCTCGGAATGTGGATTGTATCGTCGCCATCCTCGCCGAAATCGTCATGCGTAACATATCCCTTACTCAATTTCTGGTGTGCGATAGCCAAGTATTGTTGCTCGGTGATGTCATTCAACCCATCGGGCGTGATTCTACCATTGGCACCCTCCTTCATTAGGCGACTAGACTTGTGCGGAGGAAGCAAGCGAAGCAAGTCGACCTCCTTTGCCGTAGCCCTAGAGAGAATGTACGACTGGTTGTTTAACTTCTCCTCAATTTTGAGAGCAAGAGATCTCGGAACCTGTGGGATGTAGTTCCAGTTGTTTTTAAACGGAGAGACAATGAAATTGGTATCCTTCGTGTAGGGACCCTTGTAAAGGTCGTATCTCACCGACCCCGTGTTGATGATGATGATTCTGCTATGGCTGGCGTCTGAGCTGACTTTCAAAGTCGGAAGAATGGTGGTGGAAAGCATGTGGTAGATATTTCTCGGGTGCGAAAACGGCACGTAGTCCATAAAATAGTTGCGGTGAACCTGACCCAAAACCGTCTCTAAACCCAAGTCCCGTCTTTTTTGCGCAATATGTGTCGTAAGCTCCAATCCCGTCCGGGTATGAAACGTCTCGAGTGTCTTTTTAGAGTGAAACATGAAGGAATTCAAGTTAAAGTCAATGTATTTTCTGTCATATGTGCCTTTCAAATCATTCTCACCCGTGAAGTTCACGCTCAACCATCCAACTGTTTCGCAAAACCTGCCTGCCTGGAGAGCAGTGGAATTGTCGTCAAAGACGCTAAAGTCTCGGATATGGCTGTGTCCCCCAAAGTACTGGATCTTGGTATCAGGAAAGTACTTCCGCAACTCTCCGTGGAGCAACGTCAACTCCCACCAATCGTGGCTCACGGGAATGTGGCCAAACACCACTATCACATCCACCGGCTCGTGCAGGAAGTCCAGCATCGATTGCACAAACCATTCTTGCTGGACTAACTCGGAAATTGGGTGAACAACCGTTCTCTCGTTGAACCGATTGAAGTCAAATAACACTCCAAGTGCAAGCACATTCAACCCCCGGTTAGGGGTTTGAAAGTACCTGTACCGCGACCCAAAGGGAACCGCGGTTCCGTTCTCCATAATGAAATCCACGTTGGTGCCGACATACCTGTCGCCGAAATGGCTGGCCACCTGTTCGTACTCCTGAATCGAGCTCTCGGCAAGATACAATTCGTGGTTCCCGAGCGTGATCAAGTCGTAGTCTTGTTTGATAAAGATAGGGGTTGAGATGAGGCCATTGGGGGCTGTAGCGTCAGATAAGCCGTTTCCGTCGTGTTTGTCACCTGTGTCGATGAGGAGGAGGTCGCTTCTGGCGGCGTCCGCGTGGCTGCGCATATGCAGAGCGAAGGAGACGAAATCACCCCAGTTGGCAGAGTACTGCTTTTGATTGAAGTGGCCAGCATACCAGCCGTGCGTATCTGTGGTGTGTAAGAAGTTCAAGTGGCCCCATCGGAGAGGACGAAGGGGGTGAAGGGGGGCTTCAGTGGCTGGGGCGGTCGGACTTTTGCTGAAGTAGCACACAATGGTGACCAAAAGGACCGAGACTATGATAGGGTATAGCTTCCGAGTGGTTATCAATGGTTCCTTCATTAATGTATAGATGTGTAAGAAATTGGCGGGGAAAAAATGGATGGCTTCTCTTGGCTTAGGAGTCAGGATGACCTTATCTCACTGAATACCGGTCACCACACTGGAATTTATTTAGGAGACCCGCGACACCCGCACTCAATATTACGGTGATACGATTCAATTAAACACCTTACTTTTGTAGATAAGCTTCCATATCCAAGTTGACAAGCTGATTTGCCGTATATTATTTTAACTGACACCTTTGTTTCGTTCACCCTCAATCTACACGCTACATGCTTTCAATTTTAATGCAATGTGAAATATAAAGAACAGAACCCTCGATGGAGGAGAATAAATATATATGGAAAAACAGCCAGAGGAATACTGTTTAGGTGCGAGGAACCTGATCCCGACGATCCGTAAAATATGTGTACTAACGTAGGTCAAAACGAGACCTGCAATGATCTTCAGACTAGTAACCTCTGAAGAGGATGGAGTCCTTACCAAAGTACTCCTGGGCAGCGGAGAATGGCTTTCTGCCAACAACCTCCCAACGGCCCTGAGTTTCCTTGACCTCGTCGGTTCTGGCGTCGTATGGCTGCATGGCAAAAAGGTCACGCTTGATGGAGGCCTCCGGGGTGCCCCAGCCACCGGTCCAGTCGACAAAGGCGGCGGCAGATGCGCAGAGCAAGGAGGTGGAGACAATGAAAGCCGGGCCTTTACCAGCGGCCGCCGCACCAAAGGCGATACCCGACATAGCACCGTAGAAGGTGTTACGGGAATCGTCCTTCTCACGCAAGTTGGAGGAGACGCTCTTTGTGAATTGGAAAATACCAGCTCCCACACCCACGGTGAAACCCGACCTGGCGGATACAAGTAAGGCGTCAAACAACAACTTGGCGGTAATCCCTTTTGGAAGGAACACAAGCGGCGCCTTGGCGGAGGTCAAGTTGTTTCTGCTGTTATACTTGGCGTAACCAGCTAAGGACCCCAAGATGAGGCCGTACTTGGCGGTCTCGAGGGTGTCGGTAGCGGTGTCTCGTGGAAGGTACTGGATATCACGGAGGGTCCAAGTAGGTGGCGTGATGGCCTCGTCGCTACGCAATTTGAATTCAGACATTGTGTGTGGGGATTGGCGTCTGGCGGGATAACTGGTAAACGCTACTCCGCGAATATACGTATAGCCTGTAATCCAATCAAGTTTATGTGAAAGAAAATCACGATTTGTGCACAAGTCACACGATGCCCGTGCGCATACAATCGGTATATACACGAAAGTCCAATACTATACACTAATTACAATTTATACAGGACACCATTCTCCACATCACTCGATTATTATCGAAACCATAGATCAGATTCCCGGAGACGAAAAGTCAAGCATCTTCTGAGGGGATATTCTCTGAGGTTTTTTTTTTTTTTTTTTTTTGGTTAAAGCCATCGTACGGAATTCATAGAAATCAACGCTTGAAAAGCACCATTGCTTAAATCGCCAAATAAGCCTTTCAAGTTCCCCTTCCTTTCTCTCAACTTCACTTTATTCTTCCTCAAAATGCTCCTCGCCGAAAATAATATCCTTTTCCGTCGCGAGGACTTCATCTCCGAACCGGACAAGCGACCCAACACCGGCCTTGATCAACGAACGGCCCATGTTCAACTTCTCAGGGTCGCGCAAATCAACCCCAGGGACAATATGGATAATGCGCCCCATCTTTCCGTCTCGACTCTGCTTCTCCGAAATGTCAAAGCTCTGGTACGCTTTGTTTTTATGTACGGGCTTGTAGACTCGCTGCTGGTGCAACCCAAGCTCATTACGCGTAAAGCCCGCGAGCTCCACAAGCACGCGGTTGTCGGCAATCGCATCCACACCCACGGTGATGATGGTTGATAGGTTCGGCAACGGAACTCCCTTGAGCTGGGACATATGAGCAAGTAAGTGCCTGCTGGAGTCATTTGTGGGAGTGAAGAAGGCGTGTACCGCGGGCGTAAACCGCTCAAGCGGTGTAACTTCAACGCCTTTTCCTGCGAGAACCTCGGTAAATGCCGGCAATGGGATGCATTCTGGAACAATAATCAACGTCTTTCCCCCGTTCCAAAGCTCATCCGACTTTTCAAAGACCCTATCAGTAACCGTTTTAACACAGTCTAGCAAATAGTCCGGTAACTTTACCCGTTGGGAGTCCTTTGCCACGTGGCGTCTGTGACCGATATACTGCTCGTCGAAGGATACAAAATTTTCGTCGTGGACCAACTTATTAAGCTTGTAGCCTGTGGGGAAGGCTGGCGCGTTGATGTCGCACACCGAAACGCCCAGTTCAGTTTTCACCGCTTTCATAATGCTCACATCCACTTTCTTTGGGAAAAGCGTGCGTACGTAGTCGGAGCCCTCCTGCGTGAGTGCTGCGCCCATAGGCGCCACCGCACGCTCACGGCACCACGCCTGCTCTTCGATCGTCTTTTTAACCGCGTCGTACCCATCTGGGGTGCACATGAAGGCAAACTGGAGGGGCCAGACGGGCCTGTGAATTTTGTACTGCTCGACCCACATCGTCTCCTGGCGCTGAACGTAGATGATCTGCTTGAGCAAGGCAGTGGCGGCGTACTCGTGGCGCTTCTTCAAACCCATTTGTACGAGCTGGGTCTTGCTTGTGAACAACTCCTCGGCATTTTCAAAGGCAACACATTTTAAGTTTCTGAAATTAACGAGCTCTGCGTTCTTGTGCAAGAGCCACAAGACTGTCTTGGGTGTTGCGACCAAGATGTGCGGGTGTTGAAAGTCCTTAAATCCCCGAGGGAGGTTTTCCGCTGTGTTTTCCCCATAGAGTGCCTGGAAAATCATGTTCTTCGGCACCTCCGCCTTGGTGTCTGAGGATGAAATGAGCCTGTCAAGTGTCTCTTCGTAGTACCGCACCGCGTTGTCGTTCGGCGCGAGAATCAAGTATGAAATGTCTTGTCTCCTGTAGTGGGACATGTTGACATTATCCCACTTGACCACAAAGTTCCGCGGCATCGATAGCGCGTGCAACATCACCGCAAGCGACTTGCCCGTGCCCGGGCCCTGTCTCGTGATGATGGAGAGGTTGGAATTTAACACACTGAGCATTGCCTTCTGGTCCATCGTGGGTTCTTTGATATCCGGGAACGTATTATGCAAGAGATTGTCTACCACCTCGGGCACCCCAAATACCTGGAACGAACCTGAAGCACGGGGATCGTACTTTAACATAATCTTCTTGTGCGATGCCTGCTCTGATCGCTCTGGCTCGGGGTTGGTGTAGTATGTGGGGCTTCTCTCAGTGTTTCTGGTTCTTCCTCTGGGATCAGATCCACTGATGTCTTTTCCATGCTTCTGGACGTCCCTGGCTTCTCTTCCATACTTGGGTATATCTCTGTTTCCTCTCCCGTTTGAGCCACCCGACCTTCCTGGCGCATCTCTCCTGAAACCTCTAGTTAGGGGTTTGTCGCAATTCCCCTTTGATGCATAGTTGAACTGCTTTCCAGGTCTATTACTCATAGCCCCATCTCCATTTCTGTCATCCCGCTTGAAACTCTGGCTAGAGTAATCTCTGTAGCCAAGTTGATAGGAGCTAGCAACGCATCTGGTTCCCTGATAGTGTGTGTTAAAGAGCCTTTTGGGGAGGGCTCTTAGTGCGCTCAACATATCTATTGTCGAACGTTCCGGGGGGGTTTTTTTTTACCAAGTTCCTTACTCTTTATCGCCTTATACCAAGCCATCATGTAGAATAATTTTTCACGCACGTGATCATATCACATCGCCACTGGAGCTGGATACAGGATCCCCTGCAGCCTGCAGGATGCATATAATCCTCACTAAGGCGGATCCTTGGCTGGGTCGGCAGCCTTTGCTTCCGCAAAGCAAAACGCATTGACACCTTTTTGCTTATTCTTATATCGGACAGTATTTGAATCAATTATCAGTTCCGTATATAGTCTTCTACTCATAATGAAGATGTCTTATATGGACGTCCTTCCGGAGGCCACCTGCCTTCCCTATAACCCCTCCTCGTCCATGCTCTTGCTCAGCTTTAACGCCATCACCAGCACGATACGCACTCTCATGGTATTTTTCTTCTATCACATCCCCACGGCCGTGGTTTCCCTTCTCTCCAAAAGCATATCCATCACGTTGAGCTTCTCATCTTTGCTCCTCATCACGGTTTTCCTCTCGCTCTGTGCCTACTTCGTGGTGCGCTACCGCTACCTCTCGGTATACTCGCGGCTTACTGACGACCCCAAGCCGAATGAGGCAATCGAGATGATGCTCGATCCAAAGTTGCAGTCGCAGGCGAGGCCCTCGGGGTATCTTGATGAGTTCTTGGCCGCCATCAAGGTGTTTGGCAACTTGGACAAGCAGGTCTCTCACGCCCTCACAAAGAACATGACCACTCAGCGTTTGGATGCGGATGAAGTGTTATTCCTCGATGATCGCTTGGGCTTTGCTGTGCTTATGGAGGGCCATATGCTGGTTTACTCTAAGCGCAGCGCCCCGAGGCAATCGTCCAAGAGAGACGCAAACATCCTCACCCTCAACTGTCAGACGTACCAGTTGTTGAACCAGGTTAAGAGCGGAAACCCGCTTTCATCGTTGTTTGGGATCTTGACCTTATTCACGCAATTTGGGACTGTCCGTTCCGGGCTTCAGTCACCCATGAGTAGTGGGGGTTCCCCTCGGCCATCCCTCTTTAGAACCTACACTGATATGGCGCAATCCGGTCCCGAAGACTTAAGCCCGGGTAATCCAGAACTTCCGAGTGATGTCTACCCTGATATCATAGCCAAAGCAACCACTGATTGCACTATTGCGATCATCCCTGCAGACGCTTTCCGCCGCTTGTTCCTCAACCACCCCAAGGCCAGCGCCCAGATCGTCCAGATGATTCTCACCCGGTTGCACCGCGTGACAATGCAGACGGCACACAACTATTTGGGCTTGACGGCCGAGATATACGAAACAGAAGCAAGGTTAAACAGCTCCGGGGCGTTTCAGCTTCCGTCGTATCTCCACAACAGCGTGGTTCAGAAGTTTGACCGTCTTCACGGATCGTCTTCTGATTTGTTCAAGCAATCTACCTCTCCTCCAGCGTCGAGAATTGCGAGCCCCCACTTTGAGACCGACGTCATTCCCAGGGGCCCTCCCAAGGTGTTTGCTCCTAATAAATCCCGCCCCCACATCCGCAGGAACCAGTCTCGCCACGTGATTCTTGGGAGCCGGAAGACCACCAATCCCGGAGACTTGCTCTCCAATGTACCTTTGTCGCGTAAAGAGTTCACGGCTGATGTGAGTGAAAAGGAGGTACGGAGCCGGATGTTCTCTGCGGACGAAGAAACCGAGGAGACATCCTTGCGGATTGCCATCATCGAAGCGATGCTCAGCCTCTTGGGTATCAAGAGCGAGCACTGCCTTCTGCGGAAGGGCTGTACGGGCTCGAGCACCGGCTTGATGGCCCTTGGTAATGTCATTGGAGGCCAGGTAGAGCTTCCTTTCTCGACCGTCTCACCCGCCCATGTCAAGTTCTTCATTGACTCAGCCTCTGATAAGGAGGAGGATGAACTGCTGGTCTTCGAGGCCATCACCAGGGAGTTTGCGGGGTACTTGGATCTTGTCTTTATCAGGGCTGGAACCACGTTGATCCGGGAGAAGGAGACAAACAAGGGTTTATACTTTGTCATTGACGGTCATTTGGGGGTTTCATATATTGACAGTGATGGAGATGAAAACTATTTGCACTCTGTAAAGGCTGGGGGGTTGGCTGGATACATTGGGACAATCGTGGGCCACAAGTCGTTTGTTTCCGTCAAGGCCACCACCGATGCGTATGTTGGGTTTTTATCCAGCGACCGCTTCGAGCGCTTGACGGACAAGCACTACATTCTCCAGATACCGCTTGCCAAGCATCTAGTGGGGCTTTTCTCGCGGGAAATCTTGGAAATTGACTTTGCATTGGAGTGGATCCACTCGCTGGCTGGGGAGATGCTTGCGCAGCAGGGTGATATGGCCAACGGTATCTATGTTGTTCTCAATGGCCGGTTTAGGGCGATTCAGGAGGATGAAAAGGGAAATCCTTCGGCCTTGGGGGAGTTTGGCCAAGGTGAATCCTTAGGGGAAATTGAGGTATTGACAGCTTCTAAGCGGGCCTCGTCGTTGGTTGCGGTGCGCGACTCTGAATGCGCGCGGATTCCGCGCTTTTTGTTTGAGATTCTCGCCATCCAACACCCCTCGATAATGATCAAGATCTCGCGGATTGTGGCGCTCAGGATGCAAAGTCTGATCAGCCCTCTGCTCCATCTGACGGTGAAGGCGACCCATAATGGAAACTACCGCACCATCACGGTATTGCCCATCACGGATGGCTTACCTGTGGCTGAATTCGCCGACAAGTTGGTGACTAGCTTAAAATCTGTCAACCGCTCGGTAATTGCCTTAAACCAGGCATCCACGTTACACCATCTCGGCAGGCGAGCCTTCGACCGGTTAGCCAAGATCAAGCAGACCAACTACCTCTGCGAGCTTGAGGAAAAGTTTCAGATCGTCGTCTATGTCACCGACACGCCGGTCAGCTCGCAGTGGACCAAAACGTGCATCTCTCAAGGCGATTGCATTCTCCTCTTGGCCGATGCGCGTGCGGAACCGAGCGTGGGCGCGTATGAACGGCTCTTGGTGAAAACGCGTGCAACAGCCAAAACGGACTTGATCTTGTTGCACCCAGAACGCAGCGTGGATCCAGGTTCGACCATGAAATGGTTGCAAAACCGTCGCTGGATCGACTCCCATCACCACGTCCAGATGGCGGTAGACCACAAGGCGGTGACAGACGCCTTGAATCTCCGCCACATCCAGTCCACCACGCGGATTCTCTCCAGCCTCAACTTTGCGGACCTCCGCTCCAAAGTCAACTTGTTGATTAAGCAGGATATCTTCAAAATCAGTCGCACCCGAAACTACTACGCCCCCGCACAGATCCACAAATCCGACTTCCTTCGCTTGGCACGCATTCTCTCGGGCCAGGCAGTGGGCTTGGTGCTCGGTGGCGGTGGCGCGCGCGGGATCTCCCACGTAGGAGTCATCAAGGCCTTGGAAGAGAAAGGAATTCCGATCGATCTCATCGGAGGAACTTCCATGGGCTCGTTTGTGGGCGGGTTATACGCGCGTGATTACGATTTGGTGAGCATCTTTGGGCGTGCAAAGAAGTTCTGCGGCCGAACTTCGTCGCTCTGGCGAAACCTCTTTGACTTGACCTATCCCGTAACGTCCTATGTCACGGGACACGAGTTTAACCGCGGTATTTGGAAGGCGTTTGGAGCGTCGCGTATTGAGGACTTTTGGATCAGCTACTTTACCAACTCCACAAACATTACCAACTCGGTCATGGAGATCCATACCTCGGGCTACGCCTGGAAGTATATTCGTGCGTCCATGTCGTTAGCGGGTTTACTCCCACCAATCACAGATAAGGGCTCCATGTTGCTAGACGGGGGGTATCTCGACAACTTACCCGTGGTGGAGATGCAGAACCGTGGTGCCACCATCATCTTTGCCGTGGATGTGGGTTCGGTGGACGACAGAACGCCCATGACCTATGGTGATACTTTAAACGGGTGGTGGGTCTTGTTCAACCGCTGGAATCCGTTCTCAAAGCATCCGAACGTCCCGAGCATGGCGGAAGTCCAGATGCGGTTGGCCTACGTTTCGTCCGTCAATGCATTGGAAATTGCAAAGAACACCAAGGGAATTGTCTACCTCCGGCCTCCAATCGATAATTACGCCACCTTGGATTTCGGTAAGTTTGACGAAATCTACCATGTCGGTGAGATCTATGCCAGAAACCAGTTGGCCAAGTTGGAGAGCAACGGAAAGTTGCCTGTCATTCCGGGGGTATTCGAGGGGGTCGAGGAGCTGCGGTTGAGGGAAAGATTTCAACGGAGAAATTCAATGTAGCACTCTTGTTTGTCCTTCTATTGCTATCAAAAGTATCTGTGTTTTTACTGAAAACTAGATATTATCGTAAGCATTAGCTCAGAAAAGCCCATGGGAAAGGATTGGGTGGGATTCACAAAGCTATATCGTAGGGTTACTGTGTATGAACGAAGAAAAAGCCACAATCACTCTTATTAATCCTTACAATATTGATTCTTCGTTTTATGTTTTAAGAACAACTTCAAATTAAACTATCCATTGGATAATAAACTCGTCTTTAATCTTTATTTTTCTGTATTATTTACATGCTTCAAGCACCTGGCCCCTCCATCTCCAAGTCGATTTTCCGTAATTTCTTTGCCTTCTTTTTCTTCTTCTTTTCTTCCCCCATTATGTTTTCAGATACCTCGTAAATGTATCTCCCCATCTTCATGTCCTCGATGATCGAAACCACTTGCGGGATGGTGTCCATCTCAATGGTGGCCAAGTCCTGTTTGTTAAATCTGGTCAACACGTAGTCTGCAACTTCGCCATTGGTAGGCTTACCAATACCGATCCCAATCTTTGTGTAGCCACCACCAATGTTTTCCGAGATGGAGCGCAACCCATTGTGGCCCCGTGCAGAGGTAAACTGCTTGCGTACCTGGACCTTTCCCACGGGGATGGAGAGTTCGTCGTGGATCACCACCAAAGAGGAAACCTGCGGTAATTTCAGCTGCTTGACCGCATTCCAGATTCGGGAGATTGGGGCACCGCTGACATTCATATACGACTGGGTTCTCACAAAAAGCATGTTATTCTCATCGGGCGCCGTAGCGTACTCAATGCCAATCTTTTTGGGGTGCTCTCTGAACGCCGGCGGGGCCTGGTAGTGCTGGAGGAGGCTTGCGAGAATGCTATGACCCACAGAGTGTCTTGTTCCATGGTGTGTGATTTCGGGGTTGCCAATCGATGCGACAACCAAGTAGGGATCGTGGGTGAGGGAGTATGGCAAGCCCGGAGCAGCAGAGGATTTGGTATCTGTCTTAGTGCCCAAACTGCGGCCTGAGGATGGACGGATGCGTACGACCCGAAGTCTGAAAGCGCAAACAAGCATTTTCTAGGGGAGAATGCTATATCAAGGGAAGCTATTCTGAGAGATATTACGTGATGGTGAGCTCAGCCGGGTATAGAGTCTGATTTTATCATCGAAACCATTAGCATCGGATTATTTTCAACTGGTATATACAATCACGTGGGGGTTATGAACCGCAAGTAGTGCGGCCCGTTTCGGTTGTATGTGTGGCCGGTACTGGAGCTGGGTTTTACGGCACGTGATCAACAAATAGCCCACTATCACCAGAACTGCTACCCTTATAGCGTTTTCTATTCTATCTCCATCCTATGGCTCAAAGTTGTGAATTTATACTGCGTTAATATCTATATGGTGTCCAGTCTTGCAGTGGATAGTTGAAAGGGGGCACCCGGCCAATTCCGTATGCCCATGCTCAGAAACCAGCTCCATACATTACATATGTGTGGTTTCAGACCCCCACAATAGAGATGTAGAAAACCTAGAAATATCGACATAGGACTTTAGAATTTGGTTTGCTTGGCAATTTCACGATTTCACTTATGGCCTGATCGGCGGCATGAGCGACTGCAGCCTGCATCACTCGGCTGAGACAAATTACCAGGCTAGGATACCACAATGACTGGAAGACTAGCGTTTGAATTCTGATCAATAACGTGGATTTTATGTAAAAATGAGACAATCTAACGAAAATTTGACTAAGTGGTAGTTCTGGGTACAGGCACATTTTATCTACAGTCGATCGAGGAATAAAACACCTACGGATCTGCTCAAGTGAAACACGCTAAGGCTAAACAAGCATTTAAATCCCTTATTTATATCGTAGATCTGTTGAAATTTTGATCTTGGGTTGAAATTGACGAATTCGTTGAGGCCATTACGTGCTACCCAGGAGCCGTGCCAATCGTTTCTTAGTTATAGCTTCGAAGCTCTGTGCCGTATCGAGGTGCGGCATCAAACTTAATTCACGTGTCCCGTATTAAGCTTTTCCGCCCCGTTATACACTTTAACATTTACCCCCTGTATATATGCATACCCATGTGATTTAATTACTCTCAAAATCTCTTTTTTTCTGGATCTGCCAATGTGGACAACTGGGTGATATTCTAATTACACAAAAAATGCAATAATGTTGTGGTCACGGAAATTTGTATACTCTGCCCGGTTTCAGGATTATAACCATATCCTTCGGGCTAGTACTTGTGATGCTTTCCTCTTTATTATTAGCCGCGCTAATTTTGAAACCAAAGGATTGTGCTTCCGGTACCGTCGTCATACGCATATGCACCCTGCAACTTCGTACTCATAATAGCACGCGATTATCCAATAGCACGCGCTGCAAAAAGGTCGGATGATCTTTCTCCCCTGTCGGTAATCGGGAAATTTGTATGAATCTTCTGGGAATTTGTGTTTTTGTGGTATTCAATGGGTACCTGCCATATATGCTTTGTCCCCGAGTTTATAGCCGTCACATGCATTGGGCATATATAATAAGGAAACCCCAGATACCCTGGTTAGTAAAATGCTGCAGAATACGAGTATAGACGAGATAGATCGGCCTAATCTGGTGATAGTCTGGTCTGCTTATCAATGTTTTAGAGACCCGATATGCTTCGTAATTTATCCCCCGCTACTAAGTGTGGCTCCATGGTTCATGAGGTTACAGCCGATTACACAGTAACTGCTTGGGGGAATTGGGGGTATATAAGTAGCTATAAAACCTCCTTTCATTCCTGCCAGTTTATGAATTTTTTTGTCTAAAGAGCTATACTTTTAATCTCCCTCTCAAAGTAATGACTTCCAACTCAGATCCACCACAGGATATTCCTCCAGTGTATAAGGACTCTGATCAGACCTTCTTTGGTGATATCCAAGCGGTCCTTTCCAATCCAGCCAGTATCAATGAGATTGGTAATTCCTTGTCTTCCGATCAAAAGTTCCAGGTTTTAGCCCGGACCGGGCATGCTGGTTTGGAGGACTTAGACGACTTGCCGGTGGAGGCCGAGTACATGATTATCAAGGTGGACAACTTGACCATCGATGAGTCTCTTGAAATCTTGAAAGACGCAATTGTATACCACAAGGGTGATGTTAACTTCTTGCCAGATGAATACAACCAGATGGTTGCCTTGGTCAAAGAAGGCGCACCAGTCCTGGAATCCGATACGGGGCTCCATGCGGCTGAGAAGTTCAACCTCAAGGACAAGGAGAATTTCAAGGATAGCACCGACGATAAAGGATCTTACATTTCCGATTGGGAATTCGAATGCCGCCTCCTAGCCTCCTTGATTCACTTCCATTCGCCTTATGCCGAAGTCAGAGCGGTGACGGATCCGTACGATGACCCTTCCGTCCCTGTGGAAACCATTAGGTCCTATTTCTTGGCCTTTATCTGGACAGTGATCGGTTCTGGTGTTAACGAATTTTTCTCTCATAGACAACCCTCTATTTCGTTGGACACCTCTGTGATCCAGTTGTTTTTGTATCCATGTGGTAAAATTTTGGAGTTGTTGCCAGACTGGGGTTTCACTGTCAGAGGTAAAAGGTATTCCATTAACCCAGGACCTTGGTCTTACAAGGAACAGATGTTTGCTACCATATGTTACTCTGTTTCCGCCGCTGGTGCTTATGTGGACTCCAACATTATCGTTCAAAAGTTGGGTGTGTACTATGACAATGATTGGGCAGATTTTGGTTATCAGGTTTTGTTGATTTTCTCGACCCAATGTTTAGGGTTCGGTTTCGCTGGCATCATGAGAAAGGTTTGCATTTATCCGGTGCGAAGTATTTGGCCTACTATTTTACCCACGCTTGCCCTTAACCGTGCCTTGTTAAAACCCGAGAAGAGAGAAATCATCAATGGATGGAGGATCTCCAAGTACAACTTCTTTTGGATCTTTTCTGGCGCCTCGTTCCTCTACTTTTGGATCCCGAATTATCTTTTCGGAGCAGTTTCTACTTTCAACTGGTTGACCTGGATCAAGCCGATGAACTTCAACTTGGCCGCAATTACTGGTTCTGTCCTTGGTTTGGGATTGAACCCGATTCCGACCTTTGATTGGAACATTATCAACTTTAATTCCGCGTTAGTCATTCCATTCTATTCCCAGTTGAATCTCTATATCGGATCTCTTTTCGCTTTCTTTTGCATTATTGGCGTATACTGGGGAAACTACAAGTGGACTGGATACTTACCCATTAACGATAACTCGTTGTTCACTAATACCGCGGATTACTATGATGTTACCCAAATTTTAACCAATGGCCTATTTGATAATGAGAAGTATCAAGCTTACTCGCCGCCTTTCTACAGTGCCGCTAACTTGGTCCTTTATGGCGCATTCTGTGCCCTCTATCCATTTGGTTTTATTTACACAATCTATGACCAGTGGGAGTCAATGAAGAGTGCTGGTATCCTGCTTTATAAGACGGCAGTGAATTTTAGAAGGTCGAACTTTGAAGGCTTGACCGATCCGCACTCTAGAATGATGGGTAGGTATAAGGAAGTTCCAGATTGGTGGTTTTTGATTATTTTGGTTATTTCCATTGTGCTTGGTATTCTTTGTGTCGAGTTATATCCTACTAATACCCCAGTCTGGGGTATTTTCTTTACCATTGGGATTAACTTTGTGTTCTTGATCCCTTTGACTACTATCATGTCTATCACTGGTTACCAGTTCGGGTTGAATGTTTTGGTTGAATTGATCATTGGTTACGCCCTTACAGGTAACGGTGTTGCCTTGATGACGTTGAAGGCATATGGTTACAACATCAATGGCCAAGCTCAGAACTATGTCTCCGATCAGAAGTTGGCCCATTATGCTAAGATCTCACCTATGGCCATCTTCAGGGGCCAATTAATGGCTACTATCGTTCAGTGCTTCGTTGTCTTGGGGGTTGTGAACTGGATGTTGAGCAACGTCAAGGATTTCTGTCAACCCCACCAGGGTCAAAAATTCACATGTCCTAATGAAACGACTTTCTACTCTTCGTCGATTTTCTGGGGTGTCATTGGGCCGAAGAAGGTTTTCTCCGGGTTGTATCCTATCTTGCAGTGGTGTTTCTTGATTGGGGCCTTGTTGCCAATTCCGTGCGTTCTTTTCAAGAAATATGGTCCAAAGCGTCTCACATACTACTTCCAGCCAACCTTGATCATTGGTGGCTTTTTGCAATTTGCCCCGTACAATTTGTCGTACCTTACTGGCAGTTTGTACGCCTCGTTTGCCTTCATGTACTACATCAAGAACAAGTACGCTTCTTGGTGGGAAAAGTATAACTATGTTTTGACCTCTGCCTTGACCGCCGGGACAGCCTTTTCAGGGGTTATCATCTTTTTTGCAGTTCAGTACCACGATAAAAGTATTTCCTGGTGGGGTAACAATGTTCCTTACGATGGTATTGATGGCGGTAATGGTCCGCAATCGCTTCTTAATTCTAGTGCTTTACCTGATGGGTACTTTGGCCCAATTAGTGGTAACTTCCCATAGTTGCTGCAACCTTGGTCTACTTTACTTTTTTTTTTCTTTTTTTTTTCAATTTCAATTTCAATTTCAAATCTGAATCATATTAACTATCTCTCAGTAAATTGTCTATAGACCCTTCTTACATACCAGCTTTTGAGAGCTTTTCAACTAATGACTGTAACACTTCTTGTTCTCTGGCAAGTCGTAAATTCTCTCGTCTCAATCGATCGCATTCGCTCTTTACTTCCTGGTTCTCGAGTTCTAGATCAACCAATTTTCTCTCCCCAGCCTTGTCCGCCGCACCGTCACTCACTTGATCTTTAAGGGCTCGATACTTGAACACCAAGGCGTAGTAGGCATCGTAAAACTTTTGACAATTCTGCAATTCTTTAATGTACTCCTCTCTCAACTCGAGGTACTTCTCGTTCAAGTCCGCCGTTTGCGGGTCGGACACCGCAGACGCCTGCCTCCCTCTACCTTCAACCACGTCCTTAAGATTCAGGTTATTTCTCTGTAGCTTGTTCATTAAAAACTCAAGATTCATGCTGAGTTCCTCGTTGTTCGTATTAAGAGAGGCGTTTTTCCGAGCCCGGTCCAACGACCTTTCACGGCGCTCAGAATCAAGGGAAAGGATCGATGAATGGCCATCATCACGCCTCTGAGCGTTCAAAGAATCTACTCTTTCAAGCATAGGGCTACTATGTAGATACCTCTCTGGTTTATTAGGTTTCATAGCACCTGGGATACTGGCCATTGGCGCTCTGAACCTATCCTCTTGGGGTACGGAGTAGGCTGGCCGCTGGATGAGAGGCTCTTTAGGGATGATTCGGCTAACCATGGGTTCACGATCAGAGTACACGCCTGAATGGAGCCTGTGGCTTGCATTTTCTGCTGGCCAGGTCCTTTTATATGGAATGTCTTCAGTGACCGAGTGTGATCGTTGGAGGTTTGTCGGAGCGTCAAGGCTCCCAGGTTTATAACGCAACGGCAAACTGGACATAGACAGGTGGCGTGACCGGCCGCTGGATCTCGTTTTCAAGTTCGTTATATCTTCATAGTTGATGGTGTCTTCGTAGTTGATCGTAGTTTGGTCTTTCAATGGCGTTTCCAGGCCAAAAAAGGAGTCGTACGTCTTCAGGAAGAGGTTGTGTTTGGGCTTGGGCCGATGCCTCGTGCTATCAGGAGTATAAGTCGAAAACATGATGAGTCAGGCTATATGGTATGTGTTATTAACCCGGAGTAACCCTTGAAAGGTTACTGGACTTTTAGGCCTGCCTCTCAGACGCGTATGGTCGCGTTTGTAAACAGCAATGTCCTGCACGATGTCCTGCACGGCTACAAGCTTCTAGATAGTCGGGGAAATAGATACTAAATGCAAGAGCAGATTGCTTAATTTTAGCTAACCTGTTTTATATCATCTTTCTTGGTATCTTTTCCAAAGGGGCGCTGTCAGTTTTTCTTGGACATTATGTTACTCTTCGTAGCGCTTTTCAAGTGAAAAAGCCTTCGAAACTCCTGTACGTACAGTAATTACAGTTCTGTAAAGGTACCGTTTGACTAGACCGACATCTTTGGCTGTTATCTCCATTCTCTCAATCGTCGAAAATTCCGGTATCGTATCTGCCTCAGTATATAAGGTCACCGGGCACCTTTTTCTTGTGTATATCTTACGGAGGAAGAGTATTTTCTTTTGGCTAATAGTACCCACTATTACTTACTAGATATACCACAGAAGCAGTAAGATACTGCCACCAACAGATTATCCAAGGCGGCAGGCTGCGTAAATAGAGAAATAATGAAAATTTAATGCTAAAGGATAAATTACTGAAGCGCTATATGATTCAAGCCAAAGGAACATAACTATTTGTTAAGCTCAAGAGGGTTCAACGGCTTAATAACAGATAAAAGTGACTTGAAGCTATTTCAGGTGCATACCGGTTAGATATAATATGCATCCTAATTTAATGAATTAGTTACAATTTACAAACTTCGTTTTGATAGTAACACATGCTTAACTATATATTTGATCATGCCTATGATAGTACTAGTGAAGATTTCTGCACTTATTTTACCACATATTTTCGCCAGCTGAAACGATTGATCTGGTGGCAACACGTTTCCTATCATTCTGGACTGTGTGAGCTAATTGTACTATCCTCTCACAAACTCGAAGTTGTTCAAAGAACGCCTCCTCTTATCTCTCTTATCTCTGAGACCTCTGGCGCAGTGCTCTGGATTCTCCAGAGGTACCGTCAAGCGTATCTCTGATAAATAGCTCGGAAGTTATGAATCAAGCACTTTAGAGATATAGATTCCTGGATCAAGGTAACATTTCAATCCTAGCCATGCGACATGTTTTACATGAGGAAATATCCGGGACAGAATCTAAAGAGCTCGACAATCTCCTTCCATTATACTTTTCTCTACATACTACAAGTCTGGTATTGTGACCTTCCGTACACAATTAAACAATACCCTGTATGGCCAAAATTTCTGTGCATTTCGTAGCTACGTACTATGTAATAAGCCAATTGAAAAGGAAACAGACAGAGCTCGATTCGTCTGGTTTAGAGAGTATAGACGATGACCCATTCACCAGACTACTGCTACACATTATAGCGCATTGGACTGTATTCCCCTTAACGCCTGATACTGATAAATCATTTTTGCTTATCTAAGTATTTAAGGTCACTTTTTAGGAAAATTACACTAAGAGTTAGATACTATAGCGCCATGTTGATATCTTGCTTCCATGCTAAGGAAGGGGATATGCATTGTATGATGCGCTCAGCTTGTTAATTTCTCGAATCTCCTGGAGGTTGTTCTTTAAGACAACACTCGGATTCTTTTAGTCCCTTTAGAAGTCCGCCTTCCCTGCTCCTTAGAGCCTTGTAATATTTTTGCAACCATATGGCTCCTTGTATCATACAATCCTGTTATGCGTACGATACCCTTGCAGTTGTGCCATTCCCTGCATCTTACAGCCTTGTCAAGCTTCATATGACCCTTATAATCGCGCCATCCCTTGCATTTTACAGTTTTTCATGCATGTGGCATTCTTTCAGATGCTTTCCCCAATTGAATCTCGTTCAACCCTAACTATTGTTTACTTGGCTTTTTTTCATATTAACTTTAAAGCTCTTGAAGAATGGGTTTTGTATAAATCTTAAAGCTCTCTATTTCATCTATGTAACCTCCAAGACTTTTAGATTATTATATTAACCCCTCACAGAAGTCCCCAATCCCCAATGATGATAATGAATAATATGACATACTCAGCCTGCCACTTTATCAGTTCTCCTGGTGCTCGTTTGAAAGGTAACTTTCAGATCCTTTTAGCCCCTCTCGAAGTCCGTCTTCATCACTTCCAGTTTTGTCATGCATCAGTTAATCCTTAGACTTTATCTCTGGGCAGTTTCAATTTTGCCATGCCTGTGATATCCTTGCGGTTGCGCGGCTCCCTGAATCTTACAGCCCTGTTATGTCTATACCTTTATAGTTGCGTTATTTCCTGCATTCTGCAGTCCTGTCCTTCGTCTAACTCTTATCTCCGTACTGGCGCCACATCTTCATATATCACACACTCACGTTATACTGTCTATATTATGTGAAAACAGTTTAAAAACTTCAGTCAACTTAATACCGCTATCTCAGGATGTACACCCACACATTATATATGCAATATAGCACTATATAAACATATAATAACCTTCTGATGAATATCAACGTCGGAAGGAAGCGTTCGCAGGTAAAGATTGAACGGTTTAGGTCTTGAAGCAACCCTGTAAACACATACCCACAGCACCATCACATGCGGATAAGACAAGGGCTGAGGGGGGAACATACGACCAGGGCATCCCACAGGAGCCATTTAACGGTGGAATAAAAGGTTGTACCTATCCCATAGAAGGGGGTATAAACCATATATAACTAGGACTCTGGATTCTAACAAACCAAATCTACAAATATATCTCTCAGAGTCATGTCACCTCTTTCAGTAAGTCGTCAGTTATCGATTTTCTCAAAACAGTTTGAATGCTAATGAATTAGAATATTGCTAGCTGGGTAAATTCTCCAGGGTTGAATTGGAGCCAGATAATTATTAGCTTGTCAACAGCCAAGTTCATATTCATGAGCTATATGAATATTCGTCAACTCGGTGTTTTACAGAGAGGCAAGCCCCCTAAAACTTTAGAAGCCGAAGCCATGCAAGCTGCCTACGATAAATCTAGAGCATACTCTCTCGATAAAATCAAATGTTCCATTGCTTTCGATATATGGCTATACTGTGATAGTTTGATTTATATCAAATTCAATGTCTACTTGGCATTGTGGCAGGCTTCTGCATATGCCAGCTCCGTTCTCCCCGGTTCTGCAAAAGGCGAAATTACGCAATCAGTTCTCCTTGCAGCTATCGAGTTATTGGCCCATAACTTGATAATTTTACCTTTCATGTACTATAGGGATTTTTATTTGGAAGAAAAGCACGATTTCAACAATTCCACATCCTCTCAGTGGCTTATTGACAAGTCTAAGGAAAGCCTTATCCTGTTAGTGATACATTCGGCGTTAATCGCTGGAACTTTGAAAGTGGTTGAATTAGCTGAAGACCTGTTCATCTGGTACACATGGCTCTTTATTTCGATATTCATTATTGTCGTGGGAACATTGTACCCTTATTTGATTTTGCCCTTATTTTACAAGTCAAAACCTCTTGGTCTGGGCAAGTTAAAAGATTCCATTGATAGTTTGGCACACAAGAATGGGTTCCCACTAGCCAATGTCAATGTCGTTAACGGTTCTAAAACTTCCTCGCATACAAGTGCATTCTTCACCGGCTTTCCATGGTCAAAGCATATCTTTCTCTACGACACTATGGTTGACAAATTTGAGGTGGAAGAAACAACCGCAGTTTTGGCCCATGAAATTGGTCACTGGGCATTGAATCATATGTTGATACAGTCAGTGTATCTCCAATTGCGAGTTTTGCTTATACTGTCAGCCTTTTCACTTTTCTACAGAAATCCTTATTTGTACTCCTCTTTTGGATTTAATCACACACCAGTTTATGTGAAATTCGGGATCTTCTGCTACATCCTCACCCCCATGAATTGTGCTTTACAGTTCATGTCCAATGTTTTGTCGCGCAAGCATGAATACGAAGCTGACGCTTATGCAGTGAATCAGAGTTACAGGGAGCACACTGCTACTGCCTTGGTTAAAAATTATAAGAATAACGGAGGGGTGTTGGATGCCCATTGGTTGTACTCAGCATACCATCATTCGCACCCCTTGTTACACGAAAGATTGCAAGCAATCAAACAAGTATCTCATAAAATTAAATGAGAGGAATTTAAATCACTCCCGAAGTACAGCCGTTGTTATCATAATTCTGGAATCAATATTATCTGGTTTAAGCGTTGGGGTCGACTGAGCAGTTCTGTCACACTGTTATAGACTTATGAAATTGAATAGTGTACTAAATCAGTTGTATATCTACGTAGGTAATGATGTAACAGGGTATAATTCATTGATAATTAAGTATGAGCTAGATATGCAAAGAGGTGGCCAGTCAGTCTTTATATAGACCGGTTGAAACAGTTTCGTAAAAATCTTCAGGCTTGTTAGAGGTTGAAACGTTATCAACATTTCATGTCCTGTGGTCTCATGTAGGATGGGGAACCTGCGACACCTTTACTATAAAATCGATATTTTGTAACTTCATCAGATACTGTGCCAAGCGTGCTTCTGTCACTTAGTAGAGATTAATACGCTATATAAATGGGTCTATATATCCCTCCTTTATCCTATATACATTATTTCGTCTATCAGTATACTACTTGAGTAGATATCGTACTTATAGGATAAATATATAACACAATAACAGTTTCCACTCAGTTATTCGTAAACTATCACATAACTGGCCGAAAGCCGATTATTAAAATCGGAATGGATCCCGAGGTTGAATAGGCCAGGTGATTACAAAAAGCACTCCCGGGTATCACAAACAGACATGGCCTTGTAAAACTATACGCAACATAATCACCTGACGTGTGAACAATCAATATTGCGGCTTTCCTGGTTACAGCTTACAGGTGTATTAAACCATTAGTATATTGGAAAATAACCGAAACATAAACCAGGATATAAACACAAGAAGATAAGAGCCTGGAAACAGGCATCAGGAGACTAACTACAAAGAAGACAACACCCTAGCCAAGAGACAATCCTTAAAGGCTCTCTAAACTAAAGCTCAGCCGCTTAGGCATGGTTAAAGTCCTGTTATGGCCCAATCTAGCCAGATCCTAACAAGAGAACGACTAGCACCAGACTTGAACCACGAGGAGGAAACGCGAACCAATGAAATCCGGTAGAACTCGAAAACACGTCAGGCTCTCCGATCAAAAGTGCATACTGGAAAACCGCTTCTCCGCGTCCTTGACACCTACCGGTGATTCCACCTTGCTCGACCTGGTGCCCGCACTAAAGTCACGCGGCGATGTTGGGCTCTTGCTCGAGAACGCGCCAGAGGCGAGCAAAAACGGCGAGCTAAAGCCGGAGCCTGCACTCAAATGCGGCTTGTTAAGTGTCGAAGTCTGGTGTGACGACGCGGTGGAAGTGGTGCGCGCGGACATGGAGAGCGCCTTGTGGTTTGGATCAAACGTCATCGACGCCAGATCGGCCGGAGTCGACGCAGACGAGCTGGTTTTGTTTGAGTAGCTAGAGTTCACGTCGTGCGCGAATGCAGGGTCCTCGTCCACGTTGTAAGAGTAGCCCTGCTGGAGGAAGCCCTTCGCACGCAACTGCTCATCCTTCAAACGCGTCTCCTCGCGCGCTTTCGCGAGCATCTCCTGAGCCTTCGGAAGCGAGATCGTCGGGGTCACACACGAACTCACCACCGGAACTGTCTCATCGATATCGATTGTCGCTTTCATCAACGCGGCCATCCACTCGCGCATCTCATCCTGCGTCTCGACCGCGAAGTAGTGCACCTTCTGTTGCGTGAACGTAAGGCCCTTCTTGGACCCCGGCGCCGGCGGCACCAACTTGAAGCAGTAGCGCCCGGAGCCCGTGGACGCCGCGTATATCGCCACAAACTTGTCCTCGTTCTCGCGCGCGGGCAACACCTTGTGCGCGGTGATATCAATCAAGCCCTTCTCGGTCTTGTCCTTGAGCGAACCAAAATACGACAACCGCGTGTTGTGGAGCGTGAAGTAGCGCGTCTTCCACGTGCCGATAGTAACATTACCTCGTTTGGACATCCAGCCGGAGTAGTCGGAGGAACGGATCGCCTCGGTGGGTGAGATGTGCCGGATGCCCTCCTGGAAGGCGGACGTCTGCTTCTTGCGCGTCGTGAGCGTACGTTTCTGCTGTGGGCGCAGGCCAAACTTGATGTTGTCCAGAGCAGCGCGTGTCGGGCTGCTGGGGCTGGCGGTGCCGTGCGCGGGGCTGCCGCTCGCCGCGCGCGTCGGGCTCTTCAATGGCAGCAGCACCGCGACGTCGTCGAAGAAGTTTGTCGGCGTGTTCAACACCGCCGCAAAGTTACGCTCGTTGATTGTTGACACTGGCCGCGATGGCGTAGTCGAGAGTGGCGAAACAAACGTCGCAGAGCCCTTGCGCGAGTGGCCAGGCGCTGTCGTTGCGGAGCCCTTGCGCGAGTGGCCAGGAGCAGTCGTTGCGGAACCCTTGCGCGAATGGCCCGGTGCAGGTGTCCCCGAATCCTTGCGCGAGTGGCTCTTACTTTCGCCCGTTAACGAGGCAAATGAGAACAGCGATGAGTGGCGCCGGTGATGCTTGGACTTGGAGCTATGCTTGACCTCTGTCTCGGGGAGGAGCCACGTGGAGCTCGCGTTATCAAAGCCCATGGACGATACGGGCCGCGAAAAGGTCATACTGCTGCGCTTACGCGGAGCACGCGCCTGCTCGGGGCTCGTGAAAGCGGGGTCCAATACGCTGCGGAACTTGCTGAGGCCCTCCGCCACGGGGGAGCGGTGGTTCGGCGGCTGTGGTGCCTTGCGCGGGGAGTCAAAGACGCCGTGAGCAGCATGAGGCTTGTCAAAAATCCCACTCGGGCTCTTTGGGGTCGTGTTTTGGCTCTGGAGTTTTTTAAAATGTGCAAACGGCACATCTTCCGACGACCGCGACTTGGTGCGCTGGTGTAAAGGTGGAGTGCGGTCCTGCGACGCGCCACGCGTGATCGGTGCTGCTAGGAGAAGTGAATGGCGTTTAGCCTGTGGCGTGTATGGCTCGTTCGAGTGGGTTTTCGGGCGCGCCTGCTTGAGCGTCTCGATCTCCTTGAACATTTCGAAGCGCGTGCCGAAAGACACAATATCCAACTCTTTGAGGTACGTGAGCTCCAACTCGAGGAGAATCTGGCCGTTGATCTTGTGGCGTTGGAACTGGCCCGCGCTCTCGACGTCAAAGCCCAAATACACAAAGTATGCGCTCACCTGTTCAGGCGTCCATGACTCCACCTCGAGCGGGTCGAGCGACATGCGCTTGGACTCACCGAGTTCCTGGAGTGCCTTGTCAATGTCTGACATGGTTTTGTGCACGGACGTGTTGCGCGTAAAGGGTACGTCGCTCAAGCCGGGAGACGCGTGGGTCGGGGTGCTCGCGACAGACCCCTTGGGGGTACTCCCATTAGACACAACACGGCGCGATGCAGCACGAAGGAGTTTAGGGATGCCCAGTACGAGCTGGGTAAACGTCTTAGGATAGAGTCCCGTCTCGCCCGTCACCATGTTGCGCCCCATGTACCAGCCGTCGTTGTACTCGCTGTCATCGGCAATAACCTCAAGTTTGTCTCCCACTTGCAAGTTCAACTCATCTCCGAGTCGTGCATTGAACACCTTTATCACGGTGTATACGGGGCCGGCAGTCGGCAGCTCCGATGCGCTGTCAAAGTCCAGGCTGAATGACGTGGTCAACTTGGGCGGATGTGGTTTGGTAGTCATCCGGGGCTGGGATTAGAATATCTGAATCGGTGGTTTTGCTACTTCAGTCGGTTAAGGCTTTCGTTGGACCGTTTTAGATTATTTTTTTCTCCGTAGTTTGGCTTTGGTGCTTAGGATGTGGTAGAGAATATTCCGTGGCCGGTTGGTCTGCGTGTGCTTTTGATATCGCGCGAAAAGCGCCTGGTGTTCTGGGACATTTGCCGCACGGTGTCCCAAAACGGAAACATCTCGTGTACACCCCAATTTGGTCGTGCATCCTTGCGCTGGAGAGGGCGTTGAAAGTTTAACAAAGCAGGAGGTTAGTCCTGGCCAGGGGCCAGAATTTGGTGAATAGTAAAATGGTCATTCATCTTAGTCAGGGTATTATGTGATACTTGCTCATTAGCAACTTAATAGTAATTGTACCGCACTGTGAAAGAGGACGTGGTGTATCTGCCTATGCATAGACGCAATGGAGGGCATGGAACAGACGGGCTCAACCAGCCGCACCTTATGGGTCTGTTCTTCCCAAAACGTTACGTTTACGGCATCTCGAAAGCCAGGCAGCCGAGACTGACGCTCCTTTAGTTGCCTCGAACGCAGTACGTAAGGATTTTGTCACGTGACCGCATCGCGTATTTTCCGTCATTATACAGGAGTCTTTGTGGTATACGGGAGTCGTCTGTGAGCTATTCAAGATAAGCGACGAAGCTGACCCGCTCGGAAAGACCAGAGTCTTGAAGTTCAAATAACCCAAGCGGCAGAAGGAGATTCTGAGCGGATGGTGTAATCAGATGACCGATTAACGGGACAGATGTTTCACTCCGTTATGCTTCATGAGCCAGGGAGTGACCTGTAACGTCCTTAATTGTATGCATCAAGTCTGTTTAGAGTTTAGGCTCAGAAAAGTTGGTTATTCCCTAAGAATAAAACCGCCTCGTTCCACTACAAACGGTACAATAAGTAGAACCATCGGGGCGAGTTCTGAGCTCGTGTTCATGGCTTCTGGACTTGCTAATACTTTGGTATATGTATACTTGAGAAAGCGGATGCCTACTTCTATATTGTCAATGCTATATATGCGATATTCTTACTGCCCTGGCACACAAACCACCTAGTTTTGGAATATCTTTGCTGGTCTAAACATTCTAGCGTATGCCAGCCTGCCACCTTTGCTTATCTGTTTAGAAAATTCAAAGGCGAAGAGTAGAGGCATATCTTCGGGGTCGAAGTTATGGGGGCCAAGTGCCGACGGGGAAAATAACGACAAAGAAAAATGGCCTTTGGAGGCTTTGTTCGAAGGCGTGAAAATGTTATAACTCGCGCTTAAAGTTTTCGTCAGAATAGCAAATCTTAACTTTGTGAAAGTTTTCGGATGCGCTCACCGCTCTCTCATAACCACATCTGATGAATCATTATACCTGGGTGTTAAATATCACGCAGGCATCATACCTTGTAATCAACTTAATCTAGACTATCCAGCTTCTGACCTTTCTATTGCCCCAGCAGCTACTATTTCTAATGGGTATAGTGCTGTTCATGCTGCTGGTACCTCCACCGAGCCTTTCTGTGCTCCACGTCGCTCTGCGCGGTGTCCTGCCATAGCACATCTTCATAGCTTGGCAACGCCGGGGGCTCTTCATGTGAAGAGTTAACCACACTGGTTTCAGAGACCCCTACCAGGTCAGTGCGCATCGACGAAATTGTGGAAGTGGTCGGCCGTGTAAGCAATGTGGGACGTTCCATTCCGTCTAGCGAACTCTCCACCTGCTCCCTCATGGCCATGCTCATGGACAACCCGCTTGACACGCGAACGTCGGTTACTAACTCCACTTTCTGCGCGGATTTGCCGTTGTTTGCGGTACTGCTCACGCCACAGGCAATGCAGAGCTGGTACTTACGGTTGATGTTACACGTCTTAAAGCTCGGAGGGATGTGATCCTTCAAAACGGCGTTCTGAAACAAACTTTGGGGTAGTTCTAGTTCGTGGAGCGGTTCGCCCGTCTTGTGGTCCTTCGCAGTCGACTCTTTCACCTCGCAGAGGTCGACTTCGTGGATCCCCGAAAACGACAGAAGCCGCTCCACGCTCTTCAATTCGGACTTGTGGCCCTGGGCGATAACTAACGTGGTCATTAGCAAGTCCACGCTGAGTGACGTGATGTATATAGCGCCAAGACCCGACGTATCGCCATTGGAGAGTCGGTAATTGCGGCTCGGAAGCGGAGAAACGATGTGGAGCGAAAAGGCAGGTACAGTCGAAGGGGCCAAGCATGCGGGAAACCCTAACCGAGCTTCCACATAAAACGGAACGTCGCTGGTCTTCACCATCAACCGTTTAGGTGGTGCTCTGACTGGAGATGGAGCGGGCTCGCCAAAGAACAAGCTCTTGAGAAAACCCTGGCGCGCCTGAACTGGAGGCGCCCGTTTATCCCTATACGGCTTGACCTCCACAATGGCCGGAAGCATATTCTTGAACACCACTGACCGCCTCACAAACATGATTTTGTTGGATTCCTCGGAGGGGTCGAGTCCGTTGTAGTCGAGCGGAAGCATCACAAACGGCTTGAACGAGCGGAGGTTTGTTCTGAGCAACGATGAGCGTTTGGCAGTTACTTTGATAAAGTACTTCACCTGTGCCGTGTTGCCCATCCCGGAGAACGATGGCGGGAGCTGCGCGTGGACGTGCTTCGATGTCTCCAGCACGAGATCTCGGCCGAACGTGGTCTTCAACGAAGTTGTGCAGTCGTTGGCAAACAGGATTTTGAAGGAAAACGGGTACTTGTATTCTCCGGGAGTGAGGGTAAACTCCTTCTGCTTAGACACCGTCCGGACGTTTTCGGGTGGAAACACCATTACCGTGTTGTACAACACCCTGTGGGTCTCCTCCACGCGCTTCATTTCCTTGGGGTCGTATTTCCCTGTCTCCTTGTCGACTCTGGCGCTTGGGTTCTTCGGAACCAAAAGCTCTGTTTTGGAGATCCCCTCTAACTTCACGAGGATGTGATTCAATGAGATGCCTGACGTGACCGTGAGCGCCACATAACCGCGGATCACGTCAAAGTTGGTGAACGTTCCCGCTTTCTCCCGTGTGTCGATGTGTACAGTGATATCGCTGGGAGACATGGAGGGGGAGGTTTGTATATGTTAAGCAGGATAGTAAAGTTAGTGTATATTACGGTAAGATGTAGCCAAGGATGTTGTGGGAGGTTGTGCATGCAGAAAATTCGCATGCGCCTCTGCGGAGGCTTTAGTTGTCCGGCGCGGATAGATAACAGCCGTTCCCTGGTCGTACCACTCAGTGGCTGTATAGGTTACGTGGTTACGCTTCTTTTTTTTTTTGCGGGATCTATAATCAACGGTATTTCGACCGTTAGTTGGGTATTTATATCTACTGGTGTTGGCTTAACGTGGAGGTTTTTGTTCATGACACATGCATATTCACGCGTTCTGAGCCTACTCTCAGTCATGCGCCCAAAATCTCAGTGGCAGTATAAACTATCAGTCTCCTTTTATTACATCTTATGGAAATACCACATCCCAGAACCTTTGTTTGATATTGTTTATCTCCTTTGACGAGCACCTTCAATGTGACGGTAATTTAATACATGACGTATTTGGTTTCTGTACTGCTTGATTCATCCAGAGAAAGCATACACGCCCGTCGTGCACGTGAACCCTCTACCAATGAATCTTATCCGCATTTTAGTTTTCCACCGCTTTGCTGATTTCATGCAACACGTCAAAAGTGGTACTCCCCTGTTTCTTTCCCTTGGTGGCAGGCGCTTTGCCCCAGCTAGATTCCGCCTTGAAAATTCTAACGTCCCCCTTTTTGGACGCAGCAGCTCTGTCTATTTCCACTTGGTACTTTGCAGATAGGTAGGCCGATATCTCAGATGCATTGAACTTATCGCTCTTCTTCTTCAGCTGTAGTTGGGCAGGTCTGGCCCCTGAGGGAGATGGCGCTTTTGAAGGAGCTTTCACCGTTGCTGGCTTGGGCACACCCGCCACACCTGAGAGTCTAGCGGCCCATCCGCCGGCCACGGGTTGAGGCGCTGGTATTTGCTGTTTGAGAGTCTTGGCGCCGTTAGGGGACGTTTCTTTCTTTGAGGTTTGGGGTGCTGGCATTATGAAATTAGATGGCGGAGATGCTGTTTTTGGGGGAGATGCAGGTATATGAAGGTCTATTGTCTATATGTGAGAGATGGCAAATGTTGAATATTGAATGTATATGCTTTTGATTGGATCACAAACATGGAACAGGAGATTTACCATGGTTGGAGAAAGTGAAAAAGAGTGAATGTCCGCTTTCCGTGAGGTGTACGCTGAGATCTGAAAATGCCGCTAATCTGGGGCAGTCGCGAATTGTAATAGAAATTAGGATCCTGGGAGTATACATGTCTTTATGAGTGTTAATAAAAAAAAACAGATGTGTGTGTTTTCGACTTGATATATTTCAATACGCCTGTAGCCTGTCTCCGACTTGTAATTCATTAGGTGGGATCTATGAGTTTTTTTTTCGCCTGATTTCCGGGCTGATACGTCTAGTACGAAATTGCCAACCTACTTATCTGCATTTTTATAGCCGATGGCAATGGTTTGTGTAATCACGCTGCGGGATATAGTTGCCTTATGTTGCAAAGCACGGTTCACTGCTTTCAGTTAACCCGCCTGCGAATTTTCCACCGTATATTTTACCCTTCAACCTATCTCTCAGAGAGTTCATCGGAGGCGTAGAATTCTGAAACTTCCATAAAATCTACCTAGGGTGGTTTTTACAACTTTTGAGCCTATTTGATAATTCGGCATTTTCATCCATTGGGGTCTTGAACGGATATCCAGCCTTTACCTACACTATTAAACAAAAGTGGTAATTTTGTATGAATAATCAAAAGGTAACGTTCCACGGCTTGTTGATCGAGATACCAGGGGACTTGATAACAACGTGGTTGGCGGCCGACACAACGCTGGCATCCCAGGTCTCACCACTCTGTGAAACACTCACAGCCTTCTGCGCTAACGCAGACCCAACAAGGATAATTTTTTGGATCTTGACGCTATCCAAGGAGGCGATGAACGGAAGTTTCAAGCCGCTGTTCTCAACTTGAGCCTGGATGCCTTCCTCAGTCGCGGTGAAGTTAACCACGATGTAGTCGCTCTGTTTGTAGTCGTATGACTGGCCGTCATCAACATAGAGCGTGCCGGAGGCTCCACCGGCAGTGTCGAGTGCAACTACCAAGGTGTATGGATCGTATCTCATCAACGCAGATGATCTTCTGTAGCGGTCCTTTCTCGCCAAAATGCTGCCGCCCTTGAGCAAAACCGGAATCTGCTCCAATAAAGCCCCGTACTTGTGGTAGCCCTCGCCCTTGAACACCGTGTACTTGTCATAGGAGTAGTACACCTGCTCGTCTGGGAGGTAAATTTCCGTAGCAGTGGCACCCTCCTCGGTGATTGGCTTGATCAAAAGCCCGGTGTTGCCCAAGAAGAACTGGTCTTCAATCTCGTACGTCATTGGGTTTTCAGGCGTTTCGTAAAACATCGGCTTCATCACTGGCACCCCCTGGGTGTTGGCATCGTAGAAACTGGTGTAGAACATCGGAAGCAACGAGTATCTAAATCTTACAGCGTCCCTTATAATGGAGGTATACGGCTCGCCGGCGATCCACGGCTCCCTTCTTCTTGAGTCAATGTGCGCATGCGCTCTGAAGAAGGGGTACCAGATCCCAGCCTGATACCAACGGGTGAGGAGCTCCTTGGACGGGTTTCCGAAGAACCCTCCGACATCCGCGCCCGAAAACGGCATCCCCACCACCCCGGAGGTCAAAATCATTGGCAAGGAAGCCTTCAAGTGCTCCCACTGCGACATGTTGTCACCAGTCCACATCGCAGCGGAGCGCTGGGACCCGGCAAAGTACGAGCGAGTCAAGATAAACGGACGGTTGCGGCCACCGGAACGGTTCTGCATTGCCTTAAAAGTCGACTCGTGGTACGTCATGCCGTAGAGGTTGTGGATCGAACGCGCCTCCCATCCCCCGTAGTGGACGGTATCCTTAGGTGAAGTGGTTTCAGGGCCGGAGAAGACCGACGGCTCATTCATGTCGTTCCAGATGTGTAAGTTGGTAGCGTCGCCACTGAATTGGGTGCCGTTGGCAAAGAGCGTGGACCAGTATTCGTCAGTAGCAGGGTTGAGGGTATCAACCCAAACTGACTCACCCGGCCAGCAGTGGCCGTGAAAAGCAGATCCATCGGCGCTGCTCGATTGCACGGCCAAATTATTCTTGATTAAATGGTCACTAACCTCGTAGCCCACCTTAATATGCGGGTCGATAATGGTGACCAACTTGCGGCCGGTGCGGTCTAACTGCCTCATCATCCCCACAGGGTCGGGAAACAACTCCTTCTTCCAGGTGAAGTACTTTTTGCTGTCAGTGTACTCGATGTCAAGCCAGATGATGTCATACGGGATCTGGTACTTGTCCATATTGGCTGAGACCCCCAACACATCCGCCTCGTCGTTGTAGTTCCACCTGCACTGGTGGTACCCGAGTGCAAACAACTGCGGGAGTTCGACAAAGCCGGTAAGCGCGCCGTAGGACTTGGAAACGTCCGTTGGCGTCTTTCCGATGGAAAGAACCACGTCGATCACACCGTTTTCGGAGATCCAGTGAGTCTTTGTCGACACCTGGAGATTGAACGCAGTCTGGTCTCCAGCTTTCATTTCCGCCTCCTTTTTGATGTCAACCCAGGTGTCAGCACTATTAACCCAAAAGACACCCGCAGCCATCCCAGGCTTAACCGCCATCATGAACGGAACTGACCCATACATTGCCATGCGACTGTCTATCTCATACTCAAAGATGTCCACATTGAACATTCTGTAGGGTTCGCCAGCAGTCGTGTCTTTCAACGATAAATCGTCTGCGTGCTCTGGAATCCCGTACACGTGTTTGAACCCCGGTAAACTGACGTCAAGGGCGACGGATTCCGGGCCAAGAGGCACGGTGTCGCTCTTGCAGTCCCTGAAAGAATCTGTAAAGGCATCATACATGGTTTCCTCCGCGGAAACGTTGTTATCAAGCGGCTCCTCGCCTTCAATCGGCTCGGATGGTGTCTGGGCACGCCAGTGCTCCACGTTGAGAAAGTTCCGGTCGTTGAGCACAATCTGAGGCGAGTCGCCATGCAAAATCGTAAGTTTGAAGGGGGTGAATTGCAACTCTGCGGTAAATTCGCCATCGCCGTATGAAAATCTAAGCGACTTTTCATCCGAGGCAACAGCGACCGGCTCCGAGAAGATCCCAGCCTGAGGTTCGTCGCGGAAGGCCCACTTCGCAGCTTCGTTGTAACGAAGCGTGTTGATCTTTTTTCCATCCTTCACCGTAACTGTGCCGTTGGAGCGCGCTTCTTCGTCGATGAGTAATCTGACGTTGTTGTCACTAAGCAATTGCACACGGAAAGGCAATCTAACCGTGGTGGCATCATTCAACGATTTTTCCACCACACCTGTAATTGCAGCCCTAGGCTCATCGATCTCAAACAGCGAGACGGCGTATTTGGGTATGTAGTTGCTTTGGGCGGCCACCTGCAGGGCAAAGTGTCTGTTTCTGTGACAGAACCCGGACTGGTCGCAAGTCTTGAACAACTCCGATTTGACCTGCCATGTCGGTGCGACAAAGAACAAGACAAGCAAGAGCAATGAGTGAGCTCTGATCCTCATTTTTTTTATCGTGTTGTGTAAATATCAAGACTGGTACATTAGATCTGTAAGGGTTAGCAATGTATCCCTTGACGTAATCTATCGCGTGTCCAATGTCGGTGTGTGTTAACCATTATCTCGGTTGGTGCACGTGCCAGATTTATGGACACCCTAGCGCTTGGCTCGATGCAGGAGTCCTCTGGCCGGGAATTCCACCACCAAACCTTAAATTGGCACAGTGTTTGGTTGGGCACGCGCCCGTACAGCACGGGTCATAAAGCTCATGGCATGGCTATCACTTTACCTGAACGGGAGAAGGTTAACAACTAAATGAAAACTTCAGTCCTAAAAGAGCAATCGACCGTGATTTTGAATTAATAGATGACCTTTCACTTATCGCACTGGCTATCGTAAACTCCTTGTAAAGTCCGTAGAAGGCATTATTTCTATTTTATGTTGCGGTAACCCAATTCGTAAAGCCCTCTAATGATTATAAACCGCTAATATACTCCTACTATACATGTGGCCTCAGATAGAGCAACTGTGAATCTTCTCAACGGCATAATTAAACATTTTCCGTCCCTGCAAACTTTAAATTGAAAGCTTTGTCTGTGTTGTATAGAGCCTACCCGTGATTGGCACAGAGTTAATAGTTCGATACGGTGCCATGTATACAGCCAAATACCTGCTCGAACGCCCGACAGTGATTCCACAGCCGGGTATGACTGTGTCTTCCTCTTTCACTTTCCCGGGATAACTCCAACGAATTGTTCCAGATGGGCTCATACACCACCGCGCTTATATAATCCCCCTCAGTTGATACGCACACCGGGAAAACGCTCGGAGCTTTAGGGAATATCTCCGAGAAAATTCGTTCTGCCCGGCATGCGGCTTCCCCACCGAGGCCTACAGGACCGCTAATACCCTTCATGTACGCACATGAACTTTTTCGATGCTCCACAGTTGCCCCTCGTTCCGTATCCGTCAGGCTCATTGGCAACAAAACCCGAAATTCTATATAAGGCCGCACCCCCTCTTTCACCCCGCCACTTTTAAGTTTTAAGCTTGACAATTTCGCCACTCCTCACAATGCCAGCTACTCTTTCTAACTCCACCAAGACCTACTCTTTGAACAACGGCGCCGTCATCCCAGCCATCGGTTTGGGGACTTGGAGGGCCACCAACGAAGGTGATGCCCAGAGAGCCGTTGCCGCAGCCATCGTTGCCGGTTATAGACACATTGACGCTGCCTGGGCCTACGGTAACGAAAAGGAAGTCGGTGTCGGTATCAAGGAAGGTTTGGCCGCCACTGGTTTGGAAAGAAAAGATATCTTTGTCACGACAAAGTTGTGGGGTACCTTCCATCACGACCCAGAAGCTGCCTTGGACATCTCCTTGGAAAGATTAGGTCTTGACTACGTCGACCAGTACATGATGCATTGGCCCGTCGCCTTGAACCCTAACGGTAAGGGTGCCGAGACTGGTTTCCCAGTGTTGCCATCTGGTAAGAGAGACATCTTGTTGGACTGGTCTTTCGTCAAGTCTTACGAAAACTTGCAGAAGACTGTTGTATCTGGTAAGGCCAAAGCCATTGGAGTCTCCAACTTTTCGATAAAGAATTTGAAGACCTTGTTGGCTGCTGAAACCACCAAGATCAAGCCAATCTGTAACCAGGTCGAAGCCCATCCATACTTGCCGCAGCCAAAATTGTTGGCTTACTGTAAGTCCGAGGATATCTTGATCACTGCCTATTCCCCATTGGGTTCCATCGACTCCCCGTTGCTCCAGGACGAAACCGTTGTTGCTATTGCCAAAAAGAACGGCGTCTCTGTCGCCCAAGTCTTGATCTCCTGGGCCTTATGGAGAGGTACCGCTGTCTTGCCAAAGTCCGTCTCTGCTGCCAGAATCGCATCCAACCTACAGGTCTTTGAGTTGTCTAACGAAGACGGCGAAGCCTTGAACCAGATCTCTGTTACCAAGGGTTCCCAGAGATTGATTTCACCAGACTGGTCTCCAGTTGTCATTTTCGAAGACGAAGATTAATTTCGCTTTCGGTCGGTTCCATAGAAAATGTTTGCAAATCGCTATTTAGCAATAAGCGGTATATTATCATAGTTTATTCCATATCGATCTGCGTTGAAACCTGTTCCTGTACACATTTAATGTCACAGGACCGTTTGATGTCTGAAGAATTCCGTAGTGCCTCAAAAGAACATCAAATAATGTCTTGGGGGTGCTTTCAGCGTAATCGAAAGTTATATTACTGGAAGATCCAATTGTATATAAAAGGGAATATGGTGCTCTTACTTATACTATTATTATAATTAACCAATATACTATATTTACATATTCAATACTTTTACCTTACCAAAGAACAAGTAAATTGCTATAACCAATTATCATGCATTACTTGTATGCATGGACGCTAATGTTATTCAACAGAATGCTAAATACTAACCTGTAAGTTGCATAATCCCTACCTCCTGTGCCCATGTGGTTAAAGAAATTTGGGTGCTTATTCATATTTTTTTCCCGGTAATTATTCCTATATGACGTTTAAATTTTCTGTCAGAGTTAGAGAGTTGTTTCAGGAACCTTATGAGGTTCCAGTTGAGGCTACTAGGATTGTTTGATAATGAGTATCTGAAACTAATCCTGTCGCATAAAGCAAATGAGGCACCGAAGAAAGCTATATAAGGAAGTAGTTTTCCAGGTCTAAGAATGATCTTGGTTTTAATATTATCTTTATTTTTGTGGAAGATCACGATAAGTAACTTGTGAATCAATGACTGATTACAACCCCCCGACTGGAATACCAACAGGCGCTGGAACCCTGACATTTTCAAGCTTCGTTCCTCATGGCCCAATGGTCACGGCGTCTGGCTACGATTTGTAACCACTTCTGGAACCAGAAGATTCCAGGTTCGACTCCTGGTGGGGAAGCTTCTTTTTTAAGCCGTATAATTACATTTATAGCTTGCTTCACCTTTTTCTTCAGCTTCGGGGTTGGCTGTTTGGGAGCTAATGCAGTCTGACCATAATAAACCTTGTTGTGGATAGAAAATATGTGGTGTATCTAGCAATAACGGCAACTATAAAATACAGAGACTCCTTTCAATATAAACAAATTATAAGCAAGAAGTACCCCTCTGGATGATCTGAGTGGATTGGATGACTGGGCTAGCGTGTCATGAAGAGAACGTGACAGAATTACGAGGCTTAATAGCGGGGAGCGATGCACATAAGCGGTTAAAACCCCCTTTTATCGCAACCGTTATATACATACCTGAATACGAAGGTATATCGTATTGGGTCAATAAATAAACTTTGAAGCTAATAAGTAAAGCCATTTACCAATACATGGCTAAGTAATATTGATGCTCTTCCATACACTGAAGTACAACCTCAACAGGGTTCTGTATCGACGATTTGGTTTGTGCTAGACGAACGCGAATTTTGAAACCCCGTTGGTGAAAAGACGAATCAATTTTTGGTTCAGATATGCAGTCACGGAGCGAGAGCTAGTATCCGTTAATGCAGGATGTGAAATATCTAGCTTGCATATACTGAGTACGGACACCAATTTATATTTGCTTGAAGATATCACTTTATCCCGTCAAAGATATTTTACCCTTATCTCCAGTGTGGGGTGTTTGCCGTTTCTCTAATCAGCGTTATCAGGACTAATCTGCGCGCTAATGGAAACTCTATTCCACTAATCTGCACGGCCGCGGTCATGCATTATGGTCGACTGCCCTAATTTCCCTTGCATGTGCCGCATGGACAGAAGATTAACTTCTCGCCCGGCGGCTATCGTCCAGTGCCCATTCAGAAAGCACAATGGATGGAAACAAAGAGTCAGCCTTTCAAGCTCTTTTCTTCCTATCCAAAATGGCAAAATCTTGGTTCAGCTTACGAGAGGAAGCCCAATAGCACCCTGTATGCAAGCTCTCTCACATTTCTCAGCTGTCGAATCTCGGATTGGTGAAAATGTTTTTATCCTACACGCGACGTGCGTCTAAGCCGCCCAAATGCTTCATTCTTGTTTCTTTTTTTATTTTCAAGGTTTGTCGACAGCCGCCTTTTGAAACAGATTTGGGAATCCCGAGCCGTCGTTGTCTTTCTTTGATTAAAACTTAGCCCTGATTATCCCCATCAGGTCTTAACCGCCAGACAGTCGCAGATCCCCGCTAGAATCTTCCTCCAACCTCAGGTCATCGAAGTAGCCAATCCTCCTTCTTCGACCGTCACCCGCAAAGATATTTCCCGCCGGTTTGTCTTTACTACTCAGCATCGCCCTCTTCACCAGCTTCCTCTTCAGCACCCTCGAGTCTATTCCGTGACGTCACCCATCGTTTCGACTAGTCCTTTGCTCCCACCCATCACTAGCCCTCAAGAAACAAAAAGTACTTAAACGGTAGTGCTTTTTTTTCTTTGTGATATCTGATCAGTTAAGAATCACAATTTTTTTTTGGAGGTGTTACTCTAGTAAACTTTTATTGCCTCACACGGTTTTTTTTTCCTTTACCACCTCCTCCTAACCCTCTCTACGGTTAATCTTTTATTCAGACCCTTCCCTGTCGCTATGGATACCCCCAGATACGACGCCAACTTTATCCCAGGTACCATTAACATCTATGCCTTTGAGACAGATGATGCAGAACCTCAAAAGGGCCACTCCGGTCTGGGATTGAAAACCAGCGGCAAGATCATCTTGACGCCGCAGCCGTCGGACTCTCCCAACGACCCCTTGAACTGGGGGTTCTGGAAGAAGTACCGTAACTTACTCCTTCTCGCGTTTATCACCGGCTTTACTGCCGCCACTTCTAACGATGCCGGTGCTACCCAGGACTCGCTAAACGAAATCTATGGCATCTCCTACGACGCTATGAACACTGGGGCCGGTGTATTGTTCGCGGCGATTGGGTACGGCACTTGGGTCTTGGCCCCAGCGTCCGCCTTGTACGGCCGCCGTATCACTTATCTCGTTTGTACTTTGTTGGGATTGGTCGGTGCCATTTGGTTTGCTTGTGCCAAGCGAACCTCCGACACTATTTGGTCCCAGTTGTTCGTTGGTGCCAGTGAGGCCTGTGCCGAAGCCCAGGTCCAGTTATCGCTCAGTGACATGTTTTTCTCTCACCAGTTGGGTGGGGTATTGACCGTTTATATCATGGCCACTTCTGTTGGTACCTTCCTTGGTCCTTTGGTGGCTGGTTTCATTTCGGCTGATATGGGCTTCAGGTGGGTCGGTTGGTTCGGCGCGATCATCTCCGGTGGTCTTTTGATTGTGCTTTTCTTCGGCTTGGAAGAAACTTCCTTCGATAGAAGCTTGTACATGAGAAGACTCGACGCCAGCAACTCTCTGTACTCCGAAATCGCCTTGCCAAAGATGGTGGATGACAAGGGGGCTGGCAAGGAGAAGCTTGCGGATCCTTCTGTTGAGGAAGAATCCCTCTCCGGTTCCCTCGATCATAGAACGAACTCGCACAGAGAAAGCGCTGGTCCAATCTACGGCACGGGCGCAGACGAGCCTGTCGTATCCTACTGGAAAAGCATCAGAATCATCACCCCTGCCACCAACTTGAAGGGCTATGGGTTTAAGCAATACATGAAGCAGTTGATGATGATTCCTCGCGTGTTCACGTTCCCTCCGGTTCTTCTTTCTGGATTGTTGTGGGGGTTGCAGGATTGCTTCTTGACCTTTTACTTGACCACGGAGGAAGATACCTATTACGATGCTCCTTTTAATTACACCGACAAGGCGGTCGCTATCATGAACGTTCCGACCTTAATCGGTGCCGTTATTGGATGTATATACGCCGGTTCCTTGAGTGACAAGCATGTTTTGTGGATGGCCCGCAGGAACAATGGTGTCCAGGAAGCCGAGTTCAGATTGTGGTTTTTGATCCTCCCAGCTTTATTGTCTCCATTGGGTTTGCTTATGTTTGGGATTGGGACGGGGAATGGTATGAGCTGGCCATTCACCTACATGGGGTTGGTTTTTATTGGCGTCGGCTGGGGCTGTATCGGTGACATCTCCATGAGTTACTTGATGGACGCTTACCCGGAAATGGTGTTGGAAGGGATGGTTGGTGTGTCTGTCATTAACAACTCGATTGCCTGTATCTTTACCTTTGTCTGCTCTCCTATGATGGATGCCTTGGGCACCAGCAACACTTATATTGTCCTTGCTTGCATGGACCTCTTTGCTATTTTGCTTGCGGTTCCAATGTACTTGTATGGCAAGAAGTGCAGAGCTTGGACCAGAGACCTGTATATCAGGTTCCTTGACGTACGTGATGGTATTTAAAACTATTTGTATTTTACGTTGAGTTAGATGTGTTTATTTTTGCTAAAAGTTTATTTAAGAATTCATGGTTGAATCTACGAGCGTTTTTTTTTACTTTAAATGCGTAATGGTGCTTAGTGTTGCGTATTATTACTGGAAAAGGTTTCGTAGCCCATGCTTTTCCTTTTTTTATAGCATTCGAAGCTATGGGATCTGTAAATAACCTCCTTACTGATTTTAAGGACCATATTCTACCTACCCCGAAAGACCAGCTGAAGATGATTTCTGATAAAAGGCTATAGTTTCTATCACCCCTCCGGAGGTACGCGACGTGTTCTGTAAGACCTCCACTGGAGCCGCCAGACCGGGCGCCTCATAGTCCCTATCCACCGCTTCAGACTCGGCCTGTTCCCCAGCGGCTACCTCTGCCGCCTTTATATTCTCTCTTCGCCACTCTTCCAAGAATGTTCTTATAGCCAACACTCCAACCACAGTGAAAACCGTGGCTATAACCGCCAATACCATGAGAAGTCCTAATCGTTAGTTCTGCCAAACGGTGCGCTGGGCGGGTGCTTACTTTTGAGCCATTTGAGCGCCCAGAACGTGAGAGACATGATGCCTCCAGCCGGCCCCATGTACGCGGTCCGTGTGACTACGCGGAAAAATGTACCGATAAAAAGCATTGCTGTGAATATATTACGTTTATCAAAAGCGAGAAAATGCGGAGCTACATAAAAAAAAATATACGCAGGGGGAGTCAGCTACCTCCGGCCGTTTCTGTGACGCCAATTTCCTAGCCGCACCGCAAGGGGCAAGCCTTACAGGGTGGTGACGGCATTAGCTTTCATCCGCCTAACCAAACAAATTAGTGAACCAGCTCGAATGAAGCTCCTCCGCTAGCTGGGCGTAATACTCCATTTCGTCGTGGCAGTTGCGGTCACCTCGGTTCCTGCAGTTGTGCATGTTCACCATGAAATCTCCGTCAGTTTCGTTGTAGGTGAACAAATACGGCTTGTCCGAGTCTGCACAGCCTCTAGCCAAGGAGTTAAAGTGACGGAACGGCATGAACCCGACTCTTGACCTGACCCACGCTTGCTCGTCGTAAAAGTACTCCAACGCACTCGCTTCCTCGCGCACCCATTTCACGTGCAACGCCTTATAGAAGATCGGATCAAACATCACGTCCAATAGCATGTCCGTCCATTCTGACCGACGAATGAAAAAAGATTCGAGATTGAACCCCAAACAGTCCTGGGAGACAATCAACTCCACCGGTTCGTCGTAGTCGACGTACGGCATACGGCTATCCGTCTTGGAAGGCTTGCCGTGAAAGTATTCCGTCTTGTCTCTCGATATGCTCTCGCTGTGGCTCCAGATCAACTCTTCCAAGGAAATTTCTGGCATCATAATGTATGAGTTCATGTCCACGTACCAGAACCACTCAGCCTCCGGGTGGTCGCGTATGGCCTCCCGCAAAATATCAAACTTGGCCCAAGCTTCCCTGTGCTCATGGGAATGCTTCTTCTGGAAGGTTAAATCCTTGACCACAACGTCGTACCCGTGTCTCAACGCGTACCTGCGCTTGTCTTGAATGGCGGTGTTTTCGGTTTTCCACTCCCGGGGCTCCTTCCACTTTTCTACTCCCCCCTCTCGATTTGCGCCCACCACAATAACAATTTTACTTGGGCTCTTATTCCAGAAATATCTGTGCGGAGCTTTTACCGCATTCTTGTAGATACCAGGCTCCTTGGGGGTTGGGGGGGCGCCGCCTCTCTTGTATGCCTTCGTGTAGCCAACCATACCGCTACCGCCTCTCGAAATACCCAGCCCTTGGGTCCCTGCACCGTCCCAGTCGCTTAAAGGCGCTTCTCCGCCATAAAGAGAGATATACGTGATGTAGAAAAGCAATATAGACGACACCACCGTGACAACGCTTGGGAGGTATCTGTGCTCGACATACTCCTGGAACGCGAGCTGGAGGCTGGTAGTGAGCCGTCTGGATCCCAGTTTAGTGTTTTTTGCCTCTGGATCCATCTTTGACTTGGGGAGTGTTTAGAAATTGGCCAGAGCGTGTGCAGCGAGATCACAAGAGATTGAAAAATAAACGTGTACCTGAATTTAGACCGTGTGCGTCTGATCGGACAGGAGAACCGGCAACCTCTCAATTGATCCTGCATGTACCACTGAGCTGCATGTGCCACGGAGCTATATGGCTGACCTTAGAAGTCTTAGTGTGAATGAAGTATCTTTACTACCTAGATAACCCCCAGGTCCAGTAAACCGAAGATTGCAGATTATATCTAGGTTATGATTTTAGATAAATTTTAGCTATTCCGGTTCATTCATTATGTATATGGTGTTATCCTACATATTTTAGGCAGACAGAATATACACCACCTGGGCTATATAAGCTCAGGAGATCAGCAGACATATACTGTCATACTAACCCTAGGCTCTATATGGCGTATTTAGTCCTATTAACTCTTATTGTATAGGTCCATTGTATATATGGTCCATATATAGTTATACACAATGCGTGGGGGTAGGATATTGTGTCTTATGCCGGTAGAGGATAAGATCTAACAGAGACGCACATCTAGTGCAGGCGTTCAGGCGTGCTAATAGCTTATACTACAAAACTTCTAGTCTGTGATAGATATTATATAGCCAATATACAGTACTTAAAATATATATACAACTGCAGATGACTCGGGGTGAACGCAGATATTTATGTCCCATGCCACTCACAAAGACAGGCGTCCTCTAACGTGAAGGATCCATAGAAGTATGAATGTATGAGCATAGAAACCCACTCAATCATGATGCTGCTTGAGCAGCCATGCGCTTATTGGGCAGCCTGATCCTTGATGTCCTCCATGATCTCTTCAAATCTTTGGGCGCTGTTCGTCTCATCGTCAAACTCCTCACTCTGCAAGCGCTCAATTTCCGCCTTGATGCGGGTATACTTTTCGTCCTTTAAACTGGAGAACAACAACATGTTAAACCAGACCTCCATGAAGCAGTAAATGAACACAATGTTGTTACAGAAGTAGAGAGAGTCGCCGAGATAGGAGTACGCGGCAAGACTGAAGAAGACTACCAAACGCGACGGAGTAATAGATTCAAAGTACATTGTGTTGGCTTCGAACAATGGCACGAGATCCGACATGGCCAAGACTCCAAACAAGAGCGCGAGGATCCCGAAAATTGGGTTGTAGTCGTCGATCTCTACAATAGGCTAAAGGGGTTAGTATTGGAATAGTGGTACAGGGGTGTGAATAGCATACCAATTGCATGGAGGTGGACAACAACAAAACGAAGCCAGAGTTCATGATGGCATTGGGGTCCTTGAATAAGTAGAACGCTATGGTGGCCAAGAAGCACACGCGGAGGTATGCCATGGAGCGAGCCGAAAGGAACATCATTACGAATATGGGCTGTTGATGATTAGGACGGTTGAGGTTAGTGACCGTGGTATAGGCGAGAAAGGTTGCGTTTGTACCGGGTGTGGCCAGCAGAGTTTTCAACGCGGGGTCAGGTGATATGCGCGAGGCGCATTTTTCCAGAACGTACAAGAGATACCTTAAGACTTATGTAATTCAACATATTCCCGGAAGCGTACTTATATTACCTAGTAGAATCTTCATACGTTGTACCAAATTCGATCTCTACTCGTATGTTTGCCCTCAAATATCTAGTTTTGCATAAAAGTCACGGCATTATTTCTTCCCCAATTGGGTGGCAATGTTGGCAGCCTCCTCGATACCTCTGGCAATACCAATTTTGACGCCTCTGTCCTCCATGGCCAAGAGTCCGCCGATAGTGGTGCCACCTGGGGTGCACACCTTAGCCTTTAAAGCGGCAGGGTGGTCGTCGGTAGCCAACAACATCTTGGCGGTGCCCTCCATGACCTTGGCGGCGCACTCTCTGGCAGTGGCGTACGGAATACCCATCTTGATGGCACCTTCGATCATCCCTTCCATGGCCAAGAGACAGAAGGCTGGGCCCGAGCCAACCAAGGCGGTGGCGGCATCCATGTTCTTCTCCGGCAACTGGAGGGCCTTGCCAACCGGATCAACCAACTTCATGACCAACGGTTCGTAGTCCTTGGCCTCCTCACTAAATGCAACCACAGCCATACCGCAGCCGTAGGCAGCCGGGGTGTTAGTCATGACACGCGCGATATACGGCGAGAAGATCTTCAATTGGTCAATGGTCCAGCCAGCTAATAAAGAAATCACCAACTGCTTGCCAGTCAAGGCAACCTTGACCTCGTCGTAGATGCTCTGGCACAAGAACGGCTTGCAGCCCAAAATGAGGACATCAGCGTCAGCCACAGCTTTGGAGTTGTTTTGCACACCAAAGGTGGTTTCGGTGGATGGGAATCTCTGCTTCAAAGCGACAGCGGACTTTTCAGAGCCAGTGCACAAGATGATTCTCTTTGGCATCGGAATGGTCTCATCGGAGGAACTTAGCAAGGCAGAGATCACAGCGGTCCCCATGACCCCGCAGCCCAAGACGGTTAAAGTATAGTCCTTCATTGTATTTTGTTTGAGAGAAGACGGTGGTAAAAGGGGGAGGAGTGGGTGAAAAATCAGAGTGCCTTGATATACTCCAGTTATCGGCGGGGCTGATAGCAGGGCTTCTATGCTCAGCGTTCCAAGGCAGCTGCAAGCGAGTGGACTTCTGGGAGGTGCGGGATGTCTTTCCACCAGACTGTATCCTAGTTACTACAGCTAGCTGCTATTTATAAACGATGAGAAATCATACGGGGATTTGGACACTACTCTATTGATATATTACTAACAATAGATATATTTCAATAGTGATACCTTCAACTGAAAAGGTGGGATGTAATCGCCATCTCCATCGATGAGCTCATACACTGGTACTCTATCGATATAGTACTAACTGCTATAACAGGATAGAGGCAGGTCTAACTAGCCTTATATTAAACCCCACGTGTATTGGATGCATTTCTGTGTCTTATTAATATATTCTCTTAGAATATACCCCTATCACTATCCCACCATGGAAGCAAGGCTGAAATGTGTAGCACGCCTTGCTGGCATTTTTCAGCCAAATTCGGAAATTTTACTTACGCCCCAACCGGGCCTAATTACCCCCACCGGTGTTCGAATTAGTTGCCGATCTTTATGGTCGAAGTATTTTAATTCAGAGCTCACGCCAACATCTTTTTGTCTACAAAAAAAAAACTATAGACCGTGCGACGATTCCGAATACTACCAGGCTAGTACCAGCTTTTGATATTTTCGGTAAAAAAAAAAAAAGCAGACTCGTCTTTTCAACACCCCAGTAACTGACTGGTCAGAGCGTTTTTGCGATTTTCCCACGGCTCTCGTCATTGCGATTTGTCCACCGTTCTCGTTTTTGCGATATTACCGCTCCTTCTGCGATTTGCCGTTTCTGCAATCGCTGCCTACGATTTTACCTTTGCAAGCGCTGTTTAGTCTTTTTGATGGCTCCCAGAGTGCTTGAGGCGCCCGTGGTGTACCCCTCGGAACGCGAGTTTAATGACCCTATTACATACCTCTCGTCGCCCGAGGTAGTGGCGTTAGGCGAGAAGTATGGTATTATCAAGATTGTACCGCCGCGAACCTGGAAGCCACCGTTTTCTCTCGCGGACAGCTTCACTTTCAGTACCCGTTTACAGAAATTGAGCGACTTAGGGCTCCGCACCCGCAGTAGGGTCTTCTTCAAGAAAGGCTTGAACCGCTACTGGGCAATGATCAAACGCAAATCCAACTTGAAGACGTTTTTCAAGTTGGACCACCGCAAAATTTTCTACTACGACTTGCACATGGAGGTAGAGAAGCGAGGCGGGTGGGAGGGCCTCGATACGTGCCTCACGGAGGTGGCGGCAGAGTTTGGCCTCACGAAACCTGACCGCGCCCAGGAGTTGAAGGAGATATACCAGGCGCGGATCAAAGACTACGCTGCGTTTTTGAGCCGAAACGACGGGAAGATCGCCGATTTCCCGGAAACCGACGTGGAGGACGAGATGGACCGGTGCTTGGTCTGCCACGGCTTTGACAACCCGGAACACACGTTGCTCTGCGACAGCTGCGACAACGCTTACCATATGACCTGCGTGGATCCCCCTTTGGCGGAGGTTCCCGTCGGAAATTGGTACTGCGACAAGTGTGTCATCGGCACCGGCGACTTCGGGTTCGAGGAGGAAGACGAGCAGTATTCTCTTGATGAATTCCAGCGCATGTGTGCAGACTTTGACGAGGAGCTCTACGAGGATATGTATGATGGTCGGAAGCCGACGATCAAGCAATTGGAGGAGACGTTCTGGGACTTGATTGAGAACGAAAACAACTTGGAGGTGAAGTATGGTGCGGATATTCACAACTTCAGCCCGGGAGAGATATCGGGGTTTCCTATGTTCTCAAACCCTAGCGTCAACCGACAAGATCCCGCGGTTCAGCGCTACATAAACCATCCGTTCAATCTCATCAAGTTGCCGTTTGCGCGGGGCTCGCTCCTCAACTACTTGGATACGTCCATCTCGGGGATGACCGTTCCATGGATCTACGTCGGCTCGTTGTTCTCCACCTTCTGCTGGCATGTTGAGGACCACTATACGTTGTCCGCCAACTACTGCCACAAGGGCGCCACCAAGAAGTGGTACGGGATTCCCTCGTACGATGCAGCACGATTCGAGGCGTTGATGCGTAACGCGGCACCCGACCTCTTCAAGAAGCAGCCCGACTTGTTGCACCAGCTTGTGACGTTGATGTCCCCGCGTGAGTTGACCGCGAACGGGATAACTGTCGTGAGTGCGGACCAGAACCCAAACGAGTTCATCATCACCTTTCCAAAGGTCTACCATGCCGGCTTTAACTGCGGCTTTAATGTGAACGAGGCTGTGAACTTCACTATGAATAACTGGATCAACTACGGCGCGCGTGCGGTCCAGGACTACCGCCTCATCAAGAAGGAAAATGTGTTCAACTTTTCCAACGTGCTCCACAACATCTTGGATGATTTCGCGGTATTCTACGAAATGTTCAAAGTGGCTCGGATGGAGAACCCGCAGCTCACGTTGCCGCAGAGGCTCAACCAGAACTACTTGCAGTTGGTGGAGGACTCCTTCCGCAACTTCAAGGAGGACTTTGAGGTGCACGACCGTGAATGGACAGAAAACTGGGATTTCTTGCTTCTGCTTAACACCCAGTGCGTCACTCAGCTTCGCAACACCAAAAAACGGACACTCCAATCGGAAGAGGAGTACATTCGGCGGTTCCAGAGCGAGGATCAGGAGCCGAACGAAATAATGTGCGCTGAATGTAAGACCCTTCCTAGTTACCAGTACTTTATCGTCCAGAATTCTGTTACCCCGATGGCCAAGGAGGAAATACCCGAGGTGGTTGTGCTTGAGTCACACCCTAACCATTTACAAACCCCCGTCTCGTCACCAAAGAGAGTCAGGTTGAGCCATCTGAACTTACAGGTTCATCACAGCTCCATTACCCCGTTCCCGTCCCCCCAATATGGTATCTCTCCGCCAGCCGCTAAAAAGACCAAAGAAATCACGGAAATCGTTCCAAGGCAGTCCAAAATGGCCACAATGTCTAAAATGGCCCCCAAAATGGCCTCTAAGATGAGCCCTGTCAAGCGCTCCAAAGAATCCATCTTCGACCAGCCACAGACCATCTTGTGCTTGAATGATTTTCTCAAAATTTTCCGCGACCCCATCACATGTCCCGCGACGTCCAAGATACAGGTAGTGATCCAACAATCTCCCCAGGAGCTCCGCGACTTCATCAACGCCACTGAGGTGCTGTTGAACGGGTATCGCAACGTGTTTCACTCTGTTTAAACCGCCCCTAATGCTTATTCCTGTGCACATTATGCATTAATTTTTTTCCCCTTTTCACTTTCGGTCAGGTTTTCGGCGTACTAAATCTATTCCTTCTTTAAGTGAATATATAATTGATATTAATAGCTAAAAGTAATGTTTTTTTTTAATTGATATATAACCGTAATGTCTCTTGTATAGCCTTGCAAGCCAGTACTTTGCTCTTCAAACCATCAACCTTTGGCACCCGTATTTTTAAGCTGCGCTAAAGTACCTTTGTGTACACCGTACCACTCCCTCCTGGTATCCGTCTGGTTAGCTCTATCATATAAAGGACCACCTCCATTATCTCTACCCAGCAACTATATAAAATAGCCTGGAATGGCCTAATATTATCCCTACAACACACAAACTGTACCCAGACTACGTAGCTTCTGCATGAATTTCACTTGTTCCACCTTCCGTTAGGGATGACTGAAACCTTAAAGGCACTTGCGCATGCAGGTGTCACACATTTACTCCCCCGCGGTGCGGCTAATAAGAGATTTGGCAAGGCATCTCGAGTCCAATAATGTTCTAATCACACATTCACATGCCATTCTGTATAGAGCATCCCCTTTGCCTTCCGGCATAGCGGGACCGTTAACCTTGTCTTTCCGACAGGTAGTAGACTCCGAACCGATAAGCATGATACCACTTTAGTGCTTCTACAATAAAGTTATAATAGACTGGCTAAGGCCGATTGCGATCTACCGTTGAGCCCCGCGTGAACCCCCCACGCTGTGACACGTATTTATATTTAATATTCGCAGAACGCATATATTATAGCCCGAAAGACCTCTTTTACTCTTCTTTCTTACCCCCTTTCTCTCAAATAATACAATGCTAGAGTCACTCACGAAATACTCACACTTCAATGTCTACAGCCCGGCACCGTTCGTCATCCACTTGGAATTCAAAAACTCCAGCCTTGAGGGAAGCTACTTGCACACCACGCTTTTACAGTACAAGGCGTTGCTCCAGGAGCTAAACGCACTGCCGCTGGTCGCTTGCATCATCATCTCAGCGGAGGGGGACAACTTTTCGCCTGAACGCAACCGACACTTTGTGTCAGACGTGTTTAATTCCATTTCTATTGCCGCAACCGAGTACACGGCTCTACATGAAACTACGGTAGAGCTCAGAACATGCTCAGTATACGCATCCAAAATCAGCATCCCCACGATCGGCATTTCCCACGGGCGATGCCACGGAGAGGCTATGACGATACTCACAGCGACATCTATTCGCATGTGCAGCAAAGACGTTTCATTTGCTGTGAGCAAAAACTCTGTAGTTAACTCCGAGCTCTTGAAGCGGTTAGGGGCGATTGTCAATAACCAGTCTACGCTTTTCGAGCTAGCCTTGACAGGTAGGGAGTTTGACGCCCACGAAGCAAGCAAGGTGGGAATTGTCAGCACGGTAGCCACTGATAAAAACCGGTGTCTTAAGCACGCGGTAGCAGTGGCAGAGAAAATCGCCCAGAACGACGACGGGTACGTCAGATCAACCCAAACGCAACTCCACAATATGTTAGAGGAACACGCCGAGGATATCAGACTGGGCACATTTGGGTGTATGCCGAATATGGTTCTCTAACACATATGGGTTTGACCCTTTAGTATATATATATAAATTATTGTAATTTAATCCCTTTTGCTGGATGAAGAATAACCTTAGCGGTACTACGATCTGTAGGGCCCAATTATAGAGGCTTCTCCGCGAGATGAATACCATCTGGTAGGCGTGGGATATCGGCTTTGATAGTGCCTGAGCCGCGAATCACGTGTGCGTAATTTTCATAGTGGCCCCGGGTAACACCTGTGCAGGTGCCCAATAAGACAGAGCAGCCAGCGACGTGCGCTCATTGGTCCATGCTTTCGCGGCTTCCGCTTCCACCGTCGAGGAGGCCCCCTGCTGAACCACCAACTACTTCACTAGTGGAAATCCTCCTGGGATATAAAAAATCTGTATTTCCTCTCTCCCTTCAAGTGTAATCCTAATATACCACAAGTTATTAACGATGGTTCTTCCAAGATTATATAACGCTGCTTCTAGCTCCGCTTTCTCCGCTTTGAGAGGTATGGCCACCGCTGCCCCAGCCACCGGTAAGGTCAGGTATGTATCTTCCGAACAAAGGGGCCCCAGCAAGCCCCAACAAACAGCATTAGCACTACAAGCAACGGTAATTGGTCACGGTATTGGATCCAGCGACGGGCTGGCAGATCTGGTGAGGGGCGTTGCTATTTTCCGGATCTGAAAAATTCTCCAAACGGACACAGCTTCCTTCCCAACGCCTGCAAAACCAATGCATCACCCGATCTCGATGCCTCAAATGCTAGAACATCCCAAGTTCTACTTCTTGCTCTCTCATACCGTGTGTATTGCCCATGGAGATTTCGGTCTCATCGGCCAATAAGATTGGAGGCATTTTCCGGTCGGGGCTGCATAACCAGAAAAGATTTAGCACCAAGAGAAAGTTGCATGATCCGGCATCGTGCCACCTCCTACGGTTGTATCCACCTACGTTGTATATCGTTGCTGCTGTCGTCGTCGGCACAAGTACTAACCCTCCTTTAGAGCCGTCATTGGTGCCATTGTCGATGTTCAATTCGAACAAGGCCAGCTCCCAGCCATTTTGAACGCCTTGGAAATCAAGCAAGGTGACCAGAGATTGGTTTTGGAAGTCGCCCAGCACTTGGGTGAAAACACCGTCAGAACCATTGCTATGGATGGTACTGAGGGTTTGGTCAGAGGTGAGTCTGTCACTGACACCGGTTCCCCAATCACCGTTCCAGTCGGTCGTGGTACCTTGGGCCGTATCATCAACGTCATTGGTGACCCAATCGATGAACGTGGTCCAATTGAATGCAAGCAGAGAAACCCAATTCACGCCGAGGCTCCATCCTTCGCTGAACAGTCCACTGCTGCTGAGGTTTTGGAAACCGGTATCAAGGTTGTCGACTTGTTGGCCCCATACGCCAGAGGTGGTAAAATTGGTTTGTTCGGTGGTGCCGGTGTCGGTAAAACCGTTTTCATCCAAGAGTTGATTAACAACATTGCCAAGGCCCACGGTGGTTTCTCCGTTTTCACCGGTGTTGGTGAACGTACCCGTGAAGGTAACGATTTGTACCGTGAAATGAAGGAAACCGGTGTCATTAACTTGGAAGGTGAATCCAAGGTTGCCTTGGTTTTCGGTCAGATGAACGAACCACCAGGAGCTAGAGCCCGTGTCGCTTTGACTGGTTTGACCATTGCCGAATACTTCAGAGATGAAGAAGGTCAGGATGTGTTGTTGTTCATTGACAACATTTTCAGATTCACCCAGGCCGGTTCCGAAGTCTCTGCTTTGTTGGGTCGTATCCCATCTGCTGTCGGTTACCAGCCAACCTTGGCCACCGATATGGGTGGTTTGCAGGAACGTATTACCACCACCAAGAAGGGTTCCGTCACCTCTGTCCAGGCCGTTTACGTGCCAGCCGATGATTTGACCGATCCTGCTCCAGCCACCACCTTCGCTCACTTGGACGCCACCACTGTGTTGTCCCGTGGTATCTCCGAGTTGGGTATCTACCCAGCCGTCGATCCATTGGATTCCAAGTCTAGATTGTTGGATGCTGCCGTCGTTGGCCAAGAGCACTACGACGTTGCCACCCAGGTCCAGGAAACCTTGCAGGCCTACAAGTCCTTGCAGGATATCATTGCCATTTTGGGTATGGATGAGTTGTCCGAACAGGACAAGTTGACCGTTGAACGTGCCCGTAAGATCCAGAGATTCTTGTCCCAGCCATTCGCTGTGGCCGAAGTTTTCACTGGTATCCCAGGTAGATTGGTCAGACTCAAGGAGACCGTCCAGTCTTTCAAGGACGTCTTGGCTGGTAAGTACGATCACTTGCCAGAAAACGCTTTCTACATGGTTGGTGGTATCGAAGATGTCATCTCCAAGGCTGAAAAGATGGCTGCTGAAGCTAAATAGATTTAGCAAACTTTTTGTTTGTTGATTTATTTACTTTGAATAGTATATAATGACTAGTTGACTGGTCCATTTCTATAAAATAAAAATATTACGTTAGAAATTCTTGTTTAAAAGACCTGTAGTTTGAAAGGTTGGCAGGGAGGTTTTTCAAACATTGTCAGGTTTTGCCCTGAGCTTATGATTGATGGATAGATCCCCGTCCAGTAAGAATCATTAG